TAGGGGAGGGTTGTCATTGCAGGTTTCGGCCTCAATGGACCTAATCACCTGGCGACCCTCTGAGATGTAGGACTTCAACTCCCGGCAGGACTAGAATGGGATGTAAGTAAGAATTCAACATGACGGAAAGGAAAAGAAAGGGAAAGAACTTACGTGCTGGTACAGCTCGAGCATAGGAACTGTACAGAATCCAGCTGCGACACAATCATCAAAGGTAACGGTGCCCGGCTTGGGGACGCGCTCCCCAGAACGCCTGCTCCTGCTCAGCCTCTTGGTAGCGCTGCCGGGCGCAATGGTGTGCCTTCTCTTGGTCGTCGTGAGTTCCATGAAATGGATGTTGGTCATGTTCAGGAAGTCTTGTAGCTCAATCGGTTCGTATTCGCCATCAACTTCCTCGGCTGGGGTATCTTCTTCCTGCTCTGGTTGCTGGGGATCAGAATCAATATGCAGGGAATCGATTCCATTCTTCAGAGGAGTCGTCGATGTCTTGGAGGCCCTCTGTGGCTCTTGCGTAGGCGTAGCACTGCCCTTGAGAGGCGAAGAGCGAAGAGGCGAACGCATCGTCCGGGGAGCTGTTTCATCCTTAAAGGTGTGTGGTGGCAACCGAACTCCCTTAACGGGACTAACGTCGTGACCTCGCAGTCGCTTGGGGGAGTGCTCTGCTTCTTCTTCATCCGTGTCGAGCTCCACTGGCCGCTTTCCAAGGACTCCGCGAGCGGCGCCGACGTGAAGACTCTTTCGGTTGCCAACTCTGGTCTTCTTGGGACTGAGGCTTGAGATCATATTCTTCAAGTTTGCAGTCACATCCTTTTCCCCTGACTGTGACGACCGGATATGGCCATCTTCCCGGAGTTCCTCTTCTTCACGGGCACGTTCCTCCTCCTCTTGGAGTTTCAGCGGGTCTTCAAAACGCACACCACCACGCGCTCTATCCTGGGGGACAAACTGTGGGGTGTTTTCCCCAAGCGACAGTCGTTTATCAAGAATGGCAGCCACGCGAGGAGATCCAAGACCCTCTTTGTCGATACCAAGCCCGGAAGAGCGGCGGCCCTCACGGGGTTGCAACACGACGAGTGGTGTGGACTGACCGGTGGCTGCGTTCTGTTCAAATATGCTCTGGCGCAAAGACTTGCGTTTATCGGAAGATTGCGAAATCTCCGGCTGGAAGAGTTTCTTTGGCGAGGCGCTCCTGAAAGTAACATTGGCTGACGGAGGAGTCTTGCTGGGAGTAGTTGGCTTCACCCGAGGAGTTGTCTGTTTCGAAGGAGTCGTTGGCTTCTTGGCTGGCGAGCGCAATCGGGTTGCCGACACAGGGGTGCTCGAGGCCCCTAGGGCAGAGCTACGTCGTGAAGGTCTGGACCTCACACTAGCCAAGCTGGGGCTTCCATTTTCAGAAGCAACGGCGGCCACATGGAAGTTTAGCGGTGATTTGGCAGGAGACTTGGCAGGAGATTGGATGACATTCTCCTGAAATGGTGAGCTGTTCAATTGCCCAGACTCGGTCTCAAGCTCCATGAGTCTCTTCGCCTGCGCCTTATCACTGGCTTCCACCCCCGACGGAAGAATACCACCAATCGCACCGGTCATCTCCATGTCCATGTCCATGTCGTCGTCAGATCCCATGCCCGTTTCCATGTAGTCCGACTGTGGGGTGGTGTTCTCAGCATTTCGGCTCAGCACTCCGCCAACAACTCCGGTGAATTCCATGGTCATATCCTCATCTTCGTTGGCATTGTTGGGAGCAGTCGGGGGCGCAATGCCTCCAACCACATTGGTCATCTCCATAGTTTGGTCATCATAGTTGGATTGTTCGCCAGACGACTTGCGACGGACCTCGCTCTTACGACGGCCAGCAGACTGGCCAAGGATGCGTCCTACCGCGTTTGTCACATCCATACTGAGATCCTCATCTTCATCGGTGTCATCGGACTCTGGGAAGGTTTGCGGACGAGCAGCGGCCTTGGATGGGTCCACATTCTCCTGGTCGTGCCGAGCGCTGATGTCTTCCCAGTCAAAGCTCTGCCGTTGGCCCTTTTTGATCCATGGCTGAAATGCGCCAGTGATTTCTTGATCTGCAATTTCCATGGACATTTCGCCATCGTCTTCGTCAACGGCGCGGGTCCCAGCTTCTCGTGCTGCCTGTTGTAATGCTTCGTTAAGCCTGGCACTGGAGCTAGAGCGCGACGATGTGTCGGTCATATCCTCCATACTCATAGCAGTGCTCTCGGCGTCGAATCCATCTTCAGATACGGAGGATCTCTCATCAACCTCGTTCTCTGCAGCCATGCTCTGTGCACCGGTATCCTCGCTTCCAGAAACAGAACTGCCGCTGAAAGGGCTGGAAGATAGATTGTGAGAGACTTCACGGGTGCCAGAGGCTATCTGTTGCAGATCCTGCTGGCGAACGGGAGAGAATCCGAATTCTGACTCCGCTGGCGAGGAGGGAGCTTCGGCCGCGGGGGTGGAAGGAAGCGGTTTGTTTGAAGTGTCGGCAAGAGATGAGGCTCGTCTGGTTGAATTCGCAGTAGATGAAGAGGTCGAATCGTCGAGGATTTCGTTTACGTTCCATGTGTGCAAGGTTGCCTCCGGAGCAAACGACACTCGGCGGTTGGCTGAATGAATCCAAGTCAGCACTATTCTTTCTTGAAGGCCAGTACGATACATACCCAGCGACTTGCGTCGCGCTTCTCGCTTCTCTAGCATGCTCTGATTTTCGCGCTCCCGGCGCTCTTTATCGTCACGCTCTTTGGTAGCGGCCATTTCGTCGCGAATGGCAGACGTCGCGTTGAAGGTGTCGAATGGATTGGTCAGGTTCGCATTTGCTGTCCCCGAGGGTTGCGGTGTCGTTTCAAAGTCGATCAGTAAACCCTCCTTGCCTCGGCCATCACTATCCGCGGTGCCATCGTGGCTTTGCGGGACATTGCGAGCTGGAGTCCGCTTGTTGCGTGTTTCCTCAAAAGACGGGATGTTTCGTACGGACACGGGAATTGTGGGCTTCAGAATCGATTTGAGTGGAAAGGAGGCTGTGGACTAGAAAAGCGCTCGAGTCAATGTTGTTTCCTTGGATTGATGCACGGAGTATGATTTACCTTGCGACGATTACCATTGGAATTCTGCAGCGCATCCAGCCCACCAGGTCCCAGACTCTTACTGCGGGACTTCTTGTCCTTCACGGCTTGCTTAGAGTTGAGCCCCGTGCCGATGTCTGCCGTCGCATTCTCCTTATCAAGAGACGTCGTCTTGGATCGCGGTACATGGGCGATGGAGCGGCGAGAGCGCACGCGCGCAGCCGCGTCTGTTCGGGATGACATGGGGACAATAACAAGTCCAGGCCCAGGCAGGTCCCCGAAGCAGGCCGAACTGGTGAAAGGTGTGAGTACACTCAGTTGTTGTTGTTGTTGTCGTTGTTGTTTGTCTTCACTTGTCGATCGACCGCGTCTGGGCCAACCGGTCACGTGACGTAAACAAAGAATCGGGTAGCCCTAGCCCTAGCCCCAATTGGGACTAGTGTCCGCACAGTCAACGACACACTTTGAATCTTTTCTCCATCGACTCTTCAATCCCATCCCATCTCGACTTCCGCCTTCCCTCCCCCCAAGTCGACAACCCGCAACCATGGCGACCGAGTTGACCGTCCAGTCGGAGCGCGCTTTCCAGAAGCAGCCTCACATCTTCCTGAACTCGAAGACCAAGGCCAAGAGCAAGAAGGCTGGCCAGGTTCGGCGGTGGTATAAGGAGGTCGGTCTGGGCTTCCGTACCCCCAAGACCGCCATTGAGGGCCACTACATCGGTATGCACGAGATCCCACGACTTTTCAGATCGCGAGAATTTGCGCAGTCGGTCTTTTTCGAGGATGGAGGATGGGTTGAGGAACACAAGGGGACAGGCCCACGATGCAGGACGCAGGACTGAGGGCAGCAATATTCGACGATAATATTCTGTACTGGATTTTTGCGACTGTCATACTGTCATTGTGTCCCTGCGACTTTTTTCCTCCATCAACTTCGAAAAGACCGACTGTGTTTCAAGATCTGCCGAGTCGTGAAACTTTTTGGACATGTCGCTAATAACCCCAACAGACAAGAAGTGCCCCTTCACCGGTCAGGTCTCCATCCGTGGCCGTATCTTGACTGGCCGTGTCGTCTCCACCAAGATGCACCGCACCATCATCATCCGCCGCGAATACCTCCACTACGTCCCCAAGTACAACCGTTACGAGAAGCGCCACAAGAACCTGGCTGCTCACGTCTCGCCCGCTTTCCGTGTCGAGGAGGGCGACTGGGTTACCGTCGGCCAGTGCCGTCCCCTGAGCAAGACTGTATGTGGAATTATGTTCGGTCCTGAGTCGTCTTGATGGTGTCGCTAGGCTCGGCTACCGTGTTCTACGGAACATGGACACCGCCAGCGATACTACCTGGATACTCACGCCTTTTTATGTTTATTGATCGCTAACTGGATTTCTCACAGGTCCGTTTCAACACCCTGCGCGTCCTGCCCCGCACCGGCAAGGCCGTCAAGGCGTTCAGCAAGTTCTAAGCGTTTCCAATGGAGGAGAAGATTGGGTGCTCGGAAGGGAACAACATGGCGAAAGAAGCGGCATGAACTGGATATAAAGGAATTCTTGGAGCGAGGGTCGGGATATTTTCACGAGTTTCCATGTCCTTGATACCTTGCTGAAGAAAATGTGTATCCGCACTTAAAACAAAACATTTCTTCGATCTTCCTGCTCTTGACGCCGTACAACTCAGTTTACTGGTCATCGTTTACTTTGACGTGCCCCGCCTGGGAGCATCCGCAGCTTTCCATTTCTGTCTGAACAGTCACTTGTAGATCGTACATCCAGCTTCCTCCATCCATGTCAATCCATTTCAGACGCACAAGAAACCGCAGCTGATCACGCAACCATCCAGCTCAAATATCGTACAAATGTCTGGTAAATCTGATCATCCTCATCGATCCCTTCCAATCAAGCTCAAAACCACAGCGTCAACAGCTGAGAACTACTCAATTCTCTCCCACCCCGAAAACATACGATAGCGCTCCATTATCAAGGGCCCAGTCAGAGGACGCTCCGGAGGGCACGGGGTGTCAACAAGCGACTCGGGAGATTCGGACGACTCGGACATGGAAGGCTCAACACGTACAGAATCGTTGTCATCATTGAAAGAAGAACGGAGCACGGACCTGATGCGTGTCTGTTCGGCAACAGCTGCAATAGTTGCGAGGTTTGCCCGAACACCATCGGGCATTGGCATCTCCATCGATTCATGTTCGTACTCATTGTTTGTGTGGTAGTTGAAGAACCCGTCTTCGACTTCTTTCGTGCCAAAAAACAGTTCTTCGAGGGCTTCATCGAGAAGTGCTGAGCCATCGTCGGCTTCTTCAGTTCCAAGCAACACCTCTTCAAGGGCTTTGTCGACAAGCACCGAGACATGGGTCGAGCTATCATCATCATCATAATGAACAGAGAATGTGCATTCAGTGGCCGTATCATAGGCTGAAGTGGCGGAGCTTTGTGCTCGCTTGCGCCGAGTCTTTTCGTCCGTGTCTGACCCGGAACTCGAACCAGCTGTATCACATTCGGCCTCAGACTCGTTGGGTAGGAACTCCTTGTCGGACGCTATGGGAGACTCTTCATCCCGGTCATCAATGAAATCCGCGGCGCTATCAGGGGAATACACATCCATACCGATGCTAGTATCGGGCAGATTGGGGCTAACGGTGTCCACGCCACGAAGAAAGTGTGCTTTCGGTCCCTCCAGGCGCCATTTCCACGACTTGGCAAGTGTCAGAGCCACATCGGTGCGGTAGGCATCAGGAATTTGAAGGAGCTCTAGAAACTTTCCGACGATTTGCCCAGCCTCGAGACTCGGAAACGACTTCGCTAGTGTAGCGCGCAGGGCAGGCCGAATGTTGTCCTCCTCGCGTATCTTCGGCAGCTGAAGAAGCTCGCCAATCTGACAGTGAGTCGAAGCAATTGTCTCTAGGTCGCTCACTTTCACCGTGGCGACGATCGCCTGAGTAGGCACATATCCCCAGATCAGGAACTCGCTGTAACCCTTGTATCGTTTGAACTGGATTCCAGAGTTAACAACGATCGACTTTGCCGAGAATGCTGCAGTAGCCAGTTTCGAGGAATCAATTACGGACACGATTGCGCCGTCGCCGGCGCGTAGGGCCCGGTGAATCGGGCCGAGCAAGGTTGCAAATGTCGAGATGAAGGGTGACTTGACCATTTTCTTAGTGATGTGTTGCTCGATGCAAGCCTTGAACTGCTCCTCCGAGATATCGCCAGGTCGGTAGATCTCAGGAAACACATTCGCAAATAACCCGGAGACGAGGAGGTCCTTCGAGTTGGCTCCCTGCGAATCGATACAACTCCACCTGTAAAGAAGAGGTGGAAGATCGGTGCAAGCTCCCGGAAGTATTTCGTTGCTAGTGTCGGCAGGGGTGACAAGGGTCTAAAGCAAATAGTTAGTTAGTGCTCAACTCGAGCTTCCTAAAGAAATGTGTATACTTGCCTCCGTGTTGTCGCGAGGCTCATTTCGCTCTATGATTTCGACCTCCTCGACGTTTCCGCTCTCGATGAAGCACCAATAACAAATACAATTCCCTTTGCGAGGAGAGGCAACGGAACTAGTCTGGTTATTGCTTGTGAGTTCAGTCTGGGAAGAAGCAGGGATTTCCTGTTCAAAGTTCATTCCGCTTTCGGTCTGAGAAGGGCTGGGCTCCTCATGGTAACGACGCAGCCTCTTCGCAATCACCCACTCAGGCGTCAACGGAGAGATACTATCATCAAAGATTTCAGACTCTGGCTCAGGTCCCTTTCGCTTCTATTGCAAAACACATTACATTGTGACTCTCAAAGGAGCTGACGGACTTACCGAAGCGATATTGATGAGAGCAGGAACAGAGTTCTTCTTCTTAGCAGAATCCACTGGTTTCGTAGGCTGATACTTGGGCTGTCGCATATCGCGTTAGAGTGAAGTCTTCGAAGGAGCTGATAACTTACCGGTGTTATCATAGGAGTAGGAAGAGAATGGTTTGCGACCGAGTTCGTCTTCTTAGATGGGTGTTTTTGTCATGTTAGAGCAAGGCTTTCAAGGAAAGCGGTCGATAAACTTACCAGATTATTTCCCGCAACAGGAGACGACACAACGGGAGGAGAGGAGGGAATTGTCTCCACACTCAAATCCTTATTCCAGTTGACTGTTTTAGCTCGCTATTGCATATCACATTAGAGCAAGACTTTCAAGGGAACGGTGTATATTATACCAAACTCCGACTCATGGGAGGGGGTGAAGGGGGAGGAGGGGGAGAGGGGGAAGGTGATGGACTCCTCTGAGCCCGAGTTCGGCGCTGTTGCGTATCAATTAGACAAATGACTCTGACTGAAGAGGTGTACATACTTACCATGATGAGAGGAGTGATAGAGGTGGTAAGACAAGGAGAAGATGTGATCGAGAATATGGGAGCAGAGAGGGTGGGAGGAGAGAGGGTGGGAGGAGAGAGGGTGGGAGAGGAAGAAGAAGAAGAAGAAGTGGGAGAAGAAAAGGCAGCTGGGTTGAAGAAAAGTACTCGAAGGCAGTGAAAGTGAACGTTGCGGCTGTATGCCCCATTCAGGGCAGGGAAGAATAAGAATAAGAGCGGATCGCAGGCATCCCATCACAATAATATTCACTGAATAGTCCTACTGATCCTAACGGTGAATGGAGGAATGATGTATTGATTTCATTATGCTCTACGTCCTCACATTCGATTTGATCAATCATCTTCAGTAGCTCTTGGAAATTGTAAATCTAAATGCAATCCCACCATTTGCCGCCTGCACTCCCCGCGGCCCTTCCCACTGCGGTACGGCACCTCGAGAGCATATACTCGATGGGAGCAGCTTCCTCCTGGAATGAATCAAGTCCAAGTCTTGAGGGAATACAGAGACAAAACGTGAAGAGAGAAAACTATTATGCGAGACTGGGAACCGCCACTTCTTGCTGCACCGCAACGGCACCACGTCCTCTCCCATGAAATGGTTCATTCTCAACCCCGGACCTTCAATATCAGCTGCCCCGCCGGTGACGAAAATCACGATAATATGCTCATGAACATGCTGTTGTTGGTACCATGTATAGAATGTAGTTAGGGCTGAGCTGCAGCACGAGATGCCCGGACCGGAAGCTAAACCCGATTGGGCGGATGACTGAGACATCTCTCTCACTCTCTCTCGCGCTGGCGTTTCCCCCCAAGCACCCTTTGTTATTCAGGCTATCCTTATCCTCCATCGCTATCCTGCTCGCTTTGCACCTTTACAGAGTATCTTCTGGCTCTTAATTGCCAACCCGGCTCTTCCGGCCGTCCTCCTCCCTCCTCCCCCGAACAGCGAAGTATCCTAGGCATGCTTCAATGAGCCACCTCCTGCGCGACACAGGCAATGATCGTGGAAGATCCGTTACAATAACTCGACCGTTGTGATCCTTGAAGCAGTTCTTCGCGACGCTAGTATTTACTCGGCTGCACCGGCTTCCCTTTCGTTCGACCGCAATTGGGCATCGATCCGCACGCTTAGGAGGCAATGTCCCACAAGTTTGAGAAGTCGGTAAAAGGGGCCACCAAGCTCAAGGTTGGTTGAAGGACATCTGAATTGGCATCACAGTCGCTCACATCTTAGCTGCACAGCTTGCGGCCCCCAAATCCAAATATATCGAGCATATCCTCCTCGCGACCAAAACTGGCGATGCAGGGGTGGCGGAAGTGTTTCGGATTCTGCAGCTGCGGCTTCGGGACCCTGCATGGACCATTGTGTTCAAAGCTCTCATTGTCGTCCATTTTATGATCCGCGAAGGCGCAGAAGATGCGGCGCTGGGGTACCTGTCGGAGAATCCGAAGAAGATTGCGCCCAGCAATTTCTCTGAAGGTTAGTCCAACCTACGCTCGGTCCATGTAGCTGATTCACTGACACCTTTCAGCGCAAGCACAGGGGCATAACATCCGGCGCTATGGCGAATATCTCATTGTGCGCGCCCGAGCATTCGAAGCGACGAACACCGACCATGTGAGAAGCGGACCCGGGCGACTAAAGCGATTGAGCGTGGACAAAGGTCTTCTACGAGAGACGGAAGTTGTACAGAAGCAGATTCGTGCTCTGTTGCGCTGTGACGTTAGTTGATTTTCCTGTTGGAGTGCATTCGGCGACTAACTCCCCATGCAGCTGTTGTCGGATGAGCCCGAGAACGAGATCAGCCTGACGGCCTTTCGCCTCCTCACCCTCGACCTTCTTACGCTGTACTCGGTGATGAACGAAGGCACAATCAATGTCTTGGGTAGGTCTCCTGTCGCCGTGTTGGTCGCGCTCCGTTTCTGACCCTGGGTCCTTTAGAACACTATTTCGAAATGTCGCGGCCGGATAGTATCCGCGCCTTGGCTATCTACAAAACATTCACCAAGCAGACCGAGGAAGTGGTGCAGTTTCTTGGGGTCGCGAGGCATTTTCAGTCAGCCACTCGTTTGGAGATCCCCAAACTCAAGCACGCCTCCACCGACTTGGCGCGTCTCCTCGAAGATGATCTCAATGATCCCGACTTTGATCTTCGTCGTCGCGAATATCTCGCTGCGAAGAAGGGCGGCCGTCCACCACCAGCGCCCTCCGCCGGTACCACAGCCGCTAGCGCCTCTCCGGCTGATCCCAAGCCCGCGTCCAGTGCGCCCCCGCAGCAAAAGCCCCCTCCTGCGGACCTCATGGATTTCTTCGAATCCATCGAACAGAACCAACAACCCCTCGGGCAACCAGCCCCAGCGCAGCAACCCGGGATGCAGTACCAGCAAACGGGCTTCCAACAACAACCACAGCAAGGGTTCTACCCTCAGCAGACCGGGCTCCCGCAGCAATTCCAGCAACCCCAGGCGACTGGGTATCAGCAGCCTCAGCTGACTGGATATCAGCAACCTCAACAGACTGGATATGGGCAATCCAACCCGTTTGGAGGATCTTATGCGCCGCAGAACCCCAACAATCCCTTTGGGCAACAACAGCCGCAACAGCCGCTTCAAGCAACCCCCACGGGTGCAGGATTCGGGGGATACACACCGCAGCCACAGTCATATGACTACCAGTCGCAACTCGCCCCGATCCCGCAGAGCGGTGTTGCCTCGTACGCTCAGCGGCAACAGCCACCACCACCGGCCGTGCCGAGACCGCAGCAGGGAACGCCGACTAATCCATTCCGGCAATCCATGCTACCCCAGTCCTCCACAGGACCTTCAACATCTGCGACTCCGCTCTCCCGTCAAAACACAAATCCATTCGCTCGGCGCCTATCCATGGCAACTCCGCAGTTTAGCCAAGGATCATCGGGGCCGTTCTCCCCGCAGTCTGCTCAATCGCAGCCTCCACCCCTGCCAACACAGACCCTTCAACCCCAGCGAACAGGCACCAACCCCTTTGCACGGAGCTCTTCAGTCCCGCCCCAGCAGCAGCAGGGCCTGCAGCCGTTGCAGCCAAATCCCACGGGGAGCACGAACCCCTTCCGCCAGAGCCAGTTCATCAACCAACAAACGGGCCGAGGCTGGCAGTCATCCGGACAAACTGGGACAATGGGCGGAATGGAACAGATGGACACCGTCCCGATCTTCCCTCGGCCAGGCATGACGTAGCAGCAGTCCTAGGAAATCCCTAAATTCTTATCTTGGTTTATTCTTTCCTAGCGACTCATCACATGCCTGATATATTTCGTTTTCGTTTTGGTTCTTTCCCATTGTACTTCTATGCATTCTGGCGACTCCTGGCGTATAAATTGTTTTTACTGCATGTTCCCGGGCAGCTCGCAGAGCGAGTTTTATTTTAAGACAGAAAATCATAAACCTTTGAACTACTATGTTAACAACTACGACTATGTATATGGCTTCCAACCGCCAACTCTGATCGTCATCGAATCTCCCTAGTCGGGTACATGCGTTCTCCATACATATATACATACAACCTGAGGGTTGTTCCTCTTCACTCTCACGCTCTCTGAGTATGAAAGGTCCAGGTTGATGCCCTTAAAAGAGCCCTGTTATTATTCTTGATTATATATTGAGTCGGACGAGTTTTACACACGCTTGTCGTTAATTCTCCGAGCTGCTGACAAGAATTGTGCTCAGTCACGTGCTTATAGCCCATCGCGTCAAGCAAGCCGCAGTCTGCACCTGACGCGATACTCTCACATACGATCGCAAGTTTAACATGCAAATATCTCCATGATGCTATCTTTTCTGGGACCGGGTTTCACTTGGCCTCGGCGAATGAAGCCATCAGTTTGCAAAACGACTCCCAAGGTGCCGAGTTTACCAGGAAAGATCCGACGACGAGTATGGGGTCTGGTGCACAAGGTGTTGTATTACATATCTAGAGGGTACTGTGCATGTTTTGATATGGTTTTCGACGCCAACATCATACAGTTGCCCTTTGGGCTTGTCTTGAAGTGGACAGATCGAACCAGCATGGAGGAAGCTGCCGCAATGCAAATGGCGCGGGCGGCTGGGATGCCAGTTCCCAGGGTGCTTTCTTGTGGAGAACATCCAAACGCGCCGTACAATCGCTATTTCTCCATATTAATGACACGACTACCTGGCTCCCCACTCGAAAACTCTACGGATCCTCTACTCGTCGAATCAGAGGATCCATGGCTCTTCGAGCTAAAAGAATGCATTGTATCTATGCGTGAATGGTGCCCGCCTCATTCGAAGATGATATGCTCCGCCATAGGCACCTCGCTACGGAGCGCCCGAGTACCCAATCATATCATGGGGCCATTTGCCAACGAACCTGAATTCCACGATTTCCTCCTAAGCCCAGCTTCGAGGCACGGCTTCGATACAACTGCAGAATATGTCACGGCTTTAGCGCAAGCGAATGAAATTCGAAAATACCCCCACCGAATTACTTTCAGCCATGGCGACCTCAAGGCTCACAATATTCTCGTTGGAGATGATGGTCATCTAGCCGGCCTTCTTGATTGGGAATCGGCCGGCTGGTATCCTGAGTACTGGGACTTTACTACTGCGATGAGATATGGAATGAACAGTTGGTGGTCGCAAGTGGCCTCGTGGATGGGAGGGGATCAGTACGCCCGGGAATTAATGTGTGATATTGCGCTGAATTCGTTGACTGTAGATTCATATATAGCTTTTTGAATGATGTCAGTCTCAAAAACAGGAATAATCACCCAACTGGCCATTTGTACTTTATAGCATTGGGTTGTTACTCGATAAGTGAACTAATGGGCGTGAGTACGCGAAAGACGAACGATGAAAATGACAAGGCAGCATGGTCTCAAAGTTGAATGTTCCTGTGGTTGCTCTCAAAGGCAAAGTCTGGATCTTACAACCGGCCGCGGCTGTTGATTGATAGCAGCGCCCGGGCTATACTGGTTCCCGAACGCCATGCACTCCTGCTGCAGTGCATCGATGTTCTCGCATCGAACCATTCCGTGCTGAATGAGCTTTTGTATAATCTTGACAACCCACACACGGCAAGTCACTCCCGGTATCTGGTTGACATCGCCATCATGAGATCGCATGATTTGGTCGAGAGTATTGCGTGCCGTTTCCCGGATGGTTGCGACTTGAATGAGAACGCACAGGAAATTCGATTTAAAGACACCTCCAGTTGAACCATGATCAGGCATCCACCCACTACCCATATTTCTCATGTGGTATTTGACACCGCCTTGGGAACCCGTATGGAGATAATAGCCCCAGTGGAAGTCGTTTTGACGGGGCGGATCAGATCGGATCCAGAGAACGATGAACAGCGCATTAAGAGGAAGTCTGGCTAGAGCATCTTCCTGCTGCTTCTTGATGATGGCTGCGCGTTCCCTAGCGGTTTTTGGTGCGGACATTTTCTCTGACTTGAGGAATTTCTCAGGAATCGGGATGGGTATCTTCACCAAAGAGTAGTTATGGCTGTAGAGAATAGCCGTATGTATCAAATAGGAGGCACAGGGAGAATCTTGGAGGAATAAATAGTTTCTGTATCTTGCTTACTCTCTCACAAGCGCTGAGTAGTTCAACCTGGAGTCGATCTGGGCGCTTATGACTTGTAACTAAGTACGTTTCATCGAACTCATATTATTGGAAATCCTGCGGGAGCAGGTGCTGCAGTCGGATTACTGGCGGCTATCTGTATCGATCGAATCATTCCAGGGGAGTCTATTGGAAGAAGCGATTAATGTGTTTAAGCACCGAGACGTTTCAGGACTCCCTAACGACTCGCTTGAGCGCAACTCGTTCCGACCAAGTCCTTCCATAACTTCTGCGGACAGTCTGAACTGGCGTCTCGCCAGGCTTCGCGAGCAGAATATTTACCATTTCTCGTACGTGAGAACGTGTAGGCGCTGCTCCGCCACAGTCCATGGAGAGTACCTATTTTAAAAAGAGCCCTCTTCAAGTGTTATTTATAGTTATTAGCGCGTCTTTCGAGCGATTTCGATGTCCAGAAAGTCGTTCGGAAGGTTTGGAGGACGTACTGAAACTGGCGTCCTACTTCACGAAAAGAGGTAATTTATTCCTTCTGAATAGCTTCGATTGCGAGAAGAATCCTAGCCTCCTGCACAGTAGAATTTTTCGAGTATTTATTGCGTTTTGATGCCATGTTGCTGGTTAAAAAGTGTAGGTAGTGACGCAGGTGACGCGGTCGCATTGCACCACTATTCCCGACGATCCACTCGCCTCACACTGCGACAGGGCGCAGGTGTCGACCGGGATGGTAGTCCTGTCGGACGATCCGATATGCTTGGTTCTCGGCGGGCCCCTCTAGCCGTTGGGCAGTCCGGTTCTTCGCAGATTCGCTGAGAATTCGAAACACTTATGCAGGGGCCCGAGGCCAGTTATATTGTTTCATGATTCTATGTGCTTTTTCTTAGCGCATGCAGATCCTTCATCCGGCACTACATACTCCTTTTACTGTCGAGCACAAGTTATTCTGCAGCCCTGCAGCCCTTGACCCCTTCTCCGGAGCCTTGTACATACATAGACACCTCATTTAGGCAGTTGGCACGGGTCCGGCGCTTTAACGAACGCCACTTGACTCCCCTGGGTCCACCACGCGGGTGAAGCGAAGGATCATGCAGGGAACATCGTCAGACTTTCCAGTATGTAGCACTGCTGCGCCCGATTAATCAACCGTCAGCATGGATGCATAGCCCCGTCAGCGAGAGATCGGCCTTTGGTCCCTGCAGAAATCATGGCAGAAATGTAGATAACAGGAGAAAAGCACAGGGCGGCCCAGGGCAAAAACGCGAACGGGCCTCCGGGGCTGTCGGAGTCAGATCGGGCAAAGCCTAGAGCATCTATCAGCACCAAGTCTTGAACAGCGCCCGGCCTGGAATTAGTTAACGAAGAGAACTAAATGTCGCAAGTGCTGATTGGCGTTAGTGGTGAATTGAGGAAAAAAGATTCTCTTCAGCCGCATTGAGTTACTACCGCCATTTCTACCCCGCCGGTCCCCCGGTTAAAAAAGAGGTTCTTTCTTTTTTTTTCTCTCTCTCTTCAATGCCTCCGCTGGTCCTGTCAAGCTCGCCGCCATGGACGCCAAGGACGCCTTCACCGGCCCTGAACAGTCTTTACCGGTGCTGTCCCGGGCGCATCCCGCAGAAACCATTACCGCCGCCGACCCTCCTTTGAAGGATTCAACGGCAACTCCAACACTGCAAGCCCCCGCCCGCAATGCGCCGTCCAAGGTGCGCAAGACCCGCAAGAACAACAATGTATCGGGCAAGTCGACCCTATTCTGGGTCAACTCTGATCCACAGTCCGCGGCCCAGGGGACCAAGGACGAGACCCTGAAGCGCATCCGCTCGCATGTGATGTCAGAGCACAACCGGAAGAAGAGACTCGAGAACACGAAACGATACAAGACCAAGACCTGGAAGCATCTTGCCTTTCAACCCCCCGCGACGGCGGTGACTGTCGGTCCTCAGCTTCCGCTCGCATCGGCGTCGCTTAATAATGGTAGGAGCTCGGCTGAGATTGAATACTCGGATGCACATCATGAGCTCATCCCCGCGGGAGCTACAACATACGCTGCTTCTACCGCATACCCTTCATCGTCATCGTCGGGCTGGGATGACAATGAATACGAAGAACCCGCCTCGAAGTCTATATGGACCTACCTGGGACAAGGCGCTAGAGATCCATTCAATACTGGGCATACCCAGCTCACGGATCGGATGATGCGCCACGTACAAAGCTGTTTGTAACCCCCCACCACCGAGCCTTTCCGACACGCTAACACCTGGATAGTCCTCTGGGATCTCACACAAGAAGCCCATCCATTACAAACTCGATATAAGCCAAAATTGCAGGCGCATTGGGCTGGCTTGATCCAAAAGGACCCGGCAATCCTCCACGCCTCAATTTGTATGGTGACCTCGAATGCGGCCATGCAAAGAGGCGAGTTTCCTCTCACCGACCCGAGTAAACCACGCACTCCGCTCGTGCTGGATACCCTCCATCACCGCGGCGAGACGATCCGCTTGGTCAACGAAGGTCTATCTGATCCGGCCAAGGCCGCCAGCGATGAACTGATTGCCGCGGTTTCCACCTTGCTAACAATCGAGGTGAGTTTTATGCTTTGGTTTGATTGGAAATTATACTCACATATCTAGATCGCGTCCGGCAACCCCGATTACCTCAAGATCCATCTAGCCGGGCTGCGGCAAATGATCGCATTACGCGAAAACTTTGCCGATGTACCTTCAGATATCCGCTTTCAGATTTCATGGTCGGTTATTGTACTTACAGAAAGAGACGACTAGCTGACTCATTGTACAGGACTGATATACGTGTCGCTTGTATGGCGCACGCGAAGCCCATCTTCCCTTTTATCCGCGGTACCCGCCCAGAAGGGTTATCTCTTACTCCACTTAACGACGATATTGCCCAACTAGCTACACGTTTAATATCCCTGACGAAGGTACCCGGCATTTTCAACGACAAAATGATCCAAATTATCTATGACCTCCTCGAACTCAGCTGGTACGCTGAATGGATCAAAGGCAACACGGGACACAAAGATATCAGCGAAGAGACCGAAGACTACTTCAACAATGAGGTGTTGCATGTTGAATATTCCCTACACGTGGACCGCTACACAACCACAGGCCAGGTGAAAGGCGACAACTCGATCGAGGGGTGCACGCGCCTCGCCTGCTTGCTCTTCCACAACTCCGCCATCTGGAACTTCTATCCTTCTCTCTCCCCCTCCTGCCAAAACCTATCATCGCCCTGCGCCTCGCCCTCGCCGAGGCCATCCCGGCAGGCGTCTTTGATCTCTGTCCAGATCTACTGCTCTGGATGCTATTCATTGGTGCCGCCTGCAGCTCATATCTACCGACAGAGCGTATCTTTTTCGTTAGCGAACTGGCTGCTGCTTCTCGTCTCCAGGGGATCAACACATGGCAGGAAGCCCGACCTATCCTCCTGGGCTTTTTCTACGTCGACCGTGTTCACCTGCCCATGCTCCGCCAGATTTGGGAAGAGGTGCAGCGGCAACACACGCCGACAGAGTTATAATCTCTTTTTTCTTTCATAGATTTTCTTGGGATCTTCTTGTGATTTATAAAGGCACATTGCCGAGTTCATGTATATAGTATAATTTAGTTAACGACTAACGATCTATTTTAACAACCTCAACTTGAAGAACCAAGTCCCGTATACGTAGACTCTTTATACACACGACCATTACTTTTTCCGCAATATTCTGCTATACACTAGCGGTCCCAGTTTCCGCCCCCATTATTGCCAAAGCGTGACCTAACGAATGCCTGGGGGCGGAAGTTTTTTGAACGCAGCCCCTATTTGCTGCGGTAGCTAGCCCCCCAAACCATGGGTCTAACAAAAGCACACGATGCAGACAAAATAAAAGCTTTGCGCATGTCAAAATCAAAATAAAACCCTATTCCTAACCGCAAACCCAAATCACACCCACCACCCATGGAGGCCACATCAGATCATGTGGGCGGGACACCCGCCGATCAGGTTGCTGCAATCCACCCACTGGCCGAGTCGATCTATCTCGCAGCCGCAAGGTCATTGGGACTCCTCAAGCAGGTCCAGAGCGAGCTTGGGCTTTTTCTTTCGGTGCTGAGTACAACTGAGACGCACATTCCGCATCTTCCACGGGATAGCGCCCAGGATGCGGAAATCAGCAAGACATTGAAGGCCTGCCATCAAGTGTTGCTGGATTTGCAGCAATTCAAAGAAAGTTCCGATGCGAGCCAAATCTCGGACTTGGAAGCGAGATTGTCCGCTTGTATTATTGATCTTACATCCTTGAACACTGATCTGATGAAGTAGGTGTCTGGGTAGTCTGCTTCTAAATATCAATTGCTAATCTGAGCATAGGTTCTCGCAAGAAAATCTCGATTGCAAGTTACAAGCGTTCATAGATGAGATACAAACCGGCGTGCGAGATTCGAAGATTGTTGTTAATGCCCTGAGTGGCCCTTCCACCAAAGATGGTCCGGAATGGAACCTGCTGCAACAGGAACTGGTGACTGTTGCGGGAATCAGCCCTGCACTAATCAAAGAAGACCGCATGTTTATTGTGGCAAAGCTGCGAAGTGCTTTTCCGCCGCACGAAAATTCTCCAAGTCCTCGCAGTGCACAGCGTGCCTCGACCCAACGACATGCCTCCTTCTCAATATTCTCTAGCGACGGGCATTTCAACAAGAAAGTCGTACCCACCAGCAATTTTCCGATACTATTGCCAACACAAGCTAGTGTAAAATATTCAAGCAAACAAGTGTCGCCCAAGCGCAGTTTTGCCATGCGGGTGAAGGCGCAGTCCGACCCATGTGCAATGAAAAACGCGCTCCCAAAAGACAACTTCCCGGTACGAGTGGCAACATTCAGCGAGGCACAAAAGCAAACCATGCAACAACCCCAGTACAATCCTTCAGTCAAGAAACCCAGTGAGGCGCGCAAACTATTCTACCAAATCCGGCACGGCCAACACGATTTCTTCTACCACATCTCCTCGGGCAGTTTCCCACTAGTGAAGCAGTGTCTCGAGAAAGGCGCCGAAATTAACGCCGTGCATGAAAACGGATGCACACCACTGGAAATGGCAGTATCATACGGCTACGAGGAGATTGTCTGCCTGCTCATAAACTGGGGCGCAGACATGAACCATTTTTCTTTCGGACAGCCGACTGCGCTCGGAAGAGCTGCTGCAATCGGGCATGGAAGACTCGTCCAGTTATTGCTAGAGAATGGAGCACAAGTGAACCGCGGTGGACAAAAGCCGCTCTCCAAGGCTGCAGAGACAGGCTGGGAAGATATCGTGCAGGTGCTACTAGCTTGCGGCGCCGGAATTGACCTGGTAGATGTTAACGGGTACACTGCACTAGGGAATGCCGTGAAGAACGGGCGTGTGGCTGTGGTGCAACTTCTTCTGGATAATGGGGCAAATGTTAGTAAGAGTTTGAATGGTGAAGGGAGACAGCCGCTTTATGATGCTGTTGAGATGGGCTACGTGAACATGGTCAGGCTGTTGCTGGCTTACAAGGCCGATGCTCGCGTGAAAACTCGGCAAGGGGCTACTGCCTTGTCTCTGGCTGTGTCGATGAATCGGAAAGATGTTTTAGGGGTCTTTCAGGATTTCGGCTATTCTGCCGAGTCTACTGGATTTGTTGCAGTGCAGTATGCTTAAGGTGATAATATTTGTATAGTATTAGAGACAACAATCGGACGAGGGAGATGTAATATTGAGACTTAGAAGCAAAATATAGAAAGTGTACGTTATTGACTACTCGGACTTGCTATAAAGACGGGTCTCGTGTTGGGGGACGCAACACTTGAGGATTACATACTCGCCTGGGCCTGTTTGTTCCGACTATAGCCAGGATTATTTTAGGGAAAGTGGTCCCGTCGTCGGTTTCTTCCATTCACAACTAGCTAGATAAGTGGGTAGTGGCCAGCTTATCACTTATGGCATCATCCGTCCTCGAAATCCCCGATGGTTCGGCCTCGTCAACATCAGCTTCGGTCTTGTTGCCCGTATCCTTCTTCGGGCCGTTGTTCTGACATTCAGGGCTCCATCCTCTTTGGCTTTCTCTTCATTTCCCCCTTTTCTCTCCGTTCCTTCAGTTGCTGGCGAAATCCGCATTGTGCTCATCCGGTCCCACTACAAAGTCTAAATATCCAGCTTCCGATCCACCAATTGCTCCATCTCACCCTTTTCCTTTTCCCAGCAGACCGAGTCTCTCTTCCCACGGTCTCTCAGGGCTCTTAGTAGCAAAAAGCACTTGTCTGTTCTTTCATCTTTGATGAAGCATTAGTATTTGACGAAATGCTATGTTTCAAGTATAGTAGTTCTGCCCGTTCCTGCAGTAATTCTGCTACTAATTTTTAGCGTCCCTACAACCTTTGCCTTAAGTAATGCCCAAGCTGCAGAAACCTTTATCTATCAGTTTGTCTCAGAAATCCGAGAAAACGCCGGGTTTCGCCCACCATTATCATTGTCCCCACTTTGATTACCACACACGCCGGGAGATTCGAGGGATATAACATGCTTCCCCCGTGCTCTGGTCTCTAGAGAATCGATTAAATTTATTTAAGAGGCCCTCCTTGCTCGTTCTTCTGTAGGAATTTCCGTTTCGTGGCGGAGTCCTACCCATCTCTTGCTTTTGTTTACTTCTACATCCCTTGTGCTGGACTTGGTCTTACCAAGCCATTGGACTGACTCATACCTTCTTTGCTGAAGACATTTTCTAGGACTTGTCTTCTTATACTCACAACTCACGATTCACTGAAATGCATGCATGTATAGATGGATGGTTGTCTGGCAGCACATGTGACCAGGGCACATGATGTCTCTCCTCTACCACATCCTATCTTGTTCCCTCCACACTTCTTCGTTTCCCACCCAGACGCAAGATTGGTCTTGATATGGCACTCAAAATCCTGGCCTACATTCGGTGGCATTTACACTTTACGGCAATGAAGGAACATCCACTGTATGCAAAGACGTCAATGACGTCTCCATGATCTGCACTACGCCCGCTAGTCACAGCTTCAGTCAGCCAATGAAGTGATCTAGGTATGAACTACACTCTCCTGAAAAAGGCACAGTATCTCGTGACCATAATGTCATATTATTTGACCATAATGTTATTGGTGATTATTATTGACAGACTAGCAGTTAGGAAACTAAACACAAAAAAGGGGGGGACCAAAGCAAGCATGTACACCTGCTTCCTCCCCCGACGTTTTATACTGGCGTACCCACAATCCAAAGAGGCTTTGCAGATGTGCCAATGGCTTCGTCCACCGCGCCAGGGAAGTACCTTTGCAGCGACTGACCAGCCACAGACTGACCTCCATTCCTCGAGTTGCTCACCTCACACCAACACCCCAGTCCACTCCAACCCAACTCGAGGGAACCCCTTCGACTGCAGAAAAGATCGTACAAGAATGGGTATCAAACATTACAACCCTCACCCTCACTCTCTTTCCTCCCGTGTCTACTCTCGGGGAGATATATTTACGCCTGCTGGCGCTCGGTCTTGCGGGCACGGCCAGTGGCCGACCAGGGGAAGTGGGCGACCGGAACAACGAAGAAGCTGTTGCTGTCGTCGGCCATACCAGCGAAGGCGTTGTACCACGCGGCGAACGCAGCCAAGAGACCAAAGAGCCCACCGGCCTTCGCGAGTTTGGGGTTGGGGGCCGAAGAGGTGGGGCCGCCCTCGTGGTAGAGGTAGCCGAGGGCGAGCAGCAGGAAGGTCATGTCCAGGAAAAAGAACAGCAGGAAGAAGGCCACCGTTGAGCGGAGCGTGCAGAGGACCAAGATGGTGGTGAAGATGAACCAGCCCTGAGAGTGAGTATTGATCAGCGGGTGATGTCTTTTTCTAGGGATTATCCATGAGCGAAACCCACCATCAGGAACAAGCCCATTGCATTATTGAACGCCGGGGTGGCAGCACCGTTGGCGCCGGCCACACCTTCGGGCGCGAAGGCCCCGGCAATGTCGAACCCGCCGGGCGTGAGAGTGATACCGAAGGCAATCCAGAATCCACCATACGAGGACAGGGCGGTGGCACCGAAGGTGTTTCCGACAGCCATTTCCCTACGAAGGGGGTCGATGTTAGCTGGAGGTCCTTCAAAGATTCAAATGGCGGACAGAGGTGACATACCACATGCCGGCAAGCAATTGCACCAGACCACCATATCCAAACGCCAGACCGACGACGATGTTGGGGACGGTCAAGCCACGGGTGCTCATGTTGACGAGACTCAGCACGAAGGTGGTCAAGGCGAAAGCGGACAGACCCAGAGGAGCTGGGTTGGCGAACTTGCGAGTCTCGACGGGCTTGTACAGACCGGGCTGGAACTCACCACCAAAGGCTGGGAGACGGGACTCGGCAGTGTTGACGTGAGCCAGAGGACCGTAGCCGAAGCGGGCAGCTTGCTGAGCAACGTGGTGCTCCTCCGCCGACATGGTGGGGTTCACAGTGGACGTGCCACCGTTGGTCACAGGCGCGGCGGCATCAGCCTCGATGTCCTTCTCCAGGGCGACGTTGTTTGTTTCGGTTGCAGACATGGTTGTTGCTTCCGAGGAAAACTGAAAATTAAGGGTTAAAAGGGTTTTCTATCAAAGATAAATGACCAGCTCGCTGGACCAACAACCGCGACCGGTCTTATAACACAGTTATAATAGGGGGCACGGGAAAATGTAACACAAAAAAAGGACGATCCAATCAATGGGAGAGCCAAACAGCACTGCTGGGCTAGTTGATGGGGTGCAGAGAACACGCAATCACAACGACGAAAAAGATGAAGGGGAAAGAAAACATGAGGTAGGAGAAAGGAGCCGGGATTATTATAGGAACGCGGAAGGAACGCTGTCAGAACGCCCTGGGCCATCCGTGGGGTGCGGCCGAGACGGGAAAGGGGCCAAGCTGCCGCGCCGGAGACGCTAGGCGAGGCTAGGGACGAACGTTGCAACACGAAGTGGACATGCGGAGTGGAGATGAAAACAAAAAAATTCACTTACTTCGGAATGATTTTTTTAGGGTTTTTTTCGTGCTCGACAAGACCTCTCGGGGTTCACTAGGCCGCAATGATGTGCGGTCACCGCTCCACCAATAACGAAAAGGTATTGAATTGGGGTGTTAGGCCAAATAGTCACTAGCTTGGCCAAATAGAGAAGTGGATCCGGATTTGGGCTGATCAACAATAGAAGCAAGACTTATTGATGGTCAGGACAAGCCGCGAAGTGCCACAACTCCAAGGGGGGATCGGGCTGGTAAATATACCTACGGGTCTGCCACCAGTCGGGGAGGGGAATCTAGAATGAATGCATGCCGAGTCAGCCATTCGCGGTGACGGAGTGGGACAGCGGGGGGGTCAGAGTAACACGGCGTCCCAGGCGAGCGCACTAACTTGGGCACGGAGGGATGGATGAAGGGAACTACGCAGATGTGGAGATCGCTGGACCAGTCAATGGATCCGGGGATGGCAGAAAGGGCAACCAGCGAGTGGCCGGCCGGACGGGATGAATGTCATGGAGGTCCCGAGTACGCCGAAGTAACAGAGTTCAGCACTTGTTCATCACCGCTAGGATGATCGTTCCCTCTGTACCGGTTATTAGTCCTGACAGTCATGATCGACTTTGCCGATGACGGCAGGCTGGGTTTTTTTCCCTTCTCGTGACAAGCCCATCCCGTATCACGTCTGTTTACCACGGTAATTTCCACTACGACTGCTTCCAGAACGGGGTTTTCCTTCGTCGCCGCCTTGTCACTTACTGCTAGCTGATGATGGAGTTGAGCGACTATTCAGGCCCATCAATCACCAGGGCGATCCCTCGGCTCTTTTTTTCTTCTTCGCTAAACATCCTAGCTACCGGGTCTTGGGGGCCAGATCGCTCAACTGGGAAGCAGGGATTATTCGGTGGGGAGGGAGGCTTGTTGATCCTTATGAACTATTAGGTATTGGATACCTCTATCCACCGCCATGGCACTATGGAAATCCGCGTACCTGGTACAGCGGGTGGCTTCGTCCCGACCTCCGTTCTTCCCTTTTTTTTTCTCGGGCGTACCAATTATTTCTGCAGCGTTATTACGCTGGTAACAATTCAACCACCAACAGATCGACAGCCGTATCGTACCCTTCTTGCTTGGCTCTTATTGTACCTTGGCGGGGGAAATAACGCACCAATAAAGTCATCAACCACAGGAAATTTTTTCTCTCCAGTTATGGTGTTGTTTCACCCATCTTCCTCAGTTCTCGCAGAACCCCCTTTTACGGGTCTTTACAGCAACCTACTGTGTAATACCTCGACGGGCGGCCGCGTGGAGAATGCGTGGAGTATCGCAACGTCCCCGACCCATCTTGCCGACCAGTTTATCCTCATTAAACTCACACACAGGCTATATGTATTTCCTTCCGTGCGTGTGCAGAGAAGGCAAGTCAAGACCGCGCCGTTTCAGACGGTCCCACTGTGCTCCGTCAGTCCGAAATTTGATTTCTTGGGGATTCTCGATATGTAAGCACAATAGACTTTCTGATGGAGCAACAAGCAAAACAAGCCAAGGTCGCACAGAGAGCTCTGGACAGCAAACTCGCGCTAACTAGAACCACTAACGCCGCCGCCTTTCCGGAAAGGGCCATCAGTCCGTCCACAGCTTCGTGACTGGCGGGGCCGGGTGGAACTCGGATCGTCTCGATCGGCGTGGCATGTGTTAGTTCGTTCGTATGTATGTGTCGAGGCAAGCCCCCTTTCGGATTTCTAATTCTGGGCCCCGAAAGGCAGGGAACGGCGGGCACATGGCGAAATTGCCTGGGTTTTTGTTTGAGCTAGCTTTTTGCACGGGCTTTGCTATGTAGGCTGATGATCCACCGCGGCAGGGGAGTAAAATAATCTGGATGGACCTCCTAACTTGACCACGCTGCTACGACCGAGTTGTTATGGCTAGACGGGTAAATGACTGGGTTAGTTTCCACAGTAGTTAGCACCGGGCACTATCCAAGCCATGCATTTCCCGCATGGGATATCCTTGGGGTACTTGGCAATAATAATAGCAACACGGGAAGTCAGCGTCGCCTATGTACAGCGGGTTGGAGCCGGGGAGAAGGAAAGAATAGAGCATGCTGATTGACGGGCTTTCCCTCCCCCCGGTCCAACCCTGCATCCGTGGCGCAGGGACTGTAAGCAATGATTAGACTAAGTTCGCTTCGGCTGAAAAAGATGGCCAAAAATGTAATTATTGCCTGCGCCCAGATCAATAATCAATGCCATTAGTTATTATTGGCCAAGCTTTGGCGGTTTCATGTTCCTGAATCATAGTCTGAGACATACTGGCGACGGAAAGGGGTTTCACAAAACGATGCTGGCAGCAACAGTTTAGGCAGCTCGGGCCGTCGTTCTTTCGACGAAGAACAACCTGTCTAGATCGGATGCCATCATTCCTCATTCCTTCGCGGTTAGTACAATCTGGACGCCACTAATTCCTAAGATCTATCGTCACGTAGTTAGTACAATACATACAGACGCAAAGAAGATCCTGCTGCCAAAAATACGAGCCATAGCACCCATGCATTTGTTTGGATATGGACATTGCGCTTACAGTAAAAGGAAACCAATAATCATAATGGTAGAAGTTTGTATGTAGTTCACCGCGAATCCTGTAGGGCGAGCAGGATTCCCCGTGCAGCTCAGCCTAGATCCTTTCAGATATGACCCCACATCGCTGATCATGATGTATTGGAAAAGACTATGCGATGTAGTCAGAAGTGCGCGCCAGTAATCACTGACTGTATCCGTCGCGAGAACATCCCTTGCCCCGACAGAGCTTGTGCATACGCTGCTCTTGCTGGTTGGCACGAGACAAACTGGAAATGCGGGGAAATAACAACTAACACTTTAGCTCTGTTGCGGATATGTTAGTCCATCAAGTAGTTAGTACGTACTAGTTGGCGCTCGCTCATAGCGTCATAAATAGAGACCAATGGCTACAGTCGTAGGATTTGCAGATCTGCAGCGGAAAGGTGGACATGGCAAACATCGTTTTTGGAACAAAATGTTCCATAGTCTAGTCCCCGCAGTTCATTCTTCTCATCTGACCAGTATTGCCGATCATCCGATTTGCCATCCAAGCTGTCTGTAAACAGGTTTAGTTCGACTGCAGATGAGGGGTGCGGGCGCGCGGCCATTATCTCCAACTCTGTTGCGCCTAGCGAACCAGATGCGAGATCCCCTTGTCCACGATTTGATGGCATGCGGAGTGAGGGGAGGGAGTCGTGAGCCATGTTTTGGAGACGTACAGGAACCAGGCAGACAGACGATCCTGCTACTGAAAAGACCAAACCAAATTATTGGATTTGAAGAAACTCAAACCATGGAAACCTTGAACTTAACGGGGGTCCACTTCTTCTTTTCAGTTACCAAAATCTGCATTCCCGGGCTGTGGATCGGATGCACCGGACAAACCCCGACATGATGGCCCGGCATAACTCACCGCGATGAAATCACAATTAGTTGCGGGGTACATACATACAGTGGTTACAGTATGCAGATCGGTGGGGAAGCGGATGACTCGGTAAAGCAAGCATCGTGATCGGATCGTCTCCGCACAGTAGTGCGTGATGATCATAGGCCAGAATGTGACGAAGGATTGGATCCTGGGCAATACGATGATGCAATATGCGATGCGGTGAGGAGAAGTTGGGGTTGACTTGGATGACTGGGAGAACTGAGCTTTTCTTTGTATCGGCATTCAGGTCTATGGCCGGGTTGCTAGGTAGCAGCTAGCTACTAGCATGTTCTCTGTCTGGACACGACCTCAGGGAGCTCCGATGAAGCTCGTAGTATGAACACATCCCTTTCAGTCGACACCACACCTTTTTATAATTGTTTATCGGGTTCTTGTCATTATTTACATCATATAGAAGCCGACTTGTGTTCTCCAATGTCTTCTAACGAACAATACGCACATACTAACCACCATCTGCACCTGCCGAGAGCTTCCAAGCCTTCCCGGCCAAAATCACGGTTTATACTGCAGAAAGAAGTCAGCAACTACTTCTCAATTCTGGTCAATGTTCACCTACCCTGAATTCCGGATTCTCTCGATCAGTCATATCCAAAAACTCCGAATCCTCCTGATGAGCCTGTCCCTCATATATCCGATCCCTCCGGCGATTCTCCCAAGCATAGTAGCACTTCAGCAAGATCGAGAAGATAATCGCCACGGCCGTGGTGACGACCAGCGCAATCTTCGCAGGGATGTAATCAGGTGCATCCTTGGTGCGGAAGGTGAGCGGACCGAGAATATTGCCCAGACAGAACGACATGAGCATCACGGCGTTCATGGTCACTTTCTTCGTGTGGCCGGCGATATTGGCGCTGGCAAGGGAGTAGATCATCGGCAACGCGGAGCCCGTTACCTGCGTCAGGTAATTGCCTGCTAGCTGGGCCGCTTTCATGCTCTTAGGTGGGAAGGCGAGCAAGCAGCCGCCGAGTAAACCGCAAAGATAGCACGCCGCGATGGAGAGACAACGCTGATCATACCGCGAGGCGTACCATGATGCCGCTACAATGGTAATAATGCTGATTACGCCATTGGGAACGTTGAGTAGTTCAGTTTGCTTGGTAGTGAACCCGAAATTCTGAATGATCAGGGAAGTGAAGCTGCTCATTGCGGCATTGGGCACGTTCGAGGCGGCCACGATGACGGCGATGAAATAGGTCTGCGGGTCTTGGAAGACCTCGAGGCATTGCTTTAGCTTGAAGTTCTTGTTCTCAATACCAGTGCGGTTTTCACGCAGTCGTTCGATTGCCATCACCTTCTCGGCGTGGGTCAGTCGCGAAGTCATCGGGTTGTCGGGCATGAAGATGACGATGCAGATTCCCAGGGCAATGGTGATCAGTCCAAAGATCAGGAACATGATCTGCCATGAGTGGAATTGGTTGCTTGTGTAGAATAGGAGACCGTATGCTACCAGAGCGCCCATGATCGACGCCGTTCCAGTGCCCACATACCATATTCCCATGCGGGTCGGTTGTTCTGAATCAAGTTAGTATATCCCAAACGAAACGAAGGACAGGCACGGCGTACCATTCCGCTTATACCACATAGAGGTGATTAGGATCAATCTGGGTTGGGTGTGAGAAGACATTAGGGAAGTAAATGGCAGGCAAAACACTCACGCAGGTGCAATCACACTTTCAAAACATCCCAGTAAAACTCGAAGCGTCATCAGCCCTGCAAAGTTGTGTACGGTGCAGTTTAGTGTGATCATTAGACCCCATAGCATAACTAGATCAGTGTCAATAATAAGCAGTATCTCCAAGATCAACCAACGCCACCATACCATTGCCACCCAAATACTTCGCCGTTGGCAGCCGCTGCATCAAAAAGCCCGTCGGAAGCTCAAAAACCAGATATGTGACGTAGAAAGCGAGAGTCAGATCGGAGAACTCGTTGGTTTTCATGTTTGTATCGGTGAGCAAGCCCATAACGGAGGCATAATTGACTGTTTATCTCATGTCAGAATTGATAACGAGACACACAGTGTGGAAATCACCTACTGAGCACTTTATCGAGGTACTGCAGGTTATACGCCGCCCACATCAGCGGCATAATCATCCAGTCGATCTTGCGGACCAGTTTCTTCTCATCGACTTCAGATAAGAGTGCCGTATCTTCTGTCTGTAGAAACTCCAGCGCCGCATCTGCCTTTCCGGCTGGCATACCCCCGGTTTTGGATTCAATATCGACGGCATTGCCGGTCGCAACAGGTTGAGGTGAATCACCCGCCATTTTCCAAGGGTTCACTCTGCCAATTAATCTGACCGGGCGATCAAAAGAAAATGGAAGCCAGGGAGCGACAGCGACAACCTTCGTCCTGGTGCATCACCCCGCCTCCTTATAATAAAATGATTTTAGACATAGCAATAATAATAATTTCCCCCTCAGCGAAGGAGCCGCTACCAAATTCCATTGATAACAAACTCCCCGCAAAAAAAAGCCGAGCGGAGCTTTATCCGGGGGCCAGCCACTCGTAGCGAGCGGAGGCGCGGCTTGTTCCGCTCATATCGCATGCGAAAACTCCGTGATTGGTTAGCGGCCGACTTCGCCATGTCCCGATCTGAATGGGAGTGCAGCGCTTGTGTGATTCTGAGGAGATAGACGATCAACAGAGACTGACAGGCTCGGCTATCGGTGCGGTTAGACCGTAACAGGAAGGTGAATTTGGCTTGGCTGTAGGTAGCTATCAACCCCGCACAGTATCTAAGGGAGAGATTGGTTGAATGCTGTGTAGAGGCATGTGGTCTCGATGACTAGGAGCTAGTGATTGAAGTGGATGGGGATGGTGCTCGGGAAGGTATGCTGGGCAGACTTAAAAAACCTACGAACTGTATTTAGGGCTCATTACTCAATTCTAGTCGAATCTACACCATCACCCTACCACCGCTACATTTATTTGAAAGACAAGCCACTCGCCAACCAAGGATCAAGTATGGTATGAGTGTTATTAACCCAGTACAATCAATCGGGCCTACGCGCCAATCTCGTTGATGATTAACATACTCTATTTCTATAACATCTATACAAAACGCCTCTAAGCTATAAAGACAACATCGCACCATTATGCACTGAATGCCACCCGCTCAAGCCGCCGCCGCTGTAGCAGCCCTCGCAGCCTCAAACTCCTTACTAAACTCATAATCAACATAGCCCTTCGGATCCTTGGGGATATAAAAGAACTCGCGCTGATACGGCACAAGGGGAACGCCGTGCTTAACCCGGAACGGCAAGTCCGGATTAGCGATCCACGGCCTCCCAATCCCAATAAGCACGTCGTAGTCCTTATACTTAATATCAACAGCCTCACGTGCCGAGTCCGACTGGTACCCGCCTGCAATAACGACGGGACTAGCACCGGCGTAGGCACGCAAGAAGAAATCCAGGCTCTCTTTCTGGGTCTCGGCGGTACCTTCGACCTCCGTGTTTCCACAGATGCGCGGCTCAACAAGATGGACGAACGCAAGCTTCAGCTCTGCCATCTTCTGCGCAAGATAGGAGAATTGACCCTCCGGTTCCGCCATGCGCATCCCCTGGAACGTGCTCCAGGGACTGAATCGGATGGCCGTGCGGTCTGCGCCGATGGCATCGCTCACGGCGCGGGTGACCTCGATCGCGAAGCGAGATCGGTTCTCGATGCTGCCGCCCCAGTTATCGGTGCGGGTATTGGTCATGTCCTGACTGAACTGGTCAATCAAGTACCCATTCGCGCCGTGGATCTCGACACCGTCGAATCCCGCGGCGACAGCATTCCGCGCCGCCTGCGCGTAGAGTTCGATATATTCGCGGATCTCGGACTCGCTCAGCGCGTGCGCAGGGGAACTCTCCGCACTCAACTTGGTCGCACTGGCAGAAACAACCTCAAATTGGGAATTCTCAGCCTTCAAAACGTCCGAATTCGCGGCGCGGCCTAGCGCCCACAGCTGGAGGTAGATATACGAGCCCTGCGCGTGCACTGCGTCGGTGATCTCTTTCCATGCTGCGATCTGCGCGGAGCTCCAGATGCCGGGGACGTTTGGGATCCCGCCTGCTTGTGGGGCGATGAATGTGCCCTCGGTGATGAGTAATGTTCCTGGCTCGGAGGCGCGTTGGGCGTAGTAGTCTTTCATTATTGGGAGGGGCGTGTGTGTGTCATCGGCGCGGAGGCGGGTCATTGGTGGCATGGCGAGGCGGTTGGTGAGTTGCATGCGGCCCACGGGGAGGGGGGTGAAAAGTTTTGTCATTGTGATGGTGGCGGTGATGTCGCGGATTGTGATGGTTTGACTTGAGAGAGAGAGAGTTGCTAGAGACCAATTGACAATTGACAAGTTGAGGATGATCAGGAAGAAGAGAAGAAAAGCTCAATTGGCGAGACAGGGGTTCTTCAAGAGTGATGCGCCTACCATGCAGGTACGTTTTATACATCATCCCTAAATTTAACAAGCTTTTCTGGAAACCCTTGGAACTCCACCTGATTTGTAACTCAGTCGGCCGTCGGGCGAATTAGTCAGATGCGTCGGATACTTTATTTTTGGTTACCCAGGTACCATATTTCCTCTGCCGGGTGGGACTTTTTTATCTTAGCTGCCGCCACTTTTATGAGGACTGCTCAGAGATTGTTCAAAGGCCAGCGCTGGTTTCCTATATGATTACGTCATCCCCGGTAGATGCGAGATCAATTGTAGAAAAACGTATTGAAAAAGATACTATGGACGTAATTTTCTTGTCGAGCTTCCGTACTTGAAGCTGGAGAAAATAAACTCGACCAGTAAGTGGTTCCAGAAGACAGGGAAGGAAAGCCTAGTCAGAAAGTCTGTGGATAGTGAAGATGAGCACGTAATGGGATATCGCAACTGAACGGCATTGATCGGGCTCTTCAAGGTGCTTCACAAAAGAACAAACAAGAAGTAAATTCCTCAGAGAAAGAAACGGACAAACAGAGAGAGATAGAAATAAGATTCGGTGAGGGCTAATCCGAGAAAGCATATCAGGCAGCCAGTGAATGGCAAACTGCGTCAACATGTTGTGACAATGGCCGTTTCCAAAGCCGTGCTATCACCTGGGTGAAATCCCACACCTGGCTCTGCATTGACTGATGCTCTTCATAATAGGTCCAGGAATCTTGCTCCGGACTTTGTCGATCTGAGAGGAACTGAGTGCACCGCCGAGGCTGTCTTCGAGTACATCGTCGGGCACGGAGAAAAGAGCATCAAACTGCTGAGTCCGACCAAAATCATCCGTGCCAAACGCGGCGACGAATGCGCGGGTTTCGCAGCTGGGGTTGAGCTCCATATGGGTTGAGCCTTGAGGAAAGATGGTAGCCTGGAGAGTATCGATGGTCAGGTTGATTACCCTTGGAGTAGCACTAGAGTTTGTGGCCGGGGGTTCAAGCGCTAAGAACGAAACCAATGTTCCGTTGAGCGCAATGTTGAATTCGGTACCTCCAACATGTACATGGGGGGTATTAAACCCGCAAGGGCCCAAGATACCGATAGCCATTCCAACACCTTGGCCAACCAAGGCAGGGAAGGTCTCGCTTGTCGCATCAACGAGTTATCCCCCGTTAACAAGTTCGCTGCTGGGACCATTGCCGAAGTCGAAGAGGAAATCCTCATCCTTCAGCAACTCGTATCTGGCATGGCGACTTGGCGCAAGCATGAGTCGTTGTGTAAGGGTGAGGTCGATGGCAGCGGCAATTCCACTGTAGGAAAGAATAGCAATTGAAATTAACTGGCGATACATTGTGGATTGGATGGCGAAGAGGGTGGTATCTGACAAGAATAAATATCAGTTCCTGTCGACTTTAGAATTTGTGAAAGCGATTGTATCAATTAAACTCGGTTCTTTACGACACAACGTTGAATGGATTTTTATAATTTTCAGTACTACTTCTGTAGTACTTACAACGACCATCGCTTACCGGTTCCATTTTGTTGAAGCATTTAAAGGCGTAAATTTTCTTTCGACCATTGGCTAGATGGTTTAGATTTTATGGTTACGCGAGGAATTCCATTACCGGAATGGTAGACGCTACCCTAGGATTCCGTCAATGAAGTCTTGCCTCATATCCTTCATTTCCAAAATTGCTGCTTATAGCATGGCTGGTTTTACTTAAATGAATACTTTGGCTGGATATTTTAGGTAATATTTTGTCTACGTACCACCCTAGATTCCAAAGTCCCCAAAAGGCTAAAAGAGATACCATATATTAATCTTGTAGGCAGTTCATTTTCTGTTTCGTGGGAGTGGAAGAAGGGGATTGAACAGAAATGCCCCATTCTTCTATAATGGCTAGAAAAATTAAGGTAGGGTAGTAACTACTCGTGTCAAGGGTTAACGTTCTGTTGTAACATCTTTGACCCAGACACAGACCAACATGCACCCTAGTTGTAGAGGAGCTATAACAAAGGATACTGTGAGAGAACTCTGGTTAGAGAAGTTCAGGAGAAAAGAAGAAGAAGAAGAAAAAGCAGAAAGCCTGCTTGGAGATGTGCGCCGATGAGCTGTTAACGTGACATGACTATCTCAATCAAGACAACAAGGTTACCACCACTGCTAACATATTGGGCTAGGAAGTTCATACTTGTTTTCAGCAAGAACCGCAGATGCCGTTTGAGAGTTAGGTCCCAGCATTTACACAGCTAAGGTTGACACAAGAGAGAGCAGACCATAGATCAAGAAAAATGACGTTTGATAATTGTGATCAAAGGTAGAATTCAATTAATTATGGCAGAGATTAAGCATAAGTCTTCCTCAAATTGTAGCCTAGAAGCTGAGTTAAAAGAAACCATTCGCAACAGACGAGGAAAGAAGAGGCAGGAGCAACCTGTAAGCCGAAGGCCTTGAAGTTTGCAAGATTGAATCAGCTCAAAGCATCGGTCAACAGAACCCTCGTCTCCATTACACATTTGTGCTCAACTGGAGTTCTCCAATTCATGAACTTGTTGTCGAGCCATTGTAGCCACTCTGGGGCTGAGGCGGCAACAGAATCATCGTGGTCAAGGCCCGGATATAAACTCAAGTGAACGATGTTCCCAATGCTGCATGTATATTCGTACGCCTCCTTTGTAGCAGTAACATTCACAATCTCGTCATCGATTGACTGAATGACGAGAAGTTCCTTGTATCCTTTTCTGCCGGTGGCCGCGCCGTACTTGTTTTGGAATGCGATATAAGCTTCATGATTGTGTGCGAGTATAGCGGGCGTGAAGTCCACAATGCCGTGATTCGGAAGATCTGCATGTAATTCGGCTTGAGCGGTGTCGCAAAGCTGAAGTTCATCCATAAGTGGATAACGGGCCATGGCAGCTGGGGTGAGAACGACCGGCTGTATCGGGAACTTCAAAGCTTGGAATATGTTCACGATCAAGTTGCCAAAGCCCCATCCCACATTAAGCGGTACAGCGGTGAGAAGATCATTCAATCTGGAACTAGGAGCGATGGCAACTCCTCCTAGGTACTCGCCGCTTTCCTGAGTAGCGACACGAGGGTTTTCACTCAGTCCCCAAACAGTTCCAGCTCCTTGGGAATGACCGACAGAGGCCCATTCATCGGTGAAGACTCCTGGGAAGGCCTTCCGAGCAGCAACGACCGAAAAGTAAGTATCCTCGGAGTTGAGGACTGGATTACCATACTTATGAGAAGTATAGTTGTTTCCCAGGCCCGCATAATCTGTAGCGACCACAGCATATCCGGGGCCTGTGAGAAGCTGCCAGGAGTGATAGTCGAATCCGTTGTAAGATGACGATGCAGCGCAGGCAGGGACAACCCCAATAGTTCCATGGGCATATGCGACCAGACGGGTTTTGTGCTTTGGAACCTCTGTGTAGGGAAGTGCAATAAAGGCAGTCGCCGGTACCTTCTCTCCACCAACTCCGACAGATGTGTATTGCATATACCACAACGACGTCCCAGGGGGTATATCGTATGCAGATGCATTCTGCTGCTCAAGCTTCAACAGGTCCCCAGGCCGAGAGCCCGTGAAGTTGGCAGCAGTTTTGTAAAACTCATAGTCGAAGGGAATATTGCCAAAGACCTGACGGTCTAATTCCTCGAATTTTCGCAGGTTCTGCTGACAGTCCTGGTCGCAGTTATGCTTCTCGGCTTGGGCTACAGTGAAGTCGAGATCGTTTGGGCGAGCAGGACTTTGAGCTTGCACGCACGAAACGAGTAGCATCAGGGCCACAGGAAGGCGATAGACGGTCCTCATATTGACAAAAAGCTTAAGATTATGAGAAAAATTTGATGGTTGCAAACTCGCCGTCATTCAACCGGAGAAAAGCAGGAAGTATAAAATAACAAAGAAATAGAATGGTAGGGGCGCCGTGAGTTTTTTAACAGTTAGAGAATCATCGTATAAGGGATTTACGTATAATGGTACCCGCTAATTTGAGAATTTATGCTCCTACCCTACGCACCAGAAGAATGAGGTATTTTTGACAATGTACTCTTTCGTAGAAAGCAGTGATAGATTCTGGTTCTTGTGCCGACATAGTCAATAACACAGGCTATGCTAACTTCATTGTGGCTGATCCAGGGTTTTGGAATCCAGGGTATATATGTAGATGAATGTAAAATTATCCAGCCAAAGAATTTTATGCGCAAACTTAGCCTTCCTATTCAGGACAATTAGGGCCTACACCTACACCCAAAATCTTTACCGTAAGATTCCACCTATGAAAGCCTATGGTAGCATCTACCATTCCCATAATGGCATTCGGGCCTTGTGTAGCCATGAAAGTTAAACCAACCAGTGTAATGGCTAGGCCTGGATAGACGCGGGGTGTCATGACCCCCTTCAATGCAAGGACGACGGAACTGCGTATATCCCGTGACCTCGGCGAGCATAGCACATAGGATGAGAAGCATCACAGGTCGGATATAGAGACGACCAGCAATTAGTCTGATATTCAAACCCGGGTTATAACACCATACTATAGAACTAGACGGGTACAAGCCGATATGTATACGAGGGTAAGACTAGTTAGTCTACTTGCATGTGGCACCGAATCTTTCGGCTATATTCATTAGATTCATTATCTACCTTTGGAATACAGCGAAGGGGAAGAATCCAATTAGACACTGATCCACCGCGCCATCCACTGATTGGTGACTTGCTTAGCTTCATCGACCAATCCCATGTCCAGCAACAGCTGCGTGGTGCCGCGGACCGCGCTCTCCAAGGCGCTGAAGATCCAGGCGTGGGTGTAGCTGGTGTGCTCTCCAACAAACACAGTATTCATCTCGGTCTGGAAGAAAGCAGGAATATACAGTTCCTGCTGGCCAGCATCGGGAGCGGCCCAGGAAGCACCCTGGTCAGGCATGGTCGCCCAGCAGACACGGTCATAGATGCCAGTGTATTGCTCCTTGGCGACCTCGCCGTGGACATCGATCATTGCACGCTGGACGAAAGCAATGTGGTCGCTTTCACTGAAGGCCGTGGTAGCTAGGGCCCCAGCACCCTCTTCATATGAGGCTAAGAGGACACCGGGCCCGGTGCCATTGATGTTGTATGAAGGGTAGCAGATGCTGCCGATACCGGTGATGTTGACGGATCCGCAGCCTCCAATAATGGGATACTCCATATGTTCCCAGAAACGTGTCTTATATAGCAGAGCCACCTTGCACGCAGATTCATATCCGTAGGTTTGGATCGCATTGTTGAGAACCAGGGAGTATGGGGGATACTGCCAGAGCCTGACTCGAGTGAAAGGAACGGCAGTAACGACGTAGTCGAATTCCTTGGTCTTGCTCTCAGCCCAGGAATCGTTGCGGGGCCGGTAGTACACCGTCATCTTCTCCTTGTCTTCATCCCAGTCCATGCGGTTGACCACGCTGTAGAAGAGAGTCCGGTCCTCGACCAGGGGGGTGATGGCCATTGGCAAGCTGCTCAAACCCTTATCGATCGTCTTCCACTGCGTGGCAGAGAAGTAGGTATTATCGTAGAGCCAGCTATCATAGCTATCGGCCAAGGAGTCCACTTCATCGGTGATGTTGACGTTGGCCCCAAGGTAATATCTCAGGTAGTTGGACTCCGACCAGCCCAAGTAACCCGCATCCACAGCCTTCTTATGCGCCTTGAACACATTAGTAGCCATCTCGGTGAGGTTCTTCTTGCTCAGAGACAACCATTCTTCGACCTTGGCGGCATAAGGTGCAGCAGCCTTGGTCATCGGCTCTGGGGTGGATTCGAGGCTCTTGTTGGCTTGCACTTCGGCATTTCCAGGAACAGTGCCATCTGGTCGGCGCTTATCTGTACTGACCGGGTCGTTGGCAGCGCTTTGGATCCATTCGATGAAGTTCACTTCCAGATCTGGCTTATGGTGGTTAAGTTTGTTCACGTAGTCCGCCAGCTGGAAGACCATCTTGTGGTCTTGGATTTCGATAACCTCATCCGTTCCCGCGTAAGTGATATTGACAGGAAAGCGCATCGGCCCCATTTCCTGATACTGGTACTGGTCCGGGCGGGTGTTATTAAGATAGCTAGTGTGGATTCGTCCGCCGACGCGGCCGGATGATTCGATGATCTTCCAGTTCTTGATTCCGACCGAGTCCAGAAGCAGCTGATGAACAGTCAGTAAGATGCTTTCTAAACGGGCTTGGCATTGAAAAAAGACGTTTACATACCGATGTCATCAATCCAGACATACCACCTCCCAAGATACCGATCTCCTTCTCTTTGGCCTTCGCCACGAATTTCTTGCTGGGCTCCTTCGCTTTCAGGTAAGCGACACCATCGAACCAGGGCCCCTCGACATCCGAAATGTCTGCCAGGTCGATGGAGATGTCATGCGCACGCTTGGCCTTCTTGGAGACCACATTAATTGGGGAAGAAGAGCCAATCCATTCATTGTCCGAGTACGCATGGAGACAGCCCTCACCCTGAATGTCATTGGGAGTGATCCAAACAAACCGACTGGGCCGTTGATCCTCCCAGTCCAGGTGTCGACGTGCCAGATGGTGGTTTCCAATGTAGGTCGAGCCGACCTCGTGGTAAGCCAGAGAAGGATGAGACGAAGACATATCACAGCTTCCATAATGAATGGCGAAATGGCCATCCACGGGGGAATGGTAGTCCACGTAAATATTGCTCAGTCCATCTATCTCAACAGTCCCGGGGATAGAAAGAGATATCTTTGCGCTGGGAAGGGCAATGGCTTGGGAAGATGAAGCCAGAGCAATGGCTCCAAGGAGGGCCACTGAAGGACGGACAGCCATTGTGATGACGATTGAGATATTCACAAAGGCTCGAAGCTGGTATGAGCAGTGGAAACGAAGCTTCACCCAGGATATTTATATTTCCAGACGCTCGTCTAGTTTGATACCGGAACCTGTATTGATAGGTCTGCAGGTACAAGTCAACACATCCTTATCAGTAGAAATCAATATAACCGAACCCTAGCGTACAATCGTGCCGTGCCTCTCCTAAGCGACCCCAGGTGGATATCCAAAGGTACAGAATGTTTCTAGTCGGCTCATACCGACATATCTGACGCACATCGGACTAGATCCAGGAAGAAATGGCGAAATAGAACAGGCTAAAGGGTCCATCTCGAGATAGGATAGCCTGGGGATCGCGGATTACCCGACTCCCTTTGCCTGGAAAACAACGCACCGGCAGAACACAATTGAAAGCATCAGCCTAGATACTGGGGCAACAGTCCATTTGGCTCCAGTTAAGCATGCAGACAATCAATCGCATGAGACATGAACTTTTCATCCAACCAAACAATGAAGTCTCTTCTGGCAATCTCTCGGGGCTAAGCTTCTGCCGAAGCTAGTTGAATGCCAAGGACAGCGACATCGGCAATAGCTATCCGCAGAGCACTGCGCAGCGGACCTGCTGACTCCATTTGGTAAATCTCTAGAATTCCAAGAGATTGTGAAATGCCGATTGGCCCTGGGTGACAAAACGTGGTGTTCCTTCCCCGCATACGACATCGACGGGTGTGTCGTCGATATCTTATCAGCCACCCTATCGTCGACATCTTATCCGGCATCAGATTGTCGATATCTTATCAGTCACCCTATCTACCCGAGTCCGGGGCTAACTGAGGTACACCTGCCACTTCAGGTTAAGGCACGCTTGGCAGACGGGAATAGGGGCGCACGTAGATAACACAGGCAAGTATGGGAGCGGTTCTGCAGTCTTCTCACGGGCACGTTGTACGTGAACCTCTGATGTCAGCCGTGAGATACGTCTTAACTCCGAAGGACATTATCCCGTCTGTGTAACTAGGAAGAAGTGCATCTTCGGCCGAGCTTGAGGTATATCCATTCGACAAGAAAAAGTACTACGCACATCTGGGTCGCTATGGTATCATGAACAGAAACCCCTGGAAATAAACACTCCACTCCATCATTGACTCCATACAATCACATGTCCTCCTCAGCTCTCCAACCGGCGCGCCGTCGCTTCAAGCTGCGCATTGAACGCCCGCATCTGGGTCAATAGTCCGCCCTGCGCCCCGGGAGCCAGACAGCTAACATCGTCTGCGACGGCGCGGAGCATGAATTCCACGTCGGCGGGCGAGGGGGAGAGGTTCGTAGATGTTGTTGTAGCGCGCTGCTGGGTCCGGTCGAGAGCCAGCTCGAGAGTATGCAGCGAGTTGTTGATCGCCGTGCGGGTCTTGTATCAGATAGTCAGTCAGAAGTATGCTCCAAGAAAGGAGCGGATAAAAGAAACATACCGATTTCGCATTCTCCTCTTCCATGTGCTTCGCGCGCACGGCGTCCATCTGCAGCGCGACTGCCTCGCGCTCCTTGCGGACACGGTACAGATGGCTGCGCAAGTCCAACATCTCGCGCTTGGACTTTTTGAGCTGGACGCCGAGCATGAAGTTGCTGTCGAGCATCTCGCTCAGGTCCAGAAGCCGGCCGTCAAGCTCTGAGCCGAAGGCTTCGACGGCTTTGCGTTTGCGGGTCCACTCAGCGCGGCGGGTGGCGTTTGTCTCGTTTGCGATCCCCGTCTTCAGCGTCGCGAGCGTCTTCTCCAGCGTCTCGCGACAGATCTGGCTGAGCACGTCGGCGGGGTTGACGCCGCCACGGTTGGGCAGTTTGGTCTTTTGGAGGGTGGAGAGCTCGTCGGCGGATTCTTCCTCTTCGTCGACGGGCGAGTCTGTTCCTCCCCATGCAGATGCATTAGCTAGCCGGTGGACTGTGATGGGAACGGTTTCCCCGCGGGGTGACCGGGCTGGGCGCCGTGGTGCCTCGGAGCGGTCGTCTTCTACTCGTTCTTCTTCCGGCTCGGGCTCTGGTGCGCGGTTGGCTTTCTTGCCAGATGGTCTGCCGCGTTTGGGCGCGGAGGATTCCGCGTGGGTCTCGGGCTCCGGCGAGGGAACGGGCTCCTCGACAGCCTTTTTCGATGTTGACTTTCGACCCCGGCCCTTAGGTGCGGATGATTCGGCTGGAGTTGGGGTTGGCTTAGTAGGAGCTTCTGGTCGAGATAGAGACTCGCGGGCCTTGCCCGAAGTTGATGGTCGGCCACGACCACGTTTGGGTTTGGATGTCTCCTGCTCGCGTGCCACGTCCTCCGCGGTTTGTGTGGAATCGTCACCGTCGACTGTGCGCGGCGGACGACCCCTCGGCTTCTTTCCTTCCGTCACGGTTGCTGCACCAGCTTTAGGGTCGCGAGTCGTCCTGTTCGTCTCGGCATTTGCCTCAGTTGCGGCCTGGGGTCGTGGCTCTGAATCACTGCGCCTTCGCGAGGGTCCTGCCTTCGATTGCGAATTTGGGGTTTGTCGAGTGCGCTTTGGCGATGAGGTTGTATCCTGTAGAGCCTTGGCTTGGGGTCCAGTATTGGGTGATTGACTCTTGCGCGGCCTGCCGCGTGTTTGCTTCGTCTTTGTCGGTGACTGAACACTTGGTTGGGTTTCTTGGAGAGGGGTTGAGGCTGAATCCGCGCCATTGGTTTGAGAAGAGGGTGGTTGATGCTTCGTCGGGGCTGTTTGGGGCGGATTCGTCGCTACAGCTTCTGGGGCGTGGCTCGGGCTAGCTCTTGTGTTGGATTTGCGGGACTCCTGAGTTGATGAAGTACCAGTTTTCGATCGTGCAGGGCTCTGTCGCGTCGTTGTGTCTGTACTCGGAGGGTCTTTAAGCGGGTCAATACACGATCACAACATTCATGCTCAGCCATGCAACATACTAATCCGTCTCCGTTTCACACTCCGCGTCTGTTCCGGCAGGTCGTCCACAGGTAGATCGTACGTCGAGGGTCTCTCTGGAAGATGATTACGCGCGCTGCCTGGCGTGCGCCGAGTGGCTCGTTGGGATTCTGCGGGCGGCGTCGCTTGCGGTGGATGCGCAGGCCCAGGTGCCTCTACAACTGAAGGCTCGTCGATTGCCGGACCTCCAAACGAGAAGCCAAAGTCAACTTCCTTGGCTTTGCGCGTCCTGCTCTCGCTGTCAGCTGTGTTGTGTCGCGGGGTCTTGGATGCGCGTACCCAGCACCGCGCTGCCGCATCAGCTGCCGTTCCTGGCGCGCTGTGTAGTTATAGTGTTAGCTAGAACAATCATTCATCCAGGGCAAATCAAATCAAAACATACTGGAAGCCATGGTGGAGGAACGGCGAGGTGGACGCGTCGTGTGTTGATGGGGGAGTTGATTGTCAAGAGAGATCAGACCGACTGGGTTCTGCTGCGACCGGAGCCGATGATCCATTTTTGTTCTACAACTCCCTCCCCCAAGTGCCACAACGCCATGGGCTGGTTTTGGGACTCGGCCAAAAATGACCCGGTCAAGAAGCTCGATCCGGGTCTGCGCCAATATCTCGAGCAAGAATCCCCCGATAAATATGTGCCTGCTGGCGTGAAGCCGCCCCCCGAGCCATCCGCGCCAGAACCATCACCATCCGCCGACCAAGCCTCCCAACCCACCGCTCCCTCCGCCTCTCTCTATCCGGATGGCCGCTATGCTCATCTATGGAAGACTTACAAGCCACCGGTCGATGTTGACGAGAGTGCCGGGGTCCGCGGGGCCTCGAAGGTGATTGAGAAGTACAAGGAGCGTGGGGACACTGTGCAGCGGGCGGCGATGGAGAACTGCGCGCTGGAGCACGAGGCCCTTACCTACTGCTTCCAGACGGGCAACTGGCGCAAACAGATCGAGGCCCGACTGACCATGTGTGCGGCGGAGAATCAGACCTTTTCCCGCTGTTTCCAGACGCAGAGCGTGAGTGCTACCGCTTCGGCCGACCTTGGGACAAGACTAACGGCCGACAGAAATTCCTCCAGGCCCTGGGCTACGCCTCGTCCTTTACATATGATGCAGACCGGGAAGAGCAAATCCAGATGCATGCCGACAAACTCTACCACCAGATGCTCGACTACGAGAAGCGGGTCGAGGAGTGCAAGGCCGCGGGCATGGAGCCGCCGCCGCTCACATCGCTCTTCCAGCCAGATCAACGGACTGGCGAGGAGGCCATCCCTGCCGGATTCAAGCCATCCAAGCCGCTGGAAAAGCTGACACCGCATGAGCGGGAGCTGGAGATCCGGGCGCACCAGGCGCAGTTGGACCAGCAGAAGATCTACATGCAGGAGGCCAGTCCGTTCATGAAGTCGCAGGAGGAGGCCCGCAATAAGCGGCGGGAGAAGGCCTCGAGCTGGTTTGGGGAGACGATTGGGAAATGGGTGTCGTAATTCGGGTGTATTATATTTTCTTGACTCTGTAGGATAGATATCAGGCGTTGGTGGCTCCAGTCTTTTCTTCAGTAGTTCTAAGTTTTTACTTAGTGGTTCACGATCGCCGGTCGCGTCGCCCAGACACGACTCGACCAACCACCTTGCCTTCTTTCTCTCTCACCCAACCAACTCAACCCTTGGGATTCCCTTCTTCCCTCTTCGGCCCGTCGTGACCTCCCACTCCCCTACGCTACCCGCTTCCATCCTCCTGGACTGGCCCCAAGCAGTCTCACGGACCTCCAACCTTCCGACCCTTTGATCCCTCACATCTGGCTGAAACCTCGCACTCTTCAGTCTCCCTCGTGACCTCACCAGGATTATAATCTCCTGAGATTCTCCAGATCAGCTCATTGAGCTGTGGTGCTCACCATGAGGGCCGCACCGCTGCTCATCTCATGGCACAACGACAATGCCCCGATCTATTCCGTCCATTTCGACCCCAATGGCAAGGGCCGTCTAGCTACGGCTGGAAAGTAAGTGTTCAGATGGACTCGGAAGTCTCGCAGGGCTTTACTGACAACCTCGTTTCTAGTGACAACAATGTTCGAGTATGTCCTCCTTGACACCCCGTCCCGATCGAACATCCATCCCGTCTGACACAGCGCTACAGATTTGGAGAGTCGAGTCGACCGGCGAGGAACGCAAGGTCACCTATCTGAGTACTCTAATAAAGCACACACAAGCGGTCAATGTGGTCCGGTTCAGTCCGAAAGGTAGGAGGTCTTGCCCGCTCCAACAGGACCGGAACTAAAACGAGTGCAGGTGAGATGCTGGCATCGGCCGGAGACGACGGCAATGTCTTGCTCTGGGTGCCCTCAGAACTACAGACGCAAGCGCTGGGCGAGGATCCCTCAGACGATAAAGAGACATGGCGCGTGAAACATATGTGCCGCTCGTCCGGCGCGGAGATCTACGACTTGGCCTGGTCCCCGGATGGGGTGTTCATCATCACGGGGAGCATGGATAATATCGCTCGAATCTATAATGCCCAGACAGGTTGGTTGGTTTCTGTGTGTCGGGAATTGTGGTTGCTGACGTTAACTCCCAGGGCAAATGGTACGGCAGATCGCAGAACACTCTCACTACGTACAAGGCGTGGCCTGGGATCCGCTCAATGAATTTGTTGCAACACAGTCCTCCGACCGCTCCGTGCACATCTACAGCCTGAAAACAAAGGACGGACAGTTCACCTTGACGTCGCACGGGAAGATTCTCAAGATGGACCTGCCGGGCAAACGCATCTCCTCCAGCAGCCCAGCACCCCCAGATATGACAAACAGACCTCCACCAAGCACAACCAGCTCCATTGCCATTGCATCTCCTGCTCCTTCGACTCCGGGAACTCCAATGGCTTCGCATTTGCCGATGGACCCTCCTCCCGTGTCGCACAGCCGGCGTTCATCGTTTGGCTCGTCTCCATCGATCCGACGCTCGGCCTCACCAGCCCCGTCATTGCCGTTGCCTGCGGTGAAACCGCTGGACATTTCGTCTCCGAGCCTTTGGGGTGGGCTCGCGGTCAAGAACGCCAATCTTTACGCAAATGAGACGTTTACGTCCTTCTTCCGGCGATTGACATTCACCCCCGACGGGAGCCTGCTGTTTACGCCGGCTGGCCAGTTCAAGACCCTCCACGCGTCAGCTACAGACCCGGCGAAGACCACGGACGAGATCATCAATACCGTCTATGTCTACACGCGAGCGGGCTTCGGCAAACCGCCCATCGCCCACCTTCCTGGTCACAAGAAACCATCTGTGGCCGTCAAATGCTCGCCGGTGCAGTACACACTGAAGCAGAACGCTCAGCCTGTTAAAAACATTACCCTAGATACGTCGTCTGGGGAGGATATGTTCCCTCCATTACCTGATTCCGTTGTTCCGACAGGTTCAAATCAGCCCCCGAAGGAGCAGCCTCCGTCATCAGCTCCGGCTGCTGGCGAGGCCTCCAAGTCACCGAAACCTGAAAACCAGGGCAGTGACGCCAGCCAAAGCTCTATGACTCCGGTCTTTGCGCTTCCCTACCGTGTAGTATATGCCGTGGCCACGCAAGATGCTGTCCTTGTCTATGATACGCAACAGCAAACTCCGCTTTGTGTTGTGAGCAACCTGCATTTTGCTACCTTTACCGATCTTACCTGGTAAGTCTGGCAGGTCATGTTCTTTTGTATCCTCTGCTAACCTCCGGTAGGTCTAATGACGGTTTGACATTGATCATGAGCTCCTCCGATGGATTCTGCTCTGCTCTCTCCTTCGCGCCCGGGGAACTGGGCCAGCTGTATACGGGGTCGACCTCGACAGCTCACCACCCTGTCAGCTCGGCTCATTCGTCTGCGACCATCACCCCTCTGCCAACACCAACACACGTCCCATCCCCAATCAAAACGAGCCACCATGCGCCATCAACCAGTACCGGGTCCGCAGGGCCTGCTGCACCCAGCACATCCCAAGCTCGACCCGCCAGTCCTACGCGGTCCAACTCGGCCAGCTCAGTGGCAACGCCACAATCTACATTACAAAGTACCACAATGTTCAACAACCCAACCCCAACACTCGGGTCTGTCCCACTGGTGACAGCAACGCACTCGGCCCAGCCCGCCGCACTCCCTCTCACCACGCCACCACAAACCCCCATGTCCGCCGGTCCAACAGGCGGCGCTGCTAACACGACCAGCGCCAGCAGTAGTGTGTTAGGGAAACGCGATATCCGAACTGCCAGCGACGCAGAGAAGGAGGACTGCAAAAATGCGGAGTCGGGTGCCGCACAACAGCCGAAGAAGCGCCGGGTCGCGCCGACGCTTGTCTCGACGGGCACCGAGTCCGAGTCCGCGCCAAAAGATGATAGTCGGAATGCGGACGTTGGGGGGTGAATTGGATTGCCTCGATTGTCTGTCTGTCTCTGTCTCCGTTTGTTCCTCCCTATCATACATGCAGTAAAGCGCAAAGGTACTTTGTAACATGGACGCATATTTTGCATCTTACGATTCATGCTCTCTTTTGTTTCTTTCTGTTACCCGGTCATCCCATCAGCCTCTCTTTCTCGCTGCTCCCAAAGGTCATGGCTCCCCGTGCAAGTTTATGTTCTGTTCTATTCTCAATTCATTCGGGACTGGCTCTGGTTCTGGGACTGTTCGGCGGTGCTTCAACTCATACTTAGTTATGTTATCATAGCTACGGGATTTTTAATCATTCCATTTCATTAAATTCGCTTCAGGGTCATTCTGCTGTTGGAAGTATGAATACGAGTACGAATATCACATGTACAAGGTACGATTGTACTAACTAGTAGCTTCCTTCCTTGTTTTGGTTTCCCTTTTGCTCAACCCTGATATCATTCTCGTTGAAATGCATTCTATTCTCCTAAAGACTTGGCCCTTCACACATATGTCGAATTTGCCTAAATCTCTACAGGCTATTTGCAAGCTGAGAAACTGAGGTGGTTAATAGAGCCTCATAGGAGTTCGCTTATCTATCTGACAATGGAGTCTCTACCTCATATGACGTGTTCTAGGCCTGTAGTGTCATACACCACTACTGAATTCGATGATATCCCGGCCTTCGAGTCCAGCATGTATCGAGATTTACTCCTAATGAATTACTCGGCCCTTCCTCGGATTGGCCCGAGGTTCAGTCAGACTGGGTCTATCCCACTGGAGCTATCAGCTGCGGGGGTTCCTCCCGCTGACGCGAGATACGTATACGGCATGATATGAGGTCTTCTCGTCGTCATGGTGGCTTCGCGGGTGAGTGCCAAGCTACTACATCGCTACATCGGTAACTGTGGTGCGCGTCCAGGGCCGTTGGCTGGTACATGATTGGAGGACTTAGGGCTGGGCTTCGAGGTCTGAAAGCGATGGTGTCGGTAGGGGAGGAAAGCCGCGTCGGTTGTCTGTCAGATGATGGGGTGGGGGAGGGTTGACGTCAGTCACAGTGATAGGTTCACAGGAAGATGAAGCTGTTTGCTATGGGATAGTATCTGTGAGGGCTAATACCAGTAGAATAACAAGCACTATCCCACCCCTTTTATTTATTTATCTATTTCATTGTTTGTAATATTTCTCTGTAGGTCGATTGTAGTTATGAGAGTAACTAAAAACAAAAAAAGACTGGGAGCTAGGGGATTCGAACCCCTGAGACTTTCGTCATTAGGGATAAAGATAGGATGCCTTATCTTAAATCTAACGTCTTAAACCACTCGACCAAACTCCCGGCAAACTCCGAAGTTATCACCGAGTGGGGAAGACAGCAATAATAATAAAAGTGCCGGAAAGTAGATTGAATGAACAAAGATCTGGTGCTGTGGAGTAGTATTATCAATCAAATATCTTTATCGGTTTGATTCTACTGGTAAGGTTGACCCCTCTATGAACAAGTATTTCCCTGCTTTACATAGTAGTCGGCGGCAGAGGGAATTTGGGGCGATTTCTCAGTTTCCATTGCCGATTTGGACCCTTACACGGGTATGGATTACGCTGCTCCTAGGGTACGCTATTGAAATTAAGGCTCCCCTTATAAGAGAAGTTAGTTGATCCTTTCGACGATGCCTTGTCATGCTGCGAGTGTAACAAGAGTGTGATTAACTGGAGGCGGTTAATGGGGTTGAGGGTGGACTGAGTGAGAATATATATATCTAATCTGGTTTCCCGTAATACTTTGGGTATGTTCGCTCACTTGTTTTATTTACCTATTTATAATGCCAGTGAACGAATAATGTTGATTCAAGGTATCTCACTGAGGCAGCCATCGAGATGCCCAACAGTCGAGTGGGTTTTTAAGTCTGACTCTACTCTGCCTCGTGACTATTCGCATGTGTAGGTGTCCAACAACGCTAGCCCCGGGTGTGGAAGCACTAGTTAGTCCGTATGGGGTCAACAGCCAGTTGACCATCATACACTGGTCTCTGGCGGGACGAAGCCGAAAATCTCGTCATTGTGGCTTTTGATCCTCACTCTCACTCCGAGTTGGCAATACTAAGCGACGACGCAGGGATTTAAAGTCAAAATAGAGTACATATTTCAAAATCCTGACGAGACTATACTATATCCCGTGAATCGCGAAGGTGGTTACAGTAAACTTACTCGATGAATGGATCAACTGACGATGCCTCCTGGCAATTCGACGTTTACTGCTGGCTGTATTGTTACATTAATATTAGTGAGCCCACGCCATCGATCGCACCCGTTGCGCAATCCTTACTGTCACGGATCGACAGGCACATCCATTCCGGACCATTCGCCAAGCCCCCTGGACAGAGAGGATGTCAGCCCCGCTGGAAACGGACTAGCGTGGGTGGGTCCAGCGAGGCTCTGGCCCGATCGGTGCGAGGCGCCAAGACGGACGCTTGCGCGTCTCCGCTATGTGAAGAGTCGACGGAGGGAAGGCCAGACAGAGGAACTCGGGAGGAAAGACAGGAAGTAGAGGGAGAGGAAGGGAGGAGAGGGTAGGAGAGAAGGACCAACAACCGTAGGAGACCACGAGATCCATCAGTCGCAGCTCTTTCCGCGCAGGCCACGTCACGCCCGGCCAGTCTGTACGCGTACGACGATACGCGGCTTGGCGCTCTCGGTGAATGGGGCAAGGCGCTGACGACGCTCGTAATACCGCGTACGCCGTTGCTTAGCACTCTTGTCTTTCCCTCCTTCTGGTCCCTCCCCTATCATTCACTATTATTTCCCCAACCATCCCTCCCCTTCAACCTCTTTTCACCTCCCCAGGGACTCGACCAGCCATTACTCCCGACCCTGGATCCGATCCCGTCCTGAGGACCTCCTCGACCGACCATGGCGGACGGCAGACCCCAGCGGGCTTCGCCGCCCCCGACCTACGATGCTTCGTCCCTCACCCGCGAGTTCGAGCAACTGATGCGCACCAAGCGATTCAATCGTCTCCATGAACAGGCCCGGTCGCGATCCGTCACGCCTGCGCCCTCCAGCCCGTCGACGCCGCCTCATCCCTCCCGGGCGCCACCACCACCACCAGCATCCGCGACGGGCACGCCCACTCGCTCAGCTCAGCAAACGGCTTCATCACCTGCTCTCCGGGGCCTTCCCATCATGCCCTCTCCGCCACAAGATGCGGCATCGTTGAAATTCTATAATCTGCTGAAAGGCTTGTCCGTGACACCGACCAAATACGAAAACCCGGGCCTCCTCGACGAGGCCCTGTGTCTGATCCCCCTCGATCGACTGTACTCGGAGGCAGAGGAGGAAAGTCAGATTCTCCAGGCTCAGGCTGCCAGCGTAGGAGGCAAACCAGAATGGGGATATCAGGACTGTGTGATCCGTGCTTTGTTAAGGTGGGGTTTTTTTTTTTGGGTCTTGTCATTTCGTGTGCTAATTTTCGGGACAGCTGGTTCAAGCGATCGTTCTTTCAATTCGTCAACAACCCGCCATGCTCCCAATGCCACATGCCCACGATCGCACAAGGCATGACACCCCCGACACCCGACGAGACCGCCCGGGGAGCATCCCGCGTTGAGCTCTACCGCTGCTCCGAGCCGAGCTGCGGCGCATTCGAGCGATTTCCACGTTATTCCGATGTCTGGCAACTCCTCCAGACCCGACGAGGCCGAGTTGGCGAGTGGGCCAATTGCTTCAGCATGCTCTGCCGCGCAGTCGGAGGCCGTGTGCGCTGGGTGTGGAACTCGGAGGATCACGTCTGGACCGAGGTGTATTCCGAGCACCAGCGACGATGGGTGCATGTCGATGCCTGCGAGGGGGCTTGGGACCAGCCCAGACTGTACACGGAAGGCTGGGGTAGACCCATCTCGTACTGCGTTGCTTTTTCGATCGACGGAGCCACCGATGTCACCCGCCGCTACGTTCGCAGCCCTGCCCGCCATGGAAGCCCGCGCACACGAGCCCCGGAGGAGGTTGTGGTCTGGTCGATTCACGAGATCCGCCGAAAACGCCGGGAGAATATGTCCAAGGCGGATCAGCGCCGGTTGATGAAGGAGGACGAACGCGAGGAGCGCGAACTCCGAGGCTACATGGTTGCGGCTTTGGCGGCCGAGATCAACAAACTGCTTCCGCGCAGCCTCGTGGGTGGTGGCCGGGGCGACCGCACCGATGACAAACATCCTGGTTCGCGCCAGGAGGCCACGGCCGAGTGGCTCAACACGCGACAGAGAAACTCGGGCAACTCGGGCCCCGATCGGGGCCCCGATGGACGATGATTCTCGACTGGGGTATTGGATATTTTTCTAACCTTCCCGTCACCTACCTGGGACGCGCATACCACGCGGTCTACCCACCTCTCTGGACACCGATTCCAGAGAAGACCAGCCATGTCTGACACTTGTGCACTCACTCGATCACTATCCGTGCAGACATTCGGCCCCACGACTCGGGCCGCTGATATTTCCGGTAAGAGCATTGGCCGAGCAATGGCCGCTCCGGTCCATCAGGCCAACTTCAACCCGTTGTCCTCGGCATGCGACCGCCATGAAACACAAAGAATCATGGCTTTCGACTCAAGACCTTGCAATTAACGCAGCTCACACGAGCCAAAACCTGACACTCATACCGACCACGATTCTCAACACCATTTTCTTTTCTATTTCTCTCTTTCTTTATGGGATTACACGGAAATCGCATCATGAAAAAACGGCTTCTTGGGCATGATTATTTCGCACGGCGCCAGTGGTGATGATTCGATTCTCCTTTATGCCAAAGACGACATGGCATATGCTTGTACGAGACGAGACACGGTTTACACCATTTCTTTCCTTTTTTGTCTGGCACATACTCAATCCATGGATTGACGTTGTGTCTCCTGTCCTTAATCTTCTTCCCTTGCCTTCACTTTCACTTCTCTTCTTAATCTATAGGTATTCTTATCCAAGATACCATAATACATTTAATTTTTTTTGCCTTGAATCTTTCCGCCTGAATCCATACCGTGCATAACGACCCAAAAATACCCCGTTTGATTATGATGTGCGATCTTTCCCCGCGATGTTTCTTTAGCGTCAAAATCCCTGCTGTAGATGTGGGTCTGGACTTACGGTATCATACGGGAGCGAGTCAGGTGAATCCTTCCTTTGTATCTTCCAAGATTGCTTACGAGTAGGAGTATAGCTATCTAAGGCTGGACTCAAATGAGTGAATGTATTCTTAAATATCCTAAACTACATGTACTTCATCCCTCTTGTACATATGTAAATACTTCTGGTAAGCTGGTAGGACGAACACGTACTCCCCCCCCCCAAAACCACAGCCACAGCCCAAGCCAGCCCAAAGCTTTTCAAAACAAAGAAAGCCTTGGCAAGCCCAGTGGAGACACAAGCGTGCGAGCGTGCGTAAGGCGGATGGGGGCACGGGCCCATTAATAATTCATCTCCAGGCCAGAGGAGATATTTTTGGTAAAAAGTGGGCCAGGGTCTGGTCTTGCCTTAAGCTTGTGGCTTTTTACCCCCTTGGTTGTTGGTATATCAGCCCTCGCTAAGGGCCAGATATAATTAAGGTAAATTAGGTTACCTAGTTCAGGGACTAGCTAACTAACTACCTAACCTATGTAGTTAGTGTAGTGTAAGTAAGGAAGGGATTGCCAAGGATCTATGTACGTCCTGTATGTACTATAGGTATCAATTGAGTGGAATTATTGATCCATTGTTTCATGCTGGAGATAGTTGATTGATTATGGACTGTTGTCCTAACAGTCATGAGGTATTGGTAGTAGGCAATTGGATGGAATATGTGATTTGCCTTCTTCTAGTTGTACGTACCTCCTCCTTGGGATGGGATACATACTCTGCAAATAAAGTTCAAGCCCAAGGACAAGTACAGAAGGAGTAAGGAATAGAGAGAATCCACCGCTGCAACAAATTAGGCAAGGTGACAACGATAGGGCCGATCATCCACGCACAGATGCCACCGTCTCGCTGGGACATTGCTTAGAGATGCTTCTCCGCATTCTTGGATTCCACGCTACATATCTGCGGTATGCAGATCTTGTGGTATTTATGGAATATCCAGACAGACATAAATAAAATTATGTATCGGCATTTTGTTGATCGAAGGATCTGATATTGATTTCGGTAGTATCTGCCAATGACCCCAGAACCTCCAAATGGGTATGGGGGCGTGCTAAGCTATGGATTCATGTACAAAAGTGCACCCGTAGAAACCGTTTCAAGCAGAACGCGTGGTATTTTAGCAGTTGACGTTTTCCCTCTCAGAAAGGGGCAAAAGCTCAGAGTCACAGCAAATAGGCCTGAATAAGGCTGGTGGAAAAGATAGTTCGGGGCACCAATACTGACGCCGATTGCCCTGCGTTGGCCCTTTCACTAACTAGGCAGTGTCTCGCGCTCGCGGCTCTGCTGATAGTGGGATGAACCGCAACATGTCATGCTATTGCCGACCCGAAAGAAAAAAATACAGTACATTGCCAAGTTAATCACACCGCGGAAATCCAGCACCCAATACCTCTCCGCTGCAAATCCTCCTCCACATCCTTGAGCTCACGCTCATAGTATGACTGGCCCTGCAGGCGGAGCTCCCATATGCAGAGCGGATCATTGTTGCAGCAGCGCAGATCCTCATTTTTGCTTGGAGTATCGTCAAGCGATAACGACGACAAAGAAGCCAAAGACGAAGGCGACGATCGCCATCCACAACTCCCGCTCCCACTCGCGCTGGAGTCCGAGTCATGCTCCTCATCTGAATCAAGTAGTAATAGTTCCTCCTCGCTACAGGACGTTGTTTCATCCATAAATCCGTAGATCGGGGTGTATGGATGTTTATGAGAGAGTATGTTTTTCAATGGGTCCAGAAACACAGCCAGTTTCTCCACAGGCTCGCAGAACCATGTACTCGCCAGCACGAGCACGAACGACTTAAGGGCTGGCAGTCTTGCCAGTGTGCGACATGTTTCGAGCCACTGGGCCCGTCCGGCTGATACGTATACCGCGCGCACTGGGTCTTTGCTGGGTAGCCAGTGGCCTGGGAAGGACCAGCGCAGCTCGACGGCGCGGATGGAGGACCAGTGGGCGCGGGGGATGGTGGGACGGAAGTAGGGAAGGGTCCAGGGGATGCTGAATTCGAAGGTGTTCAGGGTGTAGAGGAGGTGGATGCTTTCGGAGTACCTTAGGAAGGCCAGTCAGTATGTACCCGGGTATACACTGTATTTCCAGGAACCCAAGAGAGAAAGGCGGGTGGTACATACAATTGTCTACATGCCAATGGCAGCGCGAGGATAATATCCCGGCCGGGTCTCGACAAGACCGAACCGGCCTCTTTCACAGGCTGCGCAATGCCGTTCCCATGACAGACCTCGCAGCTCTCTTCGTCGGGGCAGACGACATGTCCTAGTCGCTGGCCACAGCGCTGGATGATGTGCAGTTTGTGTCCGCCGAGAACAAACTCCCAGATCATGAGCCGCAGCTCTGGCGATAATCGGGCGAGCAGGCGACTCTGGGGTTGAGGCTGCGGCGGAGATGGTGTCCGAGGCGTGCGGGGGAGCGGCGGGGGTTTGTTGCCTGGAAAGTCCATTAGAAAAGAAAGATAGAAGCGAACGACAGATGGGTACTCACTCTGGTACCGCTGGGCCAGCACATCCTCCCATGAAAAGACGCCCTGCTTGATGCGAGCCATGACGACCGAAGACAAGCAAGAGTCACGAGTAGAAGGATCCTGTGTAGATATACGGTCAGGCCATGTTGCGCGGGTCTTTCTCTTCTTCCCTGCAATCCGACGGGCTCAGCAGAGAAGCACGCGATGAGCCGTTTTGGGGTCTCACAGGAAGAATAATACTAATAATAAGGGCGAGTCAATAAAGACAACCAAACAAAAAAAGAGTCGGTGAGCAGATAAAGGATTCTAGTTCCCGATAAGCACCACTCGGGTCTCTTTGCTTCTTTCATTCTAAACCTAACTACGGAGCCACTACCTCGGAACTAACTAAACAATGGAGAGAAGAATGTTCGTACTCATACACTCGACCATGTCTCAGTGACCAGCTGACCCTGACCCTACGCCCCCAACGTGTTCGTCGGGCAGGGCGCCCGCAAGCCCTCCGACAGGCTGGCTAGCCCAGCCGGCTGGAGTCGGTCGATCGCCGCCGGCGCGGGGAGTGTCCCCACATAGGCGTTGAAGTTGTAAATCCCGCAAATGCACGAGTCCACGATGTTCTTGAGGCTCGTGCCCGCCAGCACCGTCTGGTTATTGCCGCGCGTGACGGCAAATTTCTGCGCCCCAACCCCCATTGGCACCGTGAAGGCATTGATCCCCGCGGGCGCGGCGAAAGTTACGGGCGCCTGGTTACCGGATTGCACCACGACGTTCGCGGGGGTCTGAAGCAAAGAAACCACAAACACCGCGTCGGCCATCGAGTCCGCCCCGTTGGGTCGGCCGCGGAAGAAGTTCCCGCTGCTGTTGTTCGGGTTGCCCTCGGTCGTGGTGTCGGTGGAGTCGCAGTTGACGTTCTTGGGCGTCGGCCGGTACCAGTACACCAGCTCCTCGTTGGTGATGTATTTCAGGGGAGACGAGTCCCCGGCCTTGTATGCTGCAATGAATGGTTTGGACATCTGCAGCCATCCATCATGGGGCATGTCCATCACCCATTTGGACGCCCCGTCGTCTGTGTGCGGCGAGGACAACGGGCCGATATAGTGCGACTCGCCGTAGTCGTTCCAGGTGATGATCTCGACGAAGCGCGGGCTCAGCTTGAGGATGTCGCGCCAGCGGTCGTACCAGAGCAGATCTGAGGGGAAGACCCAGTTCTTGCTGTAGGAGACTTCGGCGCCGAAATGAGTCGAGAACCATGCCGAAGCGGCTTTGACAAACAACAATCTATTAGGCTGATATCCATCATAAAAGAGGGTGGAAGACTTACGTGCAATATAGGGTTTCCCCTGCAACGCATTAATATACGCCTGATCCCCATCCGCAACAGAGATATTTTGACTGGGCGTGGGAGCCTTATTATCCCCATTATTCGGCCAAGCCATCCAATTCAGAGCGCCCTGTACAGCGCTGAAATCACCCGTGCCGGGATGGAAATTCGGCGCAAAGAACAGATCCTGTCCCGCAGCAGACTTGATCGCATTGACATCGACGCCGTCGCCCGCAAAGCTTGACACAAATACCTTGCCGTCGACTTTCAGCTGCGCAGGCAGACTCGCATACTGCTTGACCTTGGCGCCGACTGTGCTGCCCTGGCCCGTGTTGTACCAGTTAAAGTCGAAGGATATGAACACCTTCATGCCGTTTCTGGCGGCGGACTCGTAGGCGAAGTTGAGCTGCGTGTCTGTGTAGGGGTCTACGCCGATGTTGAGCGCGAAGGCGTCGATGCCTAGTGCTTTGGCGCGTTTCATGTCGTCGTCGTAGTCATTTGCGCTGTTGCGGTTGCTTGTGATGCCGATCTAGGATAGCGTGGATGGTTAATTTTGAGATTGGCCGCTAACTATGCAGTGGGGGGTGCTTACCATGAAATGACAGAAGACTAGCTTGTCAGTGGCAGTTGTTGTAATGGAGGGAGTTGGAGACGAGTGTGTTGCTGTTGGGACTGCAGTAGCCCAGGGAATCAACAGCCCTGCCAGGGCGAAAGAAAGAAGTTTTCGCAGCATCTTCTCTGAGAGCTTAGTGCATGGACTGAAGTGTGATGATGGCTTACACAATACCTTGAATAAACTACCGCAAGACAAGAGCGAGTCGTGACGATGAAGAAAGCAAGAGGAATTATATAAGTAACATAAACTTCGAGCCCCCAAAGAAGGATCCAGTGAAACAAATTATCAAACAAGCAAATAGATCGACACTTATATACCCTTTTCATCTCCTGATCCTGAATCCAATTCCATTTCGATAAACCACCGGAACAAAAAAAGTAACTCCCTCATGTCATCACGGGGGGTTTTCAGGATTATCAGACTGCGACAGTATCACCATGTCCAACGAGGGCCAAGTCCAGAATCAAGATTCCGGCCCCAGAAGTATCGTCGTTGGGGGCAGCAGCCGATGATAGGCGGGATCCGGTAAACCAAGACGACTAAACCAAGTTCCGAAACATTAGCGCTGACTACATGCAATGTATCGGCGACTTCGAATGCAGAGTTACATACAACGCATCCTGCCAGAAGCTACAGTGGGGGATTATTCAATCGTTGCCCCTTTCTAACCTAGGCTAATTAATCAGTCGAACGAGCGGGGGCAATGAAATAAAATGATACCCTGAAGATATCCCTACTGGGCTAACTAAGGCTCAATGTGTAGCACAGACAGGTCTGATCTGATCTAAATTCCAGGAACAGTACGCTGTTGGCTGAGACATTCTTGACTGGTAGGGTGGATCGTTAGATAGAAGTTTTCTAGATTATTCTTGTCGTTCAGGACCCTGGCTGGATGATTATGATGTTGTTGTTACTCTGTACCTCGCGGGAAAGGATACCTCGGGGGATGTACTATATTCCTGCCGAACCCTGCATATGTGCATATGGGGGATATTCCTATTCGGGTATAGGCAGGGTCTTCCTCGCAGCTTGATTACCACCTGGTGTGGGCCCCGTGCCTTCTTTCCGGGGTGGAAGTGTAACCATAACCAGTGGCTTTTGTGGGGATGGTGTTTACTTAGTTTAGAGATTATTCGAGTTTATAATTTAAGAACTATTGTTTTTGTCGGCTCATCCAATCAATAGCGATAGCTCCAACCCAGCCAAGTTCTCTTCAACCAGTGTTCTATTCTTTGCATACATGCCCACCCCAAAACCCTTCCAACCAACACCTTGACTTGGCCACACTCCATGTTCCATGTTCCATTCCTATTCCTCCATATAATCCGAGCACCAGACCCTCCTCAATTTCTCCATATGACAAACTATCCGCCCGTTCGTGCAACCTCTGACTAAAGACTCAACGGGAAGGATGTCGTGTGATAACAATTGCCATTATCCATCCCCGTGAGTCCGGCTAGACCTCCCAGATGCCGGGGGCTATGACGTTGGTATATAAGGTAGGGATTTAATAACGATGGTATAGAATGGAGGCAATATAGAATATATTCCGAGCGGATATCAGATGATACCAGCAAGGGAGCAAGGCAGCGGAGTTTCGGGAAAATGGTTGATGCTGTGTCTTCCGGGGAAAGCAAGTCATTCCGCTAAGTTTAGTAACTATAATTGTATCGCTATCACATGGATGAAAAGGAAAATAATAAGAAAGTCACCGTTATTTTTGCGGTTAGATGCGGAAGCAATCCGGGGAATCGAAGCTTGTTTTCTTGTGGGCAAAAAAAGCAATAGGTTTATTCATTCGCGAACAAAATTCTTTGCAAGTAACGCCTGTCTTAACCGAAATTCCGTGGGAACGTAAAGTAGAGCAAACCAAAAATGGCAGGATTAGAGCACTGCAAAAGCGGAGACATAGCTCACCGAGCTATCCATCATATCCACCGCGTCCGAACTACGCTCATACCGCAGGAACTGGAAGCGGCCCTGCTTATCCTTCGCTGGTGGTTGATCCCCCGCGACAATCTCCATGGCAGCCATGATCACGCCAATAGGATGGCGGCCACAAACTGTATTCTCTGTGCGGTTGATAGTATCCAAAAAGACCTTGGTCGATCCCGTGGTGATAGCCGCCATAGTCGCAACATCAAACGCTGAGATACTCTCATGGATAGCCGGTTCACGGGTCGAAATGCGGTCCCCGCGCTGCAATTCATGGCCCGCAGATACCGAGTCAATCGTCTCGAGAACATCATCCGCATCCTTCCCGGGCTGCGGCAACACGTCGCTCGACAAGGGCAATTTCGGGCCCGGCTTCGGTGCCTGTGGTACATAGTACGTATACCTGAACCGCAGACCCCAATGGCAAAAGTCGGAGCTGATCACGAACGCATTGCCCGGATCCGCTAGGTAGGGCGCTAGCAATGACCCAAACGCCTGCTCCGTCGCGGCGGAGGTGCTGCCTACCATGATCGGGACGAGGGGCGGGTACTGCGCGGTCGGGGTGTTGGGGTACTGCAGCTGCAGGAGACGGTGGATGTAGGGTAGGTGTAGCTCGATGCTGTGCTCGTCTTCGTCGATGGAGCGGGTCATTGTCGTGAAGCTTACTTTGGAGCCGGTGGGTTTGGTTGCATGCGTGCTGAGGAGGTGAGAGATGAGCTCGGTGTCGAGAGGGAGGGGATCGGAGGAGAGAGGGGTGTAGTATGAAGTGAGCTGGGGCAGGGCTAGAGTCGAGAGAGGGTGGTGATGCGAGGGGCCTATGACGAAGATGCGCTTGCTGTTTCGACGGGGTGTTAGTTGAGGTGTCATGATTAGAAGGACGGATCCTTGGGCTTCATACGCTTCGGAGAGATCGAGGGCTTTGTATGCGTAGGCGGCACAGGGTCCGGAGTAGGAGTAACCCGCGTGGCTGTGGTGATCAGTCTGAGTCTTGATGTCAGAGAGACCAGAACATACGGTGCGATGATTACTCGGGCTCCCGGGACGGGTAGCGAGCCGACGTTGGGCATCGTGTCTGGCACTTGGGCCAGCCATTGATCGAGCTGATGGGTGAGGGTGCGGGTACTGTCCGAGTACCACGACCCGGCGTGAGATGCTTCTCTGGACTGCATGGTGATGGTGGTGGGTTGGTGACGGAGGTGAGTTCGGGTTGGAGCGGGGAAGCATGGGAGGTGTTAGATAACGAACGATACCAGGGTGTTGCGACAACATGTCTTATAAAGCATCTACCTTATGAACTCATTGATTTATGGTTTATATTGGCGGGGGTTATAGTTAAAAGCAAAGATGTTAGTCTATCTCTTTACTGTTGAGCTTAGGTCGATGTCGCGTCAGTCTGACCCCTTCATTGGATCCCGTGTAAGTAGACGGACTTGCATAGAATTAAACCATAAAATCCATTTCTCTAGGTACTAACTGTACTATTCTATTCTTCCCAGCTAACTACCTCTGTGCTATACGGAAGATACTTGGTAAATTCCAATCATTGCCCAGCCAGCAATACTACCAGATGTGGCCTAGCGCCAACGCGACAACGCGCAGCCAATAGTCGCCCGCCCCAGCCTCGCCAACCCTAGTACCTGCGCTCTCTTCTTCTCAACTCACCACGCGCACTCCAGTAACCATGTCTCTCAAGCGCAAAGCCTCCTTCTCAGCTGCTCCCCCATCCAGTCCATTGACTCCGGTCCATGAATGGCCCGCCGCAGCCGACACGACCAAGCACCTCCACAGCCGGACGCGCAAACGATTCCGCAACGACCGTCCCAATGATGCCGTGGTGTACCGTAAGGACATTCCATGCTTCACTTTTGCTAGCACTGCCCCTGACAACCCCAGAAAACACCCTCCGCTGGATCTTCTCCGCCCAGCAGCAACAGCAACAGGCCAACCCAATGCCAACGCCCGATCCCGAAGCCATGGACTCCGAGCCATTCCCTCCCACCCTCTCTGACGCGATCGACCCGCGCCAGAAAACACTCCTGCAGTTCTTCCGTCCCAACCCGCAGTCAACATCGCTGTTTCGGCCCTCCCGTCAAGCTCTGGCGGCCCGTGCCAATGAGTGCGCGATGACGACGCAGGATGATCTCGTGCGTCTCCAGGCGTTTGAAAGGATGAATTCTGTTGCTAGCTCGAGTGGGAGCGAGTCGAACAGCCCCGGATTCATGGGCCAGGCTGATGCTGATGTGGAGATGGATATGGATGGTGGGAGCAGCAGCAGTGATGGATCTGGTCAGACTCCCATGACTATGACCTGCGCTGGGGGTGCCGGGTGGATGTAATTTGGAATGCGTGCTGGAGTTGCATTTTTTATGAGTATACAACGGCATTGATATGGAGAGGTCGTTGCCGCTTTTCTTTCTATGGCGTTAATCGCGAGAGGAGTTCGGGACTGACGCGTTACTGCGTCCTCGATGAGGACCTGGCTGTTTAATTTCGGTGTTTGAGGTGTTTGGGGCTTGTGGGATTGTCTTTCAGCGAACATAACATATCTCATCCCCTATGCACATTTGAAGTAATTCAATTCAGAACCTAACATGAGTACCTTTCTCTACCTTGATGGCGAGTACCATTCAGTATTGCCAATGGCTTCATTATGAGAAGATATGGCACATTTTAAGTATTGTCCCCAGAATTATAAAGGAGCAATATTATTATGAATGGAGTTCTGCTTTAGACAGTGTTCCTCGTGCTCCCGTGCTCTCTCTCCATAGAGCAATATGTCACGAGCAATATCTCACGATTAGGTAACCCCAGTCCACTTGGATATTAATGCCTCAGGCATAAACCGCTTTGCTGATCTTCATCTTTAATCTTCATCTTCATCGGCTTCACCACACACCACTCGCTTGCACGACAGTTTCTACCATGCCTTGAAAATACTAATACTCACTTGATTCAACCACAGTCGTGACCGCTTGATGAGCAGCAAGCTCAACAGCTGCCAACCCGCCTTAACTCCAACCCCGACACCAGCTCTCACACATCAACCGCGACAATGAGCACCGACGACGACCAATCTATTCAGTTTCTGGAGGGCCTACTAGGGCGCGCACTCCGGGTGCATACAACCGACAGCCGCATGTTCGTGGGCATCTTCAAATGCACCGATGCGGTGGGTATCCTCTCCAGTGACCTTAAACCCTGTCTATACTGACTTCGGATTGTCCCTCAGGAACGAAACATTATCCTTGCAAGCACTTACGAATACCGCTTCCCCACCCCATCAACCGTGCAAGCCGCCGCTAGCACCTCACAGGGAACGTGGGACGAGGAACCCGCGAAGCCATCCAGCTCTAGCGTCAAGGTGAACATGACCAGTCGGCTAATCGGACTGGTTGTGGTTCCAGGGCGACATATCACGAAGATTGAGATGGAGTAACGAAACAACACCCATACCCGTATCAATCGGATGGGCTATGTGTTCTGTCTGTCCACGAGACTATCCTTTCCGTCGGGCTTGTCCAGTCATAACCGCCCTTCGTCGCCTTCCCACCGACCCGCCAAGCCTCTGTGGCGCCCGCAAACCAACTCCAATATGCCAGTGGGACACGACATACTCCCTCCCTTGCTGCCCACTCCGCCAGCGCAAGAGCTGAACGTGGGGCTGCCAAGACTGGCTCTTTTGCCTTGACGTGGCACGCGGAGCACTGCAGCTGCACCATGCTCGGGGTCTTGGCTGATGGCAGCTCAGGGTTCGTCTCTCTAGGGAGATTGTGAAATCTCCGTCAAAAAAGCGGTGTCTCTATCGCGGAGATTTCTTGGCGGGCAGATTTTGTCAGTCTGGCCAGGAGAATATTTATTGCAGCGACCTGTGTCTGCCGGTAAAGAAACACTCCTGCTGCTATTAATAGAAGGTAGATATGAGACATTTACTTCTAGATGAAATGAGAGAGTCATCTGGCCAAACTACATCGTATCGTGTTCTGTATCCATGGATCGGATAGTGGGGGGATCTACTGTAGCTCCGTGCCTCCCAATCGGGAGGGCTCGGCGGATCAGTTTGGCTTCAGGTGGTCGACCCGTATTCCAGTTCAGAGATCATCTGCTCGTCAGACATGTTGACAACCCGAAGGACCGAGCCCGTTTGCTACGCCCGCCATTCCACTGTTTACCTCCTCGTCTGGACAGGCAAGCTCTCGGGCCGAGATGATCCGGGTGACATAAGCCTCAGCTGCCCCGATCGAGACCGTCACAGAACATCCCAAGCACCTTTGCACTTACAGGCGGTGGCGGAGTACCTTCCCCTCTTAACTGGCTTTTCTTCTCTTCGGCCTCATCATTCATCACTGTCGGTAAGTGTGTCATCTATCCCCCATTCTAGATCCTTGCACGATGCGGCAATAACTGTCACCAACCCCGTCTATCATGACGCATTCCGCTCGGGCACGCTTTCGCCCTGGCGAACTCCATCCCATCCTCCTTCTTTCACCTCCACATGCCACGCCCTGCTTCTCCTCCCTTCAGCCCTGTCGCTCTGTCGCCTCCTCTGATCCATCCCCGGGCGAGACACAACTGACACTGATTTGGTAGGAGCTTTTCCCGCAGTGCAACCAACTCCGGAGCTTCTCTCGAGCTTCTCCCACCTCTCCCCAAACCCACACCCTTCCTCTTGTAAGCAGACCTTGTCTGACTGCCCAGCCTCCTTCTTGGCCGCCGGACAGAGTACCGGAACCCCCACACTCACCCGGGTGCAGAACTTGCACAGCATAACGGTTCATCGGGATTGATTTCACCTGGGAGGGCCAAGACATTCCAAACGAACAGGGGGCTTCTCGGCATAGCGTCTTGAACGTCCGCCGTTCGTGCGATTATCCACCCCCAAGCTTGGCAGACGTCCTCGCATTGCAGTAATCATGGGTCAGTCGCATTCCAAGGGCAACGGCAACTCGGGCGACTCGCTCGCTTCGTACCCGTCCTTCTCCAAGTCGGACACCAAAGAATCGCTGCGCTCGTTCCGCGGCTCCATCCGCTCGAAGATCCCCGGCGCTCGCAGCAGCGATAGCCCCCGTGGATCCACCACCTCTCTCCCCCAGACCGATAAGTCGGATGCGGGCTCGGTCAAGTCGTCGGGCAGCCGCCCCGGCTCGAATGCTGGTCTTCAGTCCCCGGAGTCGGAAACCGGCTCGCGCGCCGCCTCGCCCCAGCCGCCGCCGTCTCCTTCGCTGTCGTCCAGTCTCCAGCGAGGTCACAAGGATGTCGATGCTATGCAGCGGAGTGGCGAGGTCGACCACGTGTCGGACGTGCCTCCATCGGGTGCTGCACCGTCGGGGACCGCCCAGAAAGCGGGCGAGTCGATTTTGATCAAGCGGGAGAACCAGCTGAACCCCATTTTGGACTTTATCCTCAACGCTCCCCTGGAGACTTCTGGGTCGCCCGGTATGGGTATGGGCGCTTTGAAGTCGATTGATCTGGATGACATGATCTCGCGTCTGCTGGATGCGGGTTACTCCACCAAGGTCACCAAGACGGTCTGTCTCAAGAATGCCGAGATCACGGCCATCTGCTCCGCGGCTCGAGAGCTGTTCCTTTCTCAGCCGGCTCTGTTGGAACTCGCGGCACCTGTGAAGATTGTCGGTGACGTCCACGGTCAATATACGGATCTCATTCGCCTCTTCGAGATGTGCGGGTTCCCACCTGCGTCGAACTACCTGTTTCTTGGCGATTACGTCGATCGGGGGAAGCAGAGCCTGGAGACAATCCTGCTGCTTCTCTGCTACAAACTCAAGTACCCGGAGAACTTCTTCTTGCTCCGCGGCAACCACGAATGCGCCAATGTCACGCGAGTGTATGGGTTCTATGATGAGTGTAAGCGCCGTTGCAACATTAAGATCTGGAAGACTTTCATCGATACCTTCAACTGCCTGCCCATCGCCTCGATCGTAGCTGGCAAGATTTTCTGTGTCCACGGCGGTCTCTCGCCCAGCCTTTCGCACATGGATGACATCCGAGGCATTGCCCGTCCCACCGATGTGCCCGATTATGGTCTGTTGAATGATCTCCTGTGGAGTGATCCCGCAGATATGGAGGAGGACTGGGAACCAAACGAGCGTGGCGTGAGCTATTGCTTCGGAAAGAAGGTGATCATGGGCTTCCTGCAACGTCATGATTTCGACCTGGTGTGCCGTGCCCACATGGTCGTGGAAGACGGGTATGAATTCTACCAGGACCGAATCCTGGTGACTGTCTTTTCCGCGCCGAATGTAAGTTGCTACCCTGTCATTTCTGCGTCAATCATCACACTGACTCCATGTCTTATCTGTAGTATTGTGGCGAGTTTGATAACTGGGGTGCCATCATGTCTGTGTCCGGAGAACTGCTTTGTAGTTTCGAACTGCTGAAACCCCTGGACTCGACTGCATTGAAGAATCATATTAAGAAGGGTCGCAACAAGCGAAACAGCATGTTGAACAGTCCGGTAAGTTTCTCTGTCTGTCTGTCCCTTGCTTCTACCCAGCAATGCCGAGACTTGACATCGCCACTTTACATGTATCCGTTTTGGTCCACCTGCTAATCATGAAAATCAACCAACCACAGCCCGCGGCAGTATCAGCACAGAGCTTCTAAGCTCCCATGCATTCCAGATAATCCTGGCCATGAACATCGGCATCTGCATGCAACCCGCCACTGGTCGGCTGGCATGAACCATCCCGCAATCTCGATTTCGTCAGCTGGCTACATGGTGGAACTCCATGCATTGTTTGAGTAATGGCTGAGTATGAGTATCGGGGAATGGTCTCCTGCTATCATGCAAGACAAACCCGTTGCATCCCGCTTGGCTGCTAGGCTGAGGCTCGGGCTGAGGCTCGGGGTTTCCTTTCCCCGGCAATGATGGGATGAATACTCAGCCGGCGAGGGTGCTATGCAGACTCAGTTCGTGCTGTGCTGTGCTGTGCAGCTGCCGGTCTAGTCCGTTCCGGTCCTCTTCGCAGCCCAGACAACCTGGCCTTTCCTGTGGACTTTGGGTCTGGACTATGCGTTCCCTTCCTTCCTCTTGGACCATGGTAGGAACAGGCCGTGGTCGGTTGAGGATGGATTGGACCAGCACGGCAGGAAAGGAGGAAAGGGATGTTTAGATGCTGTGCTTGTTCCCGTGGTCAGAGTCAGTCAGTCAGTCGAGTCGAGTCGAGTGAAGTCGCGATTTAGGTTTGTCAGGGCCATCTTGTCTCCTTCCTAGAGATCCAAGCTTGGTTTATATGGCCACATAGCTACTACAACTTGTCATGACTTGACTTGGATTGGATTGGATGAATGAGACAGAAATTGTCCTTTCTCTATCTACTCCTTTATGCATCAATCTTCTCTCTCACCCAGTGCATTGGATCTCATCTGCGTGTCTTTCTCCTTCCCTCTCTGTGTTTCTGTATATCTCTTTTCATATTCTCTGCACCCTCCCGTCCCTCTTCTATCTTCTCATTCTCCTCATCCCCCTCTTCCCCCTTATTCCCACCCCTCTTCTTCTTCTTCTTCTTCATCATCATCTTATTCTTCTTATTCTTCTCGTTCCCGTTCTTGTGGTTGTGGTTGTTATTGTGATTGTGAATCAAAGCAAATCGGCGTCCCGGTGCGGAAATTCAAATTCAATGTCAATCTTTACTCTATTCTATCAATGCTATTCTATTCTGCCAATTCAATTCGATTCATTCTCCCTAGACTTTTTTTGCGTTCTTCTCTCTTCTCTATCTTTCCTTCATAGGCCCTCTTTCGTGTCCGTATTCCCTATGTACTGCCAAGTTATTGAACAAATAACCCTCCCCTTGAAAATTTTGTAATTTGCCTCCAAGCGCTAACTATAGCTTGAGTACACAGCCACGCAAGTGGACTCGTAGATGAAATGCAGTACAGCATAATGCAATGTAAGTGCAAAACTACATCACAAGTTGACCTAACAGATCGTTCAATCGTTCAACAGTAACTTAGAGAGAATTGGTTGTTTCCATCTAGCTGAATTGGAATGTATACACTTAATTCCCGAACCAGAATACTATACTCCCAAAAAGAGCTATTAGGTCTATTATTGAACAGGACCTTCTGTGCATTTGCTCCCGAGGTATGTAGTATGTAGGAAGCAGACCACCAGGTCCAACCAACAAGGGTCATACATATTAGCCAGTCCGTGCTATATACACAAAACAAGAACAAACAACATCATCTTTGGCCCAAAAGCTCCCGGTTCCGTTCCCAAAACCACCTACACTCGGTATGCCCCCAATGCTCCGTCCACCACTCCCCAAAACTATCCAGCACAGCCGGCTCATCCACCCGGGACACGCGCTCATCGCGCCGAAGCGCACACAGCGCACAAGCATGCGAAGCCTTCATAGCGCCATGCTCCGGCCGCGCAGTGATGACCTTCAGAGCCGCGGGATCCGGAATAGACGGGACAGGACGCCGGCCCGCTGCTTGGAGGATTGTATTGAACAGCGCAGCGCGCTCGCGCCATAGTGCCAGGACGTCGCCGGAGTCTTGTTCCTCTTTGACGGCTTCGCGCTTGTTCACGGCGTTCAGCTTCATGCCGCCTGCTTTGCCGCCTGCGCGGGCGGGGCCGATGCGCATGCTTTGGCTGAGGTGGGTGTCCCGCTTCCAGCGGTGGGTGCGGCCGGCTATTACGCGCGCGGCGGTTGTGAGGGTGTTGTGGATTGTGAGTGCTGTTTCTTGGATTTGGGGTGAGATTGGGGATGGGGATGAGGTGGTGCGCTGTTGGTGGGGTTTTGCTTGGGTCGCTTCTTTTTGGAGTTGGGGGAGAAGGTCGAGGAATAGTTCGAGGAGGATGGATGGTGGGGGGATGTTGGTTGGGCGGACGGTTGTGGAGGGTGCGGCTGGGCTGGAGATGAAGCTCTTTGGTGCTGGGTTTGGCGTTGAGGATTGAGATGGAGGGTTGGTCTTTGGTTGGATGGTTGATGGGTTGGGACCGTCGGTGAAATCACCCCATTCATCGAAGAGTTCGTCGTCCCATGCTGGCTGGGGAGCGGTGGATTTGACGCTTGGTTGTCGTTTCTGCTCACTAGGAGCCTTTGGCGGAGGCGGGTTGGAAGATGGGGTGTCAGTGAACTCGGCCCAATCATCCCAGGCGGAGGTCGGTTGTTTCTGGCTAGGCGGCGGCTGGGATTTCTTTGTAGAGGCTTTTGTCACAGGCTGTGGTGTAGACGATGTCGGGAAATCACCCCAGTCGTCAAAGGAGGGATTCTCCCAAGTTGATGATTGATTCTGGCTGGTCTGAGGGGTTCGTGCTGCAGAGGATGCTGAGAAGTCGCCCCAGTCATCAACGGAGGGGATATCCCAATCTGAGGTGACTTGCTTTTGGTGGTGTTGTGTTTTGGAGGTACTTGTAACCGGCGGAGCAGTAGAAGCCGAAAACTCGCCCCAGTCGTCAAGTGAAGCATCATTCGAGGTCGAGGTGGGTGGTTTCTGACTGGAGTGCCATTGATTCTTTGGAGGAACATTCGACACAGGCTGCGCCATACCTGCCGAGTCATTTATGGAGAGTGAGTCCAGTAAGTCCACACTCGCAGAGACATGACCAGGAGACTCTGCATTGTGAGTGGTTGCCTGCTGGGGAGTTGACCCAGGTTTCTCGAATTCACCCCAGTCATCATCATCATCTTCATCGCTGGCAGGTGTGTCGACCGTGGCATCAAACAGGACGTCACTGTTGGGCTCCCGGGGTACATCGTTGAACTGCCATTGTGGTGGAATGGCGTGTCTGCTTGAGAGCAGATGTGAATGTCGAGGTGCATTGTTATTATTATTGAGCTCCGGCTGACCCTCCCTCTGGGCCTCAGCTTGACCGAACTCGGCGAGCAAATCTGCAGACATCGGGGAGAGTGTAACTAGTTGGAGTGGAAGAAGTGATGACAGACGGACAGCACGGACATTACATACTCTCTCCGCCTCGGCCCCGTCGCCCTCCCTCCCTCTCTCTCTTCTCTCCTCTATCGCGCACCACAACGACTGGGATGAAATGCGATCCATTGAGGAGACCAGGTACTGGTGCATGCTAGCTTATAAAGCTATTGCTAACACTACTGCTTCTACAGAAGGAGATGGGATACGCTGTTCCACCATTATGACGACCCCTCCGATCTCCGGGCAGCCCTGCGCACCGACCAAGGCGCAACCCTGTGCAACGACGGGCTGAGATCGATCTGCTGGAAGGTGCTTCTGGACACACATCTGCATTACGGATCATTGCTCACTGCCATGGCAGGCATTTCTTCTCCTCGAGGACATCGACCGCGATCAATGGCCGCAGAAGCTGACCGAATCGCGCGAGGCCTACGATGCGCTCCGGGCCCACTTCCTGAAATACATTGAGCATCCGGATGACCTGGAGTCGACGGTTGATCCGCTGGCGGATGATGACCAGGTATTACGTGTTCATCTTCTGCTATTGCCACGCTTTGTCTGACGATATCCCCCAAGTCTCCCTGGCAAACCCTCCGCAAGGACGAACAGTTGCGCGCCGAGATCGCGCAGGACGTCGATCGGTGCTTGCAGGAGAATTTCTTTTTTCAGGAACGCGACACCAAGTCGAAATTAACCGATGTCTTGTTCATCTACTCCAAGCTCAATCCGGATGTGGGGTATCGACAGGGCATGCACGAGCTGTTGGCACCGATCCTTTGGGTGGTGGATCGCGATTCGATCACGAAGAAAAATGATGATCCGATGCAGACTCTTTTAGATTCCAAGTTTGTGGAACATGACTCGTTCACGTTGTTTCTATGTGTCATGCAGACGGCGCGCCTATACTATGAACATGGCGAGATACGTACGGCCAGTGGCCAGGTGGACGTCATTCCGATCGTTGCCCGTTGTCAGTACTTGCATAAAGAGGCATTGACGATCATCGACCATGAGGTCGCCGAGCACCTTCACGCAGTTGATGTGCTCCCGCAGATATTCTTGACGCGCTGGATGCGTCTGCTATTTGGACGAGAATTCCCCTTCGACGATGTCCTGATGATGTGGGATCTGCTTTTCGCACACGGACTACGATCCGATTTGGTTGATTTTACATGCATTGCGATGCTGCTGCGGATCCGTTGGCAATTACTCGAAGCGGACTACTCCGGCGCTTTATCTTTGTTGCTGCGCTACCCCTCCCCCCAGCCGCAAACACCTCAGAGCTTTGTGCACGATGCCCTCTACTTGGAACAGAACCCCACCGCGGAAGGAGGCTGCGCGATCATTGCAAAGTACTCTGGCCGGGCGCCGGAGTCTTCTAAGCGTCGCGGTCAGATGACCGGCCGACCTTCGAGGAAGGCCCTGTTCTGGGACGAATTCACAAACTCCAACGAGAATACCTCTCCGACGAGGTCGCCGGCCCGAAATAGCCCGAAGAGTCTCGAGGCCCTTTTCCAGGATGTTTCCAAGGGTATCCAGCAGCGAACCGAGTCCTGGGGCGTGGCGAAAGCGGTCCGCGGTGCTGTGACTGAAGCCAGAAGGAACATGCAGACCATGCATTATGAACCCGGCCTGCGTTATCACCCGCGAAAGCCGGATGGTTTCGTCCCACCGCGAACGCAACCGGCAACCCTTGAATGGGAGATGAAGCTCCAACGCTTGGAAGAGCGCAACAAGACTTTAGCCGGGAACCTTCAAGATGCGCTGAACAACCTTCACACCCAGTTGGACGGGGTCAAAGAGCTTGATCCTGGTAACAAGGATGCCATCTCGCAAGCGCTCAACCAGGCCGAGTTGGTGCAGAGCTGTCTCGCCGACTCCTCTCTTCCACTAGACTCTGTTCAGCGACTCCCAGAAATCGAGCGAACCCCCCAACCAACACCGGATCCATCGCCAGATACACCTGCCGAAGAACCCACCAGCAAGACACAGGCCGAAGACCCGCAAGACAAATCGGATACCGCGAACACGGATACCCCCGTGCCGAGCGCCGAGAGTGGGACCAAGAAGCCTGTTAGCGCCGCTGCAACGCAGCTTACGAATGATGATAATAATCAAGAAGGGGTGCGGGCCACTCCGCCACGACCGACTGTGCGGCCCTCGCTGGCGGACTCTGGTTTCTCGTGGATGCTAGGGGGCAGCAGCAGTGGGCGCAACCTGTCGGGGTTTGTCAGCTCAGTATCGGTGCCACCGGAACAGGCACGCCACCAAGACAGTACTAGTTCCCGAGGCAAAGCAAGCCCGTTGTTTGGACAAGCCGGAGATGAGGACCAGTCCGCAGCCGAGCACGACGAACTACTGGCGATGAGCAGTCTCCGGGGCAGCCGGGGCCCACTGTAGATTCTGCAGTGCTCCGATCATGATTCGGTCTTCAGCTGCTGCGCTTTTCTTATATATATTTATTCTCTCAAGGAGACAAGTCGTGCTATGTAATAATATAGCAGTGGAAACCACCTACCTAAACTACATGAAGTATATACACGATGAAGGCAAGCAGAAATACATGTTCCGTAGCGCCTCTTATCGAGTAAGTACTGACGAATCGGTTAAAGCCCATCAGAGTTAAATTTCGACGAGAGAAGGGGCCCCCTATTTTCTTTGGCATAAAGCGGATCTCCGGACACCGTTGAGAATCCCGGAGCACCGTTTATATTTGACGGGCCACGAAGTTTCGGAGTCAGCCCTAATTCTTGAACCTCTTACCTACAACTAGTAAACCATAGCCGAAAACGTATGTACCGCGCGGGTTGGAAAATGGGCCAGCCCCTAGAGATTTGGGTGTTTAGGCTTTACTTAGGTTTTTCTTTTCGTGGCGCAAGATGGGCGTTTAGATAACCAAGAAAGGAAGTCCTCCGCAGGGGTGGAGCGATCAGTACGAAAGGATTGCTATCAGCAATGTTTGAGTGTCGCTCGATGCTGCGAAGACGGGCGTGTATAACCTTGATATCAAGCTTCCTAATCTGATGGCGAAGAATGCGAATAGTCTGGGCCCTGCGGCGGACTGGAAGATGATCGACTGGGATATGGTGATTATCGGTGATGGCCAAGAACCACGGGCAGGATATAAGGGGACTTTGGGATATATGCCTCCTGGTACGAAAGTGATATCTCTTTGACGATTTGCAAGACTAACCAAAGTGATCTAGAGATGGTCAACCAACGAGACGACCCCACAAGTACTGAGTATTGGACTGCCGAGAAAGCAGTGGTCTGGAACATTGGGATGACCTTTCTTTACCTTGAGGCTCGTGATACATATGCTGGAGACGTGACCGAGGTAATGAGGGTCTTTGCAAAGAGGGTTTTTCGATCAGTCGGTCCAACCAACCCAGATGATCCGGACTGGTACTGGGTAGCTGCGGTGATAGCAGCGTGGCGAAGTTCATCTCTTGTAACTGGTGATGATTCACTGCCACCCTCTTTGCAGAAAAAAAGGGACATCTGCAAAATATAGACAATGGTTCTTGAAAGTCCTTGTTTCAGGAAGAAGATCGATACGGGTTGCAGCAAGCATGGGACGAAATGAAACCAGTGCTCACGACTGAGATAGTTCACGATCACCATCAGCGCGTGAATTCGATATCATTATGATGCATGTATATATCTGCTGGAGTCTACCAGGAAGTAATGTCAATCCATGATAGACGTGTGGACAGTGAGGGCGAACACCTACAATAATCAAATGTACAGTTTTTGTTGTTCTCCCCACTCTCTGGATCCAACCCACTCTTTTCACCCTCCCTCCCTCTTCTTCTCTTCCTCTTCTCTTTCACTCTTCCACAATTTCTCTCACTCACCACACATGGCCGGTGACTGTCGGCTTCCCTCTCTGGTCATCATTCGTGGAAATCCAATGTCGAATTAAGCCCTTCACCCCGCTCGAGCTCTCGCCCGTTGAGCCTCGTCCTTGCTTTCGCATCTGACCCTGGTCGGGGTTCTGAACAAGCGAAAAAATAGACGGACAAGAGGATGGGGTCCGCCTACCAGCCGGATGGTAAGTCATGCGCACACCCTTGTCTGGTTTCATATTGCGGCGTTCGGGTCAGTCGCCTGTGATTTGCGCGTGGCTGCGATCACGCCTCGAGGAGATCACACTGCCGGTGGAATGGAAACCTGCCGGCCGGCCCGCCATGACGATGTGCTGATCAGTCACAGACGATCCCAGTCCTTTATCGTCTCCCTTGGGGCCCCTCTCGGAGTCACCCGAGACACAGTCTCCGTTTCGAAGACTGTCCTTGCAGACAGACGTGCCCTCGAGGAGGTCGGTCGATAGCGCGTCGTCTGAATATGACCCTTTCTCCAGGTCAGTACTGTCGTCGGAATTTCTTCTCTGCAACCACCACCACAACCAGACGTTATTAACATCTGTATCTCGTGTCGGTAGATCTCCTTTATTCGAGAACGAGCATGGCCTGGGTCCGTCCGGGCTGGATCGAATCCGCCAGCATCAGCCGTCTCGTGTACTGACACTTCCAAACCTGTCCACCTCGTCGCTGGCTCCCGTGCCCGGCCAACGTGCGTCTGCATCGGCTCGTTCGCGCTCGTCGACTCGAGCCCATCCTGCCCGCATGTCGATGAGCCAGAGCTTTGGAGATCTGGAGGACCTCCATCGGTTCCCGCTGGAATCGTTGCATTCGTTTTCATTCGCTCAGCAATCAGAGGAACTCCTTCACAGCCGGCATAACATTTTGAAGCGGTCGATAGATTTCATGCGCGATCGGATGGGGTGGGCGGCCAGCAATCCCGGGATCGCCAATGCGCAGGCTCAAGTCAGTGGCGACTCGGAGATGCAGGGTATGATGGACCTGTTGACGCGAGCAAATGTCCTTGAATACGACGAGAATGGCAACCGTGTCCGAGGACCTACCACCGGACCGGCCGATATTAATGGCGACAACGTTTTCGACAAGGCTTTTTACTCGAGCTCGTCTTCGCCCAGCACTACTTACGCGCAGCAACCGCCAAGTTCTGGATCTCAGCTGGCCCCGGATAACTCTCAGATGTTGAGTCCCCTCCCCAGTGATCGTATTCCGCCCCAGCGACTGGATCTCAGAAGCGCCCCTTCGTCCAGGCGCGTAAGCTTAAAACGTACATTCACGGATCTCAGCACTGTGTCTCTCCAGAGCAAGCTGATGGAGACTCTAGCACAACCATACACTTCCACGGACCCGTTCGCCTCGCTCAGCTCATCGATGAATGGACTGGGGTTGGGATTCCCAACTCCCGCCTTACATACCCACAGCAGCAAATGGACCCCGGTATCCCAGGCCGTCTTCCGGACGGAAGCCCAGGCACCATGGACTATTCTGGCCGCCAACGATCTCTCCTGTCTTGTATTCGGTGTGACGCAGTCCGAAGTCCGCCGCCTCAGTATTCTAGAGGTCGTACAGAAAGATCATCGGCAATGGCTCGAAGACAAGCTCCGTGATCCCAGCACCGACGCCACAGCCCGTGCACCTCTGCCGCAGCCGGATAGACCCAATATCCGCGCGGCCAACCCCAAGTTCCGGGCCCTCGGGAACGGGGTGACGGCACAGCTGCTGAGTAAACCATCTTCCCGGGAGAAAACACAACGCTCCAAGACCGACGATGGGTATGGATCCAGCACGAGAAATGTTCGCAATCCTAACCATCCGGCGACTAAGTCACGCGGCGTCCTGTTGTGCGGCGATGTGGTTCCGATCCAGAAACGTAATGGCTCGAAGGGATCGGCCAGTGTCTGGGTTATGGAGAAGCGCGGTGGCTTGATCTGGGTGTTGGAAGAGATCACGGAGAACATTGCCTCTGTGCGCTGTGATGACAGTTGGCATGTGGTGGAAGTCCATGGGGATGTCGACAAGATTTGGGGTTCGTCGATCGTCAAACCGAACCAGTCGATCACCGAGCTTCTGCCCCGGTTACCGTCCGAGTGTCTCGAAGGATCAACCGAGGAAGGATTAGCTAAGATCACCGAGTTGAAGCACTTTGCAGCAAACACTTCGGCCGGTGTGTGTATCCCTGTTGCTGTGACCAAGGCAGAAGGGGATCGCACGCTTCAAGTATCAAGCTTCCCCCACGTTGCCGGTATGATGGTGCTATCATCTGCGAGTTTGAATGTGATCAGCTCCAACTCTGTGTTCTCGTCGGCACTATTCGGCCAGGAACGTCCGGAAGGCAGGCATATCACCGAACTGGTGCCCGGGTTTGACGATATTTTGGATATATTGACCGAGGAGGACAATGTGCCCTTGGTGGACGGTATTGTGATTCCTGAACACAGCTTCCGGCGCGCGCGGACGTTGTCAATCCTGCGTGATGGCAAATCCAATGCGGCGTCTGTCTTCACGGAGCCTAGCGGTCTGCTGGCCAAGCATCGGGATGGGTCGACCATTGTTGTGGATATTCAACTGCGGGTTGTCAAGAGTGGTACCTTTTTCTCGAAGGAGCAGGTCGAAAAACTCAGCGATCTCAGCAGCGACTCGGATGACAGTGACGACACCATTGCTGTCACGGAACTGGTCTATGCCTTGTGGGTCACCTATTCGCGACATATCCATGCTGCCGGAGCTGCGGCGACCCTCTCCACGGCGTCGTCGCTGCCAACCTCCAAACCTACGTCTCCAAATCCCATTGCTACGGCGGATCTCCCGGCCCCGATGTCCTCTGATACGCCATCTCCGGATCCGGGCACGCCTTCTGTGGAAATCCAGGCCCCGACGACGACGCTCAGCCAACAACTCACGCAGGCCGCATCGGAGCCGCTGATCGACCGATCTGTCCAGCCAGTCCCCGAGGTGAATCTGCTCAATGCGAAGAAAGAGCCTCCACAGAAACGGACCATCAACGACTACGTGATTTTGGAAGAAATGGGCCAAGGTGCATACGGGCAGGTCAAGCTGGCCCGATTGAAGAAGCAACCCAGCAAGAAGATGGTGCTCAAGTACGTCACGAAGAAGCGGATTCTGGTGGATACCTGGACTCGAGATCGCCGTCTGGGGACTGTGCCGTTGGAGATCCACGTGTTGGACTTTTTACGGCCAGACGGCCTGAAGCATCCGAATATTGTGGAGATGGTGGGCTTCTTCGAGGACGACATCAACTACTACATCGAGATGATCCCGCATGGGCTGCCGGGCATGGACTTGTTCGATTACATCGAGCTCAAGGCCACCATGGACGAGTCCGAGTGCCGCAACATCTTCAAGCAGGTTGTCAGCGCGATCCACCACCTACACACCAAGGCGCTGGTGGTGCACCGGGACATCAAGGATGAGAACGTGGTGCTGGACGGCGAAGGGCGGATCAAGTTGATCGACTTTGGCAGTGCGGCGTACATCAAGAACGGGCCGTTTGACGTGTTCGTGGGAACGATCGGTCAGCCTTCTTCCTACCCATTGCTTATTGCTTTGCTAATTCTGTATCAGACTACGCCGCCCCCGAAGTCCTGCAGGGCAAATCCTACCGCGGCAAGGAGCAGGATATCTGGGCCCTGGGGATTTTGTTGTACACCATCGTCTACAAGGAGAACCCGTTCTACAACGTCGACGAAATCCTCGACCACCCGCTGCGCATCCCCTTCCTGCCTTTCTCGGAAGAATGCATCGACTTGATCCGCAAGATGCTGGACCGCGACGTCGACAACCGGCTAACCGTTACGGAGGTGCTTGAACATCCTTGGATGCTGGGCACATAACACCGCCCCCCAACAATTTCTTTCTATACTATGCCTTTTCTTTTTTGTACGACCGAACTAACTAAACATCACAACACACTACACCACCCCACGATACCCCACAGAGTTGATTTTGCTTATGAGAAGGAAGGACTGGAGCGGATGGGGCGGGAGGGTATCAATGACTGGTTTGACGCGACGGCGGATGAAGATATGCTTGCGATGACCGCCATGTTTCCGGATTTTCTTCTTCTTTTTCCTGTTCGTTACTGGGAGAGTTGCCTTGCATTCCATCTAGACCACGCATATGAATAATTGGTAGTCCACACATGAATATACATGATGCTCCTAAACCACTAGGGATCTGTAGTTCCTCGCACGGAGACTAAATTAGCCGATCGCCGTTGTGAGTGGAGACAAGACACCCTCTCTGACCCGATTGCGCTAATAACGTTAGTCCTAATTCACCGACCTGAGTACTAAATATCGCCTCCACCAAGGGCAGTCTGTGCTGGATATACAATTCTCCGCGTCTCAATCCACGGCTCCGCTCGTTTTTCCCCCGCAAGGGAGTGGGCGGTGGCGCAACAGAGACCGAGTTAGGTAGGGACCGTCCAAGGCAAAAATGCCGACCGGCTGGAGTAATCTGTATGAATGTCAGCATGGCACCAGACGCGGCCCAATAATAATCGCGGATCGTTGTGGTTTTTGCCCCGGTGAGTTATGTAGTTGGTTAGGCCAGGAACGAGAACCAGGTTGGTCTCACCCTGGTTATGCGGTGGAGTCGCATTCTCTCTTTCCCCGGTGTCGAGGTCAGTGGGTGTGGACTGAGCGTCGTCAGCCGGTGAGCGAAGTCCAGTCTGAGTTCAGGCTAGTTGGCTACGAAGGACGGATAGAGTGAGTGGTGGGGCAGATAAGACAATAATCGAGGGGAATCACTGCGACTGGCCCGTGACCCGGCACTCTTTCTGGACTGCTGGCATTCTTCTTACGCTCTTCCTCTGCTCTTTCTTTCTTTCTTTCCTCCCTAGCCTGTTTGCTCTTCTCGGCCCACACTCGGTACGTCGAGACGGTTAAACGTCACTCGTGCCCCATCCCGCTGGTCCAGTCCGGCCTTTTCCACGGTTTGACTGCCCGCGAGGGCCCGACATTACATATCTGGTCCAACCTCCCCCACTTTTTTTCCACCCTGATTTGTACTGTTCGTTTCACTCGCTCGACGGCAAGTGGTCTGGTATCACTATGTGCACTTAGGCCCTGCGCTACTATCCTGCGTGCGCCGTGTCGCTACATTTCCTCGAAATCATATCCGTCGATATCACCACCAGCATGGCTTCGGCTGCTGCTGCTGACCGGGTGTCCGGCGACATCGCGCCGGCGCCGTCGTCTCTACCCTCACCATCTCCCTCGCCCGAGATCTCCCCTGCCAGCCCGACCTCATCGACGGGCCAGATCCCGCTCGAACAACCGCCCAAGCTGAAGGGTCGCCAAAAGCTGCTACAGAATCTCCAGCGCATGTCGTCCAGCCCGACGCTGACCCGGCGGGGTCGGTCTGCGTCAACGACGGGCTATCGGCGCGATCACAAGGCTTCGCTGTCGTGCGTCTCGTTGTCATCTCAGTACTCGCCCTGTCTGCCGAACGGCAGTTCCTCGCAGCTGTATGGCGGGTTGAACCCTCGTCCTGCGACACCGGGCTGTTCGGGATCGGCCGGTATGGGAACGGCGGATGGTCTGAACCCGCGGATCCGGCTCGTGGGCACCGATTCGCCTGCTTCGGGACAGCCGCGCTCGGTGCCGATGCCCTTTGATTTGAGGCCGACATCGCGGGAGGCTCCGTGGACGGAGAATACGACTGAGGAGGGGGAGGCTTCTACTTCTGCGACGCTCCCAGACTCGCAGCCGGCCAAGCGGCTTGATTTCTGGGGGGATATGCCGCGCGAGCTGAAGATGGAGATCTTTCGGTATCTCGCGCCAAGGGAGATTGTGCGCTGTTCTGCGGTGTCGAAGTTGTGGAATGAGATGTGCTACGATGGTCAGCTGTGGTCCAAGGTTGACACGACGGAGTACTACCAGAAGATCCCGAGTGATGTTCTGGTCAAGCTGATTACCTCTGGTGGACCGTTTGTGCGAGATCTCAATCTGAGAGGATGCATCCAGCTGCGAGAGAAGTGGTCCTCGGATGGGGAGCGACTTTCGGATCTGTGTCGGAATCTGGTTAACTTTTCGCTGGAGGGCTGTCGCATCGATAAGACGTCTATCCACTACTTCCTGCTGCGGAATCCTCGCCTGGCGTGCATCAACGTGTCGGGTCTGTCCAGCGTGACGAACTCGGCTATGCGGATCATTGCGCAGTCATGCCCGCAGCTGGAGAGGCTGAATGTCTCCTGGTGCAACAATGTTACCACCAAAGGTCTTCGACGGGTCATCCAGGATTGTGAGCTGTTGACGGATCTTCGGGCCAGCGAGATTCAGGGCTTCGACGATGAAGAGTTCGCCGTAGAGCTATTTGAACGCAATACACTCGAGCGGCTCATCATGAGCCGCACCGATCTCAACGACCAGTTCCTCAAGGCACTCATTCAGGGCGTCAACCCGGCCATGGACGTACTGACCGACCAGCCCATCGTCCCACCTCGACGATTCCGACATTTGGATATGCACCAGTGCTCCGACCTAACGGACGACGGGCTGAAGAGTCTCGCCCACAACGTCCCCGATCTCGAAGGGCTGCAAGTATCCCAGTGCTCCGAGCTGACAGACGCCTCGATCATGGACGTGATCCGCACGACGCCCAAACTGTCTCACATTGAACTAGAAGACCTCGAGCACCTCACCAACAGCACGCTCATCGAGCTCGCCAAATCCCCCTGCCGCGAGACCCTCGAGCACCTCAACATCAGCTATTGCGAAGCCCTCGGCGACTCGGGCATGCTGCAGGTGATGAAGAACTGCCCGCGCATCCGCTCCGTCGAAATGGACAACACCCGCGTCTCGGACCTCACGCTCATGGAAGCGAGCTTCCGCATCCGCCGCCGCGGCTACGGCGAAGCCATCCCGCAAGTCGGCATGCGGCTCGTGGTCTTCGACTGCGCAAACGTCACCTGGGCTGGCGTGAAAGAAGTCCTCTCAAGCAACGCATACATCCCCCGGACGCGCAAACCCGTGGCTTCTCCAACAATCGTCACCGTCACCCAAACCTCCCCAGACTCCAGATCCGCATCCCCCATGACAACAACGACGACATTCGTCACGCCATCTTCCACGCCATCGCTCTCGCCATCACCCTCGCCAGACCCAACACCAACATACCCGGCGGAGATCATCCAGCTGAAATGTTTCTACGGGTGGCAGATGACTGTGGACGAGCACACGAAACGTGTTCTGCGCGGCGACCTCTCGTCCGCGAGGCGGCTGGACCGCAAATGGGCTGATTATATGATGGCTACTGAGGAGGCGGGCGCGGCGGGAGCGGGCGCGAGACGGAGGAGACGTCGCGCGAGAGAGGCCGAGAGGCTTTATAATGCTGATGAAGATGAGGCAGAGGATGCTTATGGCTTGGGGGGCATTTCGGCGCTGACTGGGAGGAGGAGGGCGCAGAGTGGGGGTTGCATTGTTATGTGATTGATGCAGGCCGTCGTCTCCAGTCCGCACCTCCGGTCGTCACCTCCAGCTTTTGACGGAAGATGGCCTATTTCGAGCCTAGGTCTTTCCTCTCTCCAGCAGATGTTTTCTCTCTTCCACCCTTTCCGATCCACCATCTACAATTTTTGACAAACACTATCATTTTGTCTACTGGCGCTGGCTCGCTAGTATCTCCATCATTGCAGCGCAAGACCAACACCACACTACACACACAAGGCTGGCCCACTACACATCCACGACCTTTTCAAGATTACGATAAACGCTGCACACGATTACGTCCTTTCCCCCTTCTTTCCCTCCTCTATCTCCTCTATCGCCTTCAGAAACTGGCCTTTTTCACTATGAGACACTATGAGAATCGAACTAGTCTTTGCTGCTTATTTCCTCGATGGAATTCTATCTCTCTCCCCCTCCCCCCTTCTCTCTCTCATATCTGTTCTGTTCTTTTTATTTTTCTTTTTCGTTTGTCGTTCAAGCATGAAGCATATCTTGCCTCTCCCTTTACCTACGAGCTCGAATTGAATTGAATTCCGGTTTGATTTTATATCATTTCTTTTTCTTTCCTTTCCTACTTCATCTTTCATATTCTGCCTGCTACTTCTACACCATAACACAACACAATACACAATATCACTCACTCGGACTAGGTGCTTGTCTTTTCTTTTCTTTCCACTATCTACTTCACTCCAGTCAACACAGTTCACTTTCATGCGGTTATGATTATTTTTTCTCCTTTGGTTCACCCTCCCCCCTTCTGTTTTGTCACGGTCATGGTCATCTTCACTAGCATATGTAGAGGGTGGTTGGGGTTGTTGGCGAATATTATCAGTGTTTTCTTTTGCGTTGAATTAGGTCAATGTTGAAATGAATTTGGATTTTAGTCAAGAATCAGAATGATCCTATTTCCCTGTATTATCAGAAACAGATAGTCCCAGTCGGTTTACGACCAAGGAGGATGTTTTCGGGCCGTAGGTCGCCATGGCAAGAAGGTGGATCTCACTGCGCTCACACCCAGGGCATGTGGCTTCGAGTGTAGACAGGGCTCGCCAAAGCTTAACTTTGGGTTAGAAAAGCAGCATAGTCATGAAGAATGAATACTCGGGAAATTATACAGCGAAGAAGAAAATGACAATCCATCCAAGTATCATTAACAGGGCTACGACCTAGATACAACCCAAGGAACCAGCTAACGGTACAGACGGCCAGTCAAATTATTGACAGAAACATGAACAACAGAAGAAAGCCTCTCGATCTTGAGATCAAGATCAGGTGAACGTCGGATGAGTATTAGGTCAGACCCGGCTGAGCGGGGAGAATCACCCGAGCATACACAGACCGGTTAGAAGCAACGACGGACAGGAAGAGATCCTCCATAGGCAGGTCATCCAGCGAGAAGCCAGGCCGAAGAATGATGTTGGGAGGCAGCTCAAGATACAGCTGCGGGTACGCGGTCTGGAGAAAGCCCGTCTTGTCGTAGAAGTCCATGATGGCGTGCGCAACACCCTTGGGACGGAAGAGGACGAGGTCGTGCAGAATCCGGACGTGTGTGTTCTTGATGTCAAGGTTCAGCAGGCTCAGCGCGTGGGCACTGGACTGCTCGTTGGTGTCGCCGGCATCACGGGCACGGTGCTTCGCCCTGCCGCCGTGGTAGATCAGCATCATGTTGCGGAACAGCTGGTGGGTGCCTGGGTAGTGGTGCATGAACATGGCGCCGAAGTTGGATGTCATAGTGCGCTTGTTCATGTAGACTAGATTGGAGGCCTGGACATGCAGCGGCAGGTAAGGCACTTGGCCCGGGGCCGGGACTTGTGCGGTGGCCTGCGCATTGGCAAGAGTGGTGGCACCAGGGGGCGCGTGGGTAATGATCCGGATGTTGGAAGCAGCGATGGCCGCCCGAGCAGCGGCAACGAGACGCCGAGCCCCGGAGTGGCCGATCTGCAGGTGGATGGTGGCCTGGGGGGTGGTACCAGCGTGGGCCAACTGAGTAGCAGCAAGAAGGACAGACTGAGCGGCAGGATTGGCGAGCTGCAGGCGGATAAGGCCCTCTGTGTCGATCACTGTGGACCGACTATCACCGGCGCCGTCGGTGGACTCGATACTGATCTGGTTGCCCATATCGACAGTATCTTGAGCAGGAGCCTCGGGAGTTGGCTCGGGGGTCGCGTTTTCAGGCGTGAAGTTGAGGTAGTCGGTGAAAGAGAAAGACTCTTGGTCGTTGTCAGCAGACTGGACAGCGACGGGCTGAGCGAGCAGATTGACGGGAGTGGCCACGGGATAGTCGACGGAGAAGGTGGGAGCAAAAGAGGTGGAGTTGGAAAGGGAAGAGGGAAGAGAAGGATGGAAAGGAGGAGAAAGAAGAGAAGAAGGAAGGGGGCTGGCGCTGGCAACGGATGAAGGCATTGAGTCGCGGCGCTTGGTAATCGAGACATGAGACTGGAGGGCGCTGGCGATGTCGTTGGCGATGTCATCGGCGATGTAGTCGTCGATGATGTTCGGCATGCGCTGCTCCTGGTCTGGCTCAGGCTTGGGTTCCGTAGCAGCCCAATCCATCTCGTGGATCTGCTTCTCACTCAAGGCATTGATGGCATCCTTCTCCTGTGCATGGTTGTCGCCATCTTCATTGTCTTCGTTCTTGGCCTGCTCTGGCTCAGATTCCGTAGCAGGCCAAATCATATCGCTGAGCTCCATCTTAATCAGGGCGTTCACGGCATTCTCCTGTGAACAACCCTCCTGTGAAAACCTGTTACCATCTTCCTTGCCTTGGTTCTTGATGTTGTTGTCTGCAAGAGTTCCTCCTAGCACCGTGATCGGACCATGCGGATCCTCCTCTTGCTCTGGTTCCATCTCATATCCAAGAGGCCAGGGTACAGTCTCATTGACATAAGGCTTGTCGACCATAGTCTGAAAGTCAAAGCCCTCGACCCACTCCTGGAAGTAATCCTTCTTCATCTGGGCCGTACCAAAACCATCGTGCGGGTGCGGACCACAGGTCACATGGTAGCCTTGAAACTTGCACAGCGGAAAGATAAAAGCATGACCAGCACCTCGGGGCAGGACAGCACACAGGTGGTGTCGAGAAGCCATGTAATCAGGGTGAAGGTCCTTCTCCCAGGGCGAAGGCAGCTCTTTCATGCTCGGCGTGTGGAGTCGCAGCTGGCGATCGAGACTGCGAGGCAGAGCCACTGCAGAAGCGGGAGCAAGGACCGCCCCGATGGACCAGATGGCGGCATGCTTGCACATGCCCCAATCCTTGACACGCAGCTTCCAGCCAATGTATCGAGCATGCTCGCGGCCAGTGAGGATGTAGTAACCACGGTAAACAGGGAAGAACGGCAGGCCATGAGCCCAAACAATAACCGGCGGGCCAGATGGCACACGATTAGTGCGGATGTCGCCCTGGACCGTGAAGTCGTAGGGCCAGTACGAACCACGCGCCTTGGCAGGAATGTACTTGACAGCCAGGTAGACCAGTTCATCAGATAGTCGGGTGTTGGCAGGCGGGAAGTCCGGTTTGTTGTCACGCCAGGTCACTTCGATCACGAGCTTTAGCTGGATCCGATCAACTTCGTTCGCAGGATTCTCGCCGGGGCCATCAGATGGCTGCCAGATCACATCGGGGAAGTGCCTAAGCTCCAAAAGGCTGCTTATGCATGACTGCCGGAGAGTCTTCAGTCTTGCGGTGAAGTTTGCGGCTTCTTCGACTGGGCAGGCCATCATCGCATTTTTGATAATGTTTTTGATATCGCTCATTTTGAAGGAATGCGTTTCACAAAAGCAATACAAAAGATAGGGGCAAAATGAAAGAAAACACTGTGAGCGGGTGGGTGTGAAAGAGGGATGGGAGGTGTTAGGGATTGTGCGAAAGAGAAAGGTGGTGGTGAGGATAGCCGAAAAGGCAGGAGGGGAGATCAGATACAGCCATGTTAACAAACAGCCTGTGCGATAATCGATAGCCCTATCGATATTAGAGGGAGAGAAAACAGCCTGGACGAATATAACCTTAAACTAGTATGTTTAGCATTGGATATCAATATCAGACAATGAAGATAATCGACAGGACACATCACTCCTCGAAGAATCCTCCATCACTATCCTCCTCTACCGGTGGCTGAGGCACCTTGCGCATCTTCCGGCCCTGTTCTTGCTTCTGCGTTTTGTGATTCCTGCCTCCTTCTTGGTCACCCCGACGAGAGGCCTGTTTTTCTTTGGTTGACGGAAGAGTCTCTTTGGGCTTTTCTTTCTTCAACTCAATCGGTTCGCCATTGGCATTTATGTTCAACTTGCCCTCGCGAAGCTGATCGAGAGTTCCCTCGTCCATGCACTTGGCCACCACTGACCAAAGTGCAGGCTTTGCATTCTTGCTTGCAGGCTCCGTCTCAGGATCAGACTCTGCCGGCGTTTCACCAGATGTCTGGTCTTTGGATTTCGGGTAGAGAGAAATGTACTTCTCCGTGAGAGGATAGTAGATGGTATAGTTGAGATTGACCCGAGCAGCCTGAATCTTTTTTGCAAGGCGTTCCTTCTGACTCGGAGTTAGGCCTGGCTCCTTCTCTCGGCGTTGCAGTTGTTTGAGATCCTTGGTGGCGGTTTTGCGATCTGGAAGCCGCAATGTCGTTAGCACTGGACAAGAGTCATGGCAGAACACCAATACATACCGAGGAATCGCACAAAGTGGTATTTTTTGATCATCTGCGACCGCTGTCGTCGGGCCGTCTCCTCCGCCAGATCCTGCTCGTACCCTGCCAGCGCGCGTTGCTGCACGACACGCGCATCGGCGGGCAAGTCCGGCTTGTTGAGGAGGCGTTTCACATCGCGGATTCGCCTCTTCAGATCGTTGACGGAGGGATAGTTCTTTTCTTGTGGCGCGGGTTGGTTCTTGGACTTGGCGGCTGGTTCTGGGCTCTCCGAGTCTTCCTCTTCGTCCTCGCTGGGTGCCTTGCGATGCAGCTTCTTGCGCGCAGGCAGCACATCCTCACCCCCCTCGAGCTGTCGGCTCTTTCGCTTTTGCGGATCGCGTTGTTTGGTCCCAAACATTGTTGCTGCGTTGAGGAGGAACGTTGAATCAAAGAAGGAAAAAAAGATCTCGGGTCATCCATCGGGCCGACACATCCCCAGATCGCAGGTCCGACGATAACGACGATAACATCATCGACAACCCTCGAGAGCTCATGGAGTCCGCCATTCGCTGGTCGCCGTCCTCGTCGGCCGCAGAGCAGCGGTTTCTGTCCGTCGACGTCACGGGCAAGTCGTTTCGACTGTGCAAGGTCACCGGCTTCAATGGGAGAACATTGCGGCACGAGGTGCTGTCGACGCTGACCGACGTCCCGCTCTTCCGCGCATTCGACTGGTCGACCTCCAATGAACACCTGATCGCCGTCGGACAGTCCTCCGGAGAAGCGACTATTCTGCGTCTGGATGGCAATTCCAAGGAGTCTCTCTCGTTTCCCGTTCGCAACCAGCGCTACTGCAATGCCGTCGCGTTCAGCACGCACGGTCTGGTCGCGTCGGGACTCGACCGCGTCCGCAACGACTTTTGTCTGAATATCTGGGATGTGAACCAGCGACTCAGTCTGACTGGTGGGAGTAAAGGGTTTGCCGAGCCTCTGCGGAAATTGGCCAGCTCGGAGCCGATTACCAGCATCAAGTTCTTCAGGGATCAGCCGGATACCTTGGTAACCGGTGTCAAGGGCCAATTTGTTCGGATTTGTGACTTGAGAGGTTGGTCACTTGTGAGATTGTCCTATGGCCGCAGCTAATCGAAGTTTTCAGAGGCACCGGGAAACCCATCTCTCCAATTTCCCACACGCTGCGTACACAATCTGGCCATTGACTGGCTCGATGAGAACTACATCGCGTCCTGTGCCACGTCCAACGAAAGCACCATCTGCGTCTGGGATCGACGCGTGGGAACCCGCCTGGCGTCGCCGTCCATTGGTCCTTCCTCCAGCAGCCCGGAGACGGGCCAAGCCGCGGCGGCGTTGCAATTCAAGAACGTGTTCAACGCCAAATCGTCAATCTGGAGCTTGCGCTTCTCCAAGTCCAACCGAGGCTGTCTTGGTGCTCTCGCGAGCAATGGGCATTTCAAGACCTACGATATCGCCAAGGATTACTTGTCTGAGGAGGTCCGTTCTTCGATTGATGAGACATTAGGCCAAGGTTCCTTCAGGAACTACCCGGAGCCGGTGTACACCAAATTCGTGCGAGATGTTTGCTCTCCATTCGACCATCCCTCCCGTGGATGCGAAGAAAAGGAAAGAGTCGTGTCGTTTGATTTCCTGAACCTTAACATCTCCCCGCAGCCGAGTGCCATTGCATTGGACGGGAACGGACAAGCACAGATTCTGACACTCCGGCCGCCATGTGCGCCTGTCGACCTATCATCACAAGGTGCCTTGGCCTGTGGCGTTTCATCTGATGAGTCCGATGTTCGAACCATCCATCCTCTATCCGAACACATTTCTCCCGTCTCCCAGCTGGTTCAAAATATCAAATCACGAGTTCTTTCCAGCCCAAAGATGTATAGGACAGACCAGTCATCTACATCGAGAGTGATCGTGTCAGATCCTATTCCCAGTCGTGAAAGTAGAGAACGCGCGATATCATTAGGGACCCTTGGGACTCTTTTAACTGCGAAGGAGGCTCTCACTCTGTCTACTCTTGCACGCTTCCGATGCAAAGAGGGGTATCTTTTTGACGAGGAACACAACCAACAAATTCTGGCGGATGATCCGGCTCTACAGGACTTTTGGGATTGGGTCGAGCGTGAGTTTTTGACAGATCATCCATGTGCAGGGGTCTAATATTACTTTCAGGTGCGCGGACAGACTCGTCCGGAATGTCCATGGTTGTCAATGGCCTGGATCTGAATTATCTTGGTGTGCACAATGTATGGAACAACGACCTAGGTACGTATTGCTTTGCTACAGAGTATGATGACACCGGGCTGATAAGAACAGGCCGAGGCTTTGAGAAACGGCGCATCAGCACCAAGGCTGACGACCCGACAAGTGTAACCGAGGCCGTGGTGTCACTAGTTGGACAGTTGAATCTCTCGGAACAAAAGGGCTGTCAGACCGCATACCCAGAACACCGTCGGCTCTGTCTCCGTCTGTGCGGCGCGACTCAATCACACCGTGAATTGGAAGAACTGGTGAAGAACCTCTCCGCCGACAACCAGCATACTAAAGCAGCGGCACTAGCTGTCTTCCAGGACGAGCCCAAGCTTGCATACCAAGGCCTTCGCAGCCACGAGCCCACCCAAGCTCATAAGCTGCTCGCGATGGCGATTGCGGGTGCTGCGAAGGGAGAGAATGATGCGGACTGGGAAGAAACATGCGCGGAGATTGCCAAGGAGCTCACAGACCCGTATTCAAGAGCGATCCTGGCTCTGGTGAGCAAAGGCGACTGGAACGCAGTCATCAAGGAGACCACTCTGCCCTTGAAATACCGTGTGGAAGTGGCACTCCGCTGGCTCCCCGACGACGAGCTCACCGCGTATCTCAAAGACGCCACGGCCGAAGCAATCCACCACGGCGACATTGAGGGCACAGTGCTCACTGGTCTTGGTCATCTCGCCATGGGTCTGTTCCAGTCATACATCGACAAATTCAATGACGTCCAAACCCCGGTGCTAGCCATGAGCCACACCGTGCCGCGACTAGTCAGCAACCGCGCTAGCATCGCACAATTCGAAGCCTGGCGCGAGACATACCGCCGACAGATGAACTCCTGGAAACTCCAGCTCGAGCGCGCCCGGTTCGACGTCGGCTCTCGCAACTTTGCCATCACCGTCGACGGCCGCAAGTTGGTCCCTGCCCCGCCGCAGCAAGTCAGCCTCACCTGCAACTACTGCACGCGCCCGCTAACCCAGCACGACGCCTCCTCGGAGCTCTCACCCTCCACGGCCGAAACGGTTCATCAGACGGCGGGCAATCCGCTCGGCGGATCTTCGACCATGTCGGGGACGGTCTGTCCGCGCTGCGGGAGACATATGCCGCGGTGTGGCGTGTGCACGCTCTGGCTGGGCGCGCCGGACCCGATGTCTCGCGCGGGTATTGCGGCGGATGCGGATGCTAAGCCCAATCATTCGCGCAAGGTCAGCGAGGATCAGGTTATGCGGAGGTTTGTGGTGTTCTGCATCCATTGCAACCATGGGTTCCACGCGCATCATGCTCGAGACTGGTTTCAGCGGCATAAGGTGTGTCCGGTGGCGGAGTGCAGTTGTATCTGCGATCGATGATTATAGGTATTTTCTGGTGGTCTTGTCTTGTCTTGTCTTGTTGATTTGGCGCGCGTTGGATGTACTTTATACCCCCAGTTTCTCTCTTGGTTCTAGCTCGGAGCCAATGATGTCAATCTCCGTCTTGGCGCCCGCAGCCCACCTTCAACCTTTTCCAACTGTAGTTACTTCTTCCTCAGGCACCGACGTAATAGCTTCGCTCCGGCGACTCTGAGTGAGTCACACGTATCTGATCCTTGCACATTTCACTCTGACAGACAGAAAGTCTGCCCGCTAGACAGAGCGCGCACCACCGAATCATTTCACACCAGGACAGCCCTCACAACCCGCAACACTGAAAAATGCCCAATCCAAAAGACAAACGGGCCCGCCAGCCCCCTAGTCGCGATGTACAAATTTCCAAAGCACTGAGCCATCTCCTCCGCCATGCGGCCGAGAAGGAGGGCGTGAAGATGACGGCGCAGGGGTATGCCAATGTCTCCGATGTGGTGTGTACCTGGCCTACCTTTGCTTCGCGAGCAGAGCTCTCTACTAATGCCGTGATGGTTCCAGCTAAACTGGCGCAAGCTCAAATCCCTCAAAACCACATTCCCTGAGATCCTCCACGCCGTTGCCTCTTCGGATAAGCAGCGTTTCGCACTGTTGCACATTCCCTCCGCCGAGAGCAGCAACACCACAAAAGAAGAAGAAACACAAGGACCAACACCCTCAGCTATCGACTCCGCCTCAACCACCGAAGCGCAACAAACCGCCACATCCACCGCGCTCTCTGTGACAGACACCAACCCCTCGCACTTTCTCATCCGCGCCACGCAAGGCCACAGCATCAAAAGCGTGGAGGCGGCTTCATTCCTCGAGCCACTTTCTCTGGATGATGAGTCTAAATTACCCACTACCGTCGTGCATGGTACTTTCCACGCTGCGTGGCCCTTGATTCTTAAGTCTGGGGGGTTGCGCTGTATGAAGAGGAATCATGTGCATTTCGCTACAGGACCTCATCTTGATGATGTACTTTCGGATCCTACTGATAGGACGGTACATCACTCAAAAGATCAAGAAGATCAAAAAGATGACAGCCAGAAAGAAAAAGCAAAAGCAACCAATGAAGAAAAAGATAGAGAAGGACAAGTAATCTCCGGAATGAGGCGCGACGCACAGGTCCTTATCTACATGAACCTCCGCAAAGCGCTAGCAGCGGGAGTTCCATTCTGGAGGAGCGAGAACGGGGTTATTCTGAGCGAGGGCGTGTCGGTGAATGGCGAGCAGCTCGTGTCGCTGGAGTTTGTGAATGTGGTTGTAGAGCGGAAGATGGGACTGGGTAAGATTTGGGAAGGGGGCAGGGTGGTTAAGGAGCTACCTGCGAATTTGAAGAGACGATAATAAACAGTTAGGTACTTCATACGAATAAGAATAAACCAGCATACCAATAACTATGAGTACCTCGCGTATAGCTCCACTGATTAATTGGTTAGTCACATCCGACCCCCGCGTCGGATACGGACCTCATCCGACCCTCGCCGCCCGATCCGAATTTCTCATGCGGGGAATTATGGCAGGGCCAGAATAAGCAGCCTGTCTTTCCGTGCGAGCCGTGCGCTACAAAATAGATGGGGTTCCGACGGATCATATTATCATAAATATAAAGCTGCCACCAACACGTTGCACTTATGTACTAGTCCTAACTACGGCCACTATCACCACCACCACAACCTAACCAAATATCCCACAAAATGGCGACGCATCGCTTCAACCCCAACTTCACAGACAATGTCATCAACGCGATGGGCCCAAAGACCACGCCGCGCATGCGCCAGCTGATGACAGGGCTAATCAAGCACGTGCACGACTTTGCGCGCGAGAACGAGCTCACAGTGGACGAGTGGATGGCCGGCGTGAAGATGCTGAACTGGGCTGGGCAGATGAGCGACGATAAGCGGAATGAGGGACAACTGGTTTGCGATGTCATTGGGTTGGAAAGTCTCGTCGACGAAATCACATTCACCCTCGCCGACGAGGCCAAAGACGCGCCCACCGCAACCGCCATCCTAGGCCCGTTCTTCCGCGCCGATACACCCTGGCGGGAGAACGGCGAGGATATCGTGAAGACGAAGCCGGCGGATGGCGAGATGGCGTACATGCATGGACAGGTTGTCGATTTCACGAGCAAGAAGCCGCTCGTTGGCGCGACGGTGGAGGTGTGGCAGGCGTCGACGAATGGGTTGTATGAGCAGCAAGACCCCCAGCAGGAGGAGTTTAATCTGCGTGGCAAGTTTCGCACGGATGAGCAGGGGAGATATGGGTTTTATTGTTTGAGGCCGACGCCGTATCCGGTTCCTGATGATGGTACGCCTATTTCCTTTTTTATATAGATACTGGGTTGGGGATATACTGACAGACTCTATAGGACCCGCGGGCAAGCTCCTCGAGCTAATGGACCGTCATCCCTTCCGACCAGCTCACATTCACATTATTGTATGCTCCCTCTCTCCCCCTTTTGTTCTCTCTTATTGTATATTACATGCTCACATTGATATGCCCAGGCCACCAACCCCGGCTACCGCCCTCTCACAACGCAAATCTTCGACCGCAAGGACAAGTACCTGGACAACGACTCCGTCTTCGCGGTCAAGGATTCCCTGGTCGTGGACTTTGTGCCGCGCACGGGTGATCCGCAGGCAGCCCTGGAGCTGGAGTATGATGTTAAGCTTGTGGCGAGTGACAGTGCATAGTGCAAGGTTTATCTGGGGTGATTCAATGTTGTCTTGACGATAGCGTTTCGTGATATAGTCTTTCTTCCTTGTTTGATATTGACTGGAACCTAGCTACTGGGATTCTTCATCTATGCTATACTCCATGCAATAACTAGTCCAGTAAGTAAATAAACTCATTCCTCACAGATAGATGAAACCAGATAGACCTTTAAACATCCCCCTGATCTTCACTCCTCCAGACCGCCACCTCCCCAACAAACCTCGCAATCAAACCCCCCACATCCTCAGGCGCCTCAATACAATGCCAATGCCCCACCCCCTTAAGAACCTCCATCTGCTTCCGCTTGCTAGACACATGCTCATAGATATGTCTGCACCCATCCATGGAGGCACTCTTATCCTCCTCGCCGGCAATCAACAGGAACGGCGCCCGCACGGCAGCGTAGTCTGGCGCCGGGGCGGAGGCAATTGCGCGACATAGCGCCGCGTATCCAGCCGGTTGCTGGCCGAGAATTAATTCGCGGATGAAGGCGCGTTGCAACGGGGTGCTCTGCGAGCCGACGGCGGCGGTGGGGATGGTGTTTGCCATTGGTTCCATTCCTCCTATAAGCTTATTAGCATATGTATATCAAAGAAGATGATGATGAAAGGAGAACACTCACCCTCCAAAACAGTCTCCGCCCTCTTCCCCATAACACTGACCAACGTCTCACTCGGATGCGTTGGCCCAATAGCTACAACACCGAGCACACGATCCGGGTACCGCGCACCCAGCTCGGTAACCACCAGTCCACCCATCGAATGGCCGACCACGACAGCGGCAGGAATCTTCAGCGCGTCCATTGCACCAATGACATCCTCCGCGATGCCAACGATGGAGACATTGTCATTGGGGACGACGGGCGAGCGCGCGGAGCCCGTCGTGTCAAGTGTTATGCACCGGTAAGCGGATAGGGCGGGCAGCAGTGGGAAATAGTAGTTCTGGCTTGAGCCGAGGCCATGGGTGAAGATTAGGGTTGGTTGGGATGTTGTCGAGGTGGGTGGGTTGGTGGGGTGGGTGTCGGAGTAGTGGAGGGTGTGGGATTTTGTTTGAAGGGTTGGCATCTTGGGGATGGGTGTTATTTAGTTCCTGTATGATGGATGAGGGAGGATGGATGGAATGGATGGGAAGAGAGGGGGAAGTAAAGTACAAGTATAAAGTCAAGTTAAGTCATTCCGACGATCCATTGACGTCGTACTTCTCCAATAATTATTATTGTATCGGAATGCCATCTCCAATTGTCAACGGATCAATTCCAATGCAGCATCCGACCTGATCCGCTCCCGTCGGACCGCACCCGAGTCGAATGGGCTCCACCATGATTCGGTTGTATGCAATTAGTTAAGCTGTCCAAACAGCTTTCTTTCTATTTCTATGCCTTGCCATACCAACTGTTGTTGTAATTGTAAAAATAAAAGAAAAATCATGTTCTCGTATCCAACTGGATCAATTCGTGAAATGGGTCTGCGCCGCCGCGTGAGAAGACTTCTTCTAGGAAATCGGCCGTTTCGTCTCGAAACGAGTCTCCGAAGGATGCGATTACCGCTGCTGCTGCCGGTGGGGGTTGTGGTGCAGTAGATGGATTGATTGTAGAATGGGTAGCAGGTCGGTCGTCTGTAGTCGGTCCAGTGGCAGTGGCTGCGGCATCGGCTTCTTTAATGATCTCCTCATCGTAGAAGGCTGAGCACTCGGAGAACTCGTCATCGTCCTTGGCCGGGGCATGATTCTCTTTCTCTTTCTCTTTCTCCAAATCCGCATCTGCATTCTCCAAGACGCCCGCATCTTGGATGGCACACAGCGCAGGCCCAATCTCCTCATCCCAATCGCCAAATGCATCCGAATCAACCTCCGTATCCCCACCACTTTCACTCTTATCCTCCTCCTCTTTCTTCTCCGTAGTATCTGTAGCACTAGCCATCTCACTCCCCTCGCCATCTCGCCTTGCCTGCGGCAGCGGCGGCGGCGGCGGCGGCGGCTTCATCCCCAAAAACCTCGCCAACGAAGGCTGACTAGAAGTCACATTCGCGACACCTGGATCCGACAACCCTTGCTTCTTGCGCTCCTCTCTTGCGCGGGCTTCCTGCTCGCTCTTTTTCTTCTTATTTGCAATCCGCTTCTTCTCCCGCTCGCGCAGCTGCTTCGCGCGTCGCTCACGCTCCTGCTCCCGTTCTATACGCTGTAGCTGCTCCGGCGTGAATTGGAATACCTTGTTGCTGCGTTGGTAGCGGCGTCGCACGGTGCGTGATTTCTCGGCGATGACGCGCCGTGGTGCTGTGTCTGGCATGTTGTTGGTTGTGCTGGCTGTGCTGCGTCCGGCGGAGACGGACTGGCTGGGGCGGGGGTCATGGGGGAGGGGATGGGTTGGCTGGGGTTGGAGTTGCCATGAGTTTGGTTTGTCTAGGTGTGGACGTGAAGAAGAGGGAGACGATGTTGGTTGCTCGGTGGGAATAAAAGTGTCGGGGCGGTGTGTCGGGATCAACAAACTGCCTGATTGAGAGGAACTAATTATACAGACACACTAAGTATGACTATCTATCTAGTTCTTACAGTCGCGCACAGGATCCCAGCACACAGGCGCATACTCATCCAGCTTCAGACTTTCCATATCCTCGGACGACAGCTCGAAATCAAAGACCTGCGCATTCTCCAAGATGCGCGAGTCAGTCACCGACTTGGGCAGCGGCACATAGCCCTACATCAATCATCAGCCACCTTCTTTCTCTGTCTCAATCACCAAAAAAAGGAAAACTTACCTTCTGCAAGCTCCACCTAACCAAAACCTGCGCCGGAGTCTTCCCATACTTGCCCGCCAAATTCTTTAGCACAGGCTCCTCCATCCTTGTCGCCTGCACAAGCGGCGAATACGCTTCAACGACAACGCCCCGACTGCGCAGCCACTCGGCAACATCCTCGCGCGGGCACCAGGGATGGATCTCATACTGGCCAACAGCGATCTCTCCACCACCGCCGCTCTTGATGTACTCCTCCAATTCCTCGAGATGCTGAATAGCAAAGTTGGACACGCCGAGTGAGCGGACCTTACCCGCTTTCTGGGCTTCGACCAGAGCGCGCCATGTGCCTAGGCGGGCGTCTTTGCCGCCATAGGGGGCGTGGATGAGCAAGCTATTTGGTGGCGGTGGGGTTAGTTATGCTTCCTTTTTTGGCCTCTGAGAAGAGGAAAAAAGGTTGGAAAAGGGAAGGGGACGTACAGATCGATGTACTCCAAATTCGCAGCGGCAACACTCTCCTCGATCGCCTGCTTGGCTTTCTCATAGCCCATCATCGACTTAGGCACCTTGCTCGTGTAGAAGATCTGCGAGCGTGGCAGGCCGGACCGCCGGATTGCAGAGGCGGTTTCTTTCTCGTTGCCGTAGGCCTTGGCGCTGTCGACCTATTGTTCATGTGTAAGAGAAAAATGCCAGACTAAGGATTCGCAGCAGGAGATAGTCATAGCTTACATGGCGGTATCCGAGCTCGAGGGCTTTGAGAGTGACGCGCTCGGTGACTTCGGCGGGACTGGTGTGCGTTAGAAGGAAGTCCAATGGCTCGAATGAATTGTGATAGCGTACGTTTGGTAAACCTAGTAGATAGATCATCATGTTAGAATCATCAGAGACACATTGAATAATTATTGAGCGAAGAAAAGAGACAGACGTACTCCGAACCCCACCACGGGAATCTCAAACCCCGAGACCAGTTTGTACGTGGATTGCAGTGTCGTGGCCATGGTGAATATTGAATCAATGGATGGGTGGATGGGTGGATGAGTGAATGGAAAGAGAAGAGAAGAAAGAGCAATAACCTTGATTTATAATTTCAAGTTAAAGTCAGTCCCTCCGGCGCGGCAATTTCCGCCACATTTGATTGACGCCATAGAAAGTGGGGAGGCTAATCGGTGGCGGAGTATGTTGCTGAAAGAGGAATGGAAATCTTGGAAAAACAATCTAGAATCTGGTTTCAGTCGTAGCATTGATTAATGTACAGGATTCTATTCTCTGGTGTCTATTCCGCTTGCAATTGCAATCAATGGCATGGTTCATGATGCCTGGTCGTGTGCTGCGCTTATCCTGCTCTCTGATTTCCACCCCGTCCTCCTCTACCGCGACCTCCCCCGCGGCCACCTCCACCTCCACGCTTCTTCTCAACTCCACTGCCCCGGTCTCCGTGACCAGCTCCGGGACCAAGCACATCACGAGGCCTGCCCTTCGGAGGACCGCGGAATCGATGACTATCTCCGTTCAAGTCCTCTCCATTCCCATAGTTGAATCCAGGAACACCCTTCAGTCCCATCTTGCCAATGACCTTTTTGTCCATTGGTGGGGGTTCAGGGCATGCCATGCCTTTCATGGCCATTTCGTTGGCGAGCTGGACAAGGCCGGCCTTGTCGAGTCGGAGCTGCTTCAGAAGACCTGATCCAGCGAAGAATCCAATGAAAGACGAGTAGGCGCGTTGCTTGGTCGACTCTTCTAGGGTGTACATGGCCTGAGTGACGGCATCGGCGCATGCGGGAGCGCCTTCTGTGATCGCGTTGGTCTGCGGGTGGGGCTGGATGGGCAGGTGGCGGTTGTTCCTCAGGAAGAAGGACTCGCCTTGCGTGAGGAGGATGATTGCGCGGCCATCATTGCCGGCACGGGCGGTTCGGCCAACACGGTGGACGTACTGTTCGCCGTTTGATGGAAGGCCGACCTGAATGACCAGGTCGACATTCGGGAAATCCATGCCGCGGCCAATAACATCTGAAGCAAACATAATCCCGGAAGAGGCCTCCTTGAACTGAGCCGTGGTCTTTGTGCGAGCGCTCTGGCTGAGTCTGGAATGGATCTCAAACACCTTCAGGGGAGTCAAGCCGCGAGAAAACACGGCTGCTAAGAGGGCAACCATGTTTGCAGTAACGCCAAAAACAATGATTTTCGAGCTATTCTTGCTTTCAAAGTTGAGAAGGGAAGCAAGGGTGGTAAAAGTATCTGCCACTGACGGTATCAACACGTGGTACTGGGGCACTCTCTCATGCGTTGGCACTTCGTTCTTCTCAATGGTGGAAATGCTCGTGTAGCCTGGCTTCAACACAACACTGACCACATCCTTGACCTTGGGCGGAACCGTTGCTGAGAAGCACATACCCTGCCAGCCCGTGCTCTTTGGTGGAATAAGTCGAAGAATTTGCTTCACATCAGCCAGGAAACCAGTCTCAAGCATCGTGTCGGCCTCGTCCAAAACCAGAGTTTGAATGTTCGACAGCTTCTCCGCCGTGGAGGGTTCAGAGAGGTAATCCTTCAGTCGCCCTGGGGTGGCCACAAGAACGGAAGGCGACCCCTTCATGAAGCGCGAATGAGCCGAGGCCCGCGCCGTCCCACCAACAGCAATATGACACTCCAAAGGCTTCGCAATTTGCGACGTTAATTGATCGCATGCCTTTGCAATCTGCTGGGCCAGCTCTCGCGTGGGAGTGATGATCAAGATAGCGACCTGGCCCCTTGGGGGCGCCGATTGGAGAAGGCAGTGCAAGGCCGGCAGCAGGAAAGCTAGGGTTTTTCCTGTTCCGGTCTTGGCCTGGACGAGGCAGTCACTGCGCCAGTTCGGGAGCTCGGTCAACACACGCTGCTGGACAGCCGTCATGGTTGCAAACCCCATCACGTCGACCGCTTTAAGGAGTCGGGGGTCCAGCTTCCCAGCCATGGATGCATACGGCTGGGCGTCATCGTTGATCGGGGGACCTTCCATGAGGGAGGATGCTCTGTATCTTCAAGAAAATGGCAAATGATGAAAAAAATTCAAATCAAACAGCGAAGGGTGAAAATAATGGATTGAGTGGCGGACGGTAAGACGCGGCAGAAAAAAAAGTTATCGGGGGATCAACATGCGATAAGGCTAACCGCATTCGGGTAATCCATACTTAAGGATACCTAAGGAGGTCCATTTTGACAATGGGTACATAGGTGCTTACACCCTTATGGACTGAGAAATAGTCTCGAGTTTTGACTCGCAGTGATCTGAAAACTGTCTACCATAACTATGCATTGCAGCCGGGCAATGCCCCTTGATATCACGTGACCGAATCGCACATAAGCCGGGCTGGCGTGTCGAAGCTCAAATCAGACCAATTCTTCTTTCTACAACTCCCTAGTGGTTTCCCTTCCGGTAGATGTCACTGCTGTCATGGGCTCGATCTTCAGGTATCCTGCTCCACTGTACTAGTGGAGAACCACTGGTATGGTTGACCGCCAAAATAAATAGCTAGCCTTCCGCACCACATCCTCCTACACATGCAGAACAGCCATGGGCCCATCGAGATATGCTAGTTCTCGACAAAAGTCCTGCCAGCAATGCTCGACCGCCAAAGCGAGATGCGATCGCAAAAGCGGACGCTGTACCCGGTGTACACAGCGTGGTCTCTCATGCGTTTACCCTCAGCTTGCTCACGGTACAGACGAATCAATCACCAGCCATGATACAGGGCACTACAGCCAGATCTCACTACCGAATATACCATTCCCCAGTCCTGGTCGTCTGTCAATCAACACACCGGGCTCCAGCCCTACAGTGACTGGGGGAGCGATGGCCAGCGCGGTGAATGCCTCGCCAGACCAGCTGGATTTTACTGGCCTTGATCTGATCTGTCCTATTAATGTTGATGACATCAGTAATCGCTGGTTGAATCCTTACATTCCCGTGCCCGAGCAGACGATCAAGCAGTATCCTCCTAACGTCACCCGCTTCATCTGCCAGATCCTCAAATCATACGCCGCTGCCGCAACCCGGGGTCGTGGAATGTTGCCCTTTATTCACCCTGCACAAATGGCAATAATGGAACAGCCAGCAAACACCCCGATCGCGACGTGCTTGAGCTTGATCCGAATATGCGAAACTCCATTACCCGGAAGTGAGGATGCCGCTGCGACCATTCTCCAAAGGGAAATGGAACGCATCACGGACCTACGAGAAATCTACGACGACATGTCCCTGCTGGCCGCATTCCAAGCCTACCTCATCTACTCCATGGTCTTATTTTTCCGGCTTGACCAAAGACCCAATCCCTTTTTCCGCCAGGCAATGATGAACCTCCAAGGTCTTGCCTGCTCTTCGTCCCAACGAGGACTCGTCTGCAGAGCGGACCAGCACCATGCCCGTCCCAGATGGGAGGAGTGGATTGTCACCGAAGCAAAGCGGCGCACGCTATACGTGATGTATCTCTTCGATAGCATCCTGTCTGCACAGGAAAGTCTTCCGACATTTCTTGGAACTGAGCTGCAGGGTCTTCCTGCCCCGGCAAATAAATCACTTTGGCAGGCACAATGTCGTAGTGACTGGGAAAAGGCATACAATGTCTATCTGGCTGAGTGGACGGAGAATGGTCTTGCGATCGATGAGCTCTGGCCTACACCGGCAGACCTGGATGAGGCTAATATTGCACAACGACGTCTTCGGGTTGATCGGTGGGTTGAAAATATCGATGAATTTGGAACAATGCTCTACGCCGTGGTGAGCTGTACACATGGTACTTAATTCGAGCACGATACTCCTAAAAGCTGAAGGCCAATCAATATATTCTCAAGTACCAACATCTCAGATTGCCTGAAGGGCCTCGTTGAGAGAGATGACTTGAAGACCCATCTTGGGCAGAAGGGTATCCAGCATAACCTTGGAGAAATCCGCATTCTGGTCCACTGGCAATTCCAGCACGTTGCCCGCAATGACATAAATGTTAAGGTCCCAATCGAACAATCGATAGATGGTGCTCATCACCACTCCGGAGAGACTCAGCCCAGACTGTTCCACTTGAATTCAGCTCGATAAACCTCCAGTGGACTACCAGGATTTACCTACAATGACGACGGTATCAATAGCCTGCGCCCTCAAGATCTGCTCCAGGCTGTTCCCAGATGTGGCAGACCATCTCGTCTTTTGAAGTACGATATCCTTCTCATCGATCGTAAACTCCGGATAGATCTGAGCCTCTGGAGTGCCTTGTTCGAAGGTACCGAATGGTGCAATCATTTTGGAGAATGGCGTGTCGCTCTTCAGTTCCGGCTGTCCGGGGCTGAAGGAGAGGGTGGTGAAAATAGTTAGGGGCCGAGGAGTCTTTTGGTGAATTGCATCGTTCCATCGAGAGCAATTTGTGATCAATGCTTGGCCTTCGACTGTGTCCTTGACGGGGTCTATAAGGATAGACATCCAATCTAGGTTGAGGATAGCGAAGTGTTGTCCGAAGTTCAAAGCCATTTTGTCTGTAATGAGAAGATAAGACTAGTCGATATTTCTTTATCGTCTGTATTTATAGCTACTACTTTGATCTAGACTATGCGTGCAGAATATTTTCGGAGTTGATGGATCTCAACTCCAGCTAGATTACGGAAGACTGGGAGCAAGTCCCGTTGCAGTGGGTGAAACGGCCCGGACGCCCGAAATTCCTACGCGGACGCCAGCACCTCAGGTGAATATTAGCAAGGTACAAAACCTTTAAGAGTTTCGATTCCGCTCTCAGGACTCCTGCTAAGGTTTCATCAACCCCGATTATCCCCGTCTTATCACCGACTAATGTTGAATTTCGGTTTTGTGATGAAGCTTATATAATCGGTTTCAATATAAGTTACTATTTCTTACGGACCTTCGCTATGAGGAGCTTGTCACTAGATAAGGGGCAAACTGGGCGTGATAACTATTCCCCACGAGACACGACTATGGGGCGTTACGTTGAGGTTTGCTGGTAAGAAGCTAGCATCGGACAAATTTATGATGCAACTAGACCGAAAGCGGACTTAAAAGTCTTGATATCTCCGCTTATCAGGGAATCTATATAAGACTTCCCCGTAAGTGAACCAGCTGACGAGGCTCATTGCAATTGTCATCTTCCGCGTCCGAGACACAGACATGAATACGGATATCCTCGTCACTGGAGCAGGCGGCTACATGTGCGTACATTAACTCCAAGGGACCAAACTCAATGACGACAACCTAATCCATGTACAGTGGAGGCTCCATCGTCGCCGATTTCGCAAGCCACAGAGGCGGCTTGCTCGAGACAGCTAAGATCCATGCTGCAGTCCGTTCAAAGGAACAAGCTCGGAGCTTGTCGAAGCTCGACGTGAGTGTGCTCCAGGTAGATCTCAGTGATCAAGAAGCTTTGAGTGGATATGTGCTTCGCAATGACAGTCAGTGTTACCTCCTTCTTCCTAAATGGCCCAGCGCTAATCATCCGATGGTGCAGTCGGGATAATTATCCATACCGCGACTTCTATAGATGCCCAGGTAGCGCTCAATCTCATTACGGCTCTGCGAAGGCGCCGCGAGACTAGCGGGAAAGAGACGTTCTTTGTTCATGTGAGTATCTGTCATTTTAGATTGGACAAGCTACTCATTCCCTCGGTAACAGACGTCTGGGCTATCTGCATTCGACGCGAACACTGGCTGGCCATTTGGAGAAGTGAAAGATAGTGACCCAGTATTCGACCTTGAGAAACAATCTGCGGATTCGTATATCGTCAGACAGGTAAGATTTAGGCCATTTTCAGTTCCACGGAATGGAATAGTCTCCTAATAAGCCGGCTAGGTCGATGTATTTATAGCTGAACAAACCAAAGCAGCCGGTCTAACAGGTGTAATTGTCATGCCACCAACGCTTCGTGAGTTCTAGGATCTCCTCCATTGGCGCCTTTCTAACATAGTAGCATTGTAGATGGACGAGGCACCGGCACCTGGAACCAGCTCTCACCGCAAATCCCGGCCCTCGTCAAAGCTAGCCTCAAGCATAAGCAGGTTTACAAGTTTTCTGAGAACAGAGTAAGTGCCCCTATAGGAAACCCTTATGTTTATATGCTCATAGCTGACGCTTAGTAGGAAGTCATATTAACCCACATATCCGACCTAACGACCTTCTACGCCCAGCTCATGGAAGCAATCCTCCAAAGGAAACAATTACCCACAGGCGAGCAAGGCTACTACTTCACAGTCTCACACGCCGTAGCCTGGTGGGATATTTTGGATCGTCTAGCGGTGGCGATGCACGCGCGTGGTCTTGTGAACGAACCGACCACAAAAGTATGGCCGAGCGACGAGGTAGCGGCAGAGTCACTGGGCGTTCCAATCAAGTTTGCACATAGCATGTGGAATTCTAGGTAAGTTTGAGATGCTTTATATGATTAGTGCAATCGGACTGCTGATTGTTGCAATCTAGCCCGAAAGTGGTGTGCGTGAACAAAGACAAGATTGGCTGGCAGCCAACCTGGAGTAGAGAAAGGCTAGTGGAAAGCCTAGATGAGGAGATTGATGATTTTCTCGAGCTGGGTATGCCGAAGAGTAGCCTCTTGGATTCCCTGAAGCCTGGATCAAGAGGTTGAGATGCCAGAGACAGAGGTTGGTGCTGGAAGGTGTAAAAATAGTTATCATCGGACATGAACATTGGGAAAATGAACGGAGGAAGCTCTAAAAAACGACATATTTTTCTCGTCCCTACTGCACACTCGGCGTCGATATATGGTATAACTGGGGATTCACAAGCGAATGTGCAATCGGGGCCAGTTCGCAGCGAGGGCATAAAACAGATAGCAGTAAACGGCCGCGGGCAATACGCGGCGACGGGCAACGATAGGCGGAAGCATTCTAATTAATAAATTTTGATCATGCTCACATCGGTATAGTCTTCGGATCCACCTCTGAGGAATAGCAATTAGACCTGATATCCCCGACGAGAATTTTGGCCCCCGTTTCCCGTTCGGTCCCTACATATGTACGGGGCGGATCCGGGGCACTCTTGCGGACCCCGAAGGAGCCCGCCCTGCCACCACTTATAGATGGGGCACGAAAATTTCGCAACTTCCATCAATCCTTTACTTTTCGTTTTAACTAGTAAACCGTAGCCGAAAACATACTAGAATCTACTAGTACGTATATACGTATCACGCGTGGCTCGGAAAAGGGGGACCAGGTACTAGAGCTTTAGGATTGAGGTTTAGGAATTTAGGTAGCTATTTGGGGAAATTTAGGCTTTCTTTCAGCTTCTGGTTCCGTAGTCAAGATAACATTGAAGCGGGTAGATAACTAAGAAAAGGCTGCGCCATGGCCATCTGTGGAGCAAAACATTCTTACGGTCAGGCCCATCCCACGGTCCAGCGAAGCGTAGATCCTAATAACCATGGGGCTACCTTGTGTAGTTCGGAAAAGGCGGCCAGCTCCTTCGAGAGATTGAATGGTTATCAACTGGGTGCTATGAAACCCCTTGAGGTCCCTCAGAATTGCCCTTGCATAATTTGACCTGGTTAGCCTTCTGTTTCTCTGTCCTGCTGCCGAGATGTATCACACCAGCCAGCTGGGCACCCTGATACTTGGGATAATCTCTCTTACTACAACCTTCTCCTATGGCGCTCCATCTGCTTCCCTGTCTCGGATCGATCAATATCAGTTTCTTAATCTGCCACGCGTTCCTTTTTTGAATGGAGAGGAGGATGACCGCGCAATTTACGGCGGGCCACCTGATTCGATTTCAGACGACCTAAACGTTTTTGACAAACGGAAGTCCCCCGCTGGTACATTCTGGGCGGAAGCTGTCGGAAACGGCTGGAATATCAAGAAAACCGGACACTCTAAATTCAAAAAAGACAAGTATGTTGGGAAGCTCACAAGGAGTGGGCATAAGCTCGGAGAAGGAGGACAGGGAACGGTTATAGATGGCACAAGGCGGGAATTTGCCGAACCCACAACAGACCCTGCAAAAGGGGAGTCCTGTGGAGATGATCCTGTCGAGATATCAGAAGGGGATCAAGGGTATGATTATGCTCTATTACTCAATCCAGTTGACAGCGAATATGTTGTCAAACCCCAGATGTGGGCAAAGACAATTACCCGTGGCAACGTGGAATCGATCGTTGCTTTCGAGGAGTTAACTGAGAATGCTCAAGAGCTCCTAGACAGAGGCGGGCAGCTCGATTTTCCCTCAATGTTAAGAGCATTGTTTGGAGGAGCGATAGCTGCGAAGAAAAAGGGACTTTTCAATATGGATATCAAGCTCAAAAATCTCATGACCAAAGAAGACTTGGGGCCAAAAACGATATGGAAGATCATCGATTGGGATATGATGGTTTATCATGATCCTCAAAAACAACGCAATGGCTATATGGGTAGTTACGGATATATGCCGCCAGGTAAGAAATTGATATTTCTACTAATATCAATATGCTCGCTATGAGCTAACAATGGCAAAATCTAGAAATGGTCGCCTATATATTAGACCAGTAAACCACGGATCATTGGACGGCTGAGAAAGCAGTGGTCTGGGATATTGGGATGACCCTCCTTTACGCCCAGGGTATTGGGAAATATGAAGGAAAGGTGACTCTGGAAATGAAGCAGCTTGCAAAAAAAATCTACACCAACAAGGGGAAAACCCCTCCAAACAGCACGAATGAGAAATGGATGTGGATAGCTTTGCTATCGGCACTGTCTGAGAATAAATCCGTTCTGGAGGTGGAGAAAGACATTCTACCAACCCAGCTGCATCGCGGAAATTCATTCTCAAGATATCGAAGCTGGTACGCGAAAGTCCTGTGCAAGGAAGCAGACCGATACAATTTACAGGAAGCGTGGGACGCTCTAGTTGCATTGAATGTGGGGTTGGGCTAATGCTTGAACGTACTGTCATGATCTATATGTATGCTGGAATATCGAGCCAACCAACTGTATTGTCAATACCTATGATCTCGTCTGCAAACACTATTCATCTGGATGCTAGAAGTAAACAGACTTCGGGCTAATCGAGAGCTTCAATAATGATTATGTCGTTTATCGATTGATGTAATTAAGACGAAGATAGCAATTTTTTCCTAACAGTTGTGTTCTAGTATACCTGTATAGAGTTTTTACGCCTTCCGGGGAACTTTTCTCAAAACTGCTTTACCACTTCGGAGCAAGCGGCTCAACTCCGTCAGCTCCGTCAGCTCCGGAAGGCCCCGTGGTACTTCCGTCGAATCACAGCTTATAAAAACAGATCCTATTCCTTGCCCAAATGCCGGTTTAATAACTTTGTTACTCTAATTCCCATGCCAATTCCCATAAAAAAAATCTACCATGTCTCCAAACGATAACAATGAGAAAACACAACGACCTAAGCCTCCATCGCCTCTTCAATCCCCACCGTCCCCCGTTCTAGAGCCGCCATACAGCATCTTCGACAAAAGACAAAAGCCTTTCATAGTATTCATTGTCTCTATTGCTGCGACTTGTAAGACTTCCAATTAACAAACTGTGATCACGCTCACATCTCTATAGTCTCCGGATTCGCATCCAACATCTACTTCCCCGCTCTGCCTACAATCGCCAAAGACCTCAACATCTCATACGAGCTCGTCAACCTAACAGTGACCTCTTACCTAGTCTTCCAAGGGATAGCTCCGAGCTTCTGGGGTCCTATTTCTGACGTAAAGGGCCGGCGGATAGCATACGTCTGCACATTCGTCGTGTTCCTCGGCGCATGTATCGGTCTAGCAGAAACAAAGAACTACACGACCCTCGTCGTGCTCCGATGTCTCCAAAGTACCGGCAGCGCGAGCACTATTGCCATCGGATCTGGAGTCATTGGCGATATTACCACCCGTGCTGAGCGCGGTGGGTTTATGGGCATTTTCCAGGCTGGATTGCTGGTCCCTGTTGCTATTGGGCCCGTTATTGGGGGTGCTATTGCTGGGTCGTTGGGGTGGAAGGCTATTTTCTGGTTTTTGGCTATATACAGTGGTGTCTTTCTCGTTTCTCTGATCATTTTGCTCCCTGAGACGCTTCGGTCAGTGGTCGACAACGGAAGCCGGACGCCTTCCAACGCGTTGACACGATATCCTTTGAAAGTCTACCAGAGGCTCACCAAAATCAAATGGGACACAGGTACAGCACCTCCCCAGCTCACAGCACGAAAAAAAATCGATGTATTCGGACCATTCCGCATTCTCACCAGCAAGTTCGCAGCGCCGATTATCATCTTTCTCGCTGTCTACTACGCAGTCTGGCAAATGAGCATCACAGCCATGTCCTCGCTCTTCAAAGACCGCTACGGCCTGAGCGAGATCCAAATCGGGTTAACATTCATAGCCAACGGCGCGGGCTCCATGATCGGCACTTTGATCACGGGCAAGATACTCGACCTGGACTACCGGCGCGTCAAAGCCAAATACGAGCCTCCTGCTGCAGATGCAGATGCTGAAAATTGCGTCCCAGACAGCAGCAACCAGGATGACAGCAACTTCCCCATCGAAAAAGCGCGTCTCCGCCTCGTTCCCCTATTTTCACTCTTACAATGCCTCTCCATCATCCTTTTCGGCTGGACGATCCAATATCCGCATCGCGTGCCCATTGCCGTCCCGATCGTGTCCACCTTCATCACAGGATGGACCGCTGTCTCTACTCAATCCGTCATCATGACCTATCTCGTTGATATCTTTCCTGACAAAAGTGCAGCAGCCAGTGCGAGCCTCAATCTAGCACGATGTCTCTTTGCTGCTGGAGGAACTAGTTTTATTATGCCGATGGTGAATGGAGTGGGTGTTGGCGTGGCCTTTACGATATGTGTTGCAGTGCAGCTTGTTGCGCTGGTTGCGCCATTTGTGCAATGGAAATTTGCAGGAGGATGGAGAAGAGAGGCAGAAAGACACAAGGCGCACAACGCGGCCAGGGCTCCGGAGGAAAAAGCTTGAAGATTGCGCTGTTGGATCTGCTGTCGGTGGGGTCCTTGATTTTATAGATGTGTTGGCTCGGTGCCATCAGTATGAGGGCACCTTGTGTCTGTATATGTTACACGATAGGCTAATAATACCTACTAATACAGTCTCAATATCTTTTTACGTCAAGTTCTACAATCCCAGTCCTCTGAAATCAGCAACTATATATTTTTGCCGGATGGCCGGTGGGCCCGAGCGGTCAACCCGGACATGGTGGGGTTGTGCACTTCCAAGCTCCTGCAAGTAATAGTATCGAAGCTCAGCACAATGCGCCTGATCAAGAATAGGATCGAGCACGATGGCTCGGGCACAGTAACACTATGCCCGGAAGAGCCCGAAGACATGGTATACTCTCTCAACCCCCCACATCCACCCCAACACGGCCACTAACAAGACCAGTGGCACGCCTACAACCTAATCCGACCCAGCGACGTCCTCCGCGCAAGCGCCATCCGGCGCGTAACAACCGTCCAAGACACCGGCTCCACCTCCTCAGCACGCGTCCACCTAAACCTCGAGATCCGAGTGAAGAGCCTCGACTTCGACCCGCAAAGCTCCCAGCTACACGTATCGGGCCAGATCATCAACGAGACACCACACACGAAGATCGGACAATTCCACACGCTGGACCTAGAGCTGAACCGCAACTTCACGCTCGAGAAACACGCCGGGACTGATGAGGGGGTCGGGTGGGATAGTATTGCGGTTGAGGCACTGAAAGATGCTGTCGATGAGGGCGGGAAGCGGCGCGCGGAGGCTGTTGCGGTTGTTATGCAGGAGGGGCTCGCGCATATTTGCTTTATTGGACAGTTCCAGACGATTCTCAAGCAGAAGGTTGAGATGTCTGTGCCGAGGAAACGGCATGGTGGTGGGGATCATGATAAGGTGAGATGAGAAGTTGGCTCAAGACGCTAGGAGAGGGAGAGATATGGCTAACATGGAGGAAACCAGGGGATGAACAAGTTCTTCAAAGTCACGCTGGAGACACTTCTCCGGCAGATGGAATTCAACACCAGTCTCACATCCGGCAGCGCCAACGAGCCCGTGCGGCCGATCTTGCTCGCGTCGCCGGGTTTCGTGGCGGCCGGGTTCCAGAAATACATCCAGGCCGAGGCATCGACGACAACACCAGCACTGAAAAGACTGCTCCCCAGCGTGGTGGTCGTGCACTCCGCATCGGGGTATACAAACTCACTCTCAGAAGTACTGCAATCACCCGCCGTGAAGAGCATCCTAGCCGACACGAAATACGCACGCGAAACCAAACTAATGGACGACTTCCTGGAGCAATTACGCAAAGAAACTAATAAAGCGACCTACGGACCGCGCGAGGTCGAGTCGGCCGTCGATCAGGGCGCTGTTGGTCGTGGTGGCGGCGTGCTCATTATCTCGAACCGTCTGTTTCGGTCACAGAATGTGGGGGAAAGGAAACGATGGGTTACGCTTGTTGATCGCGTGCGTGATGTTGAAGGGGGCGAGGTGCGTGTTCTTAGCTCGGATCATGAGAGCGGGAAACGGCTTGAGGGCCTCGGGGGGGTTGCTGCGCTATTGACGTTCCCGGTTATTGAGGAGGATCTCGACTCGGATGCGGATGAGTGATTGATTGAACTGCTACGAATGACCTGATAACATTACGCTTTAGACGATATACCATGCAGGCAAATTTTTAAGACATCTCATTCATGATATGACATTACAAGGCATTACTCTATGATCCAAGCTTTTGCTTCAGAGGCAATCGACCAATCCTCGTCAAGAAAGACGTTCTTTCTTCGTCTGACCCGCATACTCCGCGGCATGGGGCGCGCCATCAACGTCAACAATCGCCCGCTTCACACCAGCAGCAGTCGTCGCATCAGCACCAACTCCATTTTGAGCCAGCTGCGGCGCCCCAGCCCCATTATACCCATTCTGGACCACGGGACAAGAACCATCTTCAGCCATCATAACCTGATCCACTCCATTTCCATGTCCATTAACACCATTCTCCCCACACAGCGCCTCGACATGATCCAAATATTCGCCCAACTTCGCAATGAAACTCGTATAGCCCGGATGTTCTCGGAGAAGGAGCAGGATCTGCAGCAGCGCGTTCTTAGTGGATTCCGCGGGTGGATGTATTTGCACGACGTTGTTGGGACTCGGCGCGCGCTCGTCGAGGTAGGCGTTCAGGCACTGGAGGAGCTGCGCGTAGCTCGCGTCGTCGCGTGCGTGCCACCAGGTGTCGAGTAGGCTGGCGCCCAGCTCGGGTGGGAGGCGCTGGATGGTGGTTGTTGTGGAGGGGCAGACTTGTGGATTCGCCATTGGACTGTCGGCGGGCCTGGTGTCCTTTGCGAATGAATTGTAGGGGAGGTGTAGATTGGTTGTATCCCTAGGATGTGCGATTCGTTGGTTGACGTCGAGGTCCGATTGCGCTAGGGCAGATACGGTTAGCGCGATCTGGGTTCTGGTCGTGAATGATTTCCGCATTTGGATTACTAGGTTAATAATGGATTATGGTTTGATGTAGAGCAAAAAAGATCCAAAATGATGCAGAATAATAGTATGCTTGATGAATAAATCTTCAGACCTGTGTTGAATCCCTCCATTGCTCAAGTAACTACGCACCTACTTTCTCCTGCTTAGGCCTAGCCCTGCCCAGGATCCGGAGCATTGAATCCCAGCAATTAGTTCAGCTCATGGCAATTATTCCATCTCATCGTGTACAGACAATATAAAAATATACCTCTTGGTCCGTCTTTCACAATATATATCGCTCACCCCACAGCGGCCCGTAGAGCCTCAAGTCAAGGATCGGAAACTGGGCTGTGCTGGTTGCGGCTGAACCCTATCTGGCGATCGACGCATTACCCCAGTCGGAGCGTGCAGGCAGCGAGAACAAGGCAGCAAGAATCAGGATGCCGAAACAATGAACAATCCTCCTTATCTCCCCGGCGAGTTGTGCATTAGTTTGGATAGCAAAGAGGGGCGATGATAGATCTTCGTCTCCTGTCTATACGTACGCGTATCTGCATCCTCCTCTTCTTCTTTCCTATTCCTCCCGCTCGTTGGATGATCATAATCCCCGGCGTGCGTCTGGGATTGGGGAGATCATACCCAGAGTACGGTCTAGACACTGTACTACTACTTTCGACGATGAAAGGCATCAACGTTTCCAAAGCCTCGGTTTAATTGTTGTAATTTGCCGTCGGGGCCAGAAGTTACAGAGGTGCTGTTGACGAGCATAATTGGATATGGCCCTTGCAGCCACCTTGCAGTCTTGAAACACTCGTCATAATAATAGCAACCATTGCAAATCACCATTTTCATAAACCAGGCACGTATACAACACAATGAAATCAGATCGGGAAAAATAGACAAAAAGAGAGACCAACGGCTTGTTTCAGGTTTTGTTGTCTTGGCAATGTACTTAGCCTCAAAGGGACTAGATCTGCTTTAGCGTGCATATCACCATGGTCCCGCCCCTCTTTGCCGGTGCTTTCCCCATCTAGCTACTATCTTTAGAAAGGGCGGGTTGGAACCGGAGGCACCAGCGCGAAAGAGGCTAAAAACCAGGTACATAGCGCAAAGTATACCTAGTACATACACACCAGGCCCCTTGGACCAATCACCCACCCCCCTCGGATTGACTCGCCATCATTTCTCCGCCCAGCCCCGACGGACGAGATTGGGTCTTCCAGTTGCTTCCGTGTCCGTGCCTGTTATAGCGATCGACCAGCACAAACCATTCCCCCGGGCGGCCGCTGGAAGGAGCTGTTGGATTATTTACTATTTTTAAACGCGAGATCGGCATATTTACATCGGGAGAGTGCAAATCATGATTATCATTCGAGTCATGACACTTGCTACCTGCTCCTCCTCTCCCTACAATCAGTCAAATGACGATAAATAATTGTCAATGGAGAACCATGGTACTCCGTAAATACCATGAAGGTAACGAACGACAGCCGGGCTATGCAAATGCAAATAATAATGCAGTCCAATGCGAAAATTCCAAAAACCCCCAAATTCCAAGTTCCAAATCGACCCCACGAACGGAAAGCAAAAATAACACAAACGCTTGAAAGGGAGAGTCCCGGGTAATCATTTCCTCATCATGAAATTCGTAAAAATAGAAGCGAGGGTATCAAAAATTCCCAGCACTCTGGGTGGAGAGTAAAAAAAAGAAGAGAAAAGAGGAGAGAGTAAAGGGGGCCAGGGGAAAGAGGCGGAAACCCGCACAAAACAGTGAAAACAGCCCCCGCGCGTAGAAGAAGTGCGGTAATCCCTCATTTTAAACCGTACCAAACAAGAGAACAAAACAATAGCGTTGTTTCCAAAAAGGGGAAGGTCAACCGTTGTGTGTAATTGATGGCATGCTAGCGGAGTTGGTATGCTAGCCCATGCTCGTCCTCGCCGATCTCTGCCATGCCGGCGGTCCGTTTGCGAGATCGCGTGGGAGAAACGGCCGGGTCTGACATGGCCGAGGGGAGGCGCTGCCGAGATCGCGGAGGTACTGTTTGGCTTCGAGGAGCCGGAGTTGGGCTTTGCATTGCTCGGGCGTGTATGCTCTATTTGCGCCAAGCTCTTTCATCTGGAGGGGCTTTGTCTTAGTATAGGAAGGGACTTTGTGTTTGTAGAGAGCAAAACACATACCTGATCAGCAACGAATTGATACTTTTTACTCTCCCACAGCTCATGGGCGCAAATGAGAAGTTTTATCTGGAAACAACAAACATTAGCAATTGTATCCCGACAACCGCGTACCAAGTACATACTCACATCACTGTCGTCCCAGCGCGCCAGACGCTCCTTGCGCCGGCGCAGCAGACGCATCTGAAGACGCGCCTCGGTGGCATCCTTGTGAAAGCGCTGCTGGAACATTTCACGGATGACCTTCCAGGCGAGGTTCTGTTCGCGCAGGGCCTCGACAAACGCATCCTCGTCCTCAGCCTGCGGGTCACGGCGCCCCCGGCCAGGAGCTCGGGGACGAGGCGGCGGCGCCTGGGGCTCAGGTGGTGGGTTGTGTCGCTCGTGCTCCATGCGCTGGAGGCCTTCTGGGTGTGGAAGGATCTGGATGGGTGTTTCGCGGGAAGGTGTGTGGGAGGGCGTGCGTTTCACCCGCTTGGAGGGCGGTGGTTGTGGTGACATGGACGGCGTATCGACCACATTGTACTTCAGGTCTTCTGGCGTGCTGTAAACGTAGCTGCTGTGGGGGGCTGAGGTCCGAGGGAAGTCACTGGGGAAAGGCCCCGAGATACCCAGACCTTGTGGTGGTGGGATGTGTTCGTTGATTCCGTATTGATACTCCGTCGAGGTGTACTCTTGTTGCTGTGAGTGATGGCTGAGCACTGGACTGGGACGGTATGAGTTGTCTGGCAGGCTGATCGGTGTCAAGACCGAGCTTGGAACCACGGGTCCTGTGCAGTAGGGCTGCTGCTGCTGGTGATGGTGGTTGGGGGGAACACCCACGAATGGAGACTGACCAGGACATGATTAGTTTCTTGATCAAACTATCGATTGAACAAGGAATAGCTTACAGACTCCACTCCCGCCCATTCGGCCGGCATGCCCCCGTAGAATTCAGGCATCTCCTCTCCCGAGCCGGGGCCGGGGACGCTGTGACGGTACGACATGGCAGCCGTGATTTCCGAAGGCGCTGCAAGAAACATAAAACGCGCTGTACCGAGGACTGTGGCCCACAGACGCGCCTGATTGGAAGTGACGCCGAATGTGGCAGAAGGTGAAACACGGTTGTAGGGAGTGCGGCGGTTGCAAAAACAAGTATATATAGTTTGATAGATGTCTCTCTATCCTTTTCTCTTCCTTTGACAGTTCCTTGTCCGAAATATAGTCAAGAGAGGGGTGAGAAGAGAATGAGAGGGTAATCACAGCAGTCGGAAGTCCGGCTCATATAGATGGGCGAAATGGCGGAGCAATATCACAGCCAGCACTGCGCCGAGGGAGGGGTGATGTGGGTGGGAGTGCCTTGTGAGGCAGGGCAAGGTAGAGACAAGCAAGAGAGAGGACATCCACAGGCTCACAGAGCAGGATGAAGAAGCAGAACCGCCGAGTTTTAGGTCCGTGCCGCATTGAAGCGCTACAGGAATCGAAAAGTTGCAGCCTTCGACGAGGGCCTATATTTAAGCGCCCAGCTTATATCCGGAAGCTGGGGGATCAGTAGGTCCAGCCCCCATCTGTAACCCCCCGGGAAGGGGGTCGGACTCTGCATCCCGACCTGGCGACGGGGGAAAGCGAGAATCACAGTTCCGCCAGTGTAATCAGGTCCACAAGGGCAAGTGTGGGCGTTAGTGTTCCGGAGGATCGGGTCACGACTCAGCGAGAACAGACACCATGGACACGGAGCGCAGCAAAGACCGGCCCAGATTATTATCGCCATTGGGTTTAGCGTTTTTCGTTGTGGTTTTTTTTTTTTTATTACTTCATTTTCGTGTCGGTAAGTAAACAGTTCGCAGATGGCAGGTCTGCCGTCATGTATTATTATTATGATACCCCCAGCTGAACGCGATCATCCGGAGACCCATTCTAGGCTCGAGCTAGGGGCTAGTACTCAAGGGAGGGTGGACCCCCACTGGCTTTCCGGAAGATTCCCACTGTCAGGGCAGGAAATAAATATGATTTGTAAGGAAACAGTTGCCACCAGCCAATGCTATGCAGCGTCATGATCATTGTGCCCCGGAGGCTATCTTGACCCAATAGGTCGCCTTTCTGGGATCAATGGATGCGCTAACGATTATGGTGTGATCTTCGATGGCAAACGCCCACGATTTGGCCCTAGAGGGCGGGAGCGAGTACGCGAAAAATAGCTCAACGGACCCTTTTTGGAATTCGAGAAGTGAAGGTCGGTGGGTGGGAGGGATCGTAATCCTGCCACGCCTGCAGACTGCCCTCAGTCTCCTTCTTGTTTTTTGTGGCTGCCCCTTTTCCATCCCGGGCGGCTCTTGACTGGATACCAAAGCACCATCGCATGCTTGAGGCTGAGTGCCTACAGCTACATGTACATACCCGCGCGCGTTTGGTGGCCGGAGAATATGGACCGGTGGTTAAGCGCTGGGGACGTTGTGGATTCCGATCTATTACTGTTCTTGAAAGAAATGGCGGGCACTAACTTGGGGGGCATTAGCTCGTCCGTTTTTCCTGGACAGGGCAGCCGAGCCACGTGTCCGGGCGCATACATCCCAAATCGGGAAATTTAGATGTCGGCGATTCTGTTTCTCTGCGCGTCGCAATCACTGCCTAATTCAACTAATTCTTCGATACCCACTCATCTACAAATAATATTAATAGTTAGTTAAGCCGACAGCACGGGCCATGACAAATCATCACCTGACCCATGGCGCCCGCTTGGGGGCTAAACACGAACGCGGATCATCGGCCGCTACGGCCCACCTGAAACACCGAGGCGTGCATCATCGATAAAGATAGCACACATATATCATTGCGGGCCAGAGGGCGAGACTATTATTCATGCGAAACGAACTAGCTACGGTGTCGCTACACGGCCCGACGGGTGCTGCTGATGCGCGACACCTTCCTCATCTTCATCATCCACATTGGGCTCCAGTGTGTCATCCGCCGCGATCGAGATACCTCTCGCACCCCACCGGTTGGTGTTCTGCGGGCCCTGATCTTCCTCGTCCTCCCGCAGGTTCTGCTCCTCATCCGCCGCCGCCTGGGGTCGCCGGAAGTTCACCACTCGGTTCACCAGCCAGCTTTTTCGGAAATCCTCCGAGTCAACCACCCCGCCGTTGCGCAGCTTCACCCGCTGGCGTGTATAGTACACCCAGGCGAAATCAAGGTAGAATGCCGTCTGGACGATGCCGAAGATAAATGCAATGGGATCCCAACCCCCGCTCCCGAATCCGCGCACCAGCCAGTTCAGGAAGTAGAATGCCCGGTACGAGCCCAGGGTCAGCAGGTAGTAGGAATCGATCACTGTCGGGACGGTGGTTTGGCGCAGCAAGATCAGTTGCGGCAGGACACACACCGACTCCAGGATAATGGAGAAGGCCCAGGTGAGCTATCAATCTCGGTCAGCCCATCTTTCACACCCTTTATTTGCGTTTCAACTGACCTCAAGGAACCAGTGTTTAGGAAACCCGTGCTCGAAGATCAAGATCGAGATAGGCGAGAGTACAACAGCACCAGCGACCGACCAAAGACCGAATTTCCACGCGCGCTCCCTCTCCCGCGTGCGCGGGAAGACCTTCATCATCAGATACACAATGTAAAACGAGGTGAGCAAGTAGAAGATCTTAAAGCTGAGGTTCCACATCCTATGCCATGAGCTATCACCCCACAAGTCCGGCGCGAACAGGTCGAGGTAGCGCGTGACGAAGACGAGGGCGTAGAGAATTTGCGTGAGGAGGGAGACGCCTGTACACCCGGGTTAGTAAACTGTCAACTGAGCGGAGTGAGTGCAAGACATGCCCTCGGCACTCCTGTTGCGGTGGATGGCCCAGATCAGGATGCATATTGACGACAGATGGGAGCAATCGCCTATGATTCGGAATACGTTCCACGTAGACATGATGGAGGAGCTGCTCCGTCAGGGTTGGACCATCCAAGTTGGGAATATCTGGACTCTGTGAAGGAGGGATGGAAGGAGGTTGTGTTATCGGCCCTTCCGATCTCCACATGAGCTTTGGCCGCGTGTCATCACGTGAGAGCTGACGTCAGGCACTTGAGTACCGTGCAACCACCAAACTACTGTGTAACTGATTGATCGTTATTAGAGCAGTGATTAAATGAATGTCTTGAATAAACAATATTGGTCAAGTCAGATGTCGTAGTTAAAAATTAATCTGGTTGTTGGGTCTTCGAATAAGAGATATATTTGGGCGACGGAGTCTTGATCAGTGAAATTTCACCAGAGAAGCTAGAACATCCCTTTAGAGGGGCCTCTATATTCGCCCCTTCCTTCCGAATGCCGCCAGAGATATGGCCTTCGACTTTTACAAAGAGCATCAAATACTCTGAACTAATTTATTTCGTTTTCTGGGTGGTTGTTCATAGCATAGCCGATGGTGCCTTTACAGGCCTCTCGCTACATACGGCTATTTATTTACACAATATAGGGAGTATGCGAAAAGCCTTGGTCTCCGCTCCAGACTCTCATAACATCAAGATGATACCGCTGGGTCAATCTGGCGCGCGACGTAAACGAGGTATCGGCTCTCATCAGGAAAGCCAGGAATATCAATCGTGACCTTGCTAATCCAGGTCGATGAAACCTTCCACTTCGTCCCTGTCATCCTACCAGCCTCATCCCACAGCTCTTGGAATGTCTCGGGGTCATGTAAAAACCGTGTGCCTCCGGTCAGCGCAGTGAAGATGCCTGGCTTTAAGCTACCAATCTGGCCTCCGAGGATAACCGCATCTGTAACACCTGGTTTTAGAAACTTGATCATTCTTGTCGCAGCCAACATTTGTTGGTCCCAGTCAAATAGGTGGAAAAAGTTCCCCGCACTAATCAGCGTGACCTTGCCATCCAACTTCTTTGCCCCTTCATCACTGGGGTCAAGCAGGTTGGCGGCAACAAATGAATCAGGTCCAAATCTCTCACGATCATTGAAAAGTTCAAAGCCGAGGTCCAGAAATTCCGGGGAGAGATCTGTCCCATACAGTCTGGCCGGATCGACGCCATCGAAAGCTAATTTGCGCACAACCTGTCCGACGCAGCAGGCCACATCGAGGAATGCGTCCTGTGAGTCAGGTTGCTTAAGTCGCTTGACGATGGCCTGAAACGAGGGATGATCTAGCCCTTTTATATTGGTGAAGGACCAGCGCCCGATACACGGGTAGCGATGAATAGCCCAGCCTTTGTCGCGCTGCGAAGAGAGTCAGTTTGCGGTCTTTGGGCCGAAGAAAAGGGATAGGGTATGCTTACAATATAATAGAGATGCTCATCCACCTTTTCAGGTGGGATCTTGCTGTAATTCTCTAAAAGCTCTCGGAAAGGACCGATATCGTCTGGAAGACCCTCCGTGTAGTTCCTAGCTTTCCATCTGAGGGCTCGCGCAGCCGAATCATCCGCTGTCATCTTTATGATGAATGCCTTGCTTTCGTCGACTGGTCCGTTGTCGAAAATCCGTTTGAGATATTTGACAAAAGCTGTCGATGAACGTCGCAAAGTGGGGGATGAAGCGGATACAGCTGTTATGGCTCTAGCGCCGGCTTTTTAAAATGCCGAATTCCCCTGCCTTTGTTATCTCCGCAACCTCTGATTGAACATTACTGGCGCGCGGTTAGGAAACTAGCAGCTAGTAGGTTTACAGAGTACACTAAAGATGAATCCCGAGGACATCGTTCAGGTTTAGAACGTAGAAAATTGCCATCGTGCCCTGGGTACTAATTAAGGATCTTCGACATACCCTCAAATGGTGTCTTTGCGTGGCTATGCTAAGCGAGTTCGTCAGACCGAGCAAAACAAAAATACATCCATAACAAATTGATACAGTTTCAATGCAATATGATTACACATGAGCTATTTTTTTACCTCCTCTGTTGTCTTCGTGGACTAATTTGCACCCCTCAAAAATTAATAAAGAAAAAACTAAAAATCTGAATTGCCCTAACCAAGGTGCAAATGTCCACATTTGGTTGTACAGAACCTAACAGAAACCGACTTGGCTTACCTTGACCATCTCCGACCCTTTTCAGGCTCCGTTATGTGTTTCAGTAACTGTTCGTTCTTTCAGCTCGATCAATCATAGCTATCTCACCATGCTCGTTATCGGCCTGTCCATGCACATATGATTCAAAATGACCCAGAGAAGGGAACCGGATTATCTCAGCCCCATATCCTAGATACTGTGTACACGTCAATTGATGCTTGTCTTCGCCACTCATGCGAATCTGATCTGCAAATTCCCCTGATCGACACGCTCTAAAATCTTATGATGTCACAAGGGTTGTATTTCTCCAGAGTTCCCCATGTTTTTGGCCGCAGATATCGTAATCGCAAGCATTGCATCTGGGTGCTACACCAAGATTCTCTGCTGCCATAGTGCTCAGCAACACGTCGCGCTTCAACTAACGCTATAATCTTGCCATGCATGGAAGGTAGTGGAGGCGCCACGGCCATCTCCATCTCCATTCCCGTCGGAACAAACGAGATCTACGATGCATATGATGTAAAACCTTGCCATCAGCCCCATGGGGGCCTTGTATATCAACGCCAGACAGCAAATTTGCCGGTCCACCAAAAGATATAAATTGCCTATTCATTCTGATTCGGAGCAGAGGATCAATCAAATACTTTCAACGCATCAGTCAAGCATTTATAAAACCGAACACGCATAATCCAATTGATTCAATCCCCCAGCAACCTCACAACTCCACAAAACCAAACAAATATGAATGTCAAAACTCTCCTCAACCTCACCATCATCAGCCTTGGCCTGATTCTACCCACAACAGCCATGCCCCATATCAAGCGCAGCGCGACATGCACTGTCGGCCTCGAATACGACAGCACCGATATCCCCGGCGGTGACCCCATGTCCGGCGCGGGAGCCAGCACACCCATCAACTCCATGCAGGGCTTCTTCGGCGACGAAAACGGCAATGATAGATATTGGTCCGTTTACCAGGACGGGGATTGGTATCATTCCAACGGCACATACAACACCTCTACTGGCTCGTCTACTAGTTGGTATATCCGCACTGAGGATCCCATGGCTAGCGATTGCATTGCTACATACGGGGGTACGACCTTTGATAGCAAGAAGGTTAATGACTCGATCTGTCATACGTACAGTGGTGGTGGCGCTTTTACGGCGGACTATGGGTGTGAGTGTTATTTTGCTTGTTAGGTTTGGTTTATTTTGCATTCTGTCATTGCTGGCGCTGGGTTTATACGGTTCCTGTGTTGTGTACTATATTCAGCTGTATTCTAAATGGACATGTGCTTTCTTATTCTTTCTTCATGTTTCGCTCAACAGATCCACGCCGCAGGCCAATTTTGACCGCATAATATTGTTGACTATTACAATCCCGCTTCGTATTTCCATTGGCTCTAGGATCACGGTTGAGCTGCTCCTGAGCGGTCCTGCTCTGTCGTTAATGGCTCCCTCTGAAGTCTGAGTGAGGAACGCGATTTTCTTCACCTGGCCCCAGAATTAAACATTGAACACCCCCTCTTCTTTACGATCTACCCTTTGCACTGCCGGAGCGGCCATCGAATGCCAGCGGTCCATTCTTTAAATGATAGTAATGATAATAATAGGGTTGCAGATACTCATTTACATTCATAGTATGCAGCCCCGTTGGCTGCCAGTTCCGTTCCTCACATCTTATCAACGATCCAATTGCACCCTGCTCACGCGGTCACCTTGTCTGCAGATAATCGGGCCTCCACCAATAACAGGCCGCGCATCCTTGCACCAAGTGAGATCCCCGGGCTACCGGATTCTGGAACGGGCCACTGGCGAGTCTGTGGCTCAAATGTCTCATGGAGGCAGCCGGACTGGGCTGTGACAGGGTTGCGTGGGAGTGGGGGATGTAATAGGTAGTGAGGAATGGGAATGCGCGGGAGAGAGCAGGGCCATAAATAATAATCGGTACGAGGAAGTCAACAGGTGAAGTTCACGTAGTCATTTGTTGTCGCTAAGTACTATACGTGCTTATTAGTTGTCTCCCCACTTCTCCCGCTCTCTCACCTCTTCCACTCTTTCTCTCTTTCTCTTTCCACCCATCTTCATCTCCACCTTCCCCATCCTCATTCAGCCTCATGTTCTCCCCGTATTCGGAGGAATTCGAGGTCCCTGATTCAAATCTGCGACCATGCGATTTTGACCTGTGAGCTCCATCTCCATCTCTCCTGCTCATCTCATCTCATCACATCTGCCGTCATCCCCACACAAGCTTGCTCCGGTCGGGGTGGCTGGACTGGCCTGTGTTGCCTCGGATTCGAACCACCCCCTCCCCTTTTCCCCCTCTCCCCCATCCATCGCGCTGCGCCGTCTTTGTTTTCTCTGCTTGGTGGGATGCGCTCGTGTCATCGCCGTCCCTAGTGTAACGAAGCCCGCTTTCCTAGAGTTGACCAGAGGTGCGCCAGTAGCAGACCTGCTAACCCCCGACGCGGCCTGGTTATATGTACAGATGAATCGACAAGTGATTGAAGCGTGTGTCTTTCACCATGTCGTAAGTTGCCTTGTCTGTGATCTCTGTCTGGGCCGCGGGAGGGGAGAGAGGGGATGATCGGGCCGGAATTCTCGCGTGCTTTGAGTCCCTGTCGCGCGTTCTGTCATGACTATCACCTTGTCGCGTCTTGTTTTTGTCACTGCGCTCTCACTGACCCCTGCCCACCGATTCAGATCGCCTCCAAATTCCAAGCGCATCAAGACCTCCGCCGCCACCAGCGCACCTCCACATCTCCTCGCCCAACAACAACAACAACAGATCCATCCCTTCCAGCGCATGACCACCTTTGAAGGCATCCCCATCCCGAACGCTCCTCTCCCTCCTCAGACAAATCAATCTCAGTCGCGCAAACGGCAATCCTCCCCTGGCAGCGGTCCTTCCACGATGATGGCCACTCCCATGACTCCCGCGGGCGGCGCGATGGAAGGTGACCCCAACGCCATGCCTGTTGCGGCGGAGTCCACGCCCAAGAAGAAGGGACGAACCAACACTCCATGGACTGCAGAGGAAGAACAGAGGCTAAAGACGATGCGCGACGCGGGCCGGAGCTGGAATGAGATTGCCAAGGTGCGCGCGTTGATTCCCTCCCCCCACAACTGATCGCTGACCATGCCTCGGCGCGTCGCAGACCTTTCCCACTCGAACGGAAGGGAGCGTGAAGAAACACTGGTACAAGGACATGCATTACGCAGAGTTTGCGGAAGACGAGGTACGCGGCCCTTACTTTCTTCCAGACGCCGCTGACCCGGGTACGCAGTCCATAAAGCTCCGCGAAGCCATCAAGGAATACGAGGCCAACAAGTGGAAGGTTATTGGTCAGAAAGTTGGCAAGCCAGCGAAGGTGAGCATGAATGACAGTCCCTCCTTGCCAGTCACGCCTAACCCGAACCCCAGGCCTGCGAACAATATGCCAAGGAGCATTTCAAGAACCTCTGAGGACTCGATGACCACTTTCCTGATGAAGTGATGATATCCATGCATCTTTTATGATTTTGGCATTCCTGCGGATTCTGCAATCCCATAGCGATGCACGTTTCATGCAACGGCCATTTGATGGATGGTCCCAGGCTGCTGCTGCTGGAGTTGGTGATCTGGTTCTCTTTTTATTCTTCGTCTTTTTTTTTTTTTTCTTTTGCCCTTTTGTACAGGGCGTGCGTTCTGAGAGTGAGGCGTTTTTGCCTGTGATTTGGACTGGAAACCCACTGATTCCTTTTTTAACTTTCAATTTCATTTGATCAATATTACACTTCTCTGTTGTAGATGGGGTCCCGATAGCCGGGGCCCGCGGGTTTTTCTCCCCGCGGACAATCTTTTTTTTCCTTCCGAGGAGTCATAACCACCACCACTTCTCCTCGGTCTGGATCATTGCTTTCTAGGTGAATTCCTTTCTTGGTGGCCTAAACAGAAGATTCAGTCCACTAACATTCAATCCTCCGTCTACTCTACAGGCCTTCTCCGAGATCGTGTGACCCATAACCTGCGGAACGCACTCCCCGCGACTTGATGCCCCAGTACTGCAACCCCACCTCCACCTCCAACAAGAGACGGCTATCATGAAGACGAGTAGTCTGGCATTGTCTATTGATCAAGGTATCATAATATCTGCATGAAGACCGGTGTCCGACAGCTGAATTGCGCCGGCAATGCGTGCGCGTGCGCGACGGTGGCAAACAGCTGTCGTTCTGAGATCATACGGTTGAACTTGATCTGGATAATTCCAGCGAAAGGAACTCATGCGCTTTTCTTCTCCTCCTCTTTTTTGGTCCCGAATAGAAATACTGACTGCCTTGGTCGCAGCATGTCGGAAAATGAAATCGACACCCTAGCGGTGCGCTCCAGCAAAGACGAACCTCAAGCTCCAATCCCTCCGGTCCCGGATTTTGCAGAGAAGAATGATGATAAACGTGAGAGGAACAGTGTCACTGAAGTCCCAGACACACAGCCACAAACCCGCCGCCATGCAGTCGGCTCCCGGCTGGGCTCGCTCTTGTGGAGGTTCGAGCAGCAGCTCGTCGAGTATAACCTCGAAGCCCGCGGCATCGAGCGAGTCGGCGAAGATGAGCGCATGAAGCGGCTTTCATGGGTGTCTTACCTGCAGGCATTCCTGCTCTGGGTCTCGATCAACCTCGCCGCCAACAATATCACGCTGGGCATGTTGGGTCCCGCGGTGTATGGGCTCAGTTTCCGGGACTCGGCTCTGTGCGGTGTATTCGGTGCCTTTGTTGGTGCGATTGTTGCTTCGTGGATGGCTACTTGGGGACCCATATCGGGGATCCGAACTATGGTGGGCACGACTTGTTTCTGTCGGATTGGGCTTCACGACTGACTCCTGAGTGATAGGCGTTTGGCCGGTACTCGATGGGCTGGTGGCCCAGCAAGATCATTGTTCTGCTCAACCTTATCCAGATGATCGGGTACTGTTTGATCGATTGCGTGGTCGGCGGCCAGATCTTGTCTGCCGTATCACCGAATGGCATGTCTGTCGCCGTCGGCATCGTGATCATTGCAGTTATCAGTTGGGTGGTGGCCACCTTCGGAATCCAGGTCTTCCACTACTACGAACGGTGAGTCTTCCCATACCTACCAAGGAACCATTCCTTGACTGACATGCATCCATAGATTTGCATTTCTCCCCCAACTGATTGTATTCTGCATTCTGTTCGGCGTATCCTCCGTCAACTTCGACCTATCGACGGCATCCCAGGGCGCCTCTCGCACAGTATCCGGCAACCGACTATCCTTCTTCTCGATCTGCCTCAGCGCAGCAATCACCTACGCGCCCCTCGCCGCCGACTTCTTCGTCTACTACCCCTCCCACACATCCCGCACGACAATCTTCAGCCTAACCCTAACGGGCCTCGTCCTCTCCTTCACAATGGCCTTCCTAGCCGGCATCGGCCTCGCCTCAGGAATACCCACCAATTCCTCCTACGCCGCCGCCTACGCCCGCGGGCAAGGCGCCCTAATAGTCGAAGGCTTCGCGCCCTTGCACGGCTTCGGCAAATTCTGCTCCGTCATTGTGGCACTCGGCCTAATCGCCAACACCGTCGCGCCCACCTACTCCTCCGGCGTCGACTTCCAGATCCTAGGCCGGTACGCCGAAAAGGTTCCCCGCGTGATCTGGAACACCGTCGGCGTGGTCATCTACACTGTCTGTGCGCTCGCAGGCCGCGGGTATCTGTCGGAGATCTTCACCAACTTCCTGGCGCTGATGGGCTACTGGGTCGCCATCTGGGTGGCCATCATCCTCGAGGAGCGCTTCATCTTCCGCCTGCGCAGTGGCTATAACTGGGCTGCTTGGCGCGATCCCTCGAAACTGCCTGTGGGCGTCGCGGCGTTTTTGGCTTTCGTTGTTGGCTGGGTTGGTGCTGTGCTGTGTATGGCGCAGGTGTGGTATGTTGGGCCGTTGGCGAAGCTGGTTAGTGCTTTTGGTGCCGATATGGGCAATTATGTGGGCTTTTCTTGGGCGGCGCTGGTTTATCCGCCTATGCGGTGGGTGGAGCTGAGGTTTCTGGGTCGTTGATGATGGTTCCTGATCGCGGTCTCTCTTATGCATCTCATCTAGTCTACTGTCTCCGGTCCTTGGGATCAGTGTCCTGATCGGGATCATGATCTTGGAGAACATGTAGCAAACAATGACATGTTGACATCAGATAGGTTTACGGTAACTAGAGATATCCTACCTGGCCTGCATAATAATAATCCAACCCGGAGAGATATTGCTACCTAGCCTTCCTGTATGTAAACCAAACATAAGAAGCTTTTCTACAACTCTCTACCCAGTGACAGGACAGACCGAAAAGAAAACCAAAGCACACCCCCAAACTCTCATTTTCATCCACTATAGAGAACTATTCTACAAAAGAGACGGTAGATAAGGACAAAAAACGCGAGAGACAGACACAGGCTCTCATGTTTTTGTTTTGGCACAGAACAAAACAGAACAAAACAGAGCCGAACAGAACCGAACAGAACCGAACAGCCCGTTTCAATGATGGTATGGTACTCGTGGAGAGACGAGCTGATTTACCGGTACCAGTAGTCGGGCTTGACGTAGTCGGCGAAAGTCTTGGGTTCCTCGTGGGCTGGGTGGCCGTGGCCGTGGTCGTCTATTTCAGAGGTGACATGTTAGTTTTTCAAAGACTTTGGATGATAGCACCGCTATGCAGGAGAAACGTACGGGCGTGGGGATCCTCCTCGGGGCCGACGTAGTTCAGCTTGACGACGTTGCCGCACTCGTTGCAGCGCTCGATGGGACGCTCGCGGGACACCTATTTAGTCAGGTCAATTAGTATAAGATACAAAATAACAATAGCAAGGGAAATCTTACAGTCAGCCAGTTAACCACGTGCGAGTCGGCCGGGTAGCCGGTGCAACCAGCGTACTGCTCATCACCGGCGCCCGTGACGATGATGGGGTTGTCGAGGGTTCCTGTTTATAATCATCAGCCGACCGGCCATTGTCGACGACATCGTCGATGACACGAGAAAGGAAGACATACCCTTCCGGGAGGCATCCAGGGGCCGCATGTCGAAAATGTCAATGCCCTGCATCTTTCCGATGAGTTCCAGACGCTCGAGACCGGTGGCCTGGCTGAAGTCGGTCGGGACGGTGCCGGGCTTGGCGCCGGGGGCGATCAGGTCGTCCTCGGTCTTGATCTCTGTGCGAAGGGGCGTTAATTAGTGTCTGAGCTTGGTGGTGGAGTGGATTTTTCAATGGGTGCATGGCATGTCTTCCTCTCGGTCGGTCGGTCGGGGGATGATGGAAAACCGGAACCGAGGTCCAATGCAGCGCAATTGCATTCAAGCTTTGAATCAATTTCCCCTGACATCCGGCCGAAGGCAAGAACAATTGCGGTTTGGGTGTGGTGTGTCGGGTTGGGTGTTGTACTAACCGTCAAAGGGGAGAATCTTGCCCTCCTGCTTGGGAGCCCACTTCTTGTCGTCACCTGTGCCCGAATTCGGATTAGCCAGAGTCCACATGTCAGCTACACAGCTATCGCCATCTGCACAGAGCCAATTGAGTCGGGCCGAGGGGCGTGGTGGTGGTCGAGGTGTCATGGGTGTGCAGAAGGCGGTTCAAGAACACTGGGGGTTTTGTCACGTACGGCGAGCCACGGACGAGGAGAACGGGCGGGCAATAGCGAAAGCGCGGGCGGGCGAGCGCCGCGCAAGGGAGGAGGCTGTGCGTTGGAGGAACATTGTCCTTTGTTGTGGAGGGGAGAAGGGACAACGACGGGGGTGGTGGTGTGAGTGGAAGGAGAGGTTGCGGTTGACGACGAGGATTGACGATGGATGCCGCTTCCGCCCGTTCGGCCTGTGATTGGTTGTGCAGCAGTGGCCAATGGGAGTGTGGGAGCTTATGCGGTAGCCTGCGTATGCCAGGAGTGCAGAAAGAGCTGCTTTGGGATAATAATTAGGGCTTAGGTTTATGGAGTGTACGAAACAATATTGTATTCAAGGGCCTAAATATATACAAACGGGCAGTTCAACGAAATTGCGAAGCCTTCTCGCGACACGCCGCAGGGGTATACCCGTTCCCGACTTTGCCAGCAATGATGCGCCACTGGTCGTTCTGATACTCGTCGACAGCACGCTGAAGCCGGTGCACCTGTTCCAAGTTAGCATAGTAGCCCGAAATAAGCTCGAGTGAAGAAAACGCACCATCTCCTCTGTCCAGATGACATCTTTCGTCTTCAGCTTGGTACAGTACCGAACCTGTAGCGTGCCGCTCGTGCGACCAGGAAAGAAATCCGCGATCTGTTTCCAGGTCAAGTTCTTGATCTCCTTGAGCTCCACGAGGAGCGTGTCTTCCTCGCTTGTGAACTTCAGCTTCGGCCCGCGCGGTCGTGGTGCTGGGACTGGCATTCCCGGCTGCCCTACGACGTTGGGTGCAGTGCCCGGCAGGGACGGCGAAGCCGATCCCAGTCTCGGGTCGAGGCCATAGCGGATGGACGCTTGCAGTGGGAGGCGATGGTGGTGGTGGTGAGGTTGCGGGAGCGAGAGAGAATAGTCAGGTGGATAGGTAGGTGAATGGTCGCTGGAGATGGGGTATAGCATCTCTGAAGAACCGATCGGAGGAGAAGATCCGCTATTCAACAGTGTCTGCTGCAATGATAGTTGATGTCCGACGCGGCGATCCATGTGGTGAGTGCTGTTGTCTGCGTTGGCTGACCGAGATCGTTCCTGCGTGTCTCTCAGAGGAGAGAGCTCGAAAGTTGACGAGTGGTGATAGTGCGCTGAGATTTGGCGCGTGTGCATCTGTTGCGGTCCCATGAGGACATGCTGTGGTTCATCGTTGGTATGAGGCAGCGTAGCTGGCCTGGCCGGCAGGTATGGTGTAAAGGATGACTGGTGCGGGCCTTCAGGAGAGAAGCCTTCCGGTGATCTATCAACGCGTGGTTGAGAAGGGTCGTAGACAATCATGTCTTCGTGGTTAACTTTGTCGAGGGCATGGTGAGAGTAGGTAATTGCAAAGCCTCGATACGGGTCCGCCAGCGTCGCAGACATACATCGACACTGCTAGGGTATGGAGCCCCGGCAGGCAGCTCAATTGGCTGTTTAAAAAAGCAGAGCAGGAAGCTATTTGGTCTCATATGGCCATGGCCGTCGCGGTAAAGAAAAAGGGCACAGTCTCTAGAATGGGGCCAGTCACACTGGGCTGGTGACCGGAGACAGGGTGCAAATTTCAAAGTGGCGACGAGTCAAAAGGTTGAGAGAGCATACAGATCATGATTCATAGGAGCGGTAAAAGACAACCCAACGGCAGCAGTAGTCGTCTATATGTTCACTCACACCAAATATATCCCGCCTCATCCGGGAGGCGGGTTGATTGCGCTAGCCTCTAATCCATGCTTACCGTTGCTGGCCGGACGGAGTGTGCGTCGCCAGGCTGATTTCACCGGCGTCAAGTGGAACACGCTGCAAGAGCACTGTCATGGACGGGTCAGAAAGCATTCAGGGAGTCCGCTGCAATAAACAGAAATCTCATCCATTCATTTATTTCTGCTTTCCTTCTATCCTCCTCTCCCTCTCACGAATATTTAACTCGGTGTTGACCAGTTAGGCACGTCGATCCCTGAATTATACACACATCAACCCCCCCCCAAAGGACAAACAAATCTAACAATACAACATGACAGGGCAAGCAAGCGATTCAGATGAGCAGACAAGATGCAGCTCCCTCAAGCCAATCAGATTCCGATTGGAGGCATGTGCGAACATCGACACAGAACGTTATTCGCGGGAATGATCTTCCTTGTGAGGTCTTTCCTTGCTTGAACCAGGGGGGGGGGGCAAAAAGAAAGGCAGACTATGGCGTCGGCTGATAGACACCATCTAGGTTAGTCAAGTAAGCAGCGCGAGGCTATATGCCCCTTTTGCCGGACTGCTCGGGGGTGCCAAATGCTTCGCACGAATCAATTGCACGAACTGGAGAGGAAGGCGCGCGGCGCATGAGCAAAGAGACAGGGGTGATGGGTTTTAAACAGTATTACTGCGTTCCTTTTTCCCACTCGGCCAGGGGTTCGAGGTGATCGCTTGATAGCGTCGTCCAAGCGAGGTGGGAAGAAGGGAAGGATGATCGAAAGGGAACGCCAGTCACAACATCCCAAAATTCAGGCGCAGTCGTCTGGGGGAGAGGTTGTTGAAGATCGAAGCTCGCCACAAGCCCGAACAAGAAAACCTCCCTTTATCATCGCCATCGAATAAACAATAACCCTTCCTACCTATCCCCCACTAAGCATCTGCCAGATGGCAAACACAACCTGATAGGAAGATCGCAGCAGCGTGAAGGTGATGGCGTAATCCGGATCGGATCGTCTTAGGCGCAGGAAGATGGCGCAGCCCAACATCTGTGTCACTGATTTGATTAGTTGTCGCGACCTTCGTCTCAATTTTCGAACCACACCCAGCCGTGTGAGGGAGCTAGTCGCCCCTCCCTTTCCCGAGGCTCTGGCATAGGATTGATTGATTGAAATGGGGGGAGCATGATTCACAAAAAGAAATCATAGAAAAGCATCGGGGAGACCCTAACGAGGGCAGAAGAACCCCGTGCATATCCGATAGCGCGAGTCAATCCCTGTCGATGCGTTTTTGATTTCTTTGTTCTTCTCTCCCCTGACCAATACCACGCTTTTGTACAGGGCTTGCTGCCCGTTAGAGGAGCTGTGCCGTCAAGTGTCCAGGGGTCCATTCGCCCCGGCTCTTACCGTACCCGAAGCGTAGCGTAGGGAAACTAGGGTTTGGGGGCTCCGTGCTCCGTGCTCCGCGAACGTGTGATTCTGGTGGCGCATGACCGGCGGCGCTGCCCTTGGGCCCGTCAGCAGTGAGGCTATCACATCACACATCGCGGCAGGAAATTAGAGGAGGCGCGGGCCGCGAATTGTAAAGTCAACTGCACTCCTGGCTGTCCGTCTGTCCTATGTATGTACGCTTTGCAGGCCGGTGAAGAAAATGATCATGGATAATGTTGAAGAAAATAAAAACCAATCTTTTTTGAGCTTCATGCTGTTTCGCCAATGGCATAGTGGCTATAATACAAAAATGATTTGACGCCGATTAAGCAACAGACCTCCTCTTCGTCTTGGGGCTCAAGCCTCCAGCAGTACATAAATTAGATGGTCCTGATACAAAGCAATCCCCCCGCAAAAGAAAATCAAAAGAGAATACACGCCAGAAAAACAGAATCACTCGAAGTTGTCAGACCGGTCCACCCAGATATCCTCGAGCTCAGCGAAATTCTGGAAATGCAGGGGCCGATGCTGATCATCATAGAAGCGCAGCGGGGTATCGATCTTGACGTAAACGGGCCTCTTCTCCACGCTGCCGAATGAGCTACCCATAAAGCTATAGTTCCAGACATTATCCTCGGGGACCAGGAAATAGCCGCGGATCTTGTCACTAAGAAGCAGCTGACACTTCTCACCCATGTTGGTGGAGAAGCCTTGCGGCTGATCCGAACTCATGTCCTTGTTCTCGGCGCCCCACTTGTAGCCCGCAGGGGTGAGCCCCCAGGCGGCAAGTGAGACGGACCCTGGCGTGAACGAAACGGTCATGGTCACGGTCTTCTTGTCCCACGAGGGGTGCGCGTTCATGAGACGCGCGTGCTGTGTGACATCCATCGCGGACATGTAAGGCGGCTCATTGCCCGAAACCGTGTGGATGATACCGAGCGGCTCCAGACCGTTCAGATAGTCGTGCTGGGGCAGCTGATGCGGCAGTTGCACGTCCCGGGTGTTTCCGACCTGGGGAATCATGACGATGGTGCGAACCTCCTTGACCTGGTCGTTGTCGGGGGGGAGCTGCCATAGATGTATCCAGAAACCTGCACACGGAGATCGGCGATCGTGATGAATCGCTTGAGAATGTTCTTGGGCATGATGTAGGTGTAGCCGTCCTCGCGGATATCATCAGAGGAGACGTAGATGTTGTTCGACCGCGTCCGCAGGTTAGAGGTTGCGATGGCGCGGGTCCGCCACTCCGTCTTCGAGGCAAACGACTGCTGTTCATACTGGGACGTGGTGGTGACAATGATGTCCTCTCCACGCACGTTCTGCGTCTTTGTCGTGACGGCAGTGAGTTGCTTCGCCTCCTCCTGCTGCTTCTCAATCTCTGCAGCCTGCTGTCGCTGCAGAGACGGGGCGCTGATCTCCATACCCAAGATGATATCTCGGACTTCACTGCTGGTCAAACTCTGCACGTTGACATTGTTCTTCTTTCCGTAGTCATTCAAGATCAGGTCACGCAGCTGCACTTCCACCTTGATCCAGTCCTCGTCCGAGAGAGATGGCCAGATGTGATGCTCTTGAGTGATCACGGTCTTATCGGGCCGCAGGAGGATCTTAGCTTTGTCGATGTTGACATGCAGCGCACGAAGAATGAGAATCAGTCGGGAGAACGCGGTGTATGGGGAGATGGACTTCAACCATTCATCGTACAGGTTGAAGAGAACCATCTGAGGCTCGGTCGCACGGAGAATCATGTCCGCAAGCTTCTCAACCTTCATGGCAGCCTGGAAAGGAAGCTGGAGCTCGGACGCACGAATGGAGATGTTGGGGAAATCAAGAAGGTGGACCTCGAGAGGATCAAGTAGACCCTTCCGGGTGACGATAAGCTGCTTGGGCTGCTCTTCCACAGGCAGAGACCGAATCAGAGCCGCCACTTCTTCGGCTGTCTTCCATTTGGCCAACTGACCAAGACGCTTCTGGCCGGCCCACACGCTGGTGTGAATGATCTTCAAGAACAGCTGTCCAGTTCGGGGATTGAAGATGAAGATTGCACCGTTGATGGGCTTTGTGGTCAGGTTCCCTTCGAACGTCTTGTGGATCGTGACACGGTAGACATTGGTGTCATCGATGAACAGCTGAATCTGGGGACTGAACAGCTCCGAGTAGTTTTGAGAGTTGAGGAACTCCTGGTTGCTCTCCGAAGCGTACAGCTGCAGACCCTTCCGGATACGCTCACGCAGCACATACAAAGCTGGGTTCGCTTTCATAACCTTGGCCATGGCCTGCTGGATCAAAGTCTTCAAGCCCGGGAAGTACTGGCCGTAAGCCGAGTACAGGTTGTAGGCAAGGTCGATGCCGATCATCAGACCGGTGGCGGAAGGGTAGATACTCATGCTGTCGGTGGTGTAGTCGAGATACTTGGCACGGACGTAGCGTTCAATATCGTGTGAATCGTAGTCGCCGTATCTCAGCTGCACATCAAGCCAGAACTTGTTCGTCGTGTTGGGTTCGTAGACGTCCTTCGTATCATACAACAGAGAAGGCCGGGTGACGTTCCACTTGTTGGTCGCGAAGAGAAGGATATCCGCGCAAGAACTGTTCATCTTGTAAGATTTACGCGGGTGAATCGTTTCCTTTTGAACTGCCTCGACGCCAAGCTGTTCCAGTTCTTGGTCAAACACCTGACACAAGTCCATAACCACGGATTCGTGGATCTTCTGCCACAAGTGGGCACGGAAGATCTGGATCAGAGAGATCTTCAGGGTTGGGATCTTGCCGTGCAAGAAGATACCGGTGAGATCCAGCTGCACTTGGAAACCAACATAGACGTTGGCACGGTTGATCGTGGGGGACCACCAGAGCGTGAAACGACGGTTAGGAATCTGGTTCAAACCAGACCGCTGAGCGTTGGTAAGCTTCTTGAACTTCATCGACTCCTCAAAGCCTAGAGAAATAGTTAGCAAAGGTTTCGTCGTATTTTCTTTCGGGCCAGATCTTACCTGATGCTCTCTCCCAGAACAGGCCCTCCCAAGATGGGAATGCCGTCGCCTTGAATAGGGTGTGCTCCAGAATGGTCTCTACACCACCTAGGGCCTGAATGACATCCGTCCGATAAGCGTTCAAATTCCAAAGCTTGCCATCGTGCCTTTGGCTAGTCCACCAGAATGGATTGCTCTTCATCAGCTGGTACTGCTTGAACTCCGCGCGAAGTCGGAAACCCTTGTCGAAGCTGAGAGTGCTTCGGTCCTTTTGGAAAAGCGTGTTGATACGTGGCAGACCACGGTCCCAGCTGTCTTCTAGATCCTCCAACGTCAAGCGCCGGTTCTGCTGTTGGGCTTCCATTCGCTTCTGGGAGTATTCCATCCACACGCGCTGCGAGTCGATGAACTCGGCCTCCCACGGAATGATGTATCGGAAAATGTTGGGGATCAGAGTCTCTTCGTCGTGAGACATACCTGCTCGGAAGTGGGTGATGCCCGTGTCCGTTTGCTTAGACCAACGCTTGTCGCTGGTGGGGATGAGGATGTGAGACCCGGAGATCATACCCAGACCACCCAGTTCCTTCGGGGTATAAAACACAGCCGGAGGGAAACGCGAAGGCATCTTAGAGTTCAATCCAATCTTGACACGGGTTTGGATCTTTGTCTCGCACTTAACAATGGTGTCGAGAAGGTTGACGGTCGAAACAGCAGCCTCACGGTAATAGGTGAAGAGAGCAATCAGCGCCGTGTTCCACTTGTTAGCGATCTTGGTGAAGGTCGTCGATCCAGAGGACATGAGGATTTGCCGGATACGGTTGTTGAACTTCTGGATGTCCTCTTCGGTGACCTGAAGGAAGGCATGGGCCGTCCGTTCTTTGGTCGTGTTGTCGACCAGAGACCACACGCTGTCCTTGACCGAGAATTCCTCATTCTGATTCCGGATCTTGGGAAGGATACGAACTTCAAATCCACCCATAGAGAACAGCAAGTTAGGGTTGTCCTTGCTGTAGACACTGGCGAACGTGTCATCCCAGTCGATCGTGGTGATAGATCTGGGGAGACGATTCTTCATATCCCAGAACACGGCACGTCCCAGGTTAACATCGTGGCGCATCAGGCGCATCCGACAATCACGAGGCCAGCACTTCTTATTCTTGTAACCGATGACGTTCTCGAAGTTGGGGTCTGGATTCTCGGTCAAGAAGCGCTGGATCAAATCTCGGGACTCATCTGCGGAGAATCGGAAAAAGACCCAGATCTTGTCGACGTAACGGGTGTAGAGACGGATGGGATGCCTGGTCTCGGTGGGACGGTCTCTGAATTGCAGGAAGTCATTGGGGCTTGCGGGCGGCCCGGCCATCTCACTGGCTCGCTGGAGGCCGAGGAGCAACAAGTCAATCATCATGCCGTAGTACTGGAACACGAATCCCGAAAATTGAAGACCACGGATGAGTCCGTAACTGTTTGTGTGGTTCATGTCCTTGTAGCTCAGCTGGACATTGTTCTTGGAGGTGATGTAATCGGCCAAGTTGTGGTCCATGATCAGACGAAGCATTCGGTTCAAAAGAGTCAGATCGATCTTCTCGTAGACCTTGGACAGCTCGGTCTCAATCATGACGTTGGTCTCGCCCTCGTCGGTCTCCCAGACGTTGGACAAGTTGTTAATACCTTGAGTCCACTTGTAAGCCAAGAGGGGAGGCACCTCGGAATCCGAGGGCTTGATCCAGGCGGGGAAGAGGTGGCGCTGCTCCGCTTGGTACCAGAGGTATTGATCAAGATACGCATCGGTAATCTTTTCGATGGGTTCAATGTCGTAGACAGGGTTGATGTTATTGTAGTTGTCATTCATATCAATGCCAACCTCTTTGAAAGCTCTCTGGGTCAGGAGGAACCGCTTGATTCTGGCCAAGGTTGTTCCAGGAGAATCGTAAGCCTGTTCAATGAGCGCGAGTTCCTCACGCTGGCTCTGGTTCAGTCGGCCCTTCACGGAGTATGATTCACGTAGCCGTTCCAGGGCCAGAATAAGGATCTTCGTATCGTGCTTGTACGAAACACTAGGGAACGGAATTGGGGAGAATTTGCGAGACTCCAGCCAATGGACCATGGTCGTGTAAATGGCCACTGCCTCCTCGGATGAAACATATGGACCGTCCTTCAAGTAGTTGTGCTGCCTTTCTTGCTCAGACTTCAGCCAAAGACGTGTAAGACGACCCAAGTTCTTCTTGGCGACGGTCTTGTCGACAGTGGCACCACGGCGAATTCTCTCTCGGTTATAGTGAGCGACCGAAATCCACCAGTCAGCCTTGCTCTTGACATATCGAAGAATGATATTCTCAATCGGAGCAGGCAGACCCGGAACCTTCCAAGGGATGTTACTCTTCCAGCATCTCCATGCCTCAGACAGATGTTGCAGAACAACATTGACCTTGTTCTGCTTAATGCCCTCGGGCATCATGTCCATAAGATCCGCCATCACAGATGCGCGAAGTTCCAAATCGAAGTGAGACTCCACACGCTGCTTGGTCACGGTCTTGGCGACACCCTTGCTGTGGCGACCCTCGAACTGACGAGAAAGCAGGTTTCCGAGCCATCGCTCCAGCAGAGGGATGATGCCGCGCATGAAGAAGAGCCAAACTCGCCAGGCAGGGGCCCAGAAACCACAACCAGGACCCTTGCCGACGGGACCGGAGTTGAAACGGTAGTAGATGAGATGCTTCAAATCTTTGCACGACCGGATCTGGTGCATCAACTTGTACTTGTACCGGTACATACCCGTGAGCTGACCAACATGGTTAAAGGCATAGAGGATGCCATCCGCCAACTGGAAAGCGTCGATGTTGCCCAGACGGTATTGGACCTGGGCATCGACAATCAATTTGGTCAGGCGCAGAATTTCTCGCATCAAATGGAACGCGTTTCCGAAGCGAGACTTCTTTCGCTCCTTGGTAGTCAGGGTCTTAACGGGCTTCAGGTTGAAGTTGTAATCAAGATGCAAGTAGGTCAGGTTCTTGCGGTGGATCAGCAGGTTCAGCATGTTGAAACCCTGCCGGCAGACCTGTAGACCGGCCTCAACCCAGTCGATGGTCGTCTGTTGGAAGAACTTGGTCGACTTTAGAGTCTTCATCAGGTTCTGCTTGCTCTGAGCCTTCGGCTTCTTCTTGTGAAGCTCGTTGAGCACGTAAGTCTTGAGAAGCTTCTGGTAAGATACCCGAACCTTGACAGGTTGACCCTGCGGGCAGTGTTCCAGATACCACTGCTTCACCAGCGGCACGTCCTGGGCACGAACCATTTTGCCAGAGCGCTTGTCAAACGGGTGAGGGGCCCACCACAGAGCGATGGCAGACGCCGTCTCCGTGGTGTACAGTTCCTCGTCGTCGAAGAACGGTTCAACTTCTCCCGGAAGCTCGAAGTCGTCCTCCTCGTTGCCATATCCGAAAATTTCGTCTTCGTGGCTGACCGTGATGTTCTTGGGCTTGACGGAACGAGAAGAGATAGGGTTGATGACGGGATCGAAGTAGAATGCAGGCAGGTTGGGATCCTCGGTCCGAACATAGACTACCTGGGGGTGAGAGTACCAGGAGACCTTGACGCTCCGTGGAAGGGTATTGTACAAAAACGGGAATGCCACTCGGTACTCGGTCCGAATGGGGGAGCGGAAGATGATGCGGTCGATGGCGTTGAACTCGCTGAAATCCTCATCGTTGGGGTCGATGTCCTTATAGAGGGGTTCAAAACGGGGACCGCCGGGAATCGCAACGTTCAGGGCCTTTGCGGTGAAGAAGCTGGGCAGGTCGAACATGTGGTGATAGTTTTCATCGACGACATCGCTGAGCAGCTGATGACTCAGCCGATACAGGGTCGCCATCTGAGGAAGCGTCAAATTCCACTTCTTGTAGCTTGGGCCACCGACGTGGGATGTGTCAAGGAGAGGGCGGTGGTCGTAGAACCATTCGTACACGGGGGAATCTTCAGATTCATCGAGCTCCATCTGGATGGGTTCGAGGGGCTCGACATCCTCGATATTCTCCGACCAGGACAGCGGCGGTTCTTCATCGTCGAAGGGAGGAAAGCGCATGCGCTTAAAGTGTCGGCGATCGCTCTTCTCCCGACGCATGCACATCCACATCGTCGCCCACTGCGCATGGAACACGGGTTCGATGACGCGTGGGGTCTCGTTCACCAAGGTGAGGCACCCGTTGACGTGATACAACACCTTGACTTCCCTTGCAGACTCCCAGGGCATGGGCATGTTCTCCAGAAGCTTGAGCACCGCGTGGGGCATGAACTTGAGCGCGCCGAGATAGCTGCGCTTCTCGTTGGCGAATTTCTTCTGCGAGACATCACCGATATCCCTCACGATTTTGCGCAGATGCTCTGGGGGCATGTCCGCCTTCTGCGTCTCGACGAATCCCCCCTTTCTCTTCTCGCCGAAGCGATTGCGTTGCGTGCGCAGCCACTCGTTCTTCTTCTGCGCAAATTTTGCGACGGTCGGATCGGCCGGCGGCTGGTACCCTGGTGGCGGCGGTGCCATGGGCATCGAAGGAGGAGCTGCGCCCCATCCTGGAGGAGGAGGGGGGGCGGCAAAGACGCCATGATGATGGGTGGATGGGTGTTGATGTGAGAGGTTTGAAGTCAGGGTGAACGCCCACCCTCAAAGGGAGGTTGAGTTTGGGGCTCAAAGTCGCGTCAGGCCCAGTCGGTAATCAGGCATGGACACGCGACTTGACAGGACGGAAGGGATGGACCGGGGAAGATTTAATCGATGGCGACGAAAAGACCCAGCCGATCGAACCCCGAGACGTGACAAGAGGATGGATGAAATAATCAACCTCGTGACTTGAGCAACTTTTGCTTCCCGGGAGAAAGAGCGTGGCGGCTCTCCCAATACGCTAGTCCCAATAGGGTTTAGCGCATCCTCGCCAAACGAAACCCACACAAAAACTTCCCGCTGCAATTCATCCTCGACCACCAACTCTTGACGACCACCCGCAGAGGTTCACGCACACAAAATGGCGAACAACAGACTGCAATACGTGAGTATTCTCCTCGGACCTTCAAACATCATTTTTCAATCATACTGACTCGCCTTCCTCCCAGCGCCGCCGGAACCCGTACGTTCAAAATCCCAATTGCCTACCCCCGGTCCTGCGCATTTCTCGACATCCCAGCGGATGCAAATGGCGTCGTTCTTCGTCTTCTCGTGTGTGGTATTGATTGTGTGATTCGATTAGGTACAACACGCGGTCCAACAAGGTTCGCATCATCAAGACCCCCGGTGGTGAGCTCCGGTACCTGCACCTGAAGAAGAAGGGTACCGCTCCCAAGTGCGGTGACTGCGGCATCAAGCTCCCTGGCGTGAGTCTCTCCTAACCGGTGGTGTGTGTGGTGTCGTGTGCGGGACCCGAACGAAATTCCAAAATTCTGTGTGGATGTGCGATCGAGGACCGACACACGACACACCCTAAACTCCGACCGTTCTCTCTCTCAAAAAAGTCACAAATCTAACCACGCATCAACAGATTCCCGCCCTCCGCCCCCGCGAATACTCCCAGATCTCCCGCCCCAAGAAGAACGTCAGCCGCGCCTACGGTGGCTCGCGCTGCGCCGGCTGCGTCAAGGACCGCATTGTGCGCGCTTTCCTGATCGAGGAGCAGAAGATCGTCAAGAAGGTGCTCAAGGAGTCCCAGGAGAAGCCTAGCAAGCGCTAAGCGTGGAGCATTCTATGTCGGTCGGTGTTTGTCTTTTACTTATGGAAAGGAAAGAAAAAATCAGCTGGGATTAGTTCTGTTAGCATCGGAAAGATGAACAGCAACAGCTGGCATGCCAGTCCACCCCGTGGATTGCGGCTACGCAAATGAAACCCATTATTATTCTTCATGATTGATCACGTCGGCCATTGCTGTTGAATTGTTGTTGTCCAACCGGCAATAATGTAGTATTGGTCCTTGAATTTCGCTTCTAGTAGAGTGTGCTACGTAATAGTCCCAACGTCGTCCGCGTATTTGCCTCGGAACTTATGCCCTGGTAGTGACGATCTCGACGCCTCGCCTACAACTTACCCAATTGGTCTCCATTTTGCGCAGCAAGAAGATTAGAGTAGAGCAGGACTGCTATGAACAGTAGTATCGTTAGCATCTCCAGTATTATCATGTATGAACGGCAGTTACAGAGGGATACATCACCGCCAATATTTTCAGATTTCATGTTTTGACGTAGAGCCCTAACCCAGCCGTGCTATTGGTGTGATTTTGTGTCATCGCGCTGAACTACCACCGACTTTTGCAAATTGCTTTCTCCATATAGAATGCTCATTCTGGATTGTCTCCTTATCTTCATTTCATCTCAGCGATATTCACAGTGTCATTGACCTGAGTATGATGGAACTGGTTGACAAATATATTTCTGGTTTTCTCTACCTATTCCCAGCAATATTGCTCGATAAACCCAGTTCAGTGACAATTTCCCATTTCTCCAAAACTCAACTAATTACCCACCCTAATACTCAATTCAGTATATTCCCACCATTGAGCTCACCCTCAGTCCATTCATGCCAGACTCGACCATCAAGAATCAAACCGACCACCACCCCAAACCGAGCATGCAACACAACGAAAACCAGTGGCATCTCTTCTCTTGGGTCATATTATAGACCAGGAAGCGTCTGATATACCCTTCCTGGGAAAGGGGCACGGAAGAGGGGAGGGGGGCTGGGTAGCCACAGACCAGTCAGTGCAAGGATCATGATCCGGACTGGTGTCGCATATTGACACAGAGAAAGAAACAGAGAGTGAAGGAGACAGAAAGAGGGGGCCCTAAAGGCTAACTAACCAGTGACGAACCCCAGGGTAAATGACGCTTGGACGCCTCCTCTCTCCCCTGGGTAGAAGCTTAGCCTTGGATTTACGCTTAGGCTTACATAGTTAGCTTGGTTGGGCAGGAAAAACTAACCAAAAGAAGGGTTCGGTGGATCTTGAGATCTCATCTGACATCCAACTCATCTCGGTCAGGGCCACCGCTTCAGGTCGTGAACAGGCCATTTCTGGCGAGCTTGTGCGGTGCGGCGTGGCGACGGGGGCAGCGGTAGAAGAGATAAATATAGATGGCTACTAGTCGACAACTACTGTACATACCGAAGAGAGAACACGAGACTAATAAAAAAGTCCGGAACTGACATGTCCTCAAGCTTCCGTGTGCCTCGGTCAATCTATGTATGCTATGCCGCATCTTGTGCCATCCTGCGTTTTTGCACACAAGGTACAATACATGGTCTATCAGTTGTTCAGGCCGAAGGAAGAAAAAAGGCAGGCCTTGGAACTGCCACTTTGAGTAAGAGCGCCATCCTGGGATTTATCTGCCGGCGCTGCAGGTGACAGGCAGTGGGACAGGATGACGGGCTGGCTGAGCAGACGTCAAGAGCGGCGTTGTACGAGGCTCGCCGGAATTACTCAACAACGCCTTTTTTCATAATATATATATATTTTTTTGCCTTTACCTATTGTGACTATAGCGTAAGACAAGCCCGAATTGATCGTTCTGATCCATGCTGCTAGCTTGATCGCTGGATCTACCAGCCAGCCACCCAATGGCACGCGATCCCTGTGCTTCCCGAGTTCTGCTAATGTGCTCGCCACATACTGTACCTCCCCCAGCTACGTGGCAGCCGATGAACTGGTCCCAGTGAGTTTGTTCTCAGTACCTTAGCTACTGTCGTCACCGATATGGACAGACAAGGGGTCTATCTGCAAGCCTTCGCGAACAACCATAATGGGCTCGGGTTCATTTCTTTCAGTTAGTTCTCCACACCGAGCCACAACAGACAACGCTGACGGCAGGAAGAGCGGTGAAGTTGGGGCTTGTTATTATTTGCACACGCTCTATCTCTCGGATCTAATGGCCAATAACCTTTCCCCCCCGAAAGCGTGAGCCTTGACAGCTGCAATTGGGCCGATCCACCCACAACGCCTAACTGGAAAGGAAGAGAACCCAGATCCACGTCGAGCGGAGACCAATTAGTGTTCTGCACCACTGAATGTGCAGTAGTTACGTACACCCGACGAAAACCCCTGCATTCGACAGACCGGGCTGTCAATCTGCATGTCTGCCGTCGGCTGTAGTGCAAATCTTCGTTGAGACGAAATTTCGGAACACCAGCCGCCTCCAAGTGCTGAGGCACTAAACTCGATAGATCGTAAAAAAGCAAGCCATCACGCATGCGGATCTAGGGTATCCCCGGCTACGCGCAATATGACAACCGCAGCCTCAATTCCGGATGTTTTGTGTGCCTGATTCAATCCGAAGCTATTGATGCCGGCTGCCTCTCCCCCTACATAACCGGAGAAGAGTGGAGCAACAAGAGAGCCGGGGCAGAATAATAATGAACTAAAAATAAGATGAAGTGAAGAAAAAGACGAAAAAAAAAATAAAAAAAGAAAAGAAAAGAAGAAGCAAGAAGAGAACAACAGCGTCATGCGAACCAGAGCGCGCATCGGATCGCATCCGACTCCCATACCTTGTCCCTGCCTACCCTTGTCACTGGGACCGTGGCGGGGTTTGGGGGCACTGCCGATCGATAGACGAACCCAGCGACGAATCGACTCTTCTATGTATCTGTCTGTTCTGTCTAGTCTCTAACTATCCCAGAAGCTCGTTCCGGCAGGGTAAGTGCTGGTAAATGCTGTTAGATAGTAGTATTTACTAGCAATTACCGGTGGCTGTTCTCCCCCGACCCTAATCCACTAATTACTCTGGCCTAGTGAAGAAGGGAAAGTGTCCAGCCGCTGTGGCGTGGGCACAGTACTCACTTGTTGTACGCAGCAAGTACTGACCTACCCTACAAATTTTATTGAGTAGGGACTGAATCAGACTTGGCACATTATTCAGGAACAAAAAGACTCTCACGGAACGGGCCGCGGGGCACGATCGAAGGACGTACTAAGAAAAAGTACAAACTGAAAAATCGCGTTTTTGACACCGAACGGCTGCACTGCAGCTGTCAGGTAGGCAGGACGAGTGTAGTAGTAAGTAGGAGCGGTGTAAGTACCACCACCGCCATACGCGTACTCTGGGATAGCGGGAGCACCTTCCTAGCTAGGAATATTGAGGTACCAACAGAGACCGACGAAGTGGGCAGTAGTACTATAGTACTATGCTTTGCGTCTGCTGATCGCCCACGAGCTCGTAACCAACTGTATTTATTCTACATAGCCCATCACGCAAGCGCTGGCGCTTGACAAGCTTCCTGCAAGTAAGTGTATGTACATGAAATACCGGAAGATAGGTTCTTGTATTATTGTGTTGTGCTATGTATCTCGCCCCACGATCTCGACGAGAGTCTAAGCCCCGATCTCGAGCTATCTCGAGCTAGGGGTTCGTGGTAGTGGGTGCAGGGGTGGAGAGGGTGAGGGAAGGAAGAAACTGAACAAATAAATCTACCAAGCTTGACCGCGTCACCGATGGACGGCTGCAGGGCGCTCGATAGAACTAGTCATGAGTCTAGTGAAGAAGAAAGAAAGAGAGAAAGAAAGAAAGAAAGAAAGCAAAGGAGTCGTCCGGGCGAAACTAACGGGGGAGAGAATGGTGCGGAGAACGAAGCCACTTAGTTACTTTTCTTTGTTGAACGCAGTCAGCATCGTGCATGATTACCCTACTTCCTCCGCCTGTGATTCGATCGTATATCGGAGTCGGTCACACTGTACACCGACACTGACGGAGGATCGAAACACTTACCTGGTGTAGTGGCAAGTAACTAGTGGCCATTAACCTGTCAACCTGTCAAAAGACTCGATTAACGGCCCGCCCCTGCACGAGATCTCCCGGAAGTACCGAAAATTGAGACATGCTACAGCACTACTAAAGACAAAGAACGACGCTTAAATCGTGTGACTATTATCGTTCATTTTTTACCCGCATATCTGCCGATCACTAATGGCTCTTGCTAGCTAGCACGAACAGGGATGAATGAATGATCGAGTGGGATCGAGTTATTAGAGATTAAGCGGTGGACATGGCTCGTATCAACACAAAAGAAGTAAATAAAGAAAGTAAAAAGGATCATATGGTACACATACACACAAACACTCCGTTCCCATCGTTGCGAATCATCACATCATGAGCGTCAGTGCAGCCCAAAAGCAAAGCTTTCCTTCCACCCTGAAATCCCACTCCCTTTTTTTGTAGTGCACTTGATGAGCTAAAAAATAGCCAAAGCAGAGAAGAAACATTAGAAAACATGCATCATCTAGTTTATTGATCAGGCCTCGAAAGACCCCCGCCCAAAAAAAAAAAAAAAAAAAAAAAAAAAAAAAGAGAATCAGAACCCGCAATAAAAAACGGTACTGAAAGAAAGAAGCGTATGCACGTCAGCCTTGCTCGAGCCTTTCCACCATCGTATCCCTGAACGTTTTAGTTAGCTCCTCACCCGCGCTACCAGCCGCTGAACCAACCAGACCCCAGACATCCACTAGTGCAGCACAGTGTACACGCCGGGGGAGAGACCGTGCGAGACGTCAGGCCCGGTAGGCTCCCCGTTGCCGGAGTCATAGTGCAGCCCAATCCAGCTTAGATACGCAGGATCATCAAAAGCCAAGCAGCCTGTCCCCGTCTCTAGGGCGCCTACGAAGACGGGAGCGGTGGCGTCCGTCGGTAGGCCGGCGCAGCCGATCACCATGCTTGGATCGAATGGACGCACTGGTGAACTGTTGGTCTCTGCGGGGTCCATGGTGTGGTAGGCTTGCATAATATCGGCGGGCGAGGGATCCATTGGTGCATAATGATTGCGATGGGGAGGAGAAGGGTGATTATGGTAAGGGGTCTGTTGCTGAAGCTGGCGGCGGAGATGGTGGACCGGTGGTCGAGCTCGATATTGTTCCTTTCGCAGTAGCTCGTCCTGGCTCGTGCGGGTGGTGGTCGAATGGCGGATCTTCGCTGCGCTGCTCCTGGTGGCCTTGGACCCTCCCTTAGACCCTGAATGATGATGCCGCTGAGGAGGGGCGGGAGGACTAGAGCTCTTGGTTCGCTTGTGGTTCGCCTTACGGTAGCGAGTAGTCGAATGGACGCCCCCCTGCTCCAGTGCTTCCTGCGTCAGACGCCAGAAGTTGGCTGCTCTCTTGCCCGGTGCTGCTTCTTCCTTGATAGGTTCAAATCCCTGGCAAGGCAATTGGTTAGGAACATGGATTGCAATGGGAGGGAAAAATGCATACTGCATTCATGGAAAGATTGTGGCGGATGCTGTTCTGCCAGCCCTTTGAGGATGGGTCTTTGCACTTCGCCGTGTTCTTCACGAACCAGTTGTAGATACCCTGAAGTGGCAGTTTCTTGTTGTCTGCAGATACCAGGGCCTCATAGATGAGTTTGGAGTATGGCGGATCATCGCTGGACTCGCTAGAGGCCGAGTTATCCCGTGAAGGAGCAGGTTCGGGCGACGAGATCGTCATGGGGGCATGGATGCTGTCCCCAGGCGCTGCCTGCGAGAGATACGAGGCAATTTCAAAAAGTGAAGGAGGGGAAGCACACATCTCTGGCAGATCTAGGATCTCCATTTGGGTAGGATTGTAGTCGTTGGGGTGAGGGTGACGACGGTAATGGTATTCTTGAAGAGAAGAGGGGGAAGTAAGAGCCTCCTCCACCCAGTTCAGGCGGTCATCACCGTTCTCCATGTGCTGCCGGTGGAGGCCCGGGCTCAATGGAGCCATAGTAGATGGGGAAGCCATCAGGGTAGGTTTTGAAGAAGTGGCGCCTTGAGAGTCCAGATAGGGCGAGTGAGGGCCGAGCGCGTACAGCTCTGATGAGGCTATGGAGGCGCTCCAGGGCTCCGGGTGAAGGTGATGAAGAGGCATCGGGGATTCTTGGCTGGATCTGGATCTCGGCCAGGCATCGATGGAGGGACAGGGGTTGTAAGGCTGGGGGGCTTTCACCTGGAGAAGCGTGTCTGATGGCTCTCGCTGGTCAGTTGGCATCTGAGCCAGGGAAGAAGGGTGAGATGGAAATGAATCCATGGCGTCTAAAAGAGAGCCGCGCTTAGTGAGGGAAAATTGTGACTAGAGGGTAGTGCATGGGGTGTGTAGAGATAGGGAAGAGTGAAGTGAAGCAGAGAGAGAGACGAAGAAGAAGAAGAGATGATGAAGTACAAGAAGTATGGGGGGAGACAAAAAAAAAGCCAGACGTGGCCATCCATCTATCGAATGGAGGTGTACACTCATGGACTATGTATGCTGGACTATTTTCCCCCCTTTCCTATTCTGTCGGTCCCTGCCAACACATAGGGCAACAAGGGCAGTTCGCTCTCTCTTGACCTCTTTCATGCTGCAATTAGCCACGCAAACACCACTCCACTCTAGCCCAGGTGAGGCCTAGAAGTCTACCAGACACTAAGAAAGACCAACCGCTACGACGGCCTCTCCAGATGACCCCGTGGAACGGCGCTGAGCCCTAGTGACCAATGATCTGGCTGGCCATCAGGCGGATCTGGTGCAACGAAAAAGGTGGTCAAGTGTGGCGGACGCCTGCAGACAAGTCCCTAGAGGACATTCTCGAAGAGAGAAAAAGCAAAAACAGAAAAAAAAGGGAAAAATACAGAGTTTCAGCCTCGACTGCACTCGTTTTTGCCAGCCGGAAGTTGTGAATTAGCCCTGCAAGACATGGTGTGACCGGTTTTGCTTTTCTTCTGGTTCTTCAACGTCTGTTCTGGTAATTAACCATTCCAGGCGAAAGCACATGGACTGACTAGTGGTGCTAGTCAGATTAAGCATTTGACACCTGCCGCACACCCGGTAAGGTGGTGATGTTTCCAGGCCAATCGCCTAGACATCCTCTCTGGCCGTTCAAGGCGCTGGAAAATACATCGCGCGCTTAGTCCCTCCAACCTCCAACCACCACCATGTGGGAATGACGGGTAGTGCATGTGTTACTTCCGGTAATAGATCTGAGACAGTGTCAGTAGCCATCGGAGTATTTGATCTGGAGTAATAGTGACTGACCCGCTTGAACTGGAAATGGAGCTGGAGAATGCCCTTGTCAAAGGTACTCTTGAACCCCCGTTCTCGCTTCGCGCTATAATCCCATTCCTTATCCACAATGCGGAAGGCAATGTCTTCATACGGCGGACCCGCCATGAACCGGATGAGACAGGTGTCTTCTTCGCCCGCGGCCGCAAACGACTCTCCGCGCTTGCGACCGTGTTCGCGCTCAATACGGTACGTTGGCGCCTTGGCCTTGTCGATGAGATCCGGGTAGAAGATGTTGAACTTGTAGCCCTGCACAACCTTCGGCGGCGGGTTGTCATGGTCATAGTGCGTTTGGTTGTACTTGTTCCACTCGTAGCCCATCTGCACGCGGTTGAAATACCGGGGCTTGCGCGGCCGGTGTTTACTGGCCCATTGGGATTTGGAGCTCGTGGTAACGGCCTCTTCGCTTGTGAAAATCTCCTCATTCTCGCTGACACCTTTAGCCAGCTCCCGCTCGTACAGAGCCTTTGTGGCCTGCGAGAAATCGTCATTCGGAATGGCTGAAAACCGCGACGATCCGGCAGCGGCTGGGGTGCTTGTGGAAACTGGGAACACAGCAGCCGAAGACTTGTCTGCTGCTCGCTGCCGTAGAGGGACGTATCCCATGCGCAGGATCTTCTGACGCTCGCGGGCCTGTACGATTAGTTGAGGATCATTTTCCCGAGAGTACGGTAACTTACCACCTGGTTGAGAAACGCCGATTCGTCCATAATCTCCAGTCCTTTATCTTCCGGGCGTACCTGGAGCAATGGGTCCGGATCTAATCCTTCAAAGTCTTTAGGGTCTGGTCGACGAGCATCGTCCACGAGCGGCGCAAGAGGTGCCAGCTTTGTCCGAATCGACTCCGCCTCCTCTCTCTGCTGATTCCGTAGATCGCGCACGCGCTCATCAATGACGGCTTGGCAGACCTTCTTCAGTTTCGCCCGCGCCTTCCACACCGTCAGACTGCGTAGCAATTCTTCCCAGTAGTCCGTGTCGATAGGTTCATTGGAGTTCAATTTTCTTTTCACTTGCGCCTCCAATGTTTGAAGTTGTTCGTAAGACTTCGGGCTTAAAAGTCGATTGATATCAGCAGCTACGGAGCTGAGCGCCCGTCCTTCGGGCGCAGTGATCTTTTGACGGTCTCGACAGATGATTCGCATAGTCTTGGGACATAGAAAAAGTCAGCGAAAAACATGTTAAAATGAAAAGATGGTAGCTTACCTGCCAGAAATCGCGATTCTGCGCGTTGGACTCCAGGCTGAGGAATGTATCGATCTCCTTCTCCAGATCCAGTAGCTCGGGCTGCGACAGGCCCTCGAACACTCCATCCGGATCAACGATATCCAGCTCAGTGTCGGCAATCTCATCGTCCAGAGGATTGGGATTGCGCGTGGGATCGATCACGCGCAGTGTGACGGCCAACCAGTCGATCGGTTTCGCGCGGCCTTCCTTGACTCTGATCTCCGCCTTCTTCTTCGCCTGCTTCAGGACGAAGACATCCTCCTGCGAAACCCACTGGCGCGCTTGCTCGTCCTCCTGAAGCTGGTTGAGCCGTACTTGGTCTTTCATGTTTCGTCGGGGTTGCTGCGAAGGTTCCTGTCGATCGCGCCATTCACGGTCATGGCGCTTCTGCTGTTGGCGCCATGGTGGAGAGCGCGAACGGCTGCGCCTGGCGCTTGGGTGATCTGAGTGTCGCGTGGACATTATGGAGGTTGTTGGATGGAAAGTCGGGCGGAGACTCGGCGACGGAAAATGAATGATGTTCTGGAACGGCAGATTGACGGAGCCTCAAGGCGGTCATCTCACTTGCGCCACACGTCACCCCGACAGCTAACTACATACTGTTGCGCAACGGCGCGATGGCGAAATGGCACCGGCTGCGTCTGCCAGAGGACACTCCGGCGCTTCTCGTTCAATACTCAAGCACACATCAGGGCTACGAACTCTACATGACGGATTTCATCTCCGTCTGGTCGGAACGGCTGTCGCGCAAGGACATCCTCCAAAGAGCCGAGCAAGATGCGACGACGATCGATCCCAGCGAGGATACAGAGCAGTTTTCTGTGCTGCTCGGCAAGATCGGGGAAGCCCTCCGTGGTACCGGGGGCACCACCACCCTCAGCAGGGGGCCCGGGGACACGCTCGAGCTCATCACGATAACGGAGCTGCCTGCTCCGCTAAAGCCGTTAAAATGGTCTTTTTATGTGTCGAGAGATCATCCCAAGGCCTCAACGCAGCACTTGCTGCTCCCTCTGCTGAAAGACGAGGCAGATTGGGAGTCACGCCAGCGGTCTCTCCTCGACCAGCTTAAACAGAAGGATTGGGTGCTCGGCAAGCTATTTGACAAGATCGAAAGCCTCGGCGTCGACCTTGGGACTGTGTTTCCCAGTGCAGCTGGTCTGCACACAGCTCTGAAGGGCGACGCACGGTCTGCGACGGCCAAGGCCATCAAGGGCGTTGCCCCGTTTGACGAGCAAGCATGGTTGGCCGAGAGCCACGGCACTGGGCTAGCTGCCAATTTTGTGCAAGAAATTAGTACATCTGAGAAAGCTGGCATTCTCGACAAGCTCAAGCTGCCTCAGGATAAATGGTGGGAGAAACTTCCGCCACGCCCCAGGACTTCAGATTCAGCAGGTCCTACAGAAATGGAAATAGATCATGACAAGCAATCGAAGCTTCAATTTGCCGAGTCTGAAGATGTCGAGACCGACGCTGGAAGTGAAGACGACGAATTCCAGGTAGGCAAATAGATACGAGAGTTTTAAATCATACTGATGGAAGATTCAGCGACAAGAAACACCCCCTCAATTGAGGAGTCAAGAAAATAAGCCGAAAATCAAAAAGGCGGTACAATCTCCACGCGCGTCCACCGCAGAGGCAGACGAAGCTACAGCTACAGAATCAGAGCCAGAAGCTGAACCGACCACACGACGCAGACGTACCTCCATAATATCTCCACCGAAGCCAGAAGCAACTCCGACCCAACCTCGAGAAACGCAGAAAAGGCCTCGGGGTGGCTTGGGTGTTATAGGGGGCAAGAAGAAGAAAGAAGCACCAGCACCAGCACCAGCAGAGCCCAAGCCCGCTGAAACTGAGGCTCGGGACGCGACACCTCCATCCACCCACACAAAACCCGCAAAACAACCCAGGAAACTGGGTATGATCGGCGGCAAAGCCAAAGTCCATGCCCCCAGCAAGACGGAATCGACACCGGAACATGGTGCTGTTCCATCTCCGCCTAAGAAAGCAGCAAAGCAGGAGAGCCCGAGTCCACAAAAAGCGGCACTGCCCAAACACAAAGAAGAACCTCCATCTAGTCCTCCACCACATTCAGCACCGCCAGCTCCTGAACCTGAGACAGAAGAAGAGAAAGCCAATCGCAAGCGGGAGGAGCTAAAACGACAGCTACAGGCAAAGAGTCAAGCCCCTGCAAAGAAGAAGCGGAGATTCTAAATCTTCCTTTTCATTATGCATTGGATATAGTATGTATGAAAGAGGTACAATGAATACACATACAGGCAGGACAAGCCTTTCCAATTGATGCCTCCCCGGCAAACACCAACAATCAACACAACGTGACCGCCAGCGACTATATTAATCTGTCCTGCCCACTTGCACTCTCGTTTCCCTTTGCCCTGCTTCAACAACCCCCTCCATCCCTTTACTTATGTTTCTATATACCTGGTAGACCACACACACACACACACACACACACACACACACACACACACACACACACACACACACACAAAACAACCACATCCGTGTATATCCCAAGACTTGCGTCGAGAAATTGAACCTTTCGACCAAAACCTTTCTTCTTCAATTCCATCCTGTCGTGAGTATGTCATCTGCTTGATGACTTGCATAGTGGTATTAACGAAAGACTAGCTACAACCTTTCTGCGTGTTCATGCTCACTATGCGACTGCGGTAATGCGAGCCATCGCGCACCTTCCAAAGGGCAAGAGATCCACGGTTTCACAACGGACGAGCACCCGCAGGTCCTTCATCACACTTTTTTTGTCAGAGTTCATGGCTTTACGGAGCGACACATGGGGCGCATAAGGCACTGGAGCCGGGCATAACAGTCACAGTCAATATGACGCCGCAAGACTTTCACCTGCCGTCTGCCCACGTCGCCATGTTGGAAGATGATGCCCCGACTCTACCTAATCATGTCTTCCTATATAAAGGCAAGGCGTACTAGGAGATACCGGGTTCACGACAACTCATCCGAGCTGATGGAAGCATCGATATCAACTCTCGCTACCCCTGCCGGCGCTCTAGCGATACCGGCGCTCCGGTCCATGACTCTAGCCCACTTTGTCAAAGTACTCGGGGCTCGGGGTGCCAACTGGGAGGCCGGGGTCGGCTAGTGCACTGGTGAGCCGCCCCTCATCATATTGCTTCCCACATTCAACATGCATCCTGGAATATCAACCACTTTAACAAACGAGTTCGCCATATGTCGATATCTACACCAAAGGTGTTCCAAATCCTCTTCGGGACCACTTGCTCCGCCCGTTGCTTCGACGACTCACTCTCATTTAGAGCCAAAACGATGGAAGACCCCTGGTGCTCGGGGGGCGCCGCATATGAACGACGTAGCATCGTTTACGCTATGGGATGGGTTGAACTACAAGTTTCATCCCAAACGTGTTAATAATAGTCATGGATTCGGAACAAGTTCGGGAATGGACAAGTCGTTATGTCTAGGTGGTTCATGTCGATTAAAACTTCAAGGCTACCCCGGCTAGTACCTCCCAGTCTAGGATGCTGGCTTTGTGGGTGGGATTGAGGAAGACGACGAAACCACTCCTTGCTTTGAGGAGTTCGACTTTTCTGAGGATGAGTGCGATCCTCAGAATGACCAGATGCTGACGACTACCTGGATCATGAAACTGATTCTGGGGAGCGTTGAGTATCGTATGGTTGGTCATGTGACAGTCCCTCGTCAGAGCCGTACAGATAGTCTGTCTAGATAGCCTCATCTCTTCCTCTTTTAGACAATTCACTAGTTTCACATGCTCCCTTCCTGATCGCCAGTATTTCAGCTCTCAAGAGGGATGGACCGGAGGAGTGGCAACTAGTAACTGCGAGCTTATTCTTAACCCATTCCAGATGGTTTCCCTAGTGAAACGGGGGTTATTATTAGAATCCACAGGGTATATTCGGATTTATATCACTGTAAAAGTGTTATGCACGCGTAATGCTTGTTCCCGACTGGCGGCTATGCGCCTTCGGTGGCGGTTTAGCTCTGCCAATGTACAACAATGAGTTGACCTAGATACTCCTTTCTCATTTATATCCCCAAACACGTATCTATATGCACGAAGCTGAGGTGGCCAAAGCTCTGTTGGGAAGAGTGGCGTCCATCGCATCTTTCTTTTTTTCTTTCTCATCGATTTTATTGAATTTATCTCCAGTCAGTCCGGACCGCTCGCTTCAGATGCCTCAGACAAAAGTACCTCTACGCGAGATTGTGGGGATGGCCACACGGCTCCTCTCTTTATTCTGTCTGAATTCGCTTACAAAACAATAATAACACCCTCGGGTTTGCTTTATTATGTCCGAGATAAAAGCTCTGACTCTATATCGGAATACTCACTAGCTCGAACTCGACTGGCAGCTCACCCCGATGTCCCCCTGAATTCCATCGCAGATAATTTCCGCCGGGCTGCCCGCTGGACTTGTCAGATTGATGCGTGACAGGTGGATGTCAGAGCAGACTGCGTTGGGCGAGCACGTCAGATCAGCCACCACTTTGCCCTCTGCCCCCGAGGAGGTACCGTGGATGTTGTCGAACACGATGTTGGTGACGTTGACTGCCGACGGATACGCCGCGCACTCGGTCGCGTTCACATCGAAGTAGCATTGGTCCAGTACTACTGGGTTGTCCGTGTTCTCGATGTGGATGTTGCGGTAGGTGATGTTGTTGATGCGCCCATAGCCCACGCCCTGGCCGGCCCACGCCTTGAGACGAGCGCCATTCTGCCACAAGTCAGCTTCAATAACCATTAGTATCTAACTGGAGAACTTACCTGGCCGTTCAGCAGAGTCACATTCTCGATATGCGCATTCTCAATGATGTCTTTGACGCCCGCGTACTGCCCGATACTCCCCATGCTCACGCCATGCGTGTTGTTGCACCATAGGTTCTGCACAAAGATGTTGGTCGTGTTGGGCTTGGGCGAGAAGCAGTCATCGCCAACATCCACACGCGTGTTCGTGACGCTGAGTCCGTTCACGTTGTAGGAATCGAATCCGTCGGTGTTTTTAGGCAGGGCCTGTCCAAAGCCATTAGTAAACCCCGATAAGTTAAAGGTTCCAATCACATACCGACGCATTGGTGGAGTAGGCATTGATGTACACATTGTCAAAGGAAATATCGTTGGTGCGCACGAAGAAGTTGGTCCAGCACGGTGAATTCAGCTGCGTGATGCCCTCGATGCTGACTCGCGTGGCATTGTCAGTCAGGAACAGGATGGGTCGGTAGAAGGTGTTGTCTGGGTTCTAGACAGCATTAATGCTAACACTTCTACTCATTGTCATCCGAATCTCATACCAAAATCTCTTGGCCGGCAAACGCATTATACCATTCCTGGCCATTGCCATTGAGCGTGCCATGGCCAAAGATCTTGATGTCCTGGCCGCCCCACACCCAGAAGGTGATGGACTTTTGGAAGTCGTAGTAGAAATTGTTGGCTTGCCAGTAGGTGATGTTATTGGTGAACTACATAGGTCAGATCACTAACACCGAAAATAAGGGGGAGTATGGATCTACCTTGATTTCACCTTCCAGCTGCACTTCAATATTATCCAAGAAACTCAGATCCAACTTCTTGCCAATCACGTAGGTTTTGCCCTTTTGCAGCAACAGTCGACCGCCGTGATTGGCCTGCTTGATGCCCCAGAGGAAATCAGTGGAGACATCGTCTGTGTCACTCTTTGATGCGCGAATGGTGACTGTCCGGCGGTTCGGGTACTTTTGGCGGTGGACTCCAATGCTTCGCAGTGCTGCGGTGTCTTTGGCTGGGATGATCTGGGCGCCGGGGATGAGATGGTCTGTGACGATACCACTCACTGCGCCGACCAAAAGCGCGCCGAGAGTGAGGAATCTCATCCCGCAAAGAAAGCCAGATATTAAGAATATGATTTGTAGAGCAAGTGTCAATCCAATGACACGAGTCGACTTCGGTGCTGCTGGTGATCTATTCAGACCAGTCTCTCCCCGCCGCAATTGGAGCTCGTACTGGCCCCTTTGTACCTTGCCCTCCCCAAATTGTGCTGATCTGGGGCAGCATTGGCACGCGGGGATGACAGGAGATTTCTCCACCTGTAAGAAAGCTCAGGGCATGAATACTGCTTGGGAAACGATCAGCAGGGACATGTCCGAGTGTGCATTGTCTGCCGATGGTCGGCCTTGGGCATGCCTCCGCATTTTGCCAACCGCAAGACCTGCGGAGAGCACCAACAGTCAAAGACTAAGCTTGAAACTTCTTCTGCAGGCCCGTCCCACCGCCTTGGGGCCAGCGATATGCGCGGGGAGCAAGGATCTCCATGTTCAATGTATGCGGAAAGTGCGCCAACGAAAGAGGCTCACATAGACCTAGTAGTTTTGAGGCGGACTTGGGACCGGGTAGTTAGAATTTCAGACAATTCGTGACCGCCATTTTGGAGTTATTGGTCCAGCTCGGTACTAAGTAGTGTGTACCAGAATTCTCGTTGCCGACGTGTGGCAACTCTGCATCTCCACAAAACCACAACAGCTCCGCAACCTTAAAAGGCAACTCGGCTAGTTGATCGGTCGAGCCTATGTGGAGAGCCGGGATACTCTCAGTAGCGCCTAGATTTTTCGGGCTCGTTTACTCCGAGGTCTTGATCAACTGTCTGATCATAAATGGCCACCTCGCCCCCTAACTAGGGCGGCCCGGTGACCTTTTTATCCTCCATGTATTCGATTACTTGGCTGCTAGCCCCCATCGTGGCGGCTGCTGTGCCATACGAGCGATATATCCTTGCCCCCGAAAACCGAGAACTGATTCCCGCAACGGTTCATAAAGTCAGGGGATTGGTCAACAATGCCGACGCTCTGACTCAATCCGCTGGCGAAAGTGCTACTTTCCATGGGGTCTCGTCTGTCACGTACGATTTTGGGAAAAATGTCGCCGGTCTAGTCTCTCTGGATGTTGGGGATGCCACGTCGTCGGCGGCCTTCTTGGGCGTCACCTTTACAGAATCGAGTCTCTGGATCAGCAGCGAGGCGTCCGACGCAACTGCCGATTCCGGCCGTGATACTCCGCTATGGTTCCCCGTTGGCCAGGGTGCAGGAGAATACACGCCAGATGCCAAGTATGAGCGAGGTGCCTTTCGCTACCTGACACTCGTGAGTAATACCACTGCGTCTGTCCCGGTGCACCGTCTGCGGGTGAACTTCAAGGCTGCTCCATTGCAAAACCTGCGAGGCTACACTGGATACTTTCACTGCGATGATGAACTTGTCAATAGGGTCTGGTATGCCGGTGCATACACCAACCAGTTGTGCACGATCAACCCAGACCACGGTAACGCACTAGTTCACCTGGACACCATCAGCTCCACGGATAATATTAGCCTACCCCAGACAGATACCTGGTGGAACAACTACACCATCACCAATGGACGCAGCACCACCACTGACGGAGCCAAGCGTGACCGGCTGGTGTGGCCGGGCGACATGTCAATCGCCCTCGAGAGCATTGCTGTCAGTACCGGCGACTTATACAGTATTCGTATGGGTCTGGAGTCTCTCCTAGCTCTGCAACATCCCAATGGCCGCCTTCCGTATGCCGGGCGTCCATTCCCGTCGAGTATCATCAGCTATACATACCATCTCCATAGTCTGATTGGGATGTCATACCTCTATCAATTCTCCGGGGACCAAGATTGGCTATCCAACCACTGGAACCAGTACACGCAAGGCCTACAGTGGGCGCTTTCGTTTGTGGACAACACCGGGTTGGCCAACGTGACGGCCAGTGCTGACTGGCTGCGATTCGGCATGGGCGGTCATGTAAGCTTGAGATCTGTTAATGCTGATGAGTATGCTCTAACTCATGCTAGAATATCGAAGCCAATGCTATTCTTTATTTTGTTCTTCAAAACGCCCAGGAGCTTGCGCAAGAACTAAACGACACATCCTCCGTGCCGCGATGGAGCCATATCGCGGCTGGCATCAAGTCTGCGGCCAACAAGAGGCTGTGGGATGGGGAGAATGGGTTGTTCCGCGACAATGAAACTACCACGCTGCATCCGCAGGACGGGAATTCGTGGGCTATCAAAGCCAACCTGACTCTTTCAGATCACCAGAAAATCTCCATCTCTCAGGCCCTTAAGGCCCGCTGGGGTGAGTATGGTGCTCCAGCCCCGGAGGCTGGAGCGACAGTCTCGCCTTTCATCGGTGGATTTGAGCTGCAGGCACACTACTTGGCCAACCGACCCGACACGGCTCTGGATCTGATCCGATTGCAGTGGGGTTTCATGCTGAACGACCCCAGGATGACGCAGTCCACCTTCATTGAAGGGTACTCCACGGACGGCTCCCTTCATTATGCCCCTTATACCAACGACCCCCGCATCTCTCACGCCCACGGCTGGTCTACGGGTCCGACCTCGGCGCTTACCACCTACACGGCTGGCATCCAACTCACGGGACCGGCTGGTTCAACCTGGCTCATTACACCGCAGCCAGGGAACTTGAAAACCTTGCATGCAGGGCTGACCACATCACGGGGCGGTTTTTCCACTTCCTTAGAGCGCACATCGGATGGCGGCTATAAAAATTTCTCCATCACGACGCCTGCCTCCACCGTCGGAGTAGTGAAGCTTCCCGGGACTAAGGGAACTTTAGTATCGAAGAATGGAGACCGTGTACGACTTGTGAATGGTGTCGCGACTGGATTACGTGGTGGTACTTGGGAGCTGCAGCAGTAGATGTACTAAATCTGAAAATTTCCTGTTATCTTTTCTACAGGAGGAAGTGTTGATATACTATAAGATAGGGTCCTTATACACACGCTGACTGAAGAGGAGGAAGCAATTTTGAGTAGTTCTGCTGGTTCAGGTTCTTAAATTAGACGTTGCGGTTGCTAGGCAGACTATATCTTTGAAGTACACCTGTACCAAAGGGACACGTAACGGAGCGCCAAAGGTGCTCAACACCCCCTTTATTATCGCTGCAGCCACTTATCCTTGGCCGAGTTGTTGAAAGCACTCATCTGATTCGTCAACTCAGTATATGGTTCATCATAAGGGTCCTTAATTCTGTAAAAGATTAGTATCAATATCGTATGCGACGTAATTATGAGAAGACTTACCCCTATCCTCTAGCAACGTTCTCGATATACGAGCACTAGTGCTAGCCTAGGAACCACTTCTCCTATAGAACTTTAGCTAGACTGGCGACGTAGTCCTCCCCGCGTTCTCGCTGTCTATTAATTGAGCTTGTCCGGCTTGGATTCTTCTCTGTATAGCAGAAGTTGCCAATATCAGCTAGTAGTACCGGTTTTCCGCCACACTACTTTGAAAACGTTTCTAGGTCCTGTCGCATCTTCTCTCACACTACCGGAGTCGGCGCTTCTACGAAGTACTGGATAGATAGGACGTCGACATACTTTGACATCGCGTGGAGCACGGCTTCGGGGATCCCCTTGTTGCCGTTGTATCTATCGCTAAGAATGAGGTGGTTTGGATCCTGCTCCTTTATCGCTCCCACAATCGTCGAATAGTACCTTTCGGCAACCTCGCCTACCTTCATTGCCCTCTTAGTGTCGCTTAGACCCTTCAACTACGGAAAGTCGGCCCTAGAGGCGTGCCGAATCTAAGCAGGTATATTAACAAAATAGTAACCTAACAAATTGGTACTGTCCTTGTGTTGAGAGCATACACTTCGGGCGAGATATCGGCACTAGTTCTCGAACTTTTCCGAGAACACATCATGAAAGATGGAATTTCCATTCTAATCCTCAATTTCCATAACGCGAAGCTGAATAACATATGGCATACTAGTGCTCTTGAGTTCCTTAGTAGTCTAGGGGAACAGGCTGTGCTGTAGATCTATTGGTTCCCCATACCAATCTAACGCTTTCCCCCAGTCGCCGCCAATGTATTCTTGTGTCCATCCGATCGTGTTAATGCCGAAGTTTTGAAAGTCCTTGACAACACCATTTTGTATCTAGGACGCTCTTAAGCCATATTTGCGTTCCCAGACTAACGCATTAAAGTCATACTTGAGGTTAGACTCGTCCGCATGATTCAGGCCAATAGAGAGAAAGGGCTCGCCAGATAGGTCGACAAAGAATTAACGCCTATCTCTGTCCTATTGTATACGAAAGAAAGAGTTTTCTATATTCGATACAGGAGCTGATACAAATGACAGAGGTCTATCTTGAAGCACCAAATGCAACACGCTAGTGAGGATGAATCAACTACGCAAATTAGAGGAGAACAAGCGGATGGAAGAGGCAATAACTCTTCGGAAATAAGAGAAATGAGGTACTAGGAATGTCCACGGTCAAATTAGGTTCGGTTCTGCGCTAGTGGGCCATTCTTGCTCTCACCCTATACATTCAGCTAGACCATCACTATAAGCATTTAACCGTTTAAGCGTCGAAGCTCTCGAGGCAGAGCTCTGAGGCCGACGGGGTGGCGGGGAAGAGTTACACTGGGGAAATTATCTGGGGGATGTGCACGTTTAAAGAACAATGCATTACGCAACCATGATAGATCGCCTAGAAGCTTGAATTAATTAACGGGTCTTGGGGGTTGTGGTTAGCAGCATGCTAGCTTTAGCGGATCATCTCCGGACCCTAGCCAGTGACCCGAATGCCGAGAAGGCACAGTATTACTAGTTAGTATTACAGGTATCTTATCATGCAAGATCTGCTCTCTCATCTTCTCATTCAGTCTAAGGGCACAAGAACTTTGCACCAAAACAAAGCAAAAGGACCGATAGAGTGAAAGTAAGCGTGTGAATAGTAGCTAAGCGTTCAAGCGTATAAGCGAGCAGGAGTATCTTCTCCTAGAGGACAATTAATTAAACTTTACTTAGTATTAGAGCGGAGATATTGGGGTAGTAGGGATGTTCCCAAAAAAGCTCTGCCCGGTTTCCACGGGGATTTGTACCTGCATGAGCTATGATGATCTAGATGACGGCATGTGTTACAGGTATTTTTCTCTCTGCTAGGCCACCTCTTGTTCTCATCTCTCCCACAGAGCGCAATCTACTTGACCTCTAAACATGGCGGCTCAAACAAAAATCTGGCGCAATTGGTCGCCCCGGACTGTCCTTTTTGCAATCAACGTCTTCGCTGCAGTTGCGATTTTCTTCGAAGGCTATGATCAAGGTGTCATAGGAGGTGTGAATGGCTCTCCAGACTACCAAAAGGTGGTGAATATTGGTAGTGGAGATGGTAAGTTACTATCACCCAACTGACTAAGCAGGGTGGTCTAGTTAGTAGTTAGTCTATTGTGAGTACGCTAATTAAATAAGTGAACCTATATCACTCACTGACATTACCATAGACTTAGGTGCTCTCTTATGAGACAATTGTTTCTCGGTCTATATGTTTCACTACTAATGAATATAGTGGCTGCTTCTTGGGCGGTTGGTCAAGTGACAAATTGGGCCGCATTAAAATCGTCTTCATAGGAGCATGCTACTGCCTGATTGGAGGTGCCTTGTAGGCTGGCAGCATCAATGACAAAATGTTCATCTATGCGCGTGTCATTACTAGCGTGGGCACCGGCCATTTGAATGCAATCGTACTAGTTTGGTCGGCCAAGGTTGCTCAGACCCATTCGAGAGGTTTAAGCAGCTACGCAACTCCCCCACTGCAGCCCCTAACCGTTATATAGGAGCTTTCATATGCCTTGTGTTCTTGGCTAATTATCTCGGCATTTCGATTGCGTACTAGCTCTCTTTTGGACTCAGCTTTACCAGTGAGAGCGTCGCTCCTAGCTTTCGATGGCGCTTTTGTCTTGCCTTCTAGTGCTTACCGGCAATAATCCTAGCATGCGTTATCTGGTTCCTACCGGAATCCCCGCGATGGCTTATCAAAACTGGTCGCAATGAAGAGGCCTTGGAAGTTCTTCAAGCCCTAAGAGGTGCTAATAGCGCTAGTACTGAAGTAGTTTAGCAGGAGTATAACGAGATCATTGATGTTGTCGAGGCCGAGAGATCTCTGGCCGAGAAGGGGATTTTCATTTCTTTGTTTTTCGGAACGGCGTCGGGCAAGCTTCACTTGCCTCTTCGGGCAAACTTGGCTTTCTGGCTTCAAGTTATGATGGAATGGAACGGCATCACTGCCATCATAGTATTCTCGCCCACGATCTACGCGCAAGCTGGGTACGGCACAACAAAGGCTGGTTGGCTCAGTGCCCTAACAAACACTACTAGCATACTTGGGACCCTCATTGCCTCCCAAACAATTGACAAATTCGGACGAAGGAATCTACTGTTCGTCGGGGCTGCTAGTATTGCTGTTACAATGCTCCTAGCGGGCGAATTTGACAAGCTGCTTGTTGATCGCCCTAGTCAAGCTTCGGAGTACGGTGCTATTAGTGTCTTATGGATATTCCTATACACTCTAATTTATAGCTCTACATGGCTCATGTATGCTTCCATTGCCTTCATTTGAAACTGTCAAAGGCGTTTGCTTATTTTGTCGTAGGGTACCCTTCGTTTATCCAACTAAGATTTTTCCAGTCGCTCATCGGGCTTTTGGAAACGGTTTTGGCGTTGCAGGGTGTGTAAGGAGCTTCACTAAACTTAGTGCTCGAGCTAACTCTTCCATAGATGGGCGATCGGCTATGGCTCTTCCATTCTGGCAAATCCGGTCATGTTTAGCCAGATACAAGAGAAGATCTTCTACATCTACGGCGCGTTAAATATTGCTTGGATCCCCTTAGTTTACCTCTTCTAGCTAGAGGTACTTATCTTCCCTTGTAGCTTCGTGTGTTCTTAATTAATGGGAAATTCTAGATAGCAAAGCGCTCGCTCGAGTTAGTCGACTAGTTGTTCGAGTCATCCGTGCCATTCACCTAGAAACAAGAAGCGCACTATAAACGTGCAAAGGCGGAGTTTGATAGGCTACATTATCACAACCACGCTGACAAGCAGAATAGTACGCTCTCGGAAGTGGAATAAAGTGCACTTCATCAGCCGTTCTACGGTCGGGCTTGCTCCGTTGCTCCTTATCTAGGGCCGAAGAAGGTCATTGAGAGGTGCAGAGACGGGAGGTCGCCATATATTTAAGACTTACGTTCCTGATAAAGCTTGTACTTTGTGCTCTAAGATAACTCTAATCCCAATAACAACTTAACCTCGTTTTCCGATCTACTATAAGCCTAGATAATTTAAGTATATCCTATGATTAACAGTAGAAACTGAACGTTCTAAACATAATCCCGTCAATCCTCTCCCTTATTAACACTTGATTAACATGCAGGGACCCCTTGCTAGCTTCCTGATTTGTATTACAAGTTAGGATATTACAAAGACGGAGCAATGGCTCTGTATAAATCAGCTACGGAGTGAGAATAAGGACCTATAACTTCTAGAAGTGTACGACCTCTCGGATCCTACTACTAGTGGAACGAGACATAAATACCTCACAAACCAACCACTCTAACCCTCTACTTCTCTGAGGCCGATACCTTAGCCTCGGAGCACTCTGCCATTTCCTTTTCGCCAGTACTCAAGGTGTCGACCCTGTCATCAATCTCTTTGGCTTCGGCGTCGACGCTGTCAAACAGGCGACGTTCGGCGACGGCGATGTTACCACCAGCCTCACTGAGCATTCTGTCATACTCGCGCTTGTTGGCACTAACCAGAAGTGAATGGGAAGCGAAGAGTAGGTTCATTTCTTCAAGAGAGCGGCCATTGGTCTCAGGGTAAATGAAATACACTGCAGGTATTGCAACTGATAGATCATCATTAGTATATGCTGAAGTAAAAATGGAGGCAAGCAACTTACTGATATTGAAACAGGCAAAAAGGATGAAGGTTCCGTATCCTATATTTGCCAGCATGATGGGGATGAGCAAAGTTGTAAGGCCAGAGCCCACAGACCTGAAAATCATCGTAAGTATATTGTATCGATTCATTCTGTAACAGGATAGCATGACATACCATCCAAATATTGCGAAGGCGTATCCTTGAGCCCGAACCTCTTGTGGCCAGATCTCGGTGGCATACAAAAAGCATGGTACAATAATAAACTATGGGGTGTTAGGAAATGGTCTGTATACTTAGAAATAGGGGTTTATCATGGTGAAGGTCCATAAGAAGACGAACAGCATGGAGGCAGAGGCGACGCCGAGTTTCTCAGCTTTGGAGACATTATTTGTGTCCTTGGAAACTTTGAGAAAAGCAGCGCGCATGAATAGAACAACTCCCTGGCACGAAAATCCCGTCAACATACTCTTGATTCGACCAAATCGATGGATGACAAGGGACAATTATATGTTAGTACACTTTACACTTTCCTTGGCAAGTAGCTAAGGGTTATTTACTGCTGCCAGGGTCCCGAAAGCGCGCCACACAATGTGTTGCAGAAACCTGATTCTATCGGGCGATCATAGTTTTATTGCCTCTGAGGCGGAGGGTATGGCGAAGGAACACTTTACCTAGTTAAGTTATTTGACTATTCAAGCAGATTCTTTCGTAGATTGAATGGGATCAAGCATTTATAAATGCCTCCAGGTCCGAGCTTCTCCCATGTACATCCCTTTATTCTCTTTTCTTTCAACTTCGTCTCTTTTCGATAACCCCTAAACGAACACATCAGAAAGCTGACGAGACACAAACTATACTACAGTTGCTATAGAAAACTAGGTTGAGGTTAAGGGTGCAACTGGGGGTGTGTCCACTTCATATTCTAAGCATCCGCCACCTCCAGCTGTAGTTTGCCATTTCCAGCCCCCTCAATCATTTCTTCAAGTCTGTCCCTAGGCAAAGTTGTTTTCTTCCAGGGTTTGACACCAGATGCAAATAATTCGTCAATATCTAGAATAGTGATATGAGTAAAGCGCAACAATTGATTAGTTTATGGTCGAGACTCACCTTCTAAGCTCTTCTTCTTGGTCTCGGGAAAGAAGAAAAACGCATGGATGCAGGCCACAAGATTGAACGTTCCGAAGATAATGAAGGTCCTCCACTGAATATTCTGGAACGCAGGTGGAGTAAAATAGCTGTTAGAGAATCCCAAAGCCCAATTAGCCGATGTTGCGATGGATACTGCTTTGCCTCGTAGTCGAATAGGATAGATCTCTGAAGGATAACACCAGGAGATTGGTGCCCAGGTGAAACTGTAAGTTGCAACTAAAAGGTACGTAAAAGCAATCACAGCAGCTTTTGCTTTGGTATTAGTCGAATCCATCGTCCAGGTGACAGCGCTCGACCCATCAAAACCGCCGGGCACATAGTGTCCATATTGAGCCATAACACCGGCATTAGAATAAAGCCAAATCATCATGAAAAACGCACCGCCAATGAGAGCGGGACGTCGGCCGATGCGGTCGAGAAATAGGATGGCAGGTAGGGTGAAGACAACGTTGATAATATACTGGACAGAAGAGGCAATGAGCTTGACGTTGCCTGTCAGACCCGCCATCTCGAAGATGTAGACGATATAATAGAGCACTGCAAGATTGTTAACATCTAAAGTTCATGAATCCCATACAGACAATACGAACTAGCATTATTGCCGCTCAGCTGAGTCCAGATGTGCACAAAGATACCGGCCGAGATTCGGTGGATGTTGTCACGGTGAATTAGCTCTGCCCAGCGGACTTTCCCTTGCGATTCTGAAACCGACATAGCCTCCCGAATTTCAGCATACTGAGCTTGGACAATCGGCGCTTCTGGGTCCCCACCACCATGGAGATGTGTAAGCACTTCAAGGGTTTCTTCCCAGCGATCTTGGGAGGCGAGCCAACGTGGCGAGCGAGGAATGAAAAATAGAGCAACAAAAAGAACAGCGGCCGGTGCAATTTGTACTGCCCAAGGTACACGAAAAGCCGCCTCGCTGTCTGTATACGATGTCCCGAAAGTGATGTAGTACATTACGAGAGCCTGGAAACCACTATCAGTCCAGTGGCTCGGGTGATTGAATGTGTTACTTACACCCCAAGTAATGCTCCACTGCTGAAAGCTCAGTATTCGCCCTCTCACAGCAGGGAGGCATAGTTCGGCCAAGTAAAGGGGGCCAGTTGATGTGAACATTCCTGTATCTTCATGTTAGTTTCTATTGCTCTAGGGCTATCGCACAGCGTAATGACATACCGACAGCTCCTCCACAGAACATTCTGCCGACGATAAGCATCGCGATATCCACGCTGGCTGTGCATATTATTGCTCCAATGATGAAGACAATACATCCTACCATCATTGTGGATCTGCGCCCAATTCTGTCCACGACAAACATATTGATAAGGCAGCCCAAGAAAGAACCACCCGAGATACTGGCAGTAATTCCGCCTTGTTGGACTGCATTTGGACTGTCGAACTTCTCTGTAAAAACCTTTTCACTCAAAATGGCAGATAACGACGAGATATCGAAGCCTTGAAGCAAACCTCCAATGACAAGAAATGGGGTGATCACATAGATATTGTATATTTTGTATGCCATGTTGAGGGTGCGATTGTACCTTTCACAGACTTGAAGACGTGCACCTGGGAGTCGTCTAAAGTGGTGATTAAAAGCCCATCACAGCAAATCAATTAAGGTCCGGGTGACTTGGGGCATTGTTGTACCTGCTCAAAGGATGTATACGCTAGGGCCCCGTTAAAGCGGCGATGCGGGGCTGATGGATCGGGCCAATAATAGTTTTTCCGTAGTGGCGTCCTTAGGGCCATAGCGACAAACAGCCAGGCCATTGCGACATAGGCCCCCACAGTCGCAGCGAACAGTAGCTAGCGAGATACGCGATACCGGAAGACGGCAAGCAATGTGGCTTGACGACAAATTTACTAGCACAATTGCGAGAAAGAATAATCTACGACGAATAGACGACTCAAACAAATGCATGTGGCTCATTTTTGATACTTTTTACTTTTTTTTTTCCGCCTTCTCAAGGTCCAGGAGGCGCTCATGCAAGCGAAATAACCTTCTCTGCGAAAGGAATCAGAGTCACAGGAGCAGTCAGGCCATAGGGTTGAGGCCCATAGGTACTCGAGTATTGGGCCTGTTCCCAGGATTGCGTTACATTCACCTGAAGCAGTCGATTGCGAAGCGTAGACGAAACCTCAATTTTCACGTCATTCGATCCTCCTTTCAAGTACGGTGTTATGTCCACAATGGCGTCTGTTACATCAATAGGACCCGTCCATTGGGAATTGATCCATAGTCTGATGGTGTGGAAGACTGGGCCTAGGTCGAGCAAAGCACCGCTGGTTGCAGAGTTGGGACTCCATGTGAATTTGGTTGTATAGGTCCCAATCCCCGAAGTGCTTTGGAGGCCGGTGATATTATACCAAGGAATCAAGTTATCCAGTGTGAGCGTGTGGTACTTGTAGATTGACGTGTAGTTGGTCCAAGGAGTGGGGTTTGGCAGCCAGTCTTGGACAGTCAAATTCCACGGACCGAGCCTCGACGGCTTCATCAAATTGGCAGAGCTCGCCAAAGTGAACTTTTTGCCGTTGCTAAGGACGATTTCCCGATCAGAAGTGGAAGATGAGCGTGCAATTAGGGCGTTGCTAGTAGCAGAGTAGTTCAGATACTCCACATTGGTCTTCACAACATGGATGTCGGCAACCTTGACGTCAGGGAAGAATCCTTTGGGAGCAAATGCCACAATCGTCGATTGGTTAGATCGAAGCTCAACCCAGATGTTGAATCTGTCACCAGAAGTGGTGTAGTTCACAATGGGTGTGATCACACCCGTCCATGCATCGAGCTCATACGGCACTCCCTTTCCTTTGATAGAGGCTTCCGTCGCGTGATCCTCATAAATGTCCGAGTTATACACCCAATAATAGTCAACCTTGTTAGGGGTGTCAATGCGGTGGACATAAAGAATTGGACAAGGCGAGAGGTTCTTTGCAGTTGGCTGTATATTCAGCTCCTGAAGCGCACCAACAACTTCGGCCTCGGTGTCAAGATTCTTGACAGACGGATACTGTAGTAACCTTTGCATGCTTGTTTTGACATGTTCATCGCAGGAGTCACAATAATATGGTGTTGTTTCCGGCACTCCGCCAACAAACAAAATTGGGAAATCTTGTTCGGCCCATTCGGAGAATCTGGTGACTGCTTCGACGGTGATGTTTGTAGAATTGTCGACAATAAAAGCAGAGAACCCGGGACCATTTTCAGCCAGCAAGCCATTGGTAATAACAGCGTTGTCCTTGCGGAAATAATTAAAATTGCTTTCAACTGGGGACTGCAAGGATAACTCACGAATTTCAACAGTGACGGACTAACGGAGACGTACGAGTACCCATTATTTTCAAGAGAATGATCCCCAAAGATGTTCTCGGCCATGCCGTAGTGCTTTATATCAACCGACAGATATTTGTGTCGATAAACGCCGACATCCACACGGGGCACGCCTGTCTGAAGAATCAACTGCGTCCTCGCAATCCAATCACCCATCTCCTTCACATATGGCCAGCTCGGCTGTCTCGCTCCATACATTTCCGAATATGTCCATTCAAATGTCGTCAAGCCCGGCCACTCAACCTCTGGTCGAATCCCAGAATAAGGGTAGCCATGGGCAACAATCCGATTCACTCCGCCCACGTAGTTGATCTTACAGTCATTGAGGATGACAGGCCAGGTGATAGCGTATGACTCGTACCGATGAGCGCCAAGTTCACTGGAAAATATTTGCTTGTTCCCAAGCATAGCGCCACCTCCCATTGCGCGAAAAGCATCAATAACTCCATCGAAGTAGTTAGACTCGGTCTCCGGAGCGTCGATATAAGCAGCTGCGGAGACCATATCCCATGGAGGAGCTAGATTAGGAGCTGTCGCGTACGGCTGAAGACTGCCTTGCATATTCCATTTGCTACTCCACTCGGAAAGCCCGGTTAGATGATACTTCTCGTACATCTCCTGTAAGCATTGATAGAAGTCATTTCGGAGCTTCCAGCTAATGTCGGTACCATTCTCATGATCACTGAAAGCAAAGTGGAAGTAAGAATTGGCAAGAGTGCTGGGTGGCAATCCCGTAGTACCAAAAAGTGCTGGCAATGCCTTGGTAATGTCGTAGCCTCGTGATTGACGAAAGAAAGACCTCAGTTCATCTGTCCAAAAGAGTGTCGCTCGGAATTCCGCTGAGTCTTCCCATGCGTAATGGCCGAGCTGGCGTACTAGGTCTCCGTTCTCACCGTCCATCACATATTTCTCCGTAAATTCAGTCCACAGGTCAGTTCCTTCTTGGCTGTAGTGATCCACAACATAGGCAAACCAGGATGCTGGGTTATCTGGATTTGTGGCATTGCCAAAAGCCCCCTGAGCTGCAAGATAGCCAGTGCGACGTTGATAGAAGGTGAAAAGCACATAGTCATTTCCATCGGCTGGCGCCTTGTAGCGCAGCTGACTGTCCTTGACCAAATGTGTGACATCTACGACACTATCATAGTCAAGTTGAGTCACTCGAGGGTCTGTAGATGGAACTATATCTAGAGTTAGGTAAGAGTGCAACATGTGGCTAGGAGAAAACTTACTCTTGCTCTTCCTTGCCACAACAGCAGCCACAAACTTATTCGTAAAATTTGTGAAAGGCGCGTGGAAATCCGGAGCGTTTGCATAGCCTGGGTAGGTCTGACCTGGGGGTGGTATCTCTCCGTTGAAAACTTGGCCAGAAGACAAACTGACGTTGCCATATGCCAGCTCTGTGTTCATTCCGGGAGAATCGGGGTCCAAGATAGGTATGGAGGCTCCCTGAGTTGGGCCTAGAGCCAAGTCGATGAGCAAGTCAAGTTCGTCTGCAGCACGAAGCATAGTGTTGAATCTATCCCTCCATCTATCTCCTCCATAACCATAGAGAGCTGGATCAACCACGGCGTCTTCGATGCCATAATTTTCGAGGCAGATGATTTCAGCACCGCCGAAGCCTGCTTGTTTGATTTGCTTTAAGTCACCAAACAAAATGGTGTCCTCAACGTCCGCATCCGGAACCCAATATCGTAAGTAAGGTCTGGCTAGACCTTTTGGATCTGCAAAGTCCCCAGGCACATCATACACAATCCAGGGGGCTGGTCGTTTTCCAAAGCCAGAACCTTTCTCTGCAGCAATGATCTTGCTCGTAAGAGCAAGACCAAGCACTAACCTAGGCCTCATGGCAGATTAATACTTGTGCCTGATCGTGGACCCTTGTTATGTTGTGAATGATTGAATTATCGGTAAGGTGAAACTGCCGGCGGACGAGGTCAAACCAAGGGGGGCGGAAGCAAGCTCCCTGCTGTAAATTTCCTAAAATTATAGCCGTCAATCAAATGGTATCGCATCATTTGGCGTTTTTGTGAGCCCATGAAAGTGTTTTATCTATCGGGTTCGATTGTACCGAAAAGCAGAGGCTTGCCGGTTAAGGACTTCATGGTCTGGTATTACGATGAGCAATACTTTCGCAACCCATACTGATCCGTCTGCTAGGAGAACTCGGAGAGATCCGATTGCTGGAAAAATATCGCTTACAGATGCAAATTAGTCTTTCTTAGGTCAAAGGATTGCGGGGATGAGGGGGTTACCCCTAGAGGTGTTCCTGGTGACGTGCTCGGCTTATAGCATTCCGAATACAGGATGCTCTAGGCTCGAGTCATAGTTGTGAACGTCCAATAGCAATTGTCGGAGGATGAACGAGAAAAACTTTGTTGTCATAGGATGCCTACGGAAATTAGATGGACGATGAATTTCCAAGCACGGCAAGATGGCGACTCAATCATCTGAGCCCCACCTCTTAGATCGGCATTTGCATAGTCGCAGTTTGGACCTTATTAACTCAAGATATACCTTCTTGCTTGTCTGGCAACCATCTCTCATGGGCATCTTTTGAGTAGCAATGATTCAAAAGATTTTAACCACTCTACTGCTGGCTTTGCCGGTCTTTGGGCACTCGGTAACGCCGCAAAAGAAAACTTGTGTCATTCCTGTTGCAGGAGATGGACGTGATGATTCTCCTGCCATTCGCGAAGCTTTCCAAAAGTGCGGCACCAATGGAAAGGTAGTATTCGAAAAGGACTCGACATACAGTGTCCAAACCGTTCTTCAACTTCACGATCTGAAAAATGTCGAGGTTGATTTGCTGGGGACGATTGAGGTAATTGGAATCGTTGTTATAGGATACTCCAGCAAAATAACATGTTCTATAACTAGTACTCCACGGATGTGAGATACTGGATTCAGCACGGTTCGTACTATTACTTCCAGAACATCTCTATCGCCATGGAGTTCTCTGGCGAGGACATCACAATTGACGGACACGGTACCGGCACAATCGATGGCCAGGGTCAGGTTTGGTATGACCTGGCTCAGGGCATTGGTGGTTTATTCGGACGCCCGATTCCGTTCTGTCTGCGGAATGTGAAGAATGCCGTTGCCAAAAATTTCAAAATCCTGCAATCGGGGAAATGGTGTGTGCAAACTATGTTGCTCGGGCTCAAATCGATCCTTTAACTGCCTTATAAATAGGAACTTTGTTATGGTTGAATCTAAAAACATTCTCGTCGACAACATCTATCTGTCCAGCACGTCCGACGACTACCAAGCCAACCCAGGTAATCTTGGAAACACAGACGGATTCGATACCATCAATTCCGACAACATCACCATTCAAGTTTGTACCCCTACACAGAATCACATCCCTCGAATGAGTACTGACAGATTTGCAGAACAGTTGGGCAAACGTGGGAGACGACTGCGTTAGCTTCAAACCAGGTTCGACCAATATGCTTGTCAAAAATTTAACTTGTCACAACAGTGCAGGCATTGCTGTTGGGAGTCTCGGCCAATATGATGGAGTGCGCGACGTGGTCGAGAACATTACGGCAGAGGATGTGACTCTCATTGGTAGTCGTAATGGTGCTTATATCAAGACCTACGTGGGCAAGCCTACCTACTATCCGCCTCAGGGCGGGGGCGGAGGAAATGCTTTTGTTCGCAACATTGGTTCGTATTGTCTGTATGCATCTCACGGGTATGAAACAATGTTAATCTTTTTTGCAGTCTTCCGTAACTTCCATATCGAGAACATCACTGCATCTCCAGTCTTGCTGCAGCAATGCACTCGGTGGGCAGGTTACAATGTTCCATCATGCGCTGATACCCCAGCAGCGGGTATCTTTTCCAATATATCATGGTCTAACTTCACTGGTCTGTTCTCCGTACAATAATATCAATATTAAGCCAGCTAATGAATTTCACAGGATACATGAATGAGGCTGTTGGCACAAACTCCATCAGCTGGGTATGCTCGCCGCTTGCCACATGTGAAGGCTTCTCGTACGATAATATCGATATCAAGCCGGCTAATGGGACAGAGGCGACGTACAAGTGCAGCAATGTTGAGGGATACAGCTCGTCTTGTCAGAAGAATTAGACGAGAGGATTAAGACGGCGGTTCCTGTCAATCAGAAACACTTAGTTTATGCAAAACTTTCTATACTATCGATCTAAATATAGCGTATATGAAAAGCCAGCGAGTTCTTTGATCTAAGGCCCCTTCGGAAGCACGTAGCTCTCTTCTAACTCCTCTCGCCTGTTAAATTATTAGCGACTAGAAACTTCGTCAATATAGCAACTTTTCAACTCACAAGAATACCCCAAACTCGGCAACATAAGCCATCCAGTACTTGATCAACTCGTGGAGTATTTCCGGTTCCTGACCCGCCAAGTCATGGACCTCGCCAGGGTCTTTCTCCATATTGTAGAGCTGCCACTTCTCGGGCCCTTTTGGCTTTGGAATAAAAACTGCTTTCCAATCCCCGCGCCTTATGGCCTGATGAAAAAACAATTCCCAGCCCGTGATGTAATCCTGATCATGGACGCGCGGGCTTTGGCCCGACAGATGAGAGATCCAGGACCTGCCTTTCACTGGGACCACCTCACGTCCTCTGAATGTGGCTCCTGGATGGGAGATACCTGCTAAATCAAGTATTGTTGGAAGAATATCCATGACTGTCGTAAATGAGTCTGTGATCCCCTTTGCCTTGGAGGCCTCCAGGAAAGGCGGGTACTGGACGATGGCTGGGCAGCGGATTCCACCTTCAGTCACGAACCCCTTATGCATTCTCGATGGAGCTGTCGCTGCTTGAGCCCAGCGCGGACCGTACCAACAAAATGAGTCGTAGTTGCCGAGGTTCTGGACGTCGTTGTTGTAGGACTTATCAATGCTCTTCTTAATCACGTCTCCCGTCATTGGAATGGCCTCCACAATTGCACCCTCGGCGCCGTTGTCGGACATGAACAGGATAAAGGTGTTATCCCACCCACCGGTGGCTTTAATTTTGTCAAGCACTCGGCCAATATTCTCGTCCATCCTATCGACCATTCCGGCAAATACCTCCATCGTCTTAGCTGAATACTTCTTCTCCTCTTCAGACATGTCGTCCCATTCCTTTGTCTCGGTTTCGACAGGGTGTGCTTCAACGTTTTCTGACAATATACCGAGTTCAATCTGTCGTTTCAGTCTGGACTGGCGGAGGACGTCCGGGCCTTCATCATACACTCCCTTGTACTTTTTGACGTTGGCCTCTGGGGCTTGCAGAGGCCAATGAGGTGCCGTGAATGGAAGAAAAGCAAAGAAGGGCTTCTCTTTTAGCTCCTTGCTCGCCTCGCGCTCTTCCAGAAAGTCGATCAGTCTTGTGGAAAAGTGATCTGAGGAGTAAAAGTCTTCTGGGAAGTCCTTGGTTTCGACCTTCTTGTCATCCTCGTAGTATAAACTCGCCCAATGGGCAAACACAGGCGTGCCATCAGGCTTCTTAGGCTCATAGGCATAGTGACTGGAGCCGCCTGGTAGCAAGGCAAACGAACGATCGAACCCTCTAGCATGGGGAGAGCGTTCGGGCGTTAGGCCGAGATGCCACTTGCCCGACATAGTAGTGTAGTACCCTGCATCTTGGAGTATCTCAGGAAGCGCGGCAACTCGGAAGTTCAAGTATCCTTCGTAGCCTGGCAACTTAGACCTGGCACAAAGTCTGTTAGAAGGAAGGAAAAATATTGTGCAACTGAAAACCCACCAAGGAACGGGTGGATCGCGGCCCCGACCCCAAAACTCCATCTGCCCGAGCCCCGCGATATGGTTATCTGTACCTGACAGCAGCATAGAGCGAGTGGGTGAGCACATGGACGCGGTATGAAAATCAGTCATTCTCACCCCCCTGTCCGCCAGAGAGTCGAGGTTAGGCGTTTGAATCTCTCCTCCAAATGCGCCGACGTCCGAAAAGCCGAGATCGTCGGCGACGATAAGTAGAAAATTGGGGCGTTTACTAGCAACCATGATTGGCACTTTGGGACTGACTATCTCGGAAAGTGTGGGTGATAGGGAGATGGAAGGAAGAGAATGCGGTGGGTAAAAAGGCCCCATGATTAATACTAGTGGGAGCGTCAATGGCAAGCGGATCTATAACGTTTACTGCTGTGGATAAATGTTTTGGAGCAAGCATTCCATAACAAGGTTCTCTACAATCCGATCAATTTCAAGTCGATTACACCAAGCCAAATAATTTTTTCCGAATTGATCATGGGTGTTCGGGATATAATGGCAAGGGAGGCTGTCGCATGCTGTGTACGCCCATCTTACTAGTCCAGGATCGGAACGTTTCTGGCGCGCAAATTCTCGGCTGCGTTTTCCCGAGCACAACAACATACGTCGATTGTATTGACGAAATTGTTTATCCAATTGGAGGAGACGTCAACTTCGCGCAAACGCGCGCGTGCCAGTTAGGGAGGGAGGAGTGAGCGGTTAAATACAATCCGTTGCTTGATCAGGCATCATCTCCAAAGACTATTCCCATTTACCTTGAGTATAACATGCTCAAAAATTGCTGAGCAGTGCTCTATCTGGATCATCATGGCGAGCGTCAAAGGAGACAGATATGATTACTTTCTGACCTTCTTTGTCGCACAAAGTGATATTTAGACTCGTACAGAGCTGGGTTCGGGGGCCTACTCATGTACCAGGAGCCCAAAGGCAGGCAGGTACCTCTTGCTGGAAGGTCCTTTTCTATGCCTACTATAGCTCCAACTTCCAGCAGGATTCCTCATACCAGGTGGCCTTTTGAAAGAGCATTGGACGGCATCAATGTATCTGCGCCATGCATGATAGGATCAACCTCAAATAATTTATCAGGTCCTCCTATATACATCCCATTCCGTCAATCATATCTGCCCCCCTACATCACAATACACATTTTTGTCCGCCGGTTCAACCGGTTCCTTTCCTTTATGGTATGTTCATTCCAATCCTCAATGCGTCGTCGCCATTCCTCGCTCTGCGGTGGCGCCGAACGGCCTGGTTCGGTGAGTACTCGCCTGCGCGTCGACACTTGCTGTCGAGAAGCTTGGAAGTTCGACCCGTAAGGAGTAGCCTGTACCCGACCAGCGTGCTGGGGAGTTTGTACAAGATTTGGCGAAGACGCAGCATAAGCGTGGTAGTAAGCTTCGCCCAAAGTATTCACAGGTAATTGGGAGCCCGGTGGCTGTGCATTGGCCGTAGGTGGTCGAACTTCGTCAACAGGTTGGTTTGATGACGAAAACAGCTGCGACTGCGGAACACCGTTCAGAGCGACCACTGGCTGCTGAGGACGACGACCTACTTGAGAAGCTGACTCTGAGGGTTCCATCGAGGGTGCTTGAACTGGTTCCGGGAGTTGGTCGACAGCAATGACCGTGGAATTCCTTTTGTTTCGCCCACCTAGTCTAGAGCCGGTGATTGTGCCCAGTCTCTGCAAGATGGCGATTGATTGAGGGCGTTGGCGTTGACGTGTGCTCCGTGTTCTTGAGACTGGTTGGGGGAGATCGTGGGTGGCAGGCTCATCATTGGGAGGTTCATTGTTGTTGGCGGGCCCATCGTCGCCGGAAGGCCCAGCCGCTGCTGCTGCAGCTGCTGGGGCACCCGGAAGAAGAGTTTGACGCAGATCCTCCGGCAGAGGGTTGTCAGCCTTGCGTGAGTAAGGAGGGGGTGGAGGGACCCAATTGTCGGCATCACTTTCATGAGGTAGGTATCGATGGCGCGGAGTGGATCGATATCGTGGATCGTATCGGCCACGTGTTGATGCTGCCGCAGTGGCAGCACGACGAAGACTGTCTTGAGAGCGGGGTTGAGTATTGTCATATGGAATATCAGGAATGCCGGCATTGTCCACCACGTTCTGTGGGTTTGGGAACGCCATGGTGTTTGGACGAATCTGAGCTACTGCTGATTGACTTGCAGTGCGGCGATTTTCGCGGGAGATGGGAGGACGTAACGGTCGCTGTCCAGGAGTCGATAGCACTGGATGGCTGCCAGGACGGTATATGCGAGTTCGCCTTCTTTCCAATTCAACCTCCGCATCCATAGAGGAGCTCGGCTCTACGAGTATCTTCGGCGCAGTCTCTCCAACTTCAATATCCAACTCAACCGTTTCGCCGTTGCGTGTAGATCTCTCAAAGTCCAGGAGGAGGACTCTTCCTCCGTCGACAGGGATATCTTCCTCTCCAAAGTTCTGCGGGAGCACGCCGCCGGGCGCCACAGCTACAAGTCGTCGATTGCTTCTGCTTGAATTGGGAGTTGAAGAGCTGCTTCGCACCCAGCACGCTGAGGTGATCCCGTGCATATCGGTCACCTGGCGACCACGGACGAGAACCTTTGGTTGCCTGATGATTTTTTGAAGCTGTGCAACATTATCACGAGGCACAGAGGCATGGGGTCCAAGATGGTGGTCACCACATAACTGAGAGCCTCTGATCCCATTGTAAGACGCAGATTTAGGAGCAACATTCAATCGCCCTGGAATCCCGTAAAGCCACAAACCTGAGTCCTGGAACCCCAGAACAACAAGTTCGCCCTCAACATCCGTAGTTGGCAGCATACTGGGATGCTGCTCCCGGGTTTCGTCGTCCCAAAATGGGCTCGCAAAATATACGGTGCCTGCATCGATATCGTTCATCCGGATTGCTCTGAATGTTGCCAACTGGTTGTCGTATCCTAAAATCCAACTATCGTCTCCTTCCTCGTGAGCAGAAATAATACAGGCATGAGAAAACCCATCGGTCGTTTCAGGGAAGAGGATCTGAGTCGTCCACATCCGCATGTGGACTTCCTCCGGAGATGCCTCCACTCCAGGTTCCGTATAGAATGGCGCGGTAATAGTGATAATGCCCTCTCGCTCGCCATCACTAGGTGATCCAAGTAGCATCGAGCCATCCGAAGAGAACGTTATCGAATCAACGCGAAGACAGCGCGCAGCTCGACGTTCCGTGGACAGAACTTCTGAGCCCACTGCATACACCTCGATATTGTCTTCAAAGGCCAAAGCAAGCACACTCCCTGTGGGAGAGAACGTCAAGTCCCGGGGAGCATCATTCAGCGTAATAGATTGTATGTGCTTGGCTTCCTCGTCGCTGAGTTGGTAAATGTTGACTTGGTGCATGGACGACAACACGGCAACCATTGAGCCGTCGTCACGGACAGTGGCACCCAAGGCCCGCCTTCGAGTCTTGAGCTCATGCTTCACCGCTACGGGGTCACTTCCAACATCAAGGACAACGATTCGGGAGGAGCTGATACACAGCACCAGCTGACCGTTCCCCGAGAATGAGAATCGAAAGACTTCGCCCTGCGGGAATGCCGTGGCCGAGCTCATAGAACTCGATATCAATTTCACCAGCGTCTTGCGAGGACGCAAAAAGACATCGAATGCATTGCGGCGAACCTCGGTCAGGAACTGGTGTTTGACGTCTATAAGGTTGTCGGCATCAACCGGGTCCGTGACATGGGCTGTAGTCGAAGAGAATGCTGGACAGCGCAACAAATGATACGCATACAACGAAGCGGACTCGGATACCTGCCTCCATTGTTGGTTCAGTAGCGCCAAGGAAGCGAAAGTGTTGGCGTCAACCGCGAAGAGGATACTGAGGGCCGCGATTAGCGGGCACTGCTCTGTAAAAGCTAGGGGGCACTGGATATTCTTGAGGATGGACGTTTAGCCCTCCAGGGCATCACAGCCAGAACTCACCGCTCAATCACATCGGAGGGGAGACGATCGAAGGACGAGCCAACATGGTCACTTTGGGGGCCATCAGGGCGCGGGGGGCTTTCTCAGCGCCGTCGGGCACATAAACATCCTCCTCCATGATTCAATCAAAATAAACTGGTCCGCCAACAGGCTGGCATCTTCTGCAGAGGTAGCTAAAGAGCTACAGAGCCATCCAGGGGCGCAGGGCGATTCCCAGTGGCAGTGCCTGCGGCGTAGATGAAGGGTCCGCCGAGGAACATCCACACAGCGATATAAATAGATCCAAGCTGCATTTCCCCTCGGGGGTGCTAACGTAATCCGCCACATGGCCGTCTCCCATTCTTGAGATCGTGATCTCGACAGATAATAATACCCCCGTAATGGCTATGGGGACGAATGACCTTGAAAAATATCCATGGTGGAAAGTCTGTCTATTTGTTGCCTCAAAGATTTAAAAATATTTCCTCCCTGATAATGACCAAAAAAAGGATCTGTCAGCCACATGCTCTGGAGAACAGCTCATGAATTGCCTGATCTGCTTGGTAGTTATCAAGATAGCAATTCCTTACTCGTCTCTTTAACATATATTCCTGCACAATATTATTCTGGGGAACGAGAAATCAAGCTTAAATCGTTCCATGTTACTTCCAGATCACGTTACTCTGCACCCCGCATCATGTGATCTCTGCATCGGCCGATGTTCCTCATCGGCAGAAACATTTTGGGACTACAAACCCAGAGGTCTTCATGAATTGCCCGTGCTGACCAACCGCGGGGTGTCCAGCCTATCGGGGATCCTGCTGGCCCAGTCGAACCCCCTGGTCAAATCCTCCACACACTCTCTCGCTCCCGCGTGTCGCATTCGGCCGTGAACTCAACCCCTCCCGCCAAATTTTCGGCCGCCTCCGAAACCACCCCGGACCCGAGGACTTCTTCCCCAACTTCCTCTCCCCCGCTCCCCTGCTCCGGCACATCTCTGATCGGGTGCGCGCACGACATGTCGCCTGCAACGGTCCAAGTCAATCCTTCATCCAAGCTGCCCTCTCCCGGCTTCAACGCCGGAGCGCGCCCATACCGCTCTCATAAGGTTCGCGCCTGCGACTTGTGCCGTAAGCGCAAATCCCGATGCACGGTCGACATTCCCGGCCAGTCCTGCCTTCTGTGTCGCGTGCAGGGGGCCGACTGCCACTATCAAGAGGAGCCGAACCCGGATGCATCGGTCTTGAGCGCACCCGACTCCAAGACATGGCCGAGAAGTCGAATGGAGGCGCCGTCCTCGGCACAGAAGCGCAAGCGCAGTCCGGATGGACTTCCCAATTCCCCTTCGAATATCCCGACCCGCCAGTCGACCAATGGGCCAAGCCCGCAGAACACGACTTCGTCCGGAGGACGCCGCGGGAGCGACTCGCGGCGAAACTATGACGACCCGCAAAATGAGTCGGTGCTCATTGTCGGTCCGATGGTCGCGGAGGATGCACAAGTTATTGAGAAACATATGCCTCCTGAGCGGTCTAGCCAGTCGGAAGAACCCAACAACCACCCATACAACGTCTACTCGAGTGATCCAAGACGGCCCATTCTGTACCAGACGATCTCGCGACGACGGAAGGGTATGCGAGTCGGTACGCCACCAGGAGAGAACCAGAAGGAAATACTGGAGCAAATCTTGGGACCATTCAAACATGATCTCGTCAGACTGTATGTTTGATGAATCTTTGGTCAGCTTCATTGCGCTAACTGATCTTATTCTAGTTTCATTGACCGATTCAACGTCGCTTTTCCCATCTTCGATGGCGAATCGTTCTGGGAGGCTTATGTTTCGGAAACTCCACACGATCCACCGGCCTCGCTGCTATGCCAGGTATATTCAATGTCCCTTGTATACTGGAAGCATGTCCCCAAGCTTGCATGCCATCCCAAGCCGGATGTCCGGTACGCAGTCAACATGACCGTTGCGGCCCTCCACGAGGAGTTCTCTGCGCCAGGACTGTCGACCATCAGTGCGGGCCTGATCGATCTGACAGGACGCCCGATATTCTCCATGACTGGCAATGCCATCAGCTGCGGCCGCCTTGTGTCCTTGTCGAACTGTCTTGGATTAAACCGTGACCCCAGCCAATGGAAGATCCCCCCACAAGAAAAGCATCATCGGGTTCGTCTCTGGTGGGGAGTGGTGATTCACGATCGCTGGGGAAGCTTTGGACATGGAGTACCCCCACAGATCTCCAAGGACCAGTACGATGTGCCTGTCCCCACCGTCGATGTCTTGGTTCCGCCCAATCTCCGCACCGCGGAACGTGTTAGGGCTGCCCATTGCCACATAGCTTTGTGTCGATTGACTGAGATCCTGGGAGAGTTGTTACCATTGGTCTATGGCCTTCAACACAAAATCTCCCGCGAGATCTCCAAGAAATTGAGGCAGATACGGACCGATCTGGATATGTGGGAGGACTCTCTCCCTGACTGGCTACGAGGACCCATGAGCCCTCCCAGTGAGCGGGTCTACGGATCGAGCAGCTTACAGCTAGCCTTTTTGGCGCTCAAAATGCTCGTTAGCCGAGTGGAACTGAATGTAAGTGCATTGTGACTGTGAAAGTTGGGCTTGTTTCTCATGGATTGTACAGGAGGTCAACAACGCAGACACCGACAATCCCGAAGCGCGTCGCTATTTCCAAACAGAGTGCCGACGTTCAGCGGAAGATATTGTCGTCTTCATCACATCTCTGCGAAAAGACAACTACAAGGAGTTCTGGCTGCCATGTATGTTTTTGAAAGTCCTCCCAGCCGAAAAGCATCCTAACAACCTCTATAGACAGCGCCTTCCACCTAACATCAGCAGCCACGCTTCTGGTCCGCTGCGCCCTCGAAACAAACGACAACGACGTCGCCCGATCCTGCCTCGCCAGCGTGGAGACCCTCCGCACTGTTCTGCGCCGTGTCCGCGAAGAAGAGGACTGGGATGTCGCGGACATGTGCCTGGACCACTGTGAACGAGTCATGCACCGACTGCCCGGCACTAGCGCCTCAGTGGACCAACACCTGGGCACGGGCACCCTGGCCGATAATGGGCTCGTCAACCCGGCGGCGATCTCGCTGCCCGAAACACAAACCAACAATGACATCGTCGACGACATGATGTCCATCTCTGGCACGTTTGGAACGATGGACGGCTTCCCCTTCGATATGACGGGGATCTGGGATGTCTCTGTCTTCCAAGATGTGAACCTCACCTGATTTTTGTTTATGGACTTGGATGTTTATATTATTTTGTGCTTGTTAACGGGTTGTCTGCACTTTTACTTCTTTCTGAATATATATACCCGGGGTTCGGAGCATGTGCGGGCAAGGATATATGGTCACTATTATTGCAAGGCGCCGGCCGACTTACGAGGTAATAAAGGAATGTGTGTACTAGATAGAACTAATGTCTGTTTCTGATTATACAATTGCTCTATGATACATCATCTGCACTGCTAGAGATATTGTTCTTCTCAAGTACCTTCAACAGAAGCGATATGTTCCCGCAACATCTTCAAGAGCCTCTGCGAACAACGACCTTCTTCTGCCCAGTTGAGGGGTGTCAGACCCTCATCGTCTGCAAGGGTCCAATCAGATCCACGATCTAGAAGATATCTCAGTATTTCTTCGTCTTCTTTCACGCCGGTCACTCCGCGCTTTCTGTCTTGGTGGGGGACCGTCTCCATCGCAGCATGTAATGGTGTCCTATGGCGAAAACCTCTTCTGTTGACATCAGCGCCGTGGTCAATAAGAAACTTGACGCTGACAACATCACTGAATGCGATAGCTCTATGCAAAGCAGATTCACCGATGTTGTCCGGGAGATCCATATCCGCACCATGGAGCAGAAGAAGCTCCAGCACAGCCTGTCTGTGCTTCTTATCTGCTCGAAGGGCTGCATGTATTGGCGAATACCAATAATGATGACCACTATGACCCTCGGGAAGGTTTGGGGGCGCCATATTCGCCCCATGGTCAAGAAGCAGGCTCATAATCTGACACTGGCCCATAAATACAGCGCAGATGAAAGGTGTTTGGCCATAAGCATCAACCGAGTTGATATCAGCCCCATATTGGAGGAGGGTCTGTACCGCCTTTTCATGGCCATGTGTGGCAGCGACATGCAGGGCAGTGGCAGATCCTTGCTGTTGTAAATTCACGGGATTGAAAGTTATGCCGTCTGCCTGCTGCATATTCACGTCGGCTTTGTGCTCGAGGAGAAGTTCGACGATCCGATCACGACCTCGCTCTGCAGCTAGCATCAACGGAGTCCGGTTTTCATCGTTGTCACCAGTGCTGACGTTGGCATTTGCTCCCAATGACAGTAGGCCCCGCACTCCGGTTTCGACCCCATTTACAGAGCACCATAACAATGCAGACGAGCCGGATGCAATATTGCGTTTGTAAAGAGACGGTAGCAAAAGATCGTGAAGAGTTTGGCAAGTGCCCAGGAGCTGCAGGATATCATATTCCGTTTCTAGTGCGGCGGTTATCATCAGCAGGATTTCGGTGGGTAGGTCGAGTAGGCTCATCATGGCAACAGGGTATTTCATAGAGGGATAAGTTGGTCAAGAAGCAGGTAAGGTTGAGAGACAGGAGAGGTTATTAGGCAGGTTTACGTCGAGGGTGATGGCGTGAGAGCGTGAGAGCGTGAGTGTGTGTGTGTGTGTGAGAGAGAGAGAGAGAGAGAGAGAGCGGTCAACGATGGATAAAAAGCCGGAAGCTGTTGTATGATCGTAAAGCAGCAGCAGAGATATAAAGCGTTGGGGTCAAGTGCGAAAATTGTAAATTTTATACATGAAGAAACACGACGAAAAAGAACGGACACCAAGCGCTATTTTACAGTCGTTCCTGAAATGCTCGCAGCCAACCCAAGAACCATTCTAATGACCCCTGCCCGTAAGTGCTCAATGTAAAGAGTATACCGATGAAAAGATGAGGAGAGAGAAATGGAGAAAGAGAGAGAAAGAGAAGGAGAGAAAGATCAGAGGGTAAAGAAAACCATCTACTCCTTCTTCTCACCAGCACCGAACATGCCAGTGAAGGAGCCCTTCATGCTCTTCATCTGCTCCTGACGAGCCTTCTCCTCCTCAGCAGCCATCTCAGCAAGCCACTTCTCGCCGTTCTCACGGATCTCCTTCTCAATCAGCTCGTAGTTCTTCTGGCCACGCTCGCGGATCTGGTCCCAGAGCATCTTGCCCTGCGCCAGACCCTCCGAGGGAGAGGCCTCGCCGTCCAGGGTGCGAGTTGACTTCAGGCCCAGGGCAGAGGCGAAGCTGCCGATGCTCATCGAGGGCTTCTTCTTCTTTTCCTCGGCGAGCTCCTTCTCGAAGCGCTCGCGCATGGCCTTCTCGCGCTTGGCGAACTCGACGGGGAGGTCTGTGCCTTCGAAGGACTTGAGCACCGGACGCACATCTTCCACGCCCATCCCGGCGATGTACTCCAGGAATGGGATCAATGCCACCAGGGTCTTGTCCTTGGGGTCGCCGGTCCACTTGTTCATCACAATGGCGTTCTCCGGCTGCAGACGCGCGTGTTCCTCCTTGGTGTCGATAAGGATTACCTTGGACAGGTCTCGGTTCAAGTATTCCAGATCCTAAGCAGGGTATGTTAGCATCTGTGATTGTCAAAAAAGTCGCGTGGGACATACCTTGATGTACTCGCCATCCTTGTACCGGGTAGCTTCACGGAACAAAGGCCAGCGGATGATGCGGTAGGGGTCCAATTTCCGCAGGACCTGGTCCGCCATCATACTGGGCACACTGGTGAAAAGCACCAACTCGTAGTACTGGTTCAGATAGCGCAGGAAATAGTCGACACCAGGCCGCTTCGCAACACGCCATCCATGCTCACGGCTCCACTCGCTGTGAACAAGGAGATCCTCCAGACTGAGCACGAGGGTGTACGGCTGACGCATATTGGGATCTTCATCGGGCAGCAGCTTCGGGAACGCGGGGTCCTTGTAGTAGCTGGTAATATCACTGAAGCGGGCCCGGATACGAGCGTACCACAATCCGAAACCCCAGCCTGAGGGTTGATCGGGGTGGAGGCGCTCTTCTTCCTCGGTGTCCCAGTTCCGGCCCAGATAGCCCACGCCGGACACCGCGCCCAGCAGCATCACTCCGTACACGATGTTTGCCATGCGGGCCTTGCGGCGGTCGCCTGAGGTCTCGTAGCCTCCCTTGGGGATGTCCCCGCCGCCTCGACCATCCTCAGCATAGTCTTCAGTCTGGGAGGGATCCTCGGTCAGGTTCAGCTGGGTAGCTCCGCCTTTCTTCGTTCGGCCTTCCAGTTCCGCAGCGAGTGTCGAGGGGATACCCTGTGTGAGATCGGGGAGCGGCTTTTGGGGTGCCTGTTGCTGCTGTTCGGGTTCGGGTTCCTTTTCCGGTTCGGCCTGGGTGTCGAACTCGGCCTGTTCAGCGGCATAATCCTTGCCTGGTGTCGAAGAAGGCTGTGCCGTCTGATTTGCGGTCTCGCTGGACTTAGGGCCACCGACTTGGTTGGGCAGCTTGTAGGGGGTTTTGCCCTTGCCCTTGGCGTAGAACCGGGGGTGCTGGACGGACAGGGCCGACACGCGGACGGCAGAGGCGAGGACGTTGGGCCTCGTCAGAGGCAAGACGGCACGGCTCAGCATGGCGAGTGGTGTGGGAATCGACCGAACAGCACTGACCGTTGCAAGTACATACGTCGTGCAGCTCCGTCGTTCCGATAAAAAGTCGCGCCCTCGAAGTCGGGCAAGGCACAGGAGCCACTTGCGCAACTCCCCATTTTTCCACTATTTCTTCGGGGCGTGTTTTTCTTCTCTTTTTCTTCTTCACAATTGAAAGTTGTCACCCAGACATTAATTTGACCCTGCATGCACTGCTTTATGCGTGCTGGGTTGTATTAGCTGGGGAGACCAAGGCTCCCACATCCAAGAGCCGCAGCGAAGGCTTCCAGTGATGCTACAGCTCCAATCGTGGGATACACTTCTTTACTCAGTTACCTCCAATGTGATGACCAACATGCGTTTCTGGCCCTTTAGTCCCGTGCCATCTCCCTCCTAGACTTCATTCTATCCTCCACCATGGCTGCCAGCAACGTCCGGAACAAGGTCCGCTTCCCCGAAGACCCCAAAGTCGGACGTGTCGAAGCCTTCCGGTTTCTCGATCTCCCGTCCGAGATCCGCGTCCTCATCTACCATTTCGTACTCTTCACGCCAACACGAAGGAGCGCTCTCCGATCTAATGGCTCGGTCGGAGCTTCCGCAAAGAAAAGCAAACCTCTAGGAGCCCTCTCCGACCGCATTGCACTGTTCCTCGTATCGCATCTCGTCCATGATGAAGCAACCCACCACTACTACTCCAGCCAGACCTTCCGCATCTTCCCCGTGCAGGACTTTGCTCGCATGCCCAGTGTGCGCGCCTTACCGCCTCGCTACCGTCCCTCAATTACAACCATTGAGCTGATACTGGGGTCCAGCTGGACCGCGCCACCGCGGTCCTGGGATGTGAATCCCGGGCTGGGATTGCAGGAGATGGTGGGGGTGCGCACGCTCAAGGTGTTTATTCAGTGCGATCCCTCGCACCCTGTTTTCGAGGGGTTCCGCATTTCCAAGGAATTCTATACCGAGTTTGCGGGGGCGCTGTTTCAGAAGATTGTTGAGCGACTGCCGGGTCTTGTGCAGGTGGAATTCGATGCGTATCCATCTGTTCAGAAGAGTGGCTCGTTGATGAGCCGGTTATTACATGACACGGAGACGGCGCAGAAAAAGATTCTGTGGGGTCCGGAGCGAGGTTGGACAGACTATGATGACAATAATCATAAAGACCACGAGGATGGTCATGATGATGCTGATGCTGCTTTCGACGGGCTTAGGGCTGATGAGCCAGACCTGACTGACCCGAGTGTTCGTGAGACAGACGCCGTGGACGCACTCGGAACCTCGTTCCAAGCAGTCACTCTGGGATCGTGACGCATGGAGCATCTTTTCCGGTAACTGAATTTCTCATACTTGAAAATCTTTTCGTTTTAAACATTGCGCGGCGTTGATTGATTCGGGCTGGCCATGTACATATCATGAGGTTACAGGCGTCTACTTAGACATTGATGAACTGCACAGTACTTCCCTACTTGTCTTACTGCATATCAGAAGGGATCAAATAGAATATCATTTGTGTGGAGTTCATGCAATTTCTTCTAGTCCTCTAGAGATCCTCATCCACCTCCATGTCGGCCCCAGTAGACGCTTCTTTGCCCCCCGATGCCCGTGCCACCGAGGCCTCCTTATCGATCATCTGCCGCGACACGGCAACGATGTTGTCCTCGATCAACTGCTGGCTCACGTCCTCGATGTCTGCAGATTCGGTCAGCGCTGTTTTTCGCGGAGAAACAGAAACAAAACTTACGCTTCTTGGGATCCACCTTGCCAACGTATCTCGTCTTCAGCTGGTCCTTGGTCAATTCCGTCTCCTCCTTGACCCGCTTCTCGTAGCCTTCCGCCAAGCTGACCAGCTGCTTCATCTGGTCGACGTTGTGCTGGCCCTCCTCGTGGAAGTCGCTCATCTGTAGCGCCTCGGTCCATACATGCTTGTGAAGGTTCATGAGCATGTTCTCCTCCAGCCCTGTCTTGCGGTAGTTGATCGCAATGCTGTAGTAGTGGCGGTTGAGACCGTGGATGAGAGCCTGAATCGAAGGCTTGTTCAGATGGCCCAAGTTGGACGTTGTCTGTCGGGGCTCTTGGCCCATGACCACCGTTTGAGGCTGGATGAGTCGGAATGCATCAATGACAACCTTGCCCTTGACGGACTGGATCGGGTCCACAACCACGGCAACGGCACGGGGGGTAAGCTGTTCGAAGGACTGCTGGGTGTTGATATCGACTGACGAGAGCCAGCATCCAAACCCAGGGTGAGAGTGGTACCAGCCAACGACAGTTTCTGGCCTGCAGGATAATAAGTACTGACGTTGCGGGAGATGTTCAAGAAAGGGTGAGCTTACCGTCCCGTCTGCCGAAGCATCTCCATCATCTTGGTCTGGAAAACAGGATCCACAGCCTCGACACTGACACCTGTACCACTCTGCGGCATAGCAAACACATCCACCACCCGCACCGTGTATTCATCAACAAACTCGCCCAGCATCAGGCCCATGACCTCCATGGGCACACCAGCACGGCCATGTCGTAGCATTTTCAGCAGAGCCAGGGAGGAAATGTGGACCGTCTCAGAGTTATCAATCAGGTTTGGCGTGTCCTAAGCAGCATCCTGTTAGTATGTCACAGACAAGGCAGGCTGGATGGTCTTCACTGTGCAGCCACCACACAGTGAAGGAAGATCACTTACACCACCAGGTGCACCACCTCCCATGCCCACGCCCTGGGCAGCTTGCAGCATGCGACTGATGCGATCCATGGCTGCTGAGATGTGCGGTCAAGAAAGAAGAATGGAAGGTTGGAAGGGAAACACGACTGCTTCCTCGCAGGAAGCTCCAGGTAGCGGTCTCTCACAGATCACCACAGTGATTAAGCGTGTCAAGCACAGATTTGAGACAAGAGAAAATCAATCAAAGCTCCGGCAGCACTGAATTGATATGTGCTCAGATGAACAAGTCCGTGTGTTTTCGTGCTTTCCAACTGATGATGGAACACGGAAGGCGAGGCGAGCTCCAGCCTGCCATATCTCACCGCCTTAGATCGAAGGCGGTCAGTCCGGCGGCATTATCGCTTCGGCTGCGGCGATCAGTTGTTTCTCTCCACGCCTCTTCTTCTGTCCTGTTTCGCCATCAATCTGGAGCGGAGCATGCCAGAATTGGCTTGCCAGAATTGTTGATATCGCATTGTCCTCAATTTCAGCCTCTGCGTCACCGTCCGTGTCACCTTTCCCGCTCCGCCCTGCGGTGTCCTGACCTCCCCCGACATCCTGCTCCCCAATTTGCCTGACCTTGACCTACACCATCCTTAAACGCGTTGATCTCCCGTCCATTCCCCTTGGAATATCTCAGTATGGCTGCTGAGCCGCTCTTGACCCCCTCCGGGGTCAACAACAAGAAGGTGGCCTACTTCTACGACTCCGATGTGGGCAACTATGCCTACGTCTCGGGCCACCCAATGAAGCCTCACCGTATAAGGATGGCACACAGCTTGGTCATGAACTATGGCCTATACAAGAAGATGGAGATATACGTGAGTCCCCCATCCCCGATGTTCTTTTTTGAAGGATATCGTAATATATGGAGAGAGACTGATAACGAATCGGGGGGCAGCGTGCCAAACCTGCTTCCAAATACGAGATGACCCAATTCCACACGGACGAGTACATTGACTTTTTGTCGAAAGTTACCCCCGACAACATGGATAACTTCTCGAAGGAGCAGAGCAAATACAACGTGGGTGATGACTGCCCGGTTTTTGACGGTCTGTTCGAATTCTGCGGGATCAGCGCCGGCGGCAGTATGGAGGGTGCGGCGCGGCTCAACCGCAATAAATGTGATATCGCCGTGAACTGGGCGGGTGGCCTGCACCATGCCAAAAAGAGCGAGGCTAGTGGCTTCTGCTACGTAAATGGTAAGATGTCCTTTTTCTTTCCGCTGATTATCTTCTATCTGACACCGTGCAGACATTGTCCTCGGAATTCTCGAGCTTTTGCGCTTCAAGCAGCGCGTTCTTTACGTTGACATCGATGTTCACCATGGCGATGGTGTCGAGGAGGCCTTTTATACCACGGACCGCGTCATGACCGTTTCTTTCCATAAGTACGGCGAGTACTTCCCCGGCACCGGCGAGCTACGCGACATCGGTGTTGGACCGGGCAAATACTACGCTGTGAACTTCCCTCTTCGCGATGGCATCAATGATGAGTCTTACCAGAGCATCTTCGAACCCGTGATCAAAAGCGTCATGGAGTGGTACCGCCCTGAGGCGGTTGTTCTGCAGTGCGGTGGCGACAGTCTGTCGGGTGATCGGCTAGGCTGCTTCAACCTGAGCATGCGTGGACATGCCAACTGCGTCAACTACGTCAAGAGCTTTAACCTGCCCACCCTGATCCTTGGTGGCGGTGGCTACACCATGCGCAACGTGGCACGTACATGGGCTTATGAGACGGGTATTCTCGTTGGAGAGGGTCTGGGATCCCACCTGCCATTCAACGATTACTACGAGGTGCGTTTGTTCTCTTAGACATTTAAGACTCTACTGACTCCCATCTAGTATTTCGCTCCCGACTATGAACTGGACGTCCGTCCCTCCAACATGGACAATGCGAACACAAGAGAGTATCTGGACAAGATTCGCAACCAGGTGGTCGAGAATCTCAAGCGCACTGCTTTTGCTCCTTCGGTCCAGATGACGGATGTGCCGCGTAACCCGATGGTGGAGGGTATGGATGACGATGCGGACGATATCCTTGATGATCTGGACGAAGATGAGAATAAGGACAAGCGTTTCACCGAGCGACGATTTGATCAATTCGTCGAGAAGGTTGGTGAACTCAGCGACAGCGAGGATGAGGAAACAAGCGCTGCCAACGGTGTTCGTCGCCAGCCAGGTGCTGTTCGCCGCCGCAACATAGCCAACTACCGCAACCTGGATACCCTTGAGTCTGGTATGGACAGCGGCATTGCGACCCCGCAGGAAGCCTCGTCTGTTGCCGATGGGGATGTTGGCACCGGTCTTGACACCAATATGACTGACGCTCCACGAACTGAGCCCGAAACCGGTGCTGCTCCAGATTCAGCAGAGTTAACCTCGCAGGCTGAAGGGACCCCGGCCGATGCTGACCGTATGGTCGTCGAGAGTGAAGGTCCGACTGCGATCTCCCAGCAGCCCTCCCCTCCTCAGAACGATGAAGACATCAATATGGATGATGCCGGTCCTGCGACTACCGAGGGAGCTGCTGATACTGCCGAACCCAAGGAGGAGAAACCGGCTGGCGAGGTCTCGTCCACGCAACCTACCTCTCCTCCGCACGCCCAGTCTCCTGCAAAGGACGTCTCCGAAGCAGCGGCAGAGAAGACCGAACCCGCTCCCGGTGCAGAAACCGAAGCTTCCAAGGAGACCGCTGTCGAGGAAGTGGCCACCAAGCAGGAGGAATAAGCTGGTTCAACGGGACGAAAATATCCGGATTCGGCGCAATGGACAAAGGCAGGAAGGTGTTTTACGGAAATTTTTCAGCGATGCTCGCATTTTTCTTGTTTTCTTTCTCTGGGGAGTGGTGCGAATGGAATTTCAGATTGAGTAGCTCTGCTCATATCCCGACTCTTTCCACCCTCTCCTTTGTTTCTGTCCTCGAAGGACAGAGGCTTTTGCTTCCTTTATCTTTTCAGTTCTTGCAATCCGAGCATACTTGACCAATGTTGCTTTCTTCATATTATGAGCTCTTGGCCCTCAGTACCCCTGTTCGTCCGATAAAGACAGAAATTTAACGAATCAAGCCGCCTAATAGTTTAGTAGAGGTGTTACTCATGCCTGAGGCACCTAAGTTTTACCCTAGTTAGGGTACATCCATATCACGTGTGTCATCCACGTGACCTATACACGGGACCCACACACAAGCGAGAAATCACAGCGGCGGGAACAAGACCAGGTGCCGTGATTTCGACTCTCGACCTTTTGTCGCCCAACACCCTTTCCTCCCAGTATCTCGACCCCCCCGATACACAGCCATCATGTCTAAGAGAGGGTGAGTCTACCGTCTACCCTTCTGCTTCCCGCCCAATTGCAGAAAGAACATCCGTGGTCCAAAAAAGAGGCGGTTGCAAATTTCGAGGTTGCGTTGAAAAGCCTCGGAGCTCTAGCCCAACACGCAAAAGTTGCACCAGAGGGCGGGAATTGGAATACAACAAACAGAAATGGAAGAATAGTTTTACTGACGTTTCTTCTCACAGTCGTGGCGGTGCCGCCGGCAACAAGCTGAAGATGACTCTCGGTCTGCCTACGTACGTTTTGCAATGAAAATATCCCTCGTCCAGTCCAGTGCAGTGCAATCCTCGAAAAAAGCACCCATGCTCTACCACTTTCGTCCTCCCTCCAATCCCTCCATCTCGCCTGTCAACTTTCCTCGAATCGTACACGAGACTTACGAACCTGGACGGTCGAGAAAAATGTGTAGCATGGGGAAAACGCTATTACGGGAGAGCAAAGCGCACTGGACAGGATGCAACAAATCAGAAGGGGAACCGTCAAACTAACAAATTTCACAGTGGCGCCGTGATGAACTGCTGCGACAACTCGGGTGCGCGCAACCTGTACATCGTCTCGGTGAAGGGCATCGGTGCTCGCCTGAACCGCCTCCCCGCTGCCGGTGTCGGAGACATGGTCATGGCGACCGTCAAGAAGGGAAAGCCCGAGCTCCGCAAGAAGGTCATGCCCGCTGTCGTCGTCCGCCAGAGCAAGCCCTGGCGCCGTCCCGACGGCATCTACCTCTACTTCGAGGACAATGCCGGTGTGATCGTCAACGCCAAGGGTGAGATGAAGGGATCGGCCATCACTGGTCCGGTTGGTAAGGAGGCTGCTGAGCTTTGGCCCGTGAGTGTTCCCTTCCTTCCTCTTATCTTTGCAAGGGTTGTGTGTCAGGAGACTAATGACCGTGTTTGTTTAGCGTATCGCCTCCAACTCCGGTGTCGTCATGTAAAGAGCTCAAAATCAAACCCCACGAATGAAAGAACTATTTTTTTTATTTCAATGCAAAAAAAAGTCGATACCATACCTTCCTTGAACTTCCCTTTAGGACTTGGAGGATCGCCGATGGGGATGATGGGATGGGGGAGTTGTTGCATCGAGACTTGGGGGAGTCAGTCTACTATTTGATGATGAAATCCAAACCGTGTTCTTCCTTTTCTTCAGCCTGGCTTTTGACTTCCAAAGACTCGTCTTCATTTGTTTTCCTTCCCTTTTCCTCCCTCTCAGGCGAGTTCGAGGAAGTATTCCGGCTACAAAAGAAAATCACACCAGTCCCTCAAGACTCCCTTGGCTGCAACTGTCGCCCAATGCTAGTGTCTCGCGATGTGTTGTTCCATGCTCTTCGGAGTTCAGGTCAATGGACGGGGCTGGATGACCGTGAACACACCTGCTCGTCCGGGCTGCCTTATGGAGAAGTAATCGTAGTCGTAGTCGTAGTCTTATTTTGAAGAGCCAGTCACTGGTCTGCAATTGCCAGCTGGTTTATTAATGTTTATTGGATTGATTTTTATCCGAACGCGATGGATCGTCTCAGATATATATCTACACATTCATCGTCCTCAAGGTATATAACAAGTACAAGTAACAATCCTTATATACACCCCCCATTTCAAACCCAATTAATCCGACACTTCCACCCCAAAATCATTTCTTCTGATCCCGAACCTCTTTTGAAGACCGAGTCTTCTTCGCGGAAAGCCGCTGAGCCCTGACTTTCCGCCCATGCGCCTCCACATTCGGCTCGCGAGTCCTCGGAGCAAGCCGCCAAGCGACTAATGGGCCCGGGTCCGTGAAACGATCAACAATAACATTGAGCAAAATCGCCACCACCGTTATGAGCAAGAGTATGTGGACCGCCCACCAGATGTGCTGCACGCCAGCGGGACACATCGTGATTGCGTACTTCCATTCGCGGACGTCGGAAGAGGAATCAAACCAAACTGATAGTAGGCCTGCGTTGCCGCCGAATTCGCCCATCATTGACCGCAGGGTCACCTCGCGGATTGAAGGTGTTTCCTCGGATATCTGAGAAGAAGATGGGGACTGGGCGGAGTAGCGTTGTGCGGACCATCTCCAGCTTGCGTCTGCTTCGTCTTTTTTCTCTTCGGAGGCATCCTCTTCGTCTTCATCTTCCTCCTTGGGTGACCGGTCCACATAGTGAACAACATCGCAACCCGTATGGTCATGCCCCGTCAGGATGAGCCCGTTCCGACCACGTCCACCACGGACCGCACCGTCGTCACCGCTCATACCGAAGATACCTTGAAGGATACCAACCGCGCTGGCATGATCACTGAGGTGATTCTGTTCTTTCAGACCACCCTCCTTCCACCGTGGAACCTCGTCTGGCCCCTCATCGTCATCGGCATAATGGAAATCAAAATACGGTTCGTCAGTGCAAATTCCAGCCTTCTTATGCAGCGGCACATGCGTCAGGAGCAGTGTAAATGTAGGGTCATCAACAGGGTAACTGCGATGACTGATAATATCGTTGAGGTAGGCATATGTCTGTGTCTGGAGATCCGGCGATAAAGCCGGTGTGTCGAGAATGAGCGAGTTCAGATTAATCAGATGCAGCGTCGGGTTGATGACTTCCGCGTAAGAAGAATTGACATGCACCTGCACAGGTGGGTGCTGAAAGCGGATATCCCAGTTCGCACGCCCGAACACGCGCTCGAACCGCTCCATCCGCGCCTCGCTGATATCCCCCGCGTACCCGATATCGTGGTTTCCCGCGATATTGATAATGCGTCTCGCCCATGCCGGGTCTGCCTCTGGACCGGCTAGAGGCTCCAGAATCTCCACTTCGTTGCTATAACCAGCAGCACCCGTCTTGGTAATCTCATCGTCCACGCGCTCTCCGCCCTGAAACACGCGTTTCCAATACCGCTCGCCGCGCTCTGCATACTCCTCATCTGTCACCCACTGGCTCCCGACCAGATCACCCAGTACAGTGGTGTGCGTCGGCCGCGTCCACCAGAAGAGGGTGCGGTAGATGTGCGCGAGGTAGTAGTCGTTTCCGACGAGGTCGATTCTTTTCAGGACGGAGCGTAGTGCGCGTGGAATGTCCTCCGTGACCAGAGTCGTGAGCGCGGTTGTGATATTGGAGCGGACATCGTGGGCCAGGAGTGAAAGCGGGAGCGGCGTTGTGGTGGACGCATTGCGAATGGCATCGTGGATGCTGCGCCAGTGCGAGCGTACGCGAGGCACGAGCTCGTATTCCGGGAGAGGGAGAGAGGTGTCTCCTTCCAATTGGGGGTCTGCGAGGACGAGGAGTCTGAAGATGGCGGGCTGCGTGTTTGGGTCCGCTGTTGCGTCTGGGCCGCGAAAATCGTAGAGCAGCGTGCGAACCACTGGATATTGCTGAAGTCTCTGGAGGAGACTGTTTGGCTGTGAGGTGTGTGCTTGCGGTAGAGGGAATGCGCAGCCCTTGAACAGTGGGTAGAGGTAGAGGTAGACCGTGGCTGTCAGGGTGAGTGGGAGCAGCAGCGCCACGGCTCGCGAAAGCAGCGCGCGCAGAAACATGAGGAGACAAAGGAAAGGAACGAAGAAAGAATAGAAAATTAAAGAATATACAGCATAGTGGAGGTGTCTAGGGGAGAAAAGGGGTCCATGAGGTTGAGATTGAGGTGTCGATCTACGATAGCGATAAGTTAGTGAGTGCGGCCTACATTCGGGATTGTGTACAGATTACTCAAAACAGTCCGTGTCTCAGCAAAAGCCACTGGAATTATGATTAAAAACTATCTACAGTCTCGCCTAAATTTCGTATATAGAAAAAAAAAAAAAAAAAAAAAGGTCTGACTATGGCCATGGCGACTCCAAGGTAAAGTCTCCAACAGCAGCCATACACACAGACACTGACCTTCAGGGACAAACAACAGATTCAAGCCACGGTGAAGGGAGCAGCACATCAGAGAGAAATCTTAGCGAAGGGTATATCACATCAAACGCCGAGACATCGGGGGTAGCATCAAACATAAACAGCAAAGCAGACAACAGAGATCACAAAATAGACTAGCGTAGAACGCATCAAAACAATCAGTGAGATCCAGTCTTCATCAAGCGCTCAGGGAGCAAGCTCGAAGGGCCGGTGTCCCCTAGACTCCCCAGGGGATTCGACATGGGCCGATCAGCCTCCTTGAGAACGCCCTCTTTCTCGTCCTCGTCGTTGTCCTCGCCATCGTCTTTCGGGTCGACATCAGGGAGAGGCTTGTCCACATCAGGCTTGTCCACATCAGGCTTGTCCACATCAGGCTTGTCCACATCAGGCTTGTCCACATCAGGCTTGTCCACATCAGGCTTGTCCACATCAGGCTTGTCCACACCAGGCTTGTCGACCTCGTCGTAGTTTTCTTCATCATCCTCGTTAATTGACGGGCTTTCATCGTCCAATTTGACCGGCACGTCGAGCAGCGCCGGCGGGCGTTGGTTCATCAGCTGCGCCTGTTTCAAGCTGATGGTCTTCTGCTTGTTGGTCGTCTCGACAATCTGGTCCAGATCGCGCTCGATCGTGGCCTTCATCAAAGCGGCCATCCATTTCCGGCCCTCCTTGACGTTGTCGACCTGGAAGTAGTGGACTGCAGGTTTGGTGAACTGCACGGTGCGCGAGTTGCCCGTTTTCGGCGGAACAAGCTTGAAGAAGAAAGGTTTCTGCCCTTCTTTAAGGAAGAAGGCTGCCGGGGAGACCATCATGCCACTCGGAAGAATCTTGCTGGAAGTATCGGCTGGAGACGTCGGAGCCGGGCCCATGGTTGTGGCAGTGGAGCCGGTGAAGGTTGCATGGAGAGTGATGATGGGGTCGTTGTCCGCCCGGAGTACCCGGTGAGCGGTGATGTCGATTAGGCCTCTCTCCTCGGTATCGGTGTCGGAATAATAGTACGACAGCCGACGACCGCGCAAGATGAACAGGCGGGGCTTCCAAGTCGTCATCAGATTTGACGACCTCTTCTTCATCCACCCGGAGTAGTCACATCCATCCATCTGCTCCAGCGGCGATTTCTTTTCCAAGCCACTTCTGTAGGCGCTTGTGTCCTGCTTGGTCTTGACTGTCCGCGGGCGGATCATGAAGCCGGCGCCCTCAGCGGCCTTGCCAGACCCGTCGGTGCTGTGTCGTTCCGAGCTCTTCGATGTGGCAGATGGAGTCGTGGAGCCTGTCCGGGTTGTTGTTGAAGCGGGATCGTAGTCCCGTGGAGAGGCTGGAGCAGATGTGTCGGGGCTCTTACCAACGACGTCCGAGATGGCACGAAGGCCCACGGCGCGTCGGAACTTGGGGCCTGCATTTTTGAAGGATTGCTGCAAGTGCGATGTCGAGGAGCGAGGGGAGCTATCTGAATCACCCCGTCCAACCAGAGGCGCAAAGCTGGAGAAGAATCCATGGCTTGATTTGCCATCAGCACTCCGATCGGAAACACGGTGGCTGAGACTGCGGAACCGGCTCTTCGCAGGGACGGCGTTATAGGCCTGCGAGGCTGAAGAGACGTTCTTGGTTGCGTCCCGTAACGAGTCAAGGCTACTGATGCGGGAATGCCGTTTACCCGCGCCCTTCACCCGGTAAGAATCATCCGCATAACTCGACTTCCGCGAGTGGCCCGCACTGCCCGCGACAGATGTACGTTTCTGCAGAACGCGGCGGTTTCGGCGCGGGTCCGCATCAGTCCCTGAAAAGTAGCCTCGATCAAAGTCGTCATATTGCTCGGGTGCAGAGACGGGTGAGTCAGACTCGGTGGTCAATGGGCCCCGGAATCGCTGAATGCCATCTGAACTTGTGCCCATTGAAGTGCCCGGACGAGTTGGCAAACCCTGGGCGCCGGTATTGAGGGTCCAGGACCTGTCAAGGGAGGTCTTGTTCTGGTGGTAGCCGTTGAGGGACCCGTCACCTCTGTTGGTGGAGTCAATGGAGGAATGACGACGAGCGTGGTTGAGCTCCCGGATTGATGCCGCGGAAACTCTCCTGGAAGAGTCATGGCCAAACGTCGGCGTGTGCGTTCCTATAGGGGAGCTGTTGTTGCTGGCCAGCCTCGGGTGCTGAGCTGGCAACGCGCGAGGGGATGAGTACGTGTTTGACTTCTCTGCTAGACTCGGGATCCGAGGAAGAAGAGGCCCTGTATGACCAGCACGAGCCAAAGTTCGCTCGTCTTGTTGACCGGAAAAGCTGGACCCTCTGGAGACCACTGTCGGGAGTGTCTTGGGGCGCTTGATCTCTTCCTGGAACGCTTTGACTTTGTGCCAGGTCTTCAGCCGTTTGCCCATCACACCAAAGTCGAACTCCTTCATGAAAATGAAATCTTGATCCATATCAAGAAGAACATCGCCGGTAATCTCCTGTTCCTCGAAAATCTCGCAATGCTTTGGGTCGACACCGAGGCCACGCATGTACCTGGAGGTTTCCTTCTGGCTCCATTTGCGTACTTCCGCCTCCGTCGGCTGACTGCTCTCCTCCTCATCAGTCTCGTGTCCATTGATGTAAGAGATTCGGTGACTGATATGGCTACTATATTCACTGCCAGAATCGTTCAGTGGCTTGGATTCTTGCGTCATCGACAGGCTGTGGCGTGGTGTATTCATATCGGTTATATGTTCGTCGATGACGCTCAACGTCTCATTCATGACCGGGCTTTCCTCTCCATTGATGTGGTTGTCCATGGAAGTGCGGAAGGCTTGCATGTCGGCCGCCAAATTGGGGCGTGGCGGCAGTGGGGATGAGGTCGCTCGCTGTGTTTGTTGCCTTGGAGAAGGTTGTGGGGTTTCTGCGTCGAGCTGAGGCGCCTGAATATCCGAAGCACTCGTGTGTCGCGAGGCTTGAGGCGTTGTCTCGCCACTAGCTGGTGCAAAGGAGGTTGGTAGCGTAGGTGTGTTCATTTGTATGGGCGATTCAGTCGTCTCAGATGCGACAACTGGGCCGGTGGCGCCCATGAGGTAGACTGTAACTCCGGTTAGCTATGAATCCCTGATGCGCATCCTCGCGGACAATAACAGCACATACCCGCTGGGAAGAGGCCAATTTTGCCCGTTCTGAGTTGCCTGCCCAGGTACCAGCCGTCGCCATATTCATCGTCCAGCTCCAGCAGTTCGATTTGATCACCTTTTCTCAATGTGAGCTCATCACTTCCACGCCCTTCTAGAGGATCTAAATTGAAAGCGTGTTAGCGATGCGCAGGCATAGGCACGGGTCCATGAAAGAAGCGCGAGCGTTTGCAGGCGCGGGTTGTCGCACACAGCATCACTTACGGGCAACCTCGAGATAATCACCGCGCTTGACGCCCCGGGGTGGGATCAGGGCAGTCATTTGTTGATTCTCAGATCTTGCGATCGCAGACATTGGGAGTTGACGTCGGAGAGAGTGACGAAGCTAGGAGTTGTGCAGGTCGCAGAGCATGGGACCCACCAGCCACCAGCCCTTTCGGGGGGTCGGGAGGGATGTGAGCTCACACGCTGGGGGGTGTGGACTAGGTCGTAGGCACCTCGGGAATCTCCAGGGGATAGCGACGCTGAAGGAGAGAAGATAATGATAATGCGACAGAAGCTGAGAGGACGAAAGGGGGGGGGAAAGAATGTGTGTGTCGCGCGGGCGGGAGGGAGGTCCGAGAATCTAATAGTGGAATTGGGCTAGTTAAGCCAAGGTTATTAGGGCCGCGGGGTCAGGCAGAACTCACGAACACCTCAATTCGCAGACCTGAAGAAGACGGTGCGCAATTACTGGCGCGACCGGGTGGCTGACGGACGGTTCGTGTCAAGCACAAGCGTGACAGGGCCGATCTGTCATGCCCTCGAAGCCCAGTTAAATTCCAGGAATTCGATAGGGCGAGAATGGGGCTCGCGGGGGCTGCAGGGGCGGGAAGCAGAGTCAACGGTCGGATAGAATACGAATCTGGAGGAGCAGAGATCCGATAATGGTGCGATGGTGATGATGATGAGAATGGGGATGGGAGAGAAAATAATGGAGAAGGGAAAAAAAAGGTGTGAAGAAGAAAGGGTGACGTGTGGCGGCCGTTCAAGTCCGGGTGACTTTCCACGGTTCTTGCCTGTCTGGCTGGATTGCGAAGTCGAGTAGTTGCACGACTGGATGAATGCGGCGGGATCAACTAGGAGGAGATGGAGGACCTCGGTCGATTACCAGTTAGTTGATCATATATCGGTTAAACTAACTAACTATTAACTACTGTAGTTACGATGTAACTTAATTTCGTTATAGACTGACTAGCCGATGTATACGGCCATTCTTTTCTTTGTTTGCTCACCAACCACTCGCCACACCTCTTCCTATTCTTCCTCCAGATCTCTCTCCCTCCTTTCCTCGCGCCCGATGAAAATGTCCCGGCATGGCCTCTCCCGCCCGGTCGCGCGCTGATCATAGCCTGGAGTCATCCAACTCCACCGCAAGCATTTTTCTTGGCGGCGTGCGGAGGACCTGGATACCGAACTCGTCGCAGCCGAACCCGGCCACGCTCTCCTCCAAGCGCCCCGAGCGTTATTCCATTCCAGACTCCACGAGCCAACACCAATCTAAGGCCGCCTCCGCGCAGCCTGATCGCGATCGTCCGGCCGTCCCGTCAGGTACAACAACAACAACAACAAACACACAGAGTTTAATGTCGCCCGTGACACCCGGCGCAAACTTGCAGCTTCAACAGAACCAGCCATGCCCTCCGACTATTACCTCGACACCCTCAGCCGGCCACTCTCCAGCAAGGGCTCTTCCGTCTCCCGTACCGAGCACAACCACCCACGTCAGCCCCGCTGAGAACAGCCATGGTCCTACAAATAGTGCCACGGCCGCCCCTCAAGCGTGTACTGGGCCAGTGGCCACGACATCACCTGCGAATGGAGAAATCCGGTTTCCGCAATCGCCAAGTCAGAATGACTCGCGGCCTCAGTCCCAGGACTCGGGGAATATTACGACGCGTCCAGGACAGCAGGAGGACAACACCGCGCCTGCACCACAGCCGGCGAACGGCAGTGCTCAACTAGCCCTACCGAAGCAGCTATCTAAGCAACAGGCATTCTTGCCACCAAGCGAAGACGTCTGGAGACTTTGGATAAGGAATCTGCAGACCATCAAGGATGAGTTGGAGAGCAGAGGCGAACTGTCGCTGGAGTACGGAGGGCCTCGAATCGCAATCCTGCGCCAGGCATGTCAGAAACAGGATCTTTTCTTCATAGTACTTCATCAGTTGTACTGTGTACGGACTGTGGACCCTTATCTGTATGATCGAATTCCCGAGCTCCGGGCGACTCATTGTCAAGAGGGCATGCTCCTGCTCCAGGACCTGTTGGTGGACAATTTCAAGCTTCCACAAAGATCGGTCGAGGCCTTGGCTCATTTTCCAGCCCCTCCACGAGGTTTGATGCAGCTGGACGGGTATAATGCGATGGTTCAGAAGATTGCCAGCGTTTTGACCCGACTCGTGACAGATTGGCGACCCCTTTATCGCGCTTGCTATGAGCGACGGTACCCGCCGCTGGTGGAAGAACTCGTGCTAATATTCGGGACGACATCGCATGCCTTCCTCTCCACTATCTTTGTGTCCTTGTGCCGCCAACTCTACGAACCCAACTGTCAACAGCAACTGGGATATCTCTTCTACCGCGATTATATGGCGCTGGATCGCCGCATAGCCAGTAGCGAGGCCATCAATCCGCAAAAAATGAATACCCCTCTCATCAAGTCATACCTCAAACTCCCTATGTCTTCCAGGGCACCACACCCAACTAGATGGACGCCTCGGTATGCGCCCACTGGTGTTCAAGTTCCGATTGTGTATCAAACTGTTCAGGTCGCGAGCATGCCCTCCCCGAGTATTATGTCTCCAGCTTCTGGCAGTGGTCAATCACCCGTTGCGAGTCCCCAGCTGCCTGGGCCAAACTCGCCTTACGGTCTGTCTCACCAAACACCTTACAACGCACAGCCGGTGTCACATGGTCAGCAGTATATCTCGCCATACCACCGCGCGCCTGTTCAAGTGCATCCAAGTCATCCGGCACCACCTCAGCCAGTCCCAACTTATGTCGTCTCCCCGTTCGTCCCTCAGCATGATGGGGCGGATGGTTCCAGGCCTCCGTTGCAGACACAGGGGTCTCAGCCACCCACAGCTACTCAAATGAACCCTGTTGTCCAGCAACGCCGCCTCCCGGATCCGATGGTAGGAGTGCATGGGTCGGTATCACCCCGTCCTGTGCCTTCACGGCGGACTCCGCTATCTCCACACCATGCGCCTTCCCAACAAACCCCTACATCTCGGTACCATCCACTGGCACAAACCCATGCACTTTTTCAACACCCTGCACCTCCCCACCACTCTGCATCTCCCCAGCACTCTGCACCTCCTCAGCAACCTGCACCCTCTCAACGTCCTACTTCTTCTCGGCAGTCTGTGTCTTCTCAGCAACCTGCCACTCGACACCCTGTGGTGTCACAGCAGCAGCGGCATCCTCGGACCGAACGCAGAACCTCGAGGCAGCAATCTCAGCCGCATCGTGCTACATCTCTACTCCCACCGGTCGGCTACAGGCCACCTCAGACGGCTCATCCAAATCCGTTGCGGTTGGGCCTTCATCAGGCTCACCTTCGCGATCCTGTGAAAAAACTGGTGGAGCTTAATTCAAGCGGGGAGCTGGTTGACACGGAGTTATTCCAGTACTTAGGGGGATTTGTCCTCAACCCAACGTTTCTGGACACCCCAAAAACGTGTCACAAGTGGACTTTTCAACTTTCAGATGCTCAATGTAAGAGATTCCCACGCACAGTCAGTCAAGGAGAAGGAAAGCGGCAACTGCGAACCTTTCAAAGTGGATGTTGGACGTTCCGCCTGCGGTCTATCAAGATTTCCCCTTCCCAAAAACCGAAAATCGAGCAAGTGTGGGCCAATACGAATACCACGTGGCCTAGCGTCTTTTATATCTTTGTCAATGATCAGGAGCTTTTCGCGCGCCGAAAGCTCCACAATGGAAAGGACCTCCCTCTGGACATCACGGATTATCTTACGGAAGGAACCAACAACATCACCTTGAATTTGCTTCTCGACAAGAACGAGTGCAAGACCCAGCAGTACGTGTTCGCGGTGGAAGTGATGGAAGTGACCGGATTTACGCAGTTGCGGAGTCGAGTGCAGTCCCTCCCGGCGACTGAGTCGCGTGCCCTTATCCAAAAACGCCTGTCTCCCCTCACAGACGACGAGGAAATCACAGTCATCACCGACAGTTTGACAGTCAGCCTGATCGATCCTTATTCAGCACGCGTCGTCGATGTCCCCGCTCGTTCCCGGCAATGTGACCACTTGGACTGCTTTGATCTAGAGACCTTCCTCAGCACGCGAAAATCGGTCTCAGACTCGCTTCCAATGAACGACAAGTGGTTCTGTCCTATCTGCAAAGCAGACGCGCGTCCACAGTTTCTGTCCATCGATTGCTTCTTTACCGAGGTGCTGCAGGAAATAACTCGCCAGAATCGACGAGAGGACGCACAGGCCATCGAGATCAAAATTGACGGGTCGTGGAGTTTGAAGGTTGTCAGCGACGAAAATAGTCATGACAACTCAGGAGATCACGTCCAACGTCCAACGCTAAAACGCAAGGCCGAAAGCTCGCCAGATGCGGGTGATGCTCGCTCTGGCTCCCACGGGGTTTTGAAGCACGAAGGAAGTCCCACCCCGTCTCCTCTCGTCGTCCACAAGGAGCCTGTTGTCATTGAGATAGACTAGGGCTGGCATTTCTCATTCTACTCCAGTTTTGTTTTAAAAGATACCCCCTTGGTTTACTTGGCGTTGTACATTCGTTAATTACAAGTTCGTTTTCCATCTTGAATGTCTCCTTCTTTCCTTGGACTGAGTGACTTTATAAAGTGTCTTCATATAAATACCTGTAGTGTCCCGATATATATATCCTGCTTTACTCCCTATCCTCTCCACATCCGTCTTGATCTCCCCTCTGAAGATCTTCTCTATTCCACATCACAGCAAACTATCCCTCAACCTCTCCACCCCCGCCCTCACAACATCCGCCTCCAGCGCAAAGGTAATCACAATCAACCCCTGATTCTTCCCCAGGAACCGCGCAAACGCAGTTTGACTAAAAACAGCCACGCGATACTTTTTCGCTCTGGCAACAACATCCTGCGTCGTCTCTCCATCCCTCAGATTAACAATGACATTCACCCAGAGTCCCGCCGTTGCCGGCAAGATCTCGACTCTGCCGTCTGCCTCGAGAGAAGATAATGTCTCGACGCAGATTTTATATGATTGGGCTAGTTGCTTCCGCGTGGACGAAATGAGATTCGGTAGTGAGGGAGAGTTGAGGAGATATGAAGTGAAGTGTACTGTTAGCGAGGAGACTTGCCAGAGTGTTGCGTAGGAGACGCCTGATTTGACGAGTGGGTTGTATGACACTGCACAGCCCTATATGGTTCGTTTTCTCTGCGTTAGTGTCTCCTCAGGGGAAAGACAGATTTTATGTATATACTTACCGAGCGAACGCCACAAGCTCCGAAATCCTTGGTCGTGCTCCATACCACATGCACGAGATTCCGATCAATACTCCCATTCCCATTATCACCATCATCACCTCTTACCAACTCAAGAGCAGACACGAATGCATCCGCCTCATCAAAAACAGTGTTCGCAAACACTTCATCAGAGACATAATGCAATCCATACTTCTGACAAAACTCCGTCATCCCGCGCAGCACATCGCGCGGCCAGCATCTCATAAAAGGGTTGTTCGGATTCGAGGTGAGCAGCGCCTTAATGCGGCTGGGGTCTGGCGCGGAGGCGTATGCTTCTTCAAGAGCGGGGATTATGGCTTTGGATAAGCTGGCTGTGGGCCATGTTGACGATGGGGAAGGGGAGTCTATGTAGGCCGGGATGACGGTTACGTTCGCGTGGATGCTGGCCCAGGTTTGGTAGCCCCCTGCTTCGTTGTTAGATATTTCTTTTGATTATACTGGAAATATATAGTTATATTGTAGGTATGATCTGTTTGATGGTTATGTTATGAGAGAGGGAGGGAGACGTACACCAAGCTGGAGCAGGGCAGAGAACACTATCCCCCGCATCACAGATCGTGAAGAGAAGGGCATCCAGCGCATGCCCCGATCCAGCAGAAGGAACAATGTTCTCCGGAGTGACCGGGATAGCAGGATGGAAGTACATGGTGATATACTTCGCGAGCGCCTCTCGCATTACGGGATCACTGTTGAATCCATCGGGATTTGCAAAGGTCTGGTGTTTAGCATAACATGAGCAATGGAACTTGATTTGAGGGAAATGAAACAGGCAGGGTGGTGTGTTTACCTCTGCGGTGATGCTTTTCTGTATGGCCTCTTGACATATTCCCACCATCTCGGTCTTCATTAGTGTGTTCTCGCCATCGGCGAGATTGATGTCTCCTTCCGCGGGCTGGGTTTTGTCTTTTCTGGATGACAACGCAGAGGCGATGGGGGCGAATGCTTGCACTGTTTTGCTCATTCGGGTGGAGATTGTGCCCGGGTTTGCCATGATGCTATATTTTCAATGTTGTATGTGGTATCCTAGTTGTTCCCAGTGAGGTGAGATGAAATTTTAAGAGGATAAACGGGGAAAATATGGGTGGTGGCCTTATACCTCCTTTAGCCCCCAAATTAGGGTGGAGGTGGGTCGTGGCTGAGGATATATATCTGCCTGAAGATCTCTTTTAAGAGATGGAGTATAGGTATTATATTCGTAGGTATCTAGATCATTCGTACAACTACTTCCGCACGCGCCGAACGTGGCTGACAAGGTTCTCAATGACGCCCTCAAAAGCCTCCTTTTCACCCACCAGGCCATCCCTGCGCTTCAGCCAGAACTCGAGCACAGCGCTGGCCCGCTGCGTGAGCTGCTCCAGCTCACTGATATGAAGCTTCAGCTCTTGATCAGTCAAACCGCCCAGCGCAGCATCGGTAGTAGCGCACAAGCGGCCCACAGCCGACAGATCCAAATCTGGCGGGGGAGTAGGTGCACGGCGACGGGATGTTTTCTGCCGAGCACCGGCACCGGCTTGCCCCGTTGACGTCCTCGGGCTGTCGGTGTCGGTTGGGGAAGTTTCCCCTTCTTTGCGAGCACGACTGCGGGATCGTCCGTCCAGATCGATGGATGGGAGAACGAGCTTTTTCTGTTTGGAGGCGGGGAGGATCTCGTCTAGGTCGACTGGGACGCCTAATGAGACTAGGAAGAGTCGGCGGATGCGGGATTTGACCCAGTTCTGCGGCTGTAGAGGCGGGGGCGCTACGAGTTGCGACCATAGTGAAAGTGACCGTTCGGTGCTGAAGATGGCGGCGGAGTCGGGGATTGGTTCAACTGGCGGCAGAGAGCTGAGGTCTTGGGAGGCGGGGAAGAGGCTGTCGAGAGTGCTGGTCAGAGAATTGAGGAGTTCGGAGGTGGATTTGAAGTCGGCGAGCTCTGTAAGAGGAGGCTGATAGGGTAAAGTGTTAGCAATTGTACCAGAGTTGACTTTCGAGTATGGCTGCCACTTACAACCGAAGGGGGCGTGCGAGGTGCTTGGGGCGTTATGTTGCCCTCCGCCACGCTGGGCTCTTGGAAACCGTCGTCGAAGTCTCCAAAGTCATCATCTCCCATGTCATCCTGCTCCTCTACGAAGTCATCAAAATCGTCGGCGGCTCCATCGTCTCCAACCGCGTTGCTCCTCACTGACGACTTTCGTCGTCCGCGACTCGGCAGTGTGGTACCCGTTGATAAGGCTTGTGAATCTGATTTGGTTGATTGAGTCAATCGCTGCTCTGCGATTTGCCGTGGTCGTAACCGGTGGCTGTGAGCTTACCTGGGACGTCTGGGACTGTTTCTACCCTATCCGGCTGGGCATCGCTGGGGGATCTTTGGTGGTGAGCCTGCGGTCGTGATGGGAGCTCTTCCTCGGTGGGCATAGTGTCCACTCGTGACAAGTGTGTTTCGGGAATCGGTGGGCTTGCGGCATCATCGTGACTAGGCGATGTTGGGGATTGGTGGCTGCCAGGTTCGGGGATCGTTGTCACAACATCTGGCACAGCATCCGCGCGATGCTTCTCATATCCCTCTGTGCCAGGTACTTCACCGTAGCTTGGCTCATCTGGGTCAACCTTTTCGATCATGGTTCGCGGAATAGGCGAATCCCCCGGGGTCAAGGGCCTGTCGGGCGACCCCGCCGGTGACCGATTTCTGCTGGATGAGCCTTCAGGAACGACTTCGAGCTCGTCCGGAACTGCATCCTGTCCCCGTTTCTCGTATGCCTCCGTTCCGGGGACCTCGCCGTGTTGGGCATCATCGTCGACTCGTTCTACTCGAGTTCGCGGGACAGGGGAAGCGAGGCTGGATTGTGGGCGTGATTTATTGAAGTTGCCTTCGCTGGCATCTGAGAAGTGGTCCTCGTCGCTGCTCGAGTCTTGTCCTAGACGAGTTAATTCTTTGCTTCCGCCATGCCAAGTCAACAAAGGGGCGCAATACCATTGTTGTCCTCCGCCCCGGGGTCCTCCATCCCAGTGCCCTTGTGAGGGGTTTCCAGATGCGCGGGCGAAGGGGATGTCCCGTCCGACATGGTGGTGAGTTCAGGCTGGGATCATGAAGCCGGGGAGGGTATAGAGGTATAACGCAAAAAAACCGGATGGCAGGTAATTTGTAGCAGTAAGTCAGTGAGGAAGGTCGACGAGAGCCCAGAACCGGGTGTTTAGGTTTGTGGATGCCTGATGGGTCAGGCCTCAAACTAACGGCCTTACCATCCATGGTTATTATATTCTCCTATGGGGGCAGCACATGGTAGGTCCGCTTGAACTTCCCTATTTAACTCAGTAGTCTATACGCGTCGCTAAAATAAAATTAGGTGTCTCATATCTCATGTAGATCTAGCAAATCGTAGCTGAGGAATGGAAATTGTCTATAATCATCAACTCATAGAAGCATCAAGCAAGTCATCCATGGCGGATGCTGCCCTTTGCTTCTCTTCATCATCGTTCTCTTCGGTTTGCCCTTCTGGTTCTCCTGTACACCATCTTCATACCCTTCAGTCTTCATATCCTTCAGCCCAAGGTCATCCTCCTCCTCCTCGGTGCGAGTATACTCCTCAACCGTGAGCTGCGGGTCGGGCGCGGGTGCACGGAGATCCTGCACGTAGCTGTTTGCCAGCGGATCCACTAGAGTGATCACAAACTTGAGTCCACCGTTGATAGCCTTCTCAAGCCGCGCAGAGAAGCGGTCCCATTTCTTCTATATCGGACGCGGGCATGCTATCGCCACCGCGATGAGTAGTATCCTCAATATCAAAGATGGTAGAGGACTATTGACCACGGATTTCAGATAGGATACCTTCCATAGTGTTGAACCGCGAGCCCAGGGTGCCACATTGCACCACAGTGACGATAAACATTTAGTTCATGCGAAAAGACCAATGGAGCCTCAACTTCTAGGGTGTATTTGCTTCCAAGTTCCTGGATCTGGCCTGCAGATTTGAGGGAATTATCCTTGAAAAAACAGTGTGGACACTCAAAGGACTCGAGGATAATATCACGGAAGAAGGGCACACGGGGGAGAAGCAAGCGAGTAGTTCCCTACGTCGCATGAGGTTAACATATACTGTCATTTAGATTATTGTGTAAGAGGGAACATACATTCTCGTGGCAGTTCATACATAGGCTCTCGACCTGCATGACGCCGGTGTCATCATCACACTCTACCAGGTCTCCAACCTTCTGGAATTGCGACTCAGGCGCATTGCTATCGGTCGACATTATCGAGAAGAGCCAGTTGGGCGCCAGCCAAAAATCCCCGCTGACCGCCCGCGTTCTGCCCGTTCTACCAGGGCGGGACAGCTCTGATAGGTTCCAGTGCTTACAGCCTTAGGCATCAACGGTCTCATCTCGCGCTTGATTATTGTTGCTTCTCTCCTTCTTCGACTCTTGCTTCACCTTCCAATCCCTTCGCTCTCTCAATCCCCTTTCTTCGCGCCTGAGTCCTTCATCTTGGGTCTTGTGATCCTCACCGCAGGATCCTCGCCCCTGCTTCGGTCGCTGTCGGCTTCCTTCGCCTGGTGTTCCTTTTTTCCTGCGCGACCTACCAGGATCAAGCTTGCCGCAACTTGACCGCGCTAACCCACCACCATGTCGTTCTCCTTCGGCACACCCTCCAGCGGAGCCCCCAGCGGTAACATGTTCGGCACGGCGGGCAATACTTTCGGGTCCAATCAGAACAACTCGAACGCTGGCTCCACTGGCGGTAGTCTGTTTGGAAATGTAGGAGCTTCATCCACCAGCGGCACGACATCGCCTTCGCTATTTGGGTCCAGCTCTGCGGGCGGCCAGATGTTTGGTAACACCGGTACTCCTGCTACTACGACTGGTGGAAGCACGGGCGGAAACACTGGCTTTAGCTTCGGCGGCCAGGCCCAAAGTGGCACTCAGTCTGGTTCTCTGTTTGGTGGTTCGCAGACCCCCGGCAAGACAACCGGATCAACTACACCTGGTCAGACTGCTACCAGCGGCTCACTATTTGGTGGCGCTGGGAAATCGGGACAGAGCTTGTTCGGCAACACAGCAGCCACGCCGGCTCCGGCAACAGGCTCTTTGTTCGGCAACACCTCGACCACCCCAGCTGGCCCTCCACCGGGAAATAAGCCACCGAGCCTGTTTGGTGCCGCCTCCACTTCGACTCCTTCCACCGCTGCGCCGTCTTCTACAACCCCGACCACTGCGCAGCCGCAGCAATCTGGCGGGATGTTCGGATCAGGCGCTACGGCCAACGCATCGAAGCCATTATTTGGAGCAGCTCAGCCATCTGCGCCGAGTGGAGGCTTATTTGGCACAGCAGGCCAAGCTAAGCCGGCCGAGTCGACCACTCCAACGTCCACTGCAGAGGGCGCTTCGAAGCCGCTCTTTGGCCAGGCCCCAAGTCCCGCCACTGGCGGTACCCCAGCTTCGCAGACTCCGTCTCTCTTCAAGATGCCTTCTGCTGGCGGTGATTCCGCAACCAAGCCCACCTTCCCTTCCCTTGGCGGCACCCCTGCTGCTACCACCACGACAACCACCACCACCCAGCCGTCCGCAGGAACTCCTACGTCGACCGCTACTCCCCAGAAGTCTCTATTCCCGTCTATTGGGGGCGCCGCATCTACAGCTGCTCCGTCATCTACACCAGCGGCCGCACCTGCTGGTGGTCTTTTTTCAGGCCTGGGAGGTGCCAAGTCAACCCCTGCAACTACTCCGGGGACCGCAGCCTCTGCTCCCGCTACCACATCTGCAGCACCAGCCGCCACTACACCTAGCATGTTCGGCAAACCCCCCGGTTCAGCGGCGTCTACACAGCCTGCGACCGCTACCAGCACTGCTGCGACAACGGCAGCTGCCCCTACCATGCCTACTGCCACCGCTGGAGCCGCTGGCGCAAGCACCAACCTGGGCGCATCTACGGCGGGTCCTGCTCCACCTGCCCAGTCACGCCTGAAAAACAAGACCATGGACGAGATTGTCACCCGGTGGGCGACTGACCTGACCAAGTACCAGAAAGATTTCCGGGAGCAGGCGGAGAAGGTCGCCGAATGGGACCGCATGCTTGTGGAGAATGGCACCAAGGTACAGAAGCTATATGGCAGTACCGTGGATGCGGAGCGAGCTACGCAGGAAGTCGAGCGTCAGCTGGCGTCGGTGGAGGGTCAGCAAGAGGAGCTGAGCTCGTGGCTGGACCGATACGAGCGAGACGTCGACGAGATGGTGTCCAAGCAGGTTGGACCTGGCGAGTCCCTCCAAGGACCGGATCAGGAGCGTGAGAGAACGTAAGCAGTTCTTCATGGATGTCAAACTGTTGTTATTGTACTGACACTCTCATCAGCTATAAATTGGCCGAGAAACTCTCGGAGCGCCTGGATGAGATGGGCAAGGATCTCACCAGCATGATCGAGGAGGTGAATGGCGCCTCGGCCACGCTGAGCAAAACCAACCGGGCAGATGAACCGGTATGTATCATTTGGATCCTCTGTTTAACCCTTGACAAGCCGCGTGCTAACTCCCCTTCGCCCATAGATCTCACAGATTGTCCGCATTCTCAACTCGCACCTGTCTCAGCTTCAGGTCATTGACCAGGGCACCTCAGAGCTGCAATCCAAGGTCGCCGTCGCCCAGAAAGCAGGGCAGTCAATCTCGTCCCGGCTTGGTTACGGGTATGGTGGTAGCCCAGGGATGGGCAACGGCAACGCCGCCGATGATTTCTACCGCTCGTACATGGGCCGCCGGTAGAGGGAATGGGGTGTTCCATGGACGTCCAATGAAACTACCTCCGAACTTGATTGACCTGGATGGAGGAACTGCTTTATGTATGGCTGCTACTTTCTTGCCTGGTTTGCAATATGCCTTGGGTGCTTGTGGTTCTTTGTTTATTCGGATGCGAAGGTTGTAACCCGTAACCCCGGAAAGTTGCTGTAAATCTTTAGTTTAGGGTTATGGCTGGGTTTGTGGTTAGACAGGTTAGTTAATACGCAAAGGCGACGGCCAGGGAAACTGGTTGTCAATGATTCTCAATCTTCTGATTTTGTCTTCTTCCATTTCATCTCAGTGGGGAATAACTCTGGAGGCCCCTGTTCAAGTATTTTCGACTACTCTTGGTCGCTATTGATACTGACCACAGTAGGAGCATGAAAGTCGAAACTGATGGCAACCACGGTAGACATAGTACTTGCAATATTCACTACTTCAGAGCACGTAAAAGTAAAAGAACAAACTACTTGCAGAATAACCCTATTTCTGTTTCTGCTCCTCTTCCATATCGCGCAAGACTTTCTCCGCTATCCGGAAACCCTCCAAGCCCGCGGGCATGCCAACATAAACAGCAACTTGGAGTAAAGTCTCTCGAATCTCAAGCTCAGTAGCACCGTTATTAACAGCCCCACGGACATGAACAGCAAGCTCGGGTCCTCGATTCAAGGCGCACAACATGCCGATGTTGAGCAGCGATCGCTGCTTCCGCTCAAGCCCAGGGCGAGACCAGACCATGCCCCAACCAGCTTCGGTGACGAGATCTTGCATTGGCTGGGAGAATGATGAGGCGTTTGCGAGAGACTTGTCGACGTAGGCTTTGCCGGCTACCTCGTAGCGGATCTTGAGACCATCTTCGAAGAGGCGTTTGTGGGCCTCTTCGGCGGAGATGGTGGATTGCGATTGCTGGTTGGACATCGTTGTTGTCTGAAAGACTTGTGGAAAGGGATTGAAGAAACCGGAGAATTTCAATAAAGTGATAAGTTCTTTGAATGATTTGCTATTCGGCGCTCCATCTCTCGGAGAATGACGTCCCGCATGTCAACAACCAGAACCCCCACTCGTGATAATCCCTGCGGAGAATCATGCCGCCTTGACAACCGAGGCAAGACGATCCGAAATTTCTCACCTCTTAAAATGTCTACATACAGCCTTGGGTTCATAGGGTTGGGGGTCATGGGATATCCCATGGTCCTCAACCTGGTGAAGAAGGTAAACCTGACCGATAAGCTCCATGTCTACGATATTTCGAGCCAGATTTTGGCCAAATTGGAAGCAGAATCCCCGGACAAAGTGGACGTGTGCACCAGCTCGCGTGAAGTGACAGAAAAGAGCGTACGATCCCTAAGATCTCACATCATCGAGTCGATTGCATGCCTCTAATATACATTCATAGAATATCATACTCACGATGGTTCCAGAAGGGTCTCATGTTCGGGCAGTGTATCTAAACAAGGAACATGGCATCCTGGCCGCTGATAGTATTGATGGCAAATTGCTGATCGATTGCTCCACCATCGACACTTCCACCTCGCTTGCTGTTGCAGATGCCGTCAGTGAAAAATCCAAAAGCGCTGCTATGTACGATGCTCCCGTGTCCGGCGGCTCACTTGGCGCCGCAGCCGGGACCCTGACCTTCATGGTGGGATGCACAGAGAGTGACCCCCACTTTCCCACTATCAAGGAATTGCTCGCGACAATGGGCAAGTCCATCTTTCCTTGTGGGGGTTTCTCTCTCGGTCTCACAGCCAAGCTATGCAACAACTACTGCTCGGGCTTAGTTGCGATTGCCACTGCAGAGGCCATGGATATTGGAATCAAATCCGGGATGGATCCGAGAGTCCTGGCCTCGATCTTCTCCACCAGCACTGCTCAGAGCACAATCAATGATAAATGGAATCCTGTGCCGGGGATCTGTCCCGATGCTCCATCGAGCAAGGACTATCAGGGAGGATTCAAAGTGCAGCTTATGAAGAAGGATTTTCAGCTGGCTGTGGATACGGCTGCAAGGGTTGGGTCGAATGTGCATTTAGCGTCCTCTGGGCTGGAAGTTTATCAAGGGGCCAGCGAGGACGAGAATTGTCGTGATAGGGACTCTCGTGTTGTTTTCCGTTACCTTGGGGGGGATGAAGATTGGTTCGATAGATTTAGCCCGAGCAAGCCCTAAGTCTCACTTCAAGTGTGCTATATACCAGGAATCGATAATAGACTGATAAAGTATTAGACCCACATTTGGAAGCAAAAAGAAAACACATAAATAATTCCGTGGAGTAGATAGAAATATGGGGTAATAATCCGGCGAATTAGTTAGGGCATAGCCAATGGCACCCGATTTAATGTCGCCATTAGTCCCTCCTTGGCACATGTGTGCGGGGAATGAAGGATAGACAAGGTGGGAGGAAATATTCCGAGAGGAGCTATATTATAACGCTAAGAGCTATTTGCCCAACCGTGTCAACTACGCTCTTCTAAATCTCTCGCTCCTTCTCGGTCAGTATGGCCAAACTACCACCTCCCTCCGCCGAGCAAGTATACGTGACAATCTCCCCTATTGATGGAGGACAAATCACCATCCCAGAACGCTCATTCGTCTTTCCCAATGACCCCAAAGCAACAACAACCGTGCCATCAATGAGCTTCCTCGTCACCCATCCCAGCTCCTCATCACATCCACCGACTCGACTGTTATTCGATCTAGGGCTACGTTCCCACCTGGAGGCATACATCCCCAAACAACAAGTTCATATCCAAAATAATCGAGTACCCTACCGACTCGGCCCAGGCGTAGCCCAATCTCTCCGAGATGGTGGTCTCGATCCATCCAACATCAACAAGGTCATCCTCAGCCACGTCCACTACGACCACCATGGCGACCCGGGCGACTTTCCTCGCGCTGAATTCCTTGTCGGTCCTGGATCTTTGGAGCTTTTAGAGCAGGGCCTGAACAAGACGGAGTCGCATCAAGTCTTTGATCCGCATTTATTCCCAGACCTGGAGCGGGTGCGGGAATTGCCTGCTGTAGAAGAGCAGGGGAACTGGCAGCCCTTAGGACCATTCGAAGCTGCCATTGATCTGTTTCACGATGGCTCCGTCTTTGTGGTCCATGCGCCGGGCCATCTTCCCGGTCATGTCAATCTGCTTTGTCGCGTTGGTGAGAAGAGATGGATGTATCTCGGAGGAGATAGCTGCCATGATACCCGGCTGCTTAGCGGAGAGAGATCTATTGCGACTTGGACGGATCCACATGGCCACATGCAGTGTATCCATCTTGATAAAACACAGGCTGAAGACACACTTCGACGTATTCGACAGCTAATGCAGACGGATGGGGAGCATGTCGAGATTGTGTTGGCGCATGATGGGGATTGGTGGCTGAGGAATCGGGATAAAGCGTTTCCAGCCTGTTTGAATTGATTTCAATGATAGTTCGGAGCCACAGTAGCACAATTAACCGCAACTTTGGAGAGGGTAGTTTACGATTATTCTGGATGCTGTTACGTTTCTTATGCTTGGTGTTTTTAATGTTTGGAATCCTGGGTACTTGGTTGAGCAGGCCCAGGTGTATGCGGAGGAGCTTTATGGTGGTGGGCGTGGTAGAACTTGATAAGTAACTCTTCCTTTCTTGAGATTAGATGGACTACTGGGAGGACCGATGAGCTACGTTTGTATCTTTATGCAATTGCCTCGACTGTGATTAGAGTATCTTTCACAATGGACAGCAAATCAAACGATCTTTCTATGCTATGGAAAGAGAAATGCCTTATCTAGTCTTGAACAGGAGACTGCCAGACGGAGTGGAGATATGGTATAAGGAAGGAGGGTGTTCCAAAGCTGGAGCAGTCTAGGACTTGCCTTGCTCCTTGGTGAGTTTGTCACTGAGAAAAATGGAGTTAGCATGAAACCAACTTGAGCACACCATAAGGATAATGCAACATACATGTGGCCCTCCAACTCGTCAAGGTGTTTGCGCTGGTCCGAGATGGTTTTCTTGAGGTTTCGCAGCCTAGCAAAATCGCCACTAGTTAGTTTGAAAAAGAGGGAAGCAGTCTCCGCCGACAACTTACTTCTCCAGCTCCTTCTCACGAATGTACACAGCCTCCTGGGCAGCCTCACGCTTGGTGAACTGGTCACTGGAAGAACAGGCAGAAGTCAGCAACGTCGTCTGGGCATATGATGTCATTTCTCTGCCTCTAGACAGGCAGGCAGCGAGAGTGCGCCATTATCGCAGCGCCGGTGCAATTGGAGGATAGGATGCAAGGGGTGACACGTACCCAGAAGCTGCGCCTCCAGCCCGGGGAGCACCGGTGTCGCCCTCGCCCATCCGGGGGACAGCAACGGAGAAGGTGCGGCGGGCCACTGTGCGGTTGGCAGTGACCAAGGGTCGGGCAATAGCTTGACGGAACATGTTGGAGTCGAGAGAGAAGGACAATGGGTGTAGGTGATTAGTTGGGGGAGGAAGACAAGCTGGAAGCTGACAGGTGCAGGGGGATGACGACACAGCGCCAAGACATAGTCATGTGATCTTGATGGTTATGTAAGTCAGTGGTCGTCAGGTGAGCCGAAATTTCTGTTTCCGGTTCAAGCGATAAGTGAACGTGCTCTCATTCGACTTGCTTTTAACTAGGGCTGCTTCTAAGTTATAGTGCCTCACTTTGAAGACGCCCTGCTTTGGGCGGAGGAAGTAGGGTTTGGCAGGACCATCCAATCAGGTAGTGGGGTCGGGTGTGTTTCGCAGAGATTGGGACCAAACTTGGTTATTAGAGACTAGTAGTAGCATTATTATTAGTGAACGAGTTATTCGCATAGTTAGTAGGTATTCGAGGATGGAGGGTGAGCATGATGACGCGGGCCCACCGAACCACACAGAAGACAGCGAGATATCTACAGACACACCAAGGACGACAGAGACATGAAGAATAAAATAATCAGAAAAAATAATATTCCTAGAATATGAATAGGGAGACTCTAATAAAATAGTTCATTCTAGTTCATCGTAACTTATAGTTAGTGGTGGTGAACACTCACTGTAGTTGGCAAAATCCCAACACAGTCTCTCTCCGCCTTGTGTGTTTTCCCCCCTCCTTCTCCTCTCCCTCACACTTCTCCCTTCATCCCCCATCGCTTCCATCGCTCCATCCTCATCTCGATCTTCTCTTTCGCTTTATCACCAACCAACGTGAGTTTTCTTGTCAATTTGCCCCTTGTTCCCTTGCTCTGCCACACAAAACCCCCCTCCCCCTCCCCTCCCATCCCCCAAACGGCCAATCCCACACATCCACCGGCCATGCAAGATGGTGGCTGTCGATAATTCGTCCTCACGACCTCGCATCCCCATCTCAGCTCTTACATGCAATGGCATTCCATACCCTCGTGGTGGATGGGACCTAGTCCTCCTTGTCTGCGTGTTTACCCGCTGGGTCGTTGCCGCGACCGCCTCTCAGCTGGACACCACACCCCGTCGACCAAGGAAGCGAGCAATGACCCCCTGGTCGTCAGATTTCCCTTGCATGTGGTGCCATCGAGGATAAATCCTGCGTGATATGATAGTTGGACATACCGGGCTCCCTTTTCCCTATCCACCCGGGTGCTTCATTGCCTACCCCTCCCGGTCGCCTCTTGCATCCCCCTGGACCGCATTCTGGGTGGCATGATTCTCTGACATCACCACCTACTGAAATATCTCTCGAGACAGACTTACTGACAGTATTCATCTATTCAGAAACCACTTTTCACAATGGGTCAAGAAGATGCTGTTTACCTTGCCAAGCTGGCCGAGCAGGCCGAGCGCTACGAAGGTTCGCACTTTCTCTCCTCGATGTTTGGGCCTTTGCTGATGCAGGAAAACAGAGATGGTTGAGAACATGAAGGTTGTTGCCTCGGCTGACGTCGAGCTCACCGTCGAGGAGCGGAATCTCCTGTCCGTCGCCTACAAGAACGTCATCGGTGCCCGCCGTGCGTCGTGGAGAATCGTCACCTCGATTGAGCAGAAGGAGGAGTCCAAAGGCAACGAGTCCCAGGTTACTCTGATCAAGGAGTACCGTCAAAAGATCGAGGCCGAGCTGGCTAAGATCTGCGACGACATCCTCGAGGTTCTGGACGACCACCTGATCAAGTCGGCCCAGAGCGGCGAGTCCAAGGTCTTCTACCACAAGATGAAGGGTGACTACCACCGCTACCTGGCCGAGTTCGCCATTGGCGACCGCCGCAAGGGCGCTGCCGATGCCTCCCTGGAGGCCTACAAGGCTGCCACCGAGATCGCCCAGACCGATCTTGCCCCGACTCACCCCATCCGCCTTGGTCTGGCCCTGAACTTCTCGGTCTTCTACTACGAAATCCTCAACTCGCCCGACCAGGCCTGCCATCTGGCCAAGCTTGCGTTTGACGACGCTATTGCTGGTAAGTGCTTTTCCCGTGTGTATGGAAAAAGAAGCTCACATCCGACCCAGAGCTCGACACCTTGAGCGAGGAGAGCTACAAGGACTCGACCCTCATCATGCAGCTCCTCCGGGACAACCTGGTAAGTCTTTCTGTTTGCTTCCGAACAGACCACCATCTGACTATATATCTAGACCCTCTGGACCTCGTCCGAGGCCGAGCCCGCCCCCGAGAGCGCCGGCGCTTCCACCGAGAAGAAGGAGGAGGCCCCGGCCGCGGAGGGTGATAAGCCCGCCGAGTAAAGAGAGAACCCCAAAAAGACTAGGTGTTGATGGACTCGCGTCCTTGGGACGGATGGGACAACCGAAAGAGAACGAGAGAGCGCGCACACATTGTGTCAGGTCTTCCCAGTGCAAGGGACGAGAGGGGAGACGAAGGGGAACAAGGATGAAAAAGACCGGTGGGAGGCATTAATCTGAATCTTCGTTTTTTTCTTGCCAAAGACGTGGGAGACCTTAAATTCCACGACCGAAAGCTAGAGGGATCCGTCCATTTGTTTGATGTCTTCTTGTGGTGGTTCCTTTTTCTTTTCTGTTTTTCTACTTTTACCCCCTTTGGGATTCTGGTTTTTCTCATCGTGTGTGTGTTTTTTCCCCTTCTTCTTGAGGGACCGTCTTATCCCCTCCCTTGTTGTCCTCCTGATTATTCGCTATTTTCTTTTTTCATTTCTCTTTCTTGTTAATTTGCCTACTTGCCTCTACTACTACCCAAAGAGTCCCCCATGCGCGCACTCTCCAAACCAAACCCACTACTACACATACACACACGGACAACAGAAGTTTCTTGATCAACCCATTTAAATCAGTGCCTTGCCTTATCAGGTTTACTACTTACGTGGAGGAAAGAAGGAGGGTATCGATTCTCGATCTCCCCCAACCTTGGCTTTCTATCTTCTGTCTCCTCTCCTTTTTCTCTCGTTCCTTTGCGTCTTCCGTATTCCCTGTGCCTTGTGGCGTTGGAGTCTCGCTAGATGCTAGATGTTAGTGGTTTTTGGGATAAGATCATCTGCTCCGTAGCTATACTTGGGATATCCTTTTTTTTTTTCTTGTAGTGGCAGGGCCGTTGCAGTCGGTATATGGCAGGCGTCGAATATTAGACACGTGTATGGCTTGCTGCTGCATTAAGTAACCTCAAGGCTCATTTTTGAGCTGAGCACGCCCCTGAGCAAGCACTGATCATTACATAGTCTCACTGATCTGCTCAGTGATCCCATGTGTCGAACGAAGTGGTGATGGCGCAGCACCCCACTCGTGTGGCCGTAGTTTTTTTTTTTTGCATATCGACTCCATACGCATCCTGCGATTCCACACCAACAATTGTATAAGATTTAGAACTACGCATTCCAGACCGCTTCCTCGTTCTCATTTCTATCAGCTCTAGCCTGTTTATCCTTACAACAATGGAAAAGACTGCAAGCACCGAGACTTCAGTACCAGCTCTCCCTAGACCCGATCCTCCCATCCGAATCTTGGTCCAAATCTTTACTCATTTTGGTTCCTGGAAATGACTACATGGAGAGAAACAATTTTATATTGAACTGCATCTGCCAGCACCACTGGGGTTGTGATTTTAATGAGCAGTAATTCCGCTGAAGTTCACATAATGCCAAATTTTCTTTCGAGAATCGACGCTGCTTCTTCCTTGTCAATTATGGTCAAACTTCAAATGATGACGATGTGCCTATTTTATCCTGTGAGTGGACAGGAGAGACTGTAAGACTGTTCACTATTATAAGAGGTGATATTGAGACTGAAATACACTGAACAGAAAACCAATGCCAGGAATATGCGTTTACATACGATCAATCTACCCATGTGAGGAGTGTCCTCTTTCTGATATTGATTTGAAGTGGATGAAGGAACATCCCGAGGACGTGCAATGGCTTCAGTCCCATATTCGGCCTAAATTGTGGCGGAAATTTATGTGTTATATGGATCAGCGAAATTTTTGAGACGCTCTAGGCTACCGATGGTCGATCCTATTTCTATTCCTTCACTAATGAAACTACTGTTAAGAACCCAGAGATATGCCCAATACGCGAATGTTTTGGTACAGGGGCAGCTCCAGTGTTTATTCCACCGTCACTGTCGCGGTCAATGGTATGTCAAGCACGCTCTTCCCGACATAAATGTTATAGTCTCCGCTATGCAGATCCCAGCTCTGCGTCCCGGTGTTCCAGACACTCATATCCCGTCGGGTAATCTCGAAATGAACGGTGATTTTCTGTCCTGGGTTGATCACTTTCTTCTGGTATCCTCGTAACTGTTTCTCTGGAGCACCAGGGATGCCAATGTACAGCTGCGCAACTTCGCTAGCGGAATATTTTCCTATGTTCTCCACGACCACGGAGACATCGGCAATCACATCCCACAGATGCACAGCTCCGCCCCATGGTAGCCTTGTCTCGCTGGTCCGCTTACCCTTGCCAGCAGACTTGGAGCGTGCAACGGTCAGGGCACCCGTGTATGCATTAACAGAAGAAGCGGTGATGCCATGGCGAAGGCTGGCTGTCAAGTGGCTATAGGTGAAATCCGTGTACGTTAGACCGAAGCCGAACTCGTAGCGAGGGGTAACGCCGTTCTTAATGAAGTGTTTATAGTCAATATAGACACCTTCGGTAAAGTTTGCTGTGGACGCAAATTTGTCAGCCCTTTGCGCAACGGCATACGTTCCGCGATCCCTTACCCTGTGTGTAGTAGTCAGAAGTCGCATCAGCGTGAACAGGCTCAAGGAGATGGCCAAAGTCAGACGCTTGCTTGGGCACCGTGTATGGCAGTCTCCCAGATGGTGATACGCTCCCATACATGATATCAACTAGCGAACTGCCCGCTTCTTGGCCAGGCAGATGAGCCATGATGACGGCCGTGATATTGGGATGGTCGATCCAGGCATCGACAACGCGGATCCCTGCATTGTGAATGACCACTATTGTGTTGTTACACTTGTTTGCCACATTGGTGATGAGCGTATCTGACCATGGGTCTGCCAGACCACCTCGATCAAAACCCTCAGATGAGAACTCGTTGACGAGCACGATGCAAGCATCGCTAGACCCTATAACACCAGGGTCTTGATCTTGGAAATTCCATGACAGCATTGTCAGGTCTTCACGAGCCTTCTCAGCAAACGCAGCGTAAGGAGACACAATGTACGGGGGATTAGATGTACTGGAGCCACCTCCGGTGATGAGCGTTCCTGCATAACCCGCCAAAGGACCATTTGGCCAGATGAGGGACCCGTTGGACCAAGTTCCATCGATAAAACTTGCCGCACTGGCTTCACTGGTATTGAGAGATTCATATCCAAATTTCCATTTGAGGCTTGCAACAGGGTCAACCACTGGTGGAGGGAGGGCGTCATAGCCAAATAGCGAGAGAACGAGAGGCTTCTTCAATGGCAACGCATTGCCCACGTTCTTAACAAGCACATGGCCTTCCACAGCTCCTTCAAAGACCGTATCCCTGGAGGAAGAGTTCCTTGCCTGGGTGTGCTTATGCGGAAGCGACCAGTCTGTGGTTGGCGGGTCGCCAAAGCCGGGGTTAGGGATGGAGCCGAATTTCTTCCATACCGCAAAAATGCGTGTGGCCATGTCGTCCAGTCGCGACTGCTCGAGCGAGCTGTTGGCAACTGCAATGGACAGATTGGAACCCCAGAAACCGCCACTGGTTGGCATCACCATATCAAGGCCTGCATATGCGGCTTCATATCCGGCATGAAGCGCGCCCCAATCTGACATGACAAACCCCTGAAAACCAAGTTCCGTCTTCAACAACCCGTTCAATGTCTTACTGTTCTGGCAGGCATAAGAATTATTGACTCGGTTGTATGAACACATAACCGAGCCAGACTCGGCTCTCATGGCATCCATGAATGGCCAGAGATACAACTCGTGCATGGTCTGATCGTCAAGATTCGCCGATACGGAAGCATTGTGCCCCATAGGGTTACGGTTTGTCTCTTGCTCGTAGGCGATGAAATGCTTCACACATGCAGACACTGTTCCCCTGTTCTGAATGCCTTTGATAGTGTGGTAATTCATCTGGCCCGACAGGTACGGGTCGGCACCGTAACCTTCCCAATTGCGACCATTCTCAGCCATGCGGCCAACCGGGCCACAGATGGGTTCTAACGCGACGTTGACTCCCTTGGCTTCATACTCGAGACCGCGGTAGAAACCGGTTCGAAAGGCCAAATCATCGTTCCAAGAGGCGGCAATGGACACTGGGGCTGCATAGGCTGTAACTAGCTCGGTTGGACGCAGGCCTGCACCAGAGCCTTGCATGCAGAGGCCCGGAAAGCCGACCCGCTCAACGGGAGGAATCCAGCCAGCGCAGCCGTTTGACGGAGTGGTGGCACCCGTTGCAACGCTGGCTTTTTCTTCGTTCGTCATTTTGGCAACCAGGGCTGCTGCTGCTTTGTAGGCATCTGTCCACGCGCCGGTGGTGCCTTTTCCCTTTGCTGTTGTAAGCTATATTAGTGTTGAAGCTGCAAGATGGCTCGCTAGAAGCGGTAGACAAACGAGATGGGTATACGGGTGGCGATCTCCCATAGTCCCAGAATAATGCCAATGCGTCAAAGTCTGGCGTGCCGTCTCCGACATCCTGCTGAGGGGCAACAGCTGCTATCACTGAAGCAGCCTGAAAGAGTAGTGAAGACAGTCTCATAATGGCCTATACAACTTCGATATGGGCTTATTCGGTAATGGAGACATTGTGGCGGAAATAGTTGCGTCTCAGTCACCGACTCTTATTATATGTAAAATGAATAACGTGCCCGCTAAAGTGCTTTTGACTCAAATGGGCAGGATACCGATATCCGAAGTGCGGAGAAGTTCGTGACCGCTGGACGTCGATAGGCTAAAATCGGTATACATAACAGCGTACCGAGCTAGCTACTCGAATTTTATCCCCGCAATTAGTATCATGCCTAATGCGCTTGTTTCCCACAGCCAATGGGAGTGTGACCGGCCCGATTTCCGATACCGATGGACAGGCCTATACATCGCTGCAGCCAATGACAGCGCGGCCCGCCCGACTATCGACAACGATGGACGTAGTGAAAGCTGGCCCAGTGTTCAGTACAGGATGGACCGAAATCAGGTTCATAATTTTGGAAATAAGCCCAGGACCCGGAGGGACAAGAACATGCACAAAGGTGATACCACAAACAGGACTAAGACAAAAAGCCACAACTCGACCTGCATGACGTGTAGGGTAGTACACTTAAACAGTGAGTACCATAGGAAATATTACCGGACTTTCAGATCAGAACTGAAGTTGTCATGAATTGCTCTCGCAGGCAAGTCACTATCTGATTGGAAAAAAAGCGGTATTGAATAACTCGGCCACCTGGGTACCTAGAGATGAAACCTGGTCGGAAGCCATTTTTGGATATCACAAGGTAGGCTGATGATAATTTAGGGACTATAAGAAGGAGAATCACCGAAACCAGTATCCAGCTTCTCAGGTTCTTTTTTATTATATGCTCGACTTTGAGTCGATGGCATGGGCTTAAAGGCAGTAGAAATAATCAACACTGCGGAAGTCTAGCTGTATTAGCGGCTTCCGATCGAGGTTGTAGATGTAAGCCGATGGCGGGATCAAATGCGACAGAACGTTGCGGAAGTCTAGCCATTTACGGCGACATGATCGTTGTCGCCAGACTCATGCCTATCCCAAAGCTTCGTTTCAGTGAGCAGTAACCGCCGCGTTTTAATTGGGTTCTTCTAGGTGAAACATTTCCACTTGACTGTTTTGGCTGCGCCAGCGTACGTCAAGTAACCGCTCTTTTGGATTTCTTTGACGGGTAGTGTTTGGTGGCTGCTGTCCTTGCCGCATTTGGAATGGGATGCACGACTTCTTGGACATATGTGTCGAATGTCGCCCTGGTGCTTGCTCCTCGCCACGATGAGAGAGCTCGCCTGAGGGTCGTGGTTTGAAGCACCTTCTTTTTGAGTGCTTTTGAATCCCCTTTGGAGATTTGCGCTGGAACCCGCCAACACTGGATTAGACACTACCCCGAGAATAAATCCTGATCCTCGGATCCAAGCCATGAACAAAATGGCATTTGCATATCCCACGCCTGCATTGGCATGAACGAGTTGAACTCCCATTCTTCCGACATCCCAGTGCTTTCGTGGTTGCTGTATTGGATACCAGCTAAGGGATTAGCTTCACTATCCTGTACAAATTGTGGTGCCCATGCTGGCGAGAGTGCCGCAATCTCGGGCCGGGATTGGGTTTGACTGCCAGTAGTAAGATTGATAGGGGGCTGGTTCGCTCCTGTTGGCTGCTGCGTCTCGATTATGTCCACGGGTTCCGTTATCGCAGTCGTGCTTGGCCGAGGAGGTAATGCGAGTCTGTCAGCAGCAAACCTGTCAGGCTCATCCGCGAACTCGGCTTGTCGTAGCAGACTATGAACCGCCAGCCTTTGTGTCGCCACTTCCCCCGGCAGCACTCTGTGTAACTCTGTACTGCTCTCCCGTCTCCCAGGCCGTCCGGGCCGCCCCGGTGAAGGCATCCTGGTCAACTCATCATTCACGACATCTACCCGCTCCCGCTGTGGTTCTACTACGACAGCGGACGAAGATGAGAGTCCCCATTTCCCCATGGATCTCTCCATTTCGCTCAAGATTGGGCTCACGAGTTTGCTCCTGGGAAAGAACCTCCTAAGCGCTGCGACGCACAGGTCAACCCTGCTTGCCGCGAACTCCGCCGTGGGCCGATTCTTTCTGTCCTTCCCGAATCTCGAGATGAAAAGAAGTAGGCGTGTCGCATGGTAGGCGCATATCGTCGCGTCAAACTCGAGTAGATGTGGGCGCGTGGACAACTGATTCAGTGATGTGAGGAGCGAGATTATGGCAGAGGCGTGGTGCAAGCACAGACGTTCCGCTTCAAACACGAGGTCGTCCATGATTTGTTCTTGATTGGCATCTCCTTGATACAGGAAACTAGCCAGAACAGGCTTCGGCGCTGCTTCCTGATAGCCAGGTAGCAGGAGTCGATACAGATCACAGTGGCACTGGTGCCAGCTTAGTTGCAAAGCTACATGCCTTGGCAGCCACCGTGAGTCCAAGAGTGTGCTAATCTGGATGAACGATAGCTCAGGGCCATGCGGCATCTTGGTTCCAATACTGGAGAGGGATTGCTCGAAAGACCGAATCATCGAGGGAAATTGCGGCAAAGCCGAGTCACAGAGCGCGATCCTCCGCGAAAATTTCATGATGTCTCGGCGAAAGGACTCGAGGTTCACGCACAGATTATATGCCCCATAATCGCTGTCTGTTGTTTGCGATGCGTAATTGTTCATAGAAGGGGACGCCTGGCGTGACCCGTGGACGAAGTCTTCCTCGGAGCATGGGAGTTTGACGTATATACTTTCGAAAGGACAGAGCTCGAACTCGGGCAGACCGATGCTAAAATAGCGCTCGATCAGCTTCAAGCTCCATACAATCCTCCTTCGCGTCTCTCGGGCCACAAAGTCCAGGTCAGGTTTTTCATGGTTGAGTCTCATCGCAGCCGCGAACCGTGACGCCAATGCAGCCAACATAAATGCTCGCTGGAATTGCCCCGTGTGCATACAATAATTGATGGAAAGCAGCAGAGCCTGCAGACGTGCGACGGTAGGAGATTCGATGTATGACCAGATGATCTGATCGGCAGCCCGGACAGAGGTCTGCCCGCGACAGTAGCAGGAAGCCAAGTCGCCTTCATAATCTGAGATATTGTCACCGTTGCCGTCGTGGTGTTTGGTGTCATTTGTTCGCATAGATGTATGTAGGATGGCAACGCCGGCAATTGCAAGCGCGAGGCACGATTCAAGGACCCCTGTACGGCATTTCTCCTTTGTCGTGGCCGGGTGAAGAAAGGAATAGGAGGGGAGTGGATATTCATGTTGGAAGAATACTTCAAGGAGGTCGAGAAGAACAGGATTCGCATCATTGCGATGAGCTGAGCTGGTCCTTTGTGAGATTGCATTGGCTGGAGTCGCTGGGGTTCCGGGCACCAGCTGCAGACGCATCAAGCATTTGCAGTCTCGCCCTGGTATATCCCCCAAGTCCTCACTGGGACCACGGAGAGTGCCTCGGCCATCGATGCTTGGGAGCTGCACCATCTCCGCATCGACGGGGGTCTCCCTCGATGGCTGTCCTTCAGTCGGAAGCTCTGCGGGCGGAGACGTGTGGGGGGTCATACGCTTCGACGTCGGATACACACATGGGACGCCGCGACCCTTACACCTTAAGCACTGTGGGTGAGACCCCGAACATCGAACCTTTTGGCCACGACATGCGCGACATGCACTACTGACACGGCGCCGTGAAGGGCTGAGGAATGGTGCATTGCGCATGATGTCCGCCCTGTTTCCAGCTGGCAATGAGAATGAGCAGACGAAGCTTAGACGGCCACAATTTGAGCAGGTGTCCTGCTTGCCATCACAGCGGACCTGGTTGGGATGGCGATTAAAACATTGGATGTGTACGAGGGCGGACAGTGGCTTACCTTGCGCATTCGACACTGCACGCAGGTCTCCTTTGAGAGCACCGGGGGTTTCGTAGTCGAAGGGAAAGAAGACGCGTATCGGTCCATCGCAACAGTTTTTGTGGCGAGCTTTGGCCGTCAGCCAGGCCACTGCATGACAAGAATCATCCAGGTTCCCCGGAGTTGAGTGGGTGCAAAACCGGGGACGCTAATGTGCCTGGTTCTCCACTCCATCTCCCGGTACTCCTCGACTTCGCCATACCAAAAATACAAAAACAACTTAAATGGTCCTGAAAGACTATCTATATGCTATCTATCCACTGTCTGATGGAACTGCTACGAAGCTACAATTTCGGCCGCCCATACCTGGGGTGTACCGTCTCGTCACCAATCTCTTCCATCTTCTCCTCCAGGAGCTTGGTCATGTCCCGGACCACACCCTGATAAGCCGGGTCTGAATACATGTTGAACAGCTCCAGTGGATCTTCATGACAGTCAAACAACTCCCACTCCTTCTCAGTAACAGTCCCTCCAGGGCGAGCACCCTCAACTCCCAAGTCTTCATTATACCAGTATATCAGCTTGTATCTCTGGCTTCGCACGCCGTAGTGCGCGAGGGCGTTATGGATCTCGTCATTGTTCATCCAGTATCGGTGGTATGCGACTTGCTGCCAGCCGACCGGAGCCGCTCCTCGCTCCTGCAGCAGAGGGAGGAACGACACACCTTGCATGTACGATGGTGAACGGAGTCCCGCCAGGTCGAGAAAAGTGGGTGCGAAGTCAACGTTACACACGATATTGTTGCATTCAGTACCTGGCGCGATGACCGCCGGGTGGCGGATGAGAAAGGGCATCTGGAAGCTCTCCTCGTACATGAATCGCTTGTCGAACCAGCCATGCTCGCCCAGGAAGAAGCCCTGATCGGACGAATAGATGACAACTGTATTCTCTGCAAGGCCTTTCTCGTCTAGATACGAGAGCATCTTGCCCACACTGTCATCAATCGCCTGAATGGTTCGTAGGTACCGCTGCATGTATCGCTGGAACTTGAAGGCTGCCAGCTCGCCGGGATTTGCGAAGGTGAAAACCTCTCCGGTGTCTTTGTCGATGAGGCGCAGAGAGGTCACGTCGGCCGGAGCGGGGACCTTTCGCTGCGCGTCGCTCCCCTCCTGCTGGACACGCTCACCAACACTGTCCCCTCCATCCGGTTGGACCAGTCCTAGATCCTGGTACGTCAGATCTTCGGCCACCCTCATCTTGGCCGCTTTGGCTGCCTTGGCGCGGTTCCGATAATCATCTCCAAATGTCTCCGGGACGCGGATTGGGTCGGTGTACATGGTTTTGTGACGATCGTGGCATTCCCAGGAGCGGTGAGGGGCCTTGTGGTGGCACATGAGGAAGAAAGGCTGCCTCTCACGAGTCACTGATTGCTGCTCCAGGACCGAGTCAATCCAATTCAGGGACTTGTCTGTAATGATGTCCGTGGCGTATCCATCCACAGCGTGCGTGCCTGACTTGTCCGTGAACTTCGGATCCCAGTAGTCTCCCTGGCCTGGAAGAACAGACCAGTAGTCGAAACCGGACGGTTCGTGGAGAGGGCCTTCGCCAAGATGCCATTTGCCTGCCGTTGCGACAGCCGTTAGCTCGAGGTTGTAGGACGCTTTGGGCATGGAAGAACCAACTCACCAACCATGGCGGTCGTATATCCTCCGGATCGCAACGCTTTCGCAACGTTGGGTAAATGTTTGTTGATCTTGCTATGGAGAGTCATCACTCCGTTGACATGGTTGTGCGTTCCTGTCAGAATTGCAGCGCGGGAGGGCGTGCAGATGGAGTTGGTCACGTAGCAGTGGTTGAACTTCATGCCCTCCTCCGCCAGGCGATCAATGTTTGGCGTGTGGTTGATACCCGCACCATAAGCACTGATCGCCTTCGAAGCATGGTCATCGGCTAGGATGAAGATAATGTTCGGGCGTTCGGAAGGCATTTTAGAACTTCTCATGGTGGAAAACACGCAAAATTCGGAAAGCCCTGTTGATAGTGCATACGAATATGAACCTTTGTTGCTCCCCCAAGCAAAGGTAAAGTAATCCGGGCGCTTCGGAGACACCGAGGTCCCCAAACACGACGAACATGGCTATTGTCCTAGGGTTGTCTCTCCATAGTCGGAAGTCGGTCGGAAGCCAATTAGGGGACGATCCGCGCAATCTCCAATGTCCCTGATAGGACAAGATGGGGAGGCTAAAACATAAACCGTTTGTCTCTTCCGCCAATGCCAGCGCAACCCGCCCGATACCCGGCACAAACCGAACAGCCATCAGTTAACTAGCTTCCAACTAGTATTGACATTCTCCGGAGTGGGCCAAATTCCAGAGTACTCCCAGCCGCCCCCAGTAATCCGTCCGTATATACTTGCTCCATTGTCCATCATGAGAGTGCTATTCCATCACCAAATCAGCGCCAGTCTTTGTAGAAATCCTTCCGCCATTTTCTCACCACCATGCGTCGCCTCGGGACTTTCCGAGCGGCCTATCTAGTCGCCCTGAGCTGCATCGGCTCATTTCTCTTCGCCTACGACACAGGCATCGTCGGGGGCGTCCTGACCCTGCCCTCGTTCCAAAAAGACATGGGCATCACCGCGGAAACACAGACCAACGTGAGCTCTCTTTCCGCGAGTCTGCTCCAAGCTGGAGGTGAGAAGTTCCCCGGCATTGTCGGCGGGCTCATATTCATCTTTGGTCAGCGTTTTTCTCGTGCTTCTTCGTCTGGCCCTTCACCGCACGCTACGGGCGCCGCCTGTCCATTGTGCTCGCAGCCATGATCTTCAACGTCGGGGCGATCCTCCAGCTCTTCCACGCCAACGGCGTCGCGACGTGGTACGCCGGCCGCGTCATTGCAGGAATCGGCATCGGCTTCGCAACCGTAATTGTCCCACTGTACACGGCGGAGATGGCACCCAAGCAAATCCGCGGCCAGCTCGGCAGCATGTTCCAATTTTTCTTCACCCTTGGTGTCATGACTTCTTATTGGGTAGACTACGGAGTATCTACAGGTATAGACTCGTCCACCAAGCAATGGCGGATCCCTGTGGGGTTGCAGCTTGTGCCTGGGGTGATCCTCTGCGCGGGTATGCTACTCGTCAAGGAGAGTACGAGGTGGCTGGCCAAGCGAGGGAGGCCCGATGATGCGCTTGAGTCGCTAATATGGGTCCGTGGTGGTGACAGTGCTGCCGTTCGAGAAGAGTATGTTATCCACTTATATGCTGGGGTAATGGCCGATTTGGGTGAGCTGACTGGTGTTTTTCCTATAGGATGGCAGAGATCCTTGCTGGAATTCAAGAAGAGGAGCGCATCACAGAGGGCCTGACGTGGAAGGAGTTCTTGCTGCCTGCGAACCGCTTTCGCATGTTCGTTTCCATTACGATCCAGATCGGTGAGCAGACCTGTTTGAAATGCCTCCCACACCATGCTAATAAGCTGCAGGGGTACAACTGACCGGCAACACGTCTCTCGCATACTGTATGTGCCCAGCCCCGGCGAGACTAGGTCGCCAACGCAAGAAACTACGCTAACTCGTCCAAGTCTCACCACAAGTCTTCAGTGCCGTCGGCGCCGGTAACAATGCCCTCTTTTTCAGCGGCTTCTTCGGCGTGGCCAAAGTTGTATCATGCCTCTTCTTTCTCGCTATTTTGGTTGAGAGAATTGGCCGCAGGGGCAGCCTGATGGCCGGATCTTTCATCATGGGTGCCTTGTTCTTAATCGTTGCCCTCATTACTGCGACCCATCCCCCGAGCCCGGACGCGACTGGCATCAGTAGCTACTCCATCGCGTCTCTCACGATGATTTATCTCGAAGCGAGTAAGTAGCGCGGAAACTCTTTTCATTGACGAGAAAAATACTCATGATTCATCTTAGTGGTTTACAACATGTCGTGGGGTCCCGTTCCTTGGGTATGTTTACGGCAGAGAGAGTTTTGTAGATGGCGCCACAGAGCTAATACTTCCATTTCAGCTGTATATGGCCGAAATATTCCCAACCCGGATCCGTGAAGGTGGCGTTGCCATCGGCACCGCGACGCAGTGGCTATTCAACTTCGCCTTCTCCCAGATAACGCCTCACGCCGTCAATAATCTGGGCTGGAAGACATTCCTAATGTTCTGCATCTTCAACTGGGCGCTTGTCCTGTACACTTGGCTCTTTATCAAAGAGGTTGGTTTTCCAAGATCTTTCCATGCGTGCGTAATAAAGCTAAGATGGCCATGAACAGACTAAAGGCAAGTCGCTTGAGGAGATGGAGCTGGTGTTCAATGCTAGGCACACTCAACTTGATCTCAACGCTACTCACCGCAAGGCCAACGAGCACTTTGAACACATCGAGGAGTTGGAGCTGGGAGACAAGACGGCTGTTCAAGATAGCTAAAGTATCTTATGTAGAGTAGGGAAACAGGCTCGCCCGAAGACGGTCTTTTCACGTCTCTGCTAGAACTGCTAAAACGATTGAACGGATCTACAGCCACGTGGTACCCAGGATTAACTTCATCTGGACACGTAAAGCTCGACTTCCTTAGGGTAATTGGAGAAGTTCCGAAAAGCTGTCAATGTGTTATCGTAATATAGACCGGGTGTTAAGGGTCTGTTCGCCACTATGCCCACTCAAAGGGCTACTAAATGGTAGTCGCTTTATAGTTAGTCAATCGGAATGATCAATCCTAGTAATAGTAGTTCTCCCACTCGTAGTATAACAATACCCTATTATTTATTCTCCTATCTCCGCGTCCTCATAAATCACCCCACCCGTAGGCTATACTCATGCTGTAATGAGCCAACCTACTTTAGGTAAAGATGATGATTTTTTTTTTCTGCATGGCTTTGCTATCTGTTGTGAGGCTTATTCGTTACCAGCCTCGGTTCGGATCTGGCTTTTAGGCCATAGGCCTATAGTTGCTTTCTAAAAGTTGTAATTACTTTTAAAGAGATGATCCAGAGCCCCTTCAAGCACGGTGTAATTCTACTTAGCTAGAGCGCTGACTCGAACTTTCTATTTGATGGTTAGTCCGTAGAAATAGGTTTTATTCAGAGTTCTCCCAATCCATGCAAATCATACTTGGCGGCTTAAGCATGCGTTCTACATTATTGTGGCATGGTACGTCTGCAGATACCTGACCGCTACTTCTGCAATTCGTAGCATGTAAATCATTTTTTGTGATCTGAAATTACTTAGGCGCCCTAATACCAGCAAGTTGCCTCTTATTTAAATACGCGCTCCACCCTCCGGCCTTTCCTTGTTCCTCCAACAACGTTTCAACCTCTCAAAGCTATCTTCCCACCTGAAACGACTACACGTCGAACGATATGTCTACACATATGCTTAAATACATTGTGGGTCTCTAACTTTTACATAGCCGTCGAGACGAAAAGCTTTCGCTGTCCTAACGTCCTCAACTCTGGCAGGTTACGTGAAAAGAGGGTACATCGGATGTAAGGGATTAAACAGTGAATCTCATATTCTCAAGCCGCCAAAATTTTGGCTGATTTAAGCGTACCTTGAACAGGGTCCAGGACCATGCCATTAGCCTAGGTGGGAGAATAGGTCCTGTGCTTCCGAGCATACAAGGACTTTCGTGGGTGTCCTCAGTCCGATATTCACAGACGCGTACTCAGACTAAGCTAATCGTCCTCTTCGAACTAGTTTCACAGTGTGCAAATTAATCGTGACATGATGTCGAAGCTCGAGTCGCATGAATTTGTAGAATCAGTTGAGGAAGACCAATAGACTCAAGGGGAGTTAGGGGGAGTCTTGGGGGGTTGGATGGTCACTGCTCAACAACCTACACTGGCAGACCTTATTGGTTCGAAGGCGGAGATTTGTTCACACTTAGACTGATAGTGAGAGAACTAAGGAGCTCAGTGAGAAGGTCCTCTTAAGGCAGCATGGCAATTGACAGAGGGGCATTCGCCCGATTGCACAAGGTAGATTGGCTCTATGCCAACAATTCTCCTCCTATCTATACTTGGCTACACAGCTCTACTCTACGCTCTTGTACCTACAGCAAATCTACACCCACACAAGAAATAATATGAAACATCCATTGCCGCTACAATTTCAAACCACAAAGCTACCTATCAGCCACGCAAGCACGATAGGTAGGAGCATTGAGGCAAAAGAAAGTAAGCGAAAAAGAAAAAAAAAAAAAAAAAAAAAAAAAACAAAGACAAGACAAATAGTAGGGGACTTGAGACATGCACGCTTTCCTGGGTATGGCAAATGGCAAGGCGAGAGAGAAGTAGAGCCGCAGAAAACAAAACAAAAACAAAAACAGAACTGAACTGAACTGAACTGTGAAAAACCAGAGAGATGATAATAGAGGAAACAGGGGGTGTGGAGGGCAGAAGTGCAGCATATGATGGAAGGGGGTTGATTCAGTCACAAGACCAAGTCAATTTTTTGGGCTGGTGCAGCAGCAGCGTCCAGTCCATGAGAATGAGAAAGGGGAGGAAAATGCAACAGAGATGTACACTGCAAGCAACAGAATAAGAGAAGAATAAAAATGACTTGGCTGCTGGCTGCGAAACACAGAAAGAAAGGATCCCTCAACAAAAACATTATGCGTTTCCCCTTTCCCAGCACGCCAATCGCCTGCTGTGACCATAACCATGAACCTTAATGCCCATGCAATGTGCCCATGACGACGAAAACATTTCCAGTGCGCGGCTCCAGACGGCAAATGTCATTTCACAATTCAAATCGAGTCTAGCCCCAGTCCCCAAAACGCCCGAGGTGCTATGCATTCAACAACAAATGAAGGGAGAGAAACAGTCAGAAGCAAAAAGTACAAGGTGGAACGGAACAGGATCCACGCGCGCAAGTCACCTGCAAAGGGGGAAAAATAGAGACAACGCCAAATGACGAGACAACACAAACAAAGTATCGACGGTAAAAACGGTGGAACCGCGTGATCACCCGAAGGGACAACAAACCCGCTTGTTTCGTATTGATCGAAGCAAGGTTGCCAAGACTCGGGTGGCGGCCCACCGGTGAACCACCCGGCATGCAGATGATGATGTCACGGATACCCCTTGTTCCCCTGGCTATGGTAGCCATGTTGTGTTGAAAAGAACAGTGGAGATCGTGACGGGGTGACGAAGAAGGTAAAGTAAGAAACAATGCTCGATGCCACTCGAGCCAGTCGGGTGGAAGAATGATGGACGTGAAGGGAGCGGCGACAATCGTAACCGCCCAGAGACAAAAATTTTGCCTGGCGGCTGCTGACCCGCGCACCCCACGCCACGCTGAGTATGGATTGTAGGAATTTTTTGGGTGAGGAGGACTCAGGCCGGCAACAGACCGAGACAATAGTGGCGAAAAAACAACCAAAAAAAAAAAAGACAGCGGACGTTCATCATCGTAAACGGAAAGAGATCAAGAATCATCACGGTGTGCAAAGCAAGCAACCGCATCCTCGGCGAGTGTAGTGAGGGGGTGCTACTTCTGTGCCTTGCGAGCTTTGGTGCTTCGTGTCATTTCGTTCTTGGTCATGTTGCGAGTCAGTCCGCCGATGTAGTCCTGCAAGACTTTGTTTTCGGTCTCCAACTTGTCGTGATCGGACTTGACGGCATCGATGCGCTCAGCGAGTGCCTGCAGCGAAGATTGAAGGGCCTTGGCTTGTCTTTGGGGGTTAAAATTAGCAAACCATGACCGTGTTGGCGACCGCAAATCCAAAAACAAAGATACTCACTCTTGAAGAGTCTGGCGAGCCTCCTTACCCAGGCGCTCCAGATCAGCCGAATTGCGACGCGGACTCATGGCGCGGGCGTCGTCCGGGGGGAACTCTTCCTCCTCAATTTCAATCTCTGGGTGGTCGCGGGGGACCAGGATGGACGCGGAGGGTTTGCGGCTAGCCATACGCGGACGTTCGGATCGGCCTCGGCGCTCGTTTTCGGCGTCAGATATGGATGATGATGATGAGAGGGATGACATGTGCATGCGGCCACCGTCGTTGGGTTGCGGCAGTGTGTCGACGGGAGAAGCCTCGTTCATCTCTGTATCAGATGCCATAAGGTTGGTTCGCGACAACAACGGGAAGTAGAGGAATGTCAAAGAGACGCGGTTCGCACGCTTAGGTCCAGAGTGGCGGATGATCGTGATTCTTTCACGATCAAGCAAAAACGAGGGCAACGGTTGAACCGAGATGGATGCTCGAACGACCACGGATCTACCCCTAGCGATGGACCCCAGACGATCAAATCTGTGTTACGCTTGAGGTAGCGACCGGGGTCGGGTGGGAGCAGACGGTGGGAGGGAAATGGGAGGCGGGCGTTTGGTGTGGGAAGCGACCGCAATGCAGGTTCGAGGGTGTTTTTTGAGACGATGGACGGAGAACGGAGGGGAGGGCGTGGGGACGAAGAAACAAAGGTCAAAGCGAGTGAGGACGAGCGTAGACACAGAGCGAGAGGTCGAGGTGATCAGCCACGATGGAGGGGGGAAGGGGGGAAGAATTAGCTCGAAATACACAGAGAGTGGTTGAGTCGTAGAGAAGGGAGGAAGCAGACGACGGATGGGAAGGAGGAGAAAAAGGAAACGGGTCTAGGGTACGGTATCCGTATTGGGCGAACGGTACCTGGGAGTGACTTGGGTGGCCAGTACTAACGGGGTCGTCCACGCTGGTACCTCCGGTGTTCCCTGTTCATCCCTTCCCGAAAGGAACACCCTTTCTGCCCCCAGCGCGTGGCAGCCACCGAACAACTGTTAGTGATAGAACAGGGTAGAAACTATCAAGCCCGCCAGCTAAGGATGTATGATCATGATTAGACCTCCATCCCTCCTGATCATATTAATTATTTTTTACGCCAACATTCCCCTTCTCCTTCTCCTGGATGTGGGAGGGGAAGAACCCTCCCTAACAAACTAGTAGGGCACAACTCTCGGTTCCGCTTCCACGAGCCCACCCGTCCCCAGCCAACGAGCGTGTGGCCTGCGGGTGACGATCCTCCACCGCCAGAGTGGCAGAGCTCGTTTACCGAACCCTCCCTCCGTCACTATTCCCAAGTGGAACTCTGGCCCTGATCATAATCATAGTTATTACCGGCAAGGATCGTGCTCGGGACTGTATTCCATTCCACCCACCAGGAGTACATAAGCGAGCGAGGTAGTTAGTTGACTAACGAACTGACTAACATAACTACGGGGCAACTTCGTCCGCCTTCAGGGGGGAGGGAGGGGCCCGCTATGCAATGTCGATCGAGCCGCAACGAGCGAGAAAATGACGCCATTTGACGGGTCCTGATTCGATTGTTCTCACGCGGACGGGTGATTGCGAGAATTCGTGATGGTCAGTAACGAACTGCCCGCGACCAGACTCCAGCCAATGTGGCCACCCCCTCGGACAGGATTATTCATGCGGTGAGGAAACAACATTTCCA